TGTAATTAATTGCCTCGTCCAAGGTGTCTTGTAGGCTGAGAAGGAACCAATAAGAGGCCGTAATCTGAACAAATGTATAACGCTAATTGCTGAAACAGCAATACAGAGGATTTCCAGTAAATATTAACGTCGAACAGCTGACAACGATGAAAAGAATCAAATGATGTCAAAAGGTTTGTATTTTCTTCTGAATATACATTTATGGCTTTGAACAAATAGAGTAAAGCCGGTCTGAATTACAGCTCTTAAGTTCTTACTTTTATAAAATTGGAGGAACAAAGGCGAAAACCGTGTGTTGATCCTTTCTTTACAAAATAATATTGCTTGTGCGCGTTCGTTTGAAGCCTCGTTTATTCATAAACTTTATCTGTCCTTGGCCTTAGTTACACTTAAGATACGCGCGCGAAAAAAAATTTTTATGCGTGCACGAAAAAAAAGCACGCGCACGAAAATCTATTTGTTAGTCACCAAGGAGACAATTGTTAAAAAAACGGATAGGACATTAAATATGGTTTTGATTTCCAATTGCATAAAAAGCATAAATTTAGGTTAGCGTTCTACCAAGTTAATGATTTGATGGAGGGAGTGTATTCAAACCTTAATTGGGCATGCAAAATAGTTAGAGATTTTTCATGATATCTTAATAAGGATTGCCGCCCCGTTTGCAGAGTTCCCAATAGTAATTCCCGGAGCTTTTTCTGCTTAATATAAACCTTTCAGGGCAGCGGCAAGTTTTATTAATCATCTATGTCTACACTCTAGCAGATAGCAATCAGGTTTTGTTTAAACAATATTTGAAACAGGTCACACATATTTTTTATTTATTTTTGTCATAATTTCTGATTAATAGCACTATATGAATTTTTAAAAAGATATTTAAAGTCTTTTTGCATTAAAAAATGGTTTTTATATTTATGATTGCTCATTGGTGATTCAGCCTCTGGCTGCATTGATGTATCTGTAAATAAAGTAGCCATCTTTATTATAAAGTTCGGATATGCTGCCGACTCACGAAGTAGGGAGAAACATTTGGCCATGTTTCGTGTTTCCCCTACACCTCTTTCGTGCTCTTGCCGTTTGCTGCATGCTTAACAACAGCACAGTGCATGATCCAAGCTTCTTTATTTGTCAAACATTATGTGCAACTGAGATAGAAGATCATACATACAGAATTAATCCGCGCGGCTTGTATGCCAAGGGAAATGCTGAAGCAAACTAAACACGTTAAACAGCACAACTATCTTTAAAGTTGTCAAACTATATATAACAGACATGTGAACTAAGAGCTGTGTTAGCTTAAAGACGAACAACGAAGCAGTAATTTTAGACTATTCAAAATTGTACTGCAGCCAAAGTGCTGAAAAAATTTGCTTTCCCGACAATTGAATCAATTTTGGTTGGTTAATAATGGTAATTGAACTGAGTGGAGTACAATTTGGTCTGGAATTTTAGACCGAAATTGCACAACTCGAAGTTCAACTACCACTTGATTACATCCACCTTGAAATCGCAAAATTCAGCCGCTCTTATTCATAATATTTTTAGTCTGTATTAATATTTTATTGATCCAGTACTGATGAACTGGTTTGTAAAAAGTTGCAAAAGTTTTCTTAAATTTTCCTCTAATTTGTTTGGTTACTAAACAAGCCTTGAAATGTGATTAAATATTGATGAAGGCTTCTCAAACGCTTGATAAAAAGAATGCAATTTTGAGCAAAAATGGTGCGATTCGTGAATAAATGGCACCAGTGATTTAAAAATGGATGTAATAAAAAGGTTCAAAAATCGTGATCAGGAGATATGAATGAAAATTAGTGGTAAATATTTGTGATAAAGCGCGTATTTTTCAGGGAGAATGGGGACAAATAAAAGCAATAATCGAAGAATGAATAATAAAATACTTGCTGAACGCCTTTGCGTTACCAGGATTAATGAGCTAAATCATGATGACCAACACTTAATTCGTGAATTGTCAATTCTGTAGAGAGAATGAGTTTCAAAAGCAAAGAGTTCTGTATACCTTCGGTTTTTCTTTTTTTGCCGGTTTAACTAACAAATGAAATCGGTAGCACACACACACTTAATTTTTTAACGGCTTTGATTGGCGTACAAACAAATCCATTTGAATTTAAGAGTTCTAGAAATTTATAAATTAAGTATCGAAAGAAGCTAAATCATCTGAGAATGAATTGTTAATGCTTTTACCCTTTTTTTTTTTCAGTCTAAAAACCAAGATGCAGAACTAAAACCAATCACGACTTGTTCGAGCAATTTTGATTCAAGTGTTGAAAGTAATCCGAGACTGCGTTATTTTTCTTTGCTTCGCTTTGTGATTGGTCCAGGAAACTTGCTCCACTCTCTCAACCAATCACATGCAAACTAAAATCAGTCACGACTTGGTCGCTCTTGTTTTCCCGCGCTCTAGGCAGTTTGATTGGTTTTACTTTGAGTTCTCATTGACGCTTAAAGGTATTTCCCTTTCTTCTGATTGGCCGTTGTATTTACATTGGTTTTGGCTCTGCGACTGTTCATCGAAAAGCACTTTAGGTCGCGTTTCCCTGCGCTTTAGTCGATTTTGACGTCGAGTCCTCATTGGCTCCTGGTTATATCGATCGTTTCCTATTCTGTTCAGCCGTTTTCGTTTCTTTGGCTTTGCTTTTTCAGAACTCTATCAAAAAGCGCTCTAAGTCGCGTTTTACCGCGCTTTAGACGATTTAGACGTCGGGTCATCAATGGGTCCGGGTGATATCGATCGTTTACTGTTCTACTCGGCCGTTTTCATTTCTTTTGCTTTGCTTTTCCAACACTCGATCAAAAAGCGCTCTCAACACTACCTCTACTTTAAATAAGTCGGTAATGAAACCTGTGCACCTGTGACTAATCAGTATTTCTTGGCAAAGCTTTTACAAAGAATGCGCCGAAAAAATTGAAAAAGCAAAAACATTCGAGGTAATTTACCATATAAGACAATATATTTGAACTTCAATACGCACTTGATCAATATTGATATTGAAATCAATCAAAAAAAATTTCTTGCTTTTTTTTTTTTCTAAGAGTGTATTGCTCACATAACCTGTAACTTTTATCCAGCCTGACATACAATATTTTTGTTACTAAATTGCTGGGCGAATATATGACCATAGTGTTTTGTTTGTTTTGTTTTGTTAGTCTCCTGTTTAAAATTTATTCCGGTTTGATTCAAAATTCAATTACTTTTGCATGCGCTATTATAGGCAAAAACGTTTTTGATACCACTTTAGCTATGACATAAATGATGAATTAAACGTGTCTCAAAGTGTCACTTTAAGACATGCTTCTCACTTTAGACACGACTTTGACTTAACACTTCGATCAAAGTGATATGCAAACACTAGTAAAGTCGAAGAAAAAAAACAACCAAAATTTCCACTTAACAAGTGATTGATTTTCAACTAACAATAGCAATAATAAACAAAAATCAAAGTAATGCATCATCAAAAAAGTTGAAAGCTGAAACAATTTTGATGCAACCTTCAAGGAAGGAATGAAAGAAAATAAACGTATTTTTACTGAGAAGCAGATGTTGTAGGGAATTATGACCCCCAAAAGAGCCTTTCATTGGTGTAATAGTTTCGTTTACGGCTTTAGGTTATGACGAGTCGTCGAAGGTGGCAAACAGCGGCAGAAACTTACTACTGTACTTGATTAAACACAGCAGGGCGTCGCCATCTTAATTTAAAAAATGGATCTTCCAGACAGATTCTTAAACCTCGCTATTGTTTCCTTGGCCGATCGTTCATCGACATGCAATCATTTGGTATTCCACGTTATCACCAATGCGATAAAAACGTGACTTTTGCTGGATTTTGCCATCATCTCTTATCACAAAAATGAGAAATTTTCAAGTTATGACAGAGGAAAGTGTTGAGGAAATAAAAGGTTCGGTTCCTGAGAAAATGACGTTCAGAACAGCTGCTAAGTCCATGCAGCAAAGCATTGGTCAGCTAAGTTAAAAACAGATAATTCTGCGAAAGAAGGAACCCGGCTAACTTAACAGAGGTAGTTTGGGGCTTGCGAAAGGAAAATCAAAGGGGTCAACTCTCACGACTTAACTAACCAGAATCAACAACATTGATAGGTCGCTGGCCTGTAAATCAAAGGCGAGAAAACCAAAATCATCGTGATTCATTCTTTTTTTGTCACTTTTCAGTATTATGACCGATGAAAATCGCACTGAATCTGAACTATAAAGTGATTTCTTTTTTACATCTTGACCGATTTATATTAGAACCTAATAGATAATTGTTATTGAGCTTCACGCTTTTGGTTTTGTGAATTTAAATTTGGTTCACTCTGGTTCATCGTCAAGAATTCGATTTGGTGATTGGGTAACTTACCATAAGAAGCAGAGATCTCGGATTTTTCGGTGAACCTCTGGCCGGTGTATGTTGGTTATACCTGTCAAAACTTGCAGATGAAAGAAGGCTGTGGATCATGTCAGGGATCAGCATGATTACTATTTTAGAATAGCATTGCACGTGTAGCAACATGGAAAGAGTTGAAAATTATGCGAGGATTCAGACCAATCAAAATCGCAAAATAACGTTTACGCCTTATTTGGAAACCCTTTCGGTTGACTTCGTCAATTTGACCAGAGCTTCATAAATTGTCAAATAGCATTATGCCCTTGTTGAATTAAAATGCACACAAGTAATGTCCCTAAACCAAGGACTAATACTACGGCTCAGGGAAGTGAGGTGAGTAGGTAGTCTGTTATATGGCACTCGGAACAAACTTTTTTATTTTGAATTTGTCAGCTTTCGCGACCAAAAATACGCGGCCTATGATCTTTTCCGGGGAACCAACGTATCGGTGTACAACGTAAATCATAGAATAATGAAAGAAGTCTCTGGGTAAACGTGAATTTTTATTAGCCAGAAAACATCTCTAGGCGCTATTATGAAACGTCACTAAGTCTAAGTCACGAAGAGAATAGCAAAACATAAGAATTCCCAACGCAAGCGAACATGTGAAGATATGATAAGATGAGCCTGCGGGGTGATTTCACCTTTGAACACAGAGTCCTCATCCCCATCAGACCTGCAAATACTTAAGATCACACAAAAGAATATTTACATTTTATTGGATCACATCACAGATATTTTTATCTTAGAAATCTATGATAGTTTAACTGCCTATATCTCCCCTGCTCCTTCCCGTTTCTTCCCTGCCCTCCCCTCCCAGCCTTACACAAATATTTCGTCATTTCAATAACATCGTTGACCTGGATGAAGGAGATCTTAAGTCAGATGCCGGTATGGGACGTTTCTTGCGGCACAGATTTGACAGGCCTTCCTTAAACTCAGGGATTTTGAGTATGTATAACACGGGATTTAAAAAAGAATTGGCGAAGTGGAGAAACTTGGTTGCATAAAACAGCTTCATGAAGGATGTAAAGTTCACTGGCTGCATACTAAATACCAAATTAGCAATGACAAAGGGGAGCCAGGCCACCAGGGAAACAGCTGTGATGAGAAGGCAAATGCGGGATAGGGAAGATTCCTTCTCGACACTTTTGCGGACGTCTCGCACTTTCCTCCAGATAACAACGTATGAAGCGCAGATCAGAAGCAGCAGCGCGGAGAGGAATGGGACCCACATTGAGATAACGAAAGCCTTTGGAGTTGAGGAGTGGAAAGCTGTGGGAAAATTTATGGCTGCTATATGAAGAGTAGGGATGGAGCCCGCGGTTATCCAAGCGATAGCGGTGAAGAGAATGTACCAGCCTGACTTGAGGGAGCGGTAGCTGAACGGTCGCAACGTCGCGTAGAGTCGCTCCAGTGCAATCATTGAAAGAAACGCAATAGAGCCAAAGCCTGCGAACATGTCGAAAAACATATTGACTTCAACAGGGACGGATCTCAGAGGATTTATACTCCATAGTTGCCGAGACTCGCCATAAGCCACAACGAACATCGGTATGGCCAAAGCACCGACTAAAGTGTCAGAAATGGCGAGGTTGATCATTAGATAGTATCGTCGCTTGCGAAGTTTTCTGGTCCGGAGAAACACAGCGGTTGTTAGGAGGTTCCCGATTATTATCACAAGGGCTTCAAGAATGAAGAAAGAACACCAAAATATGGCCGTAGCTTTATCTTTAACCAGCGGTGGAGGGATGGTAGCATTTTCTCTATCAGTTTTTAACGTTTCTTCCAGGGTTATGTTTTTCATGTTCTGTTCAGACATGATCTGTGAAGAAAGAAAGGATAAAGAAACAAAAATAATATGGCCGGAACATACGAAAAGACTTCCTCTTCTGTGCAGGAACAGTTTCACTCTCATGTGATTCCTTTTCCTGACACCTTTTCTCAAAAGCATCACGAAACAGAAAACAGTTTTCTGTTCCTTTTTTCATGACATTTCCTGTTCCTGTTTCGCCAAATTCCATTGTTTTCCATTTCTGTGTCACCTTTTGCGTCAAAGTCGTTCAATAATGTTTGCATTGTAATCGCAATGATCACTGTTTACAAGCTTTTCTCCCACTTGCATCTGATAACAAACCTTGAAGTTTTCCGACTCAGAACTATATACCTCAGAACGCATTTTATGTGACGCAAGTTTTTTTGACTTATAGAGATAAAAAAAACGATATACAGCAGTGAAGTCCACAAGTTTTCTTTAATGAGAAAAGCACAGGATTATCTTCGTCCGCTAAAGTGCTATTGATCGATCCTGCCGCCGATGTTTATATGATAATATGATTCAATCAATCAGCCAATGAATTTTAACTGTTCCCACGGCTTTTATTTCGAGGCAATTTACAGTGTTGGGTCTGTGTCTGATCTCGGTATTTTTTTGTTCACTCGAAGAGTGGCATTAAAGCGACAGTGTTGACAAGCCTCGCTATCGTTTAAGCGCGTTTACCATTCCAATATGGCGTCGGGCTCGGACGAGTCAGGGCCTATTAATCACCACGCTGTGAACACCTAGGTGAGCTAATAATCACTTGCATATCGGAGTCTCCATGAAAAACTTGTTTCTACGCTTTACATACCATGCATGGGATTAATTTATATTTGTTTTCACGTTATGCTGGCTGTTGCACTAAGGAAACTCTAAAAACCGAGAGCAGTTTTCAGCAATGAAATGTTCATTATTTGTCCAAATCAAAACACTCTATCAAGAGTTCCACGATACTTCCGTCATGACTTCAAGATTACTTCGATCGCCTACAGTCTTGAGCGATTTAATAAAATTTTCATGAATTTCTATAAAAAAGGCCGACAGAAAATAAGAACAACACGCAACTTTGAAAAGGCATTGTTGCATCGATTAAATCGAGGGCAAAAACTCTGCTTAATAAAGGGTTGAACCACTCTCACGCCTTCTTCGAACAAGTTAAGTTCAAGCAGAGGCGGCGATCTTCTTTACCATAAATCCTTAATTACTTCACTGTGGAGAAGAAAGGACAAATTCAGGTGGTAAACTTACCTTGAACGGACGTTTCACAAGAATTGGTGGTAATACCACCAATTCTGTTCCTTTCACAGATTCCTCTCGTAAAATTTGTATTTAGTAACGGTTTCTCGATCGCTGAAGGAAAGACGTGAAATGCGCCTCAGCCAATCACAGTGCAACCAATTGCTCAAGAAAAATGTGTTTAGAAAACGTGTTGCACGTCAGATACAAGTTAAAATTACCACGCTGGCTTCTATACAGCATTGTTTGATAGTACACACTTCTGTATTTGTATGGCTATTAAGTTCGTCCACTTTCTAAAGTGTCAAAGTTCCAGATGACTATATTAATGAGTATGCAAATCAGTAATTAATGAAAATGCCAAACGCGCACAAGGCATTGCCGCGCACGTTATCTAAAGAATATTTTAGTGAATTTTTTTGCCTCATTTAGGGGCACCTCATATTCATTGGTTTCCTTCAGAGCCACAACACTAAAATTTAAAACTAGAACAATTTTCTTTCTGTACATTTCATTCTCATTCTGAGATACAAGAAGACGATATGGTGTTGATTTGACAGTCGAACGATGGACAAGTAAGCAAAGAATGCGAACTTATGAGGTCTTCGTCAAATCACAGAAGTTTTAGCCGCGGTAAGTTTGAAATTTCAAATTGTTCTTTTCCTCACCTTTCGGTGGTTTCTAGCTAAAAAAAGGATGTATTTAAGATTCATTGCCAGCTTTATCTATTTATGAACTCTGCAGCTTGAAATATTTTGAATGTAATGTCATTGTTTTCTGGAATTTCAACGTCAATTTATTACCTCTTTTACAGATTTTCAGAGGAGAACCGAAGATGAGACTGAATTTATCTCTAGAATATTCTTACATTCACTTGAAAAACATCAGCTCGACTGACTTCCCCATGAACAAGTCCACAGCAACACTGTGGTGTTCTCTCTTCATTCTTGAAGCGTTCCTGATCACAGTTGCAAACCTCCTCACGATCGCCATGTTTCTCTGGACCAGAAAACTTCGCAAGCGGCGACACTATCTAATGATCAACCTGGCAATGTCTGACACCTTAGTTGGTGCTCTGGCCATACCGTTGTTCGTTGTCCTTTTTGGCGACTCTCAGAGATTATGGAGTTCCAGACTATTCCTTGTCGACACTGCTCTGTTTTTCGACATGTTTGCAGGATTTGCGTCGATTACGTTCCTTGCCATGATTGCTTTGGAACGTCTCTATGCGACATTACGTCCTTTCCATTACCGCGCCCTCAACTCTGGTTGGTATATACTCCTCATTCTTATCGCTTGGATCGCTGCGGGGTCTATCCCATTATTTCATGTGATGGCGCGGAAGCATTCCACAGTCTTCCGCTCCCCGTCTCAACTGGCTATCCTTCTGTTCATGTGGGTTCCATTCTTCTCTGCGCTGCTTCTCGTGATCTGCGTTTCATACATAGTCATCTGGAGGAAAGTGCGAGACGTTCAGAAAAAAGACCGACAACGAATAATCGAGAAGGAATCTTCTTTATCGCGCATTTGTCTCCTGGTGACAGCGGTATCCGTGGCAGCTTGGCTTCCCTTTGTTATTGAAAATTTGGTCATGAGCCAGAAGCGAATCAATCCTTCAGTCTCTCATATTCAACTGTTTCATGTGACCAAGTTCCTCCATTTTGTTAATTCCCTGTTGAACCCTGTTCTGTACGTGCTCAAAATCCCCGAATTCAAGAAAGGCCTGTCAGCTGCTTTGTGTCTCAAGAAACATGCTGGTTTCACCGGAAAATTGAGTATTCATGGTTCGAGAAGCGCCCTCGCCACCGGTCTTTAGACTTCTATAGACAGTATTTCGTGTGAAATGAATATTGATGTATTAATTGACCGCCCTTGAACCCTTTTATGCATGAGAATGTCTCACATTTAATTTCAGCTGACAGTATCACTTCTGAATCACACATAATTAAATTCATAAGGGTTAAAAAAATGATCGCCATTTAAAGAAGGTTTTGACTGTTAAACAAGTTTTCCTTGTTCGTTCCACGGGAAACGAATCGAACAGAATGGAGAATATGCGTGCTGATGTCAGGATGCAAAGAGTCGGGTCTTGTAGAGTCACCCGCATAATCATGAGATCGTTTGTAATGCATATATCTAGTTCATTAATTTGTATGCAACGAAATTAAATCTATGAAATCGAAGAATGGGAGAGTACTGACTGAGAATTCCCGTCGCCCAACAACTTTCTCTTGGCTTATGGTCAAGCAGAGTTTCTGCAGTAAAGGATTAACAAAACACACATCTACAGGCACCGCGTGACAATTCAACTCCAAGAAAATGTCAACGATTGTTATGTTCCTAGCCTTGAGTGTAACCCCAAAGAGCGACAAGCATCTTATTTCCCCTTACCGTAACACCCCTGAATCACACATTGAGGTCATGATGAGGAAATGATCACCAACTAAAGACGTTCTTTATTTTTTAACAAATTCTCCTTGTCAGCTCCTTCGGAAATTACGAAGAACAGTATGGAGAATTTGCATACTGATGTTAAGGTGTAAAGGGTAAAAAATATACACGAACAAGCATGCAAAGAAACGAACGAACAACAGAGAAAACTTCAAACCGGTAATGGATTGATTTTGACTATAGTTTATTTTTCAAACACTCTGAGATAAAAGAGCGTCATCAAGTGTTCTTCGCCCCACTAAAGCTCCTTAATTTAACAAAACGAGTTACTATATGAAGCAAGTTAGCTTGTAAAACCTCAACCTCTTCGTATTGAAGATGCAAAGGTGATTAACAGTTAATCATCGCCTTTTAAAACTTGAAGTTAGGGCTGTCTTTTGATCCATCAAGAGAATTTGGCATGAAAAAGTATTTTTTCTTTGATTTTTTGAGTGGGAAACTGAACAAGACAAAAAATGCATTTTTAAATGTAAAGTTATGTGCATTTATCAAAATTCAATAAATACTTCTTCATCACATTGGAGGGATATATTCATCTTCTTCCGGCTGGAAATGGGTCTAAGTTACATAAACTCATGCCAACAACTGTGGAAGATGAGTAATTTAATTTTCCCCAACAACAGCGCGTGTAAAATTTTGAGTGGCAGTTTATTCTATTAAAAACCCTAATATAGCACATGGCATATAGCACACATCCAAACAAATTCTTCGACTTTCTTTTAAATGAATAACTGTGCATACAACAGCTACGGTCGGAGAGTGCATTAGCCTAAATAGGCAGTCTCAAAGTTCAGCATGAACCAAATTCCGAAGAAGCTCTAAACGTTTAAGAGGAATTTCAATCAAAAGATATGAGTGAATTGTAATCTTTTAGTCCATATAACGCTATAACAGTTATCAAAATTATCGTGGCAAGAATAATAAATACACTATTTCGTTTGCGGAACATTTTGAACGTAATTTGAAGATCTAAAAATTTCTATGGGAAAAAAAACCCCGTTAACACTTTAACTCCCAGTTGTGATCGCGATCTGTAACTTCTCGCCCCTTCAAGGCATAATCCCTCAAACAGGTATTGAGGACAGCCAAAACTTGTCAGCTAGAGGGTGTTGTTAGTCACTAAATGGTATAATGGTAATTGGACCAAGTGAAGTCCAATTCGGTCTTTAACACACGAGTGATGGACGACCGCCAACGGGATGATGCGGTGTGGATAGAAATGAGCATTATCAATCCATTCTTGGGAGTGAAAGTGTTACATTGAAATTGATTTACTATCGTAATCGACCATTAGGTTTCACTCTACCTATTTCTGATTTAGGATCTGGTGACCTTGAACTCCATGAAGTAGATTCACATTGTGGAATTTGCTCGCAACCAGGAATCTTCCCTTGAACTATGCAAGACGATTCTACCGTCCAAAAATATTCTGTAACATTGTCTATCCAATCATGAAGCGGTTCCCCAGACTTCCTAGAATTCTCCGCAGCATTCGTGGCCAGGGCCTCTGTGTTGTTTGCCTCTCGGTCAAACTCGATTAAGAAATCATTCGCGTTATAAATCCCGCCCGGTGGACCGCTGTTCGCGGCGACAGCTTCATTAGAGCTAATAGGTTGGCCTTTTGAGAATGACAGAGGAACCACTAAGAATTTCGTTTGTCCTATGACCATATCCTCGCCTTTATGCGAGAAAATCATTTTAATTGTCCACTTTCCAGGCCGCATTGGTTTCTTGAAAGTGGGTTTGTGAAATGAAACCACCCAGTTATCGACCACGCGCATTTCATAAATTCCCGTCACCACGTTGATGGGGTCCACCCACATAAGTTTTACATCAAATGCTTTGCCATGAACCCAGCGGTGTACCAAGACAGGGTCGTCCCAGGGACCCATCAGACGGGCCATGTTGCGAAAGACCCTCTCCTTTTGGTCCCAACTAGTGCCCACCTAAGAAAAGAGGAACAGATGTGATCCAACAAGTATACAAATCTGATGTATGTTAATATAACGTCAACGACAGTCGTCAAGCATATCCAATTTCCTGATAAATTGCTGTCGAAGTTTAACTAGAAGATTACCATTTCGTGCCTCTACCCGCGCTCATCCAGTCGTATGTCAACTTGCGCCAAATGCTGGTTAAAAGTTTTCACGAGCTTGGCGCTCTTGATTGTGCTTACACACTTTCCCTCCATTTTACTCTGGTTGTACACTCGCTCTTAAATTTTGTAGTGTGTTTTGGCCCCAAATGTTAGTTTTAAGCCACACCTGATTTGTTTTTAATTCTTTACAAGATAGGATGCACTTCACCTCTACGACAGTTATTAAAATAGCCGCCTTGAAAGTAACCTTTTCCAAGCCTTTTGTTGGCAAACGGAACGAAATAGCAAACGGCGCTATTGTAGCGGCAGAGCAAAAAAAAAAACAAACAAGGGGGTCGGGGTCGAGGTCAAGGTCAAGGTCGAGGTTAGAGACGACTTTAGGATCGAGGTTAGGATCGAGGTTAGGATCGAGGTTAGGATCGAGGTTAGGATCGAGGTTAGGATCGAGGTTAGGATCGAGGTTAGGATCGAGGTTAGGATCGAGGTTAGGATCGAGGTTAGGATCGAGGTTAGGATCGAGGTTAGAGTCGAGGTTAGAGTCGACCCAAACCCCCCTCGTTTTTCACTTCGTTTTACTAATTAAACGCCTGGAACAATCTGGCTGAAAAGCATATTATGGAGCATAGTATGAAGTACATTATGCTATTTTAAAGAGGACTACATTTACTATAATAAACTAAGAAAAAAAATCGACAAATTAACAGTAAAAAGCTTTGTTGGTAGGAAATAAGTTTTTGTTACCTCTAGCCCCACAAGTCGCTGTGGTCCGTTACTCATGTTCAGATTCAAAAGCTCTTCATGACTCAACGGAGCCAGCCACGATTCTAAAGTGACGACCTGTTTATCGCCATCCTTTGTTGAATATTCAACATCATACAAAACTAATAGCCCGCCAAATTGATCATGTTGATTCAGTAGTGTGATCTCCTGAATGTCTAAAACCCTCCCACTTGGACATTTCTGGCTTTTAGCTCCTTGCGAGGCTGCTGCTTTTAAACTTTTCTCGCCTACTCTGGCAAAAGCATGGAAGAATGTTCTAAACACGTCGCTAGTTTTGGTGATGGAGTCTTCGCGATGGAAAAGATTCTCCCAGTAGTAATTCAGTCCTTGCGTGTCGGTCGGATATGGGTCATAAAGCCAAGCGTCTAACTGGTTGATGACCTCTTGGTTCACGATCGCCTCGAATTTACGTGCGAAGAAATTTGTTGACTTACTCTGTGATGAAATAAAAGGTTTAGAGCTGCGATCAGTAATTTATTAAGAAGCGAAGGAACCCTTGCTACGGAGATTCAAAACGAGACTTGAACGCTGGTAACGTTTGCAATATTAGAACGATCTTTTATCCGTTGCGATACGAAGCCACACGCTTTTAAATTTGCGCCTGGTTATCTTTCGTTCTCTGTTAGTTAAATAGAGCCCTTTTCGATCGAGTGTCGTAAAAACCAAACCACAGTTATCACAACAACCACTCAGAAGAGAGGAAAATATTCTGAAGAACCAATGAGAACTCATACTAAAACCAAGCATTCCGCCCAAAGTGCGGGAAAGCGCAGGTGACCAAGTTGTGACTGGCTTTTTGTTTGCATCTGATTGGTTGAAAGAGTGGCGCGAGTTTTTTTTTTAACCAATCACAGGGCGGAGGCAAACGAAACCGATGCAATCCCGGATAACTTTTGACATGCAATTAAAAATTCCTCTTACGTAATATTTTCATAGAAATCCCGGAATTTTCGATGGTTTGCTTTTGTTCCATACTCTCTGCGATTTACTATGAAAACTTACGCCACTCAGTCAGCCAATCTGATGCGAAACTTAAATCAATTGTAACTTGGGCAATGAACAAAATTGAAACAAAGGAAATATCACACGAAGCCAAAGTTAAAAAGCGTGTGGCTTCCTAGCTCAACAAATAAAACATCGTTCTAATATGGCAAACGATACTAGGAACGTTACTAGGGTTTAAATTTTGTTTCGAGTCTCCCTAACAAAGGTTTCTTTGCTTCTTACATCTAGTAATACGGAGCAATAGGGGCAAACAGTCGTAACCATTTACAATTTAACACTAACCTTCAGCCGAGGCAAATCCTCGGGCTTAAAGTCGTTTGGTGAGCAGCCACACCAATCCACGATATGCTTGTACTGACACCGGCAGCCCAGCTTCCGCTTCCAGTTTGTGAGACGAAGATTGCTTCGGACGAACGTCTCACAGTAAGGACCATTCCTTAAAACGGTGTGGAAGAAAGACTACAAAAAAAATAAAAAATAAATAAATAAAATAAGACAGCTTTAGTCTCGACACACGTTTCACTTTGCTTATGTAGAGTTGTGACTGTAAGTTCCCCTCCTACTCGTCCCTAACTAGTTACGTATTCTTTCTGTTCAGGCCTAAACCACATTGGCGCAGTGTTCAATCAAGTGTCCAAAAACGAAAACCATGCTAAGGCCAACCAGAGTAAAGGTATTATCACCATTAGCCAATGACTGATCAGAGTAAAAACAGACAAACTTTTTAGAGCGCGGGAAAACGCGAATCACAAAGTCGTGGTTTTGGCTTTACATCTGATTGGTTGAGCGTCTTGCGGGAGATTTCTGGACCAATCACAGAGCGAAGTAAGTCAAACCTGAGGCAATCCCAGATTACCGTACTTTCGACACTCATTGAAAATTGCTTTATCTACAAACCTCTGCTGGAAGTAGCGAGTATCCATACATGTGCTTGAGTCTCACTACTAGAGGGTCCTTTGATGTTACTAAATAGTGACAGAATTTCTTGTTTAAACCAATCCAGTCACTTCCGCCATCGATTTCAATGTCAGAGGGCAGTTTTCTGTCGCCGAGTCGCCACATGTGCTCATCACATTCTAAAAATGTCCTATCCAATCCTTGCTTTTTAATAAACCTAAAAGTACGTAATAGAAGTAATACGAGTTATTGACCCAACATGAGGTCAAGATGGCTGGATAATGGCTGCGTCCTTTTTTTGCGTTTTTTTGGACCCAGACGAAGTCGGGTTCCATAAAAACGCAGCAAAGAAGCTCGGTCGATAAAGGATTTATTACATAACAAAAAGATTTGCTTTTAATAAAAATCCGGAATGAATCATTTATTTCCGAGCGCTGCGAAAGAAGGAAACGGTTGCGAAAGAAGGAAACGGTAATGGCGCGTGCTCGTTTTTCATTTGAAAATTGAAAAATAACGTGATTCGATAAGTTTACTATGTGGCGATTAAATGTCGAAAAGCTTGGTTGAATCTAATTAGAAAACTACACAAAATTCGACGAGGAGTTTTTTCCTTGTGCGAGATCAAAGCAAGCGACCACGAGTGGGCAAGAGGAGACCATCTTGTCCATTCGGGTAGCAGATCAGAACACAGGATTCGTTTCATCTTGTCCACGGGCGCTGCCAGTTATATAATAAACAAGATAAACAATTCAAAGATAACTTAATCATCATAAAGGTCATCTTTATAATTGACAAAAATATTAGCTACTTGAAGTTAGAAAAAAGATCAATGTTGAAAGCTACACTTGATTGTGGAATGGCAACGATCGATAAAATTGAGCCTTTTTTTCTTATTACTGTCTGCCATACAATTCTCATGATGTAAGTTTTGACTGCTTGGTATTGTATTGATATTGTAAGGAGAAATTCTCTCTTGGTCACTCATAGGAGTTAAGGGGTTTAATCAGGAGATGAAGCACAAACCTTAAAAGTTCCCTTCCATGGGGTTTTAAAAAGTTAAAATCTCTATTGGCTCTTAAAAATTCCACCAGTTTTGAGTTGTGTCTAAGGAACAAAGGAACACAACAACTGATTAGGTGCATAAACATTTATAAATACCAATTGTGCATTTGGATGCTCATACATGTATATCACTGTTACACCAGCCTCGCTGGCTCTCTGCTACTCTCCTGAGAAAAGGGAAGCACTGAAGAGTTAATTTACTTTGAGGTTTGAAAATCTCAACAATTGCATTAGTGTTATGTCACAATCTTCCTTTATTTTTTCCTGCCTTACAAAAAGTTGCCTTTTGTTTATTCTAACAGATCCTGAATTAAAATTTAAAAGGCCCCCTGTTTTAAACAAAGATATTAGTGCCAAACCCCAAATACAAAATGAGCGTTTATTCTCAAGCAAACAGATCTCATTTAAAAGGCTTTGCAATTAGCCTCTTTCAAAAGTGAGGGTTTTGACCCTTGAAATTTCCAATTGAACAATGTTCAGGGAGAGCTTGTGTGTCAAAGTGTTGCAAATTTTAGGTATAGTTTACAAGCATGATTGTTGCAAACACAATGTATCAAGTAACTTTGGTTGTGCTGTACTTCTGTCAGTACCCTTCAGCCATTGTGTATTCCACTCATCGTGCACAATTTTTCCTGCTGGTAAGGGAATCTAATCAGAATACAGCTTGTACTTACTGTATTGGATAGTCTGATTCACTCAGGTTAATAAAAAAGTCCCATTTCCAGTCTTTCTTGGCTAATAAGTCCTCCATACATTTCAGCAACATTTGGAGAAGACTTGCTCCCCCCCATATAGTTGCCATACTCCAAGGTGCCACTGCGGCATTTGGAAAATCACGTATCATCTTTAAAACTTCTCTTCGCAGGTAATCAGACCTCTAAACCAAAAAGGAGAAAAGATTACAGGATTTCTTTCAGTAAAAGATAAATATCCAAACTACAATTTCCCCAAATTTTTTAAGAAATCTCATTTATGGAGGGAAAATACTATTGAATCATTCATTTAGGTTATGTGAAATAAAAGAAATGATTGCTAACATAAGAAGCTTTGATTGTTAAATAAATACCACTCGATCCGGAGTTGAGTGCACTAACCATGAGGCCACTGCATCTCCTATAGGTGACCAACATCTCATTTCTCTTTATTTTAATACTGTTGAATCATTCGCTAACATAAGAAGCTTTGATTGTTAAATGAATTGTCCTTGTCAACACCAAAGGAAATGCAAACAAAAGATTATAGTGAATACGGATGCTGATGCAAGGTGTATTAGGGTGAAACATTTTATATCTGAAGAATCAAACAATACTTACAGTGTCTATGTGAAAGAAAAAGTAGTGATTACTGTGGTACAAAGCCTTGAATAATCTCTTTACTTGTCGGAAAGCTCGTCCATGAAGAGTAAGAACAAAAGCAATTCTGATTGGGTTTCCATATGCTGTGCGACTAAGATCAATTGGTTTAGCAGGGCCCTTAGTAGAACGTGGTGCAGGGCAAGTTCTTTTAATGTCAAGTAGAGAGGTATATAGTAATTTGGCTTCTGACAGACATGCTGTCTTGTAAATAAGTCTTCTACATTTCTCAGATTTCACCCTCTTTAATGCAGAAAGAGCATCTTTGTGTTTCACATTACATGGAGGAACAAATGGTTGCTCTAAAGCTGCCTGCCCATTATTCTTCTCTGTTTTTTTCAACTGTTCCCCTTGTTCTGGATCCTAAGTAAAAAACAATATTAACAAAGTTAAAAACAGTTTTAATTCAATTAATGAGTTATTGGTGAAGAAGATAGAATTCTTGGTCATTCTCATGGATGACTAAACAGAATTTCTCCAAAATGTCAAAACACTGTGAAGCAGAAAATGATGAGAAAAAAAAATTTAAATTAGGGGATTACTGGTTGATCCAATAACAAATTATCCAAACTAACATTATAAGAATAATGTGGTAGATAGTAAAGAGAATTACTATTAGAAATTTCAGGAGTAAAAGGGTTAAACAAAATTCTTAAAAATCCTTGTATGGACAGGTGAGATAAGCAATGATTTTGAGAAAACATGATGATCCACATTTTATGAATTCAGCTGTGTTCATTATTTAAACACAATAATAACTTATTGCTTTATATACAAAGGAAGATGTCATTATCTGTTAAAAAGCCCCTCTATAGGTGAAAAATATCAATCAGCAATGTTGATAGAGCATTCAGTATAGATGCAATTTTAAGGCAACTGGAAATGTCCATAAGCATTTAAATTTGAATATTATGAATCGAAGAGCCACTTTAAATACATTTTGTTATGTTTAATCCTTAAAACAAATAATCATAGACCGAAATCACTGATAAAAATTAACTTATGTTATTCAGTGGGATGTTGATGACTTTATCATTGCAGTTTTATACTTATAATTCTTTTATTCGTTTTCAGTGAATTGCCGCTTTTCTTTTTTAAAGCTTTTCACTTATTCTAAGGTATCGATCTATTTAGTATTCGCCCGCGGCGGAATATTTGCTAGACCGAACAATGACCGGTGAACATTATAATGCACTGCAATTATGCAGCGAGATTACAGTTCACAATGAACATGGTTTTTATAAGTGCGATCTAAGTGCTTGTAAAGCTTATCTAAGCGGATTTAGAACTCTCTGCTATATTCACTTCTGATATAGATACGAGACTTCGCTATTCGTCGATTATCTTAAATCAACACTGTATTCGCTATTTTGTATTGACGAGTAAATAACTAATGAACAATCTAGAAACTTTTTGGGGTGTCGCGACTCTCAAGGGAAAATGACGTTGAAGGATACTCTCTTACTAACAGATCCTCCAAATATGCGAGAAGTGTTAAGGGTGAACTTCTTTCCACAACACGATGTTGGAATAATTAGGTCTTAAAAGTCCGAGTGACGACCAAAGCAGTACCAGTAACTTTGTTAAATTATTCAATGGGAACATAGCTGCTTTACAAAAACCATTCTTAGAGCGAAGAAAAGTCCTTAAAAATATATTTTGATGAATCGTTTATATAAGGGAAAATGTGAAACTTAATCATGCTCTGTTAACGCAAGATCCCGTCAGGATTTTCCTTAGAATAAGACAGGCGAAGAAGGAAAAACAAACCGCTCGCAAAATATTGTTCAGCTGATAGATACTAGTGCAGTATTTTGATTGAAAATTATAGAAGTGGGTTGGCAATTCTAGAATAATTAGCGGTTTTGAATGCCTCAATACAACCCGAAAGAAAGAGCAATAGTCATTCACGGAAATGATGATAAATTTTTTTTTTCTTCAATTAAATAAATTTGCTTATCTTCATTACCTGTTTTGACTCGATCCCCACGTGTGGGCCGGTTTTTAAACTCGATCTTGGAACATGTCGATTCCCATGCACTGGATGTTCTTCTGGCCAGTGTTTGGACGAGAAATAAATGGTCGTCAACACCTGAATTATCACAATAAGACCTACAATTCCTAAAATAAATCTAACGATTCTAAACTTCATGACCGTAAGTGTCACGTAAGCACAGATTTCTCCTGTTTGTTCACGTTAAGGCTACCGCTGACTCCCCTTCAAGGGACTGGGGAGGCGATTCATTTCATTGGTTCGTGAGGCGAGTGCGTGACAAATTGTATGACGTTAACCGAGCGTGATGGATTTTCCCTTCACTTCTAGATTGAATTTTCTTCGTGAGTCGCGGATCAGATCACAGCAAACACTGCAGAAAAAAATAAATAAGTACACAATTAATCAGGAAGAAGCTTCCTCAGAAAAAATTCAAAATTATATGTTGTGATCAAAGCAGGATAGGATTTGTTCCTGACCGGTTTTGAGTAGGATAGATATTTGTTGAAATCATTGTTCCCTTGATAATACTCAATAGCTCTTGTACTCGAGAGCCTGACTCTGACGCAGAGACACAGTTCTGACCGCGAAAAAAAAAGTACACAATACCTCATAGTCCAAGAACGCTGTGAATGTCGGTGACCATACCGTAGTTCTTGAAATGTAGAGATTTGTTTTTCGTAGCTTAAGACGGATTGAATCTGGCTAGTCAGTTTGACGGGAATTACATAAGTCCGGAGTTGGCGATGTATGAAAGGTGGAAACTATTCAAGGAAGCACTATATTCAAAGGGATGCAAAGCAAAGCTGAAAACGATGATAAAATGGAATAACAAACATTTCCTAAAGGGATCAGTCATACGAGACAAAACATAGTCAAAGGATTAATTTGCATGGTGGGAGGTAAAATGGCTATTTATACAGCTTAAATAATGAACCGTTTGAATGACCAAAAATAACTGAAGACCTCTGGGAACTCATTTTATATTTACAAACTTCTGACTTCCTGAATAGGTTTGAAATCGACTTTTATTCTTTTTTTAGATTTGTATTAGAGGGGACAAGACCTTGGAACATTACTAGAGTTTACTATGAAATGATGGAATTATAGAGGAAAGCCGATTCGTACGGTGAACTGCCCACGGCAGAATTTCAGATTTAATAATTTTTGTCTTCGGGATTTTTATTTATTTTTTAACAAAAATATATCACAGAAATCACATTTCGTGACAAGATCAGAAGAAGCAAAAGGAAGTCTCTTTTTTTTCTTTGACATCGAGAGCATGAATAAAAGTTGGCAATCAAATGATAGTTACCATGACGACCGAGAGGAGGCGGGCACGTAAAACAGTGAATACTTGTTGGATCGACTTAATTTTTTTGGGAAGGGGGAATTTAACAACGTCAGAATAATTGGTAAGAAAAATGAAAAAGACCACAAAGCCGGGAAAAACTGTTTGCATTGACAACTGCACAGAAAAAGAGTGTTGTCGAAAATGCTTTTAAGCCTCTCAAAAAAAAAAAAAAAAAATTGGAATGAAAACAATTAAACTTAGTGGTTTGTTCCTCATACGTCACGTATCTGCGCAAGAGGCAAGACATTAGCGGGGTATTTTCCTCAGGCTAGTATGAATGTGACTGAACCGCCCTTTAAAGATAAAAAACAAGGTAATTGTTTTGAATTTCAAACAATTGTAGATATTTCGTATTACCGGAAGCCTTTAAGACTGTCGAGAACGTTTGATAGAATAAGTCATTGACATGCATTTAGTATTTAGGCTTTCCTTGGGTTATATCAATGACTAACTTTTCTTGAGATAAGATTTTGGCCAGTACGTTGACCGAAAAAATTTACCATGATCTCGTTGCGGGATCGAGACGTTTATAAAACCTTTTTCCTTCAGAACGAATAAAGCATGAGGCTTAAAAACTATGAAGCGTAAGTTTACATAAGCCTGTAAGTGGAGCTTGTGTGAGGTCCTTAAACGCCTCGCCATCCTCTCCTTGAGCTGAAGCATTGTCCTGAGTGAAAGACAGATCCAAAATTAGACTATTCCGATTTTTGAGACAGGCTCAGAGAGTATCGGAAATGAAATATGTGTCATTGTCTTCTTTCTAGAGAGCATCACGCAACAAGCGGTATTACTGATAACTGACACCTGATACGTGTTCAGAGTTAGCTGACTAATGATTTAGTTAATGAATCTCTTGAACTGATCTACAGATAATTTTTTTCAGAGATAAGCCAAGCGAATCTTAGATCAAGATATTTAGGACCAGTTTATTTGCGACGTAACACCGAAGGTTAATGAGTCTTAAAATGACTCGAAGGCACCAATTTGTGATCTTTGAGGTACCGAACGGTAAAATGAAGACAAAACAACGTTTAAAGCCACGTTATAGTAACTAATATTAGAAAGTGTTTTGATTTTGACCTTTCCTAAGTGAAGAAAAAATAGCACTGCCTATAATTTCCTTCTAATATTGTAAGTGATAAAAAAAAAAAAAAAAAAAAAAAAAAAAAAAAAAAATAGAAAACTCCCAAAATGCCTTGTGGGTGTATGCTTTGAAAAAGAGCGCGTCGCCCACGGGAAACAAAATGGCGGAAGAAGGTACAGTGATCTAGTATTTGTATTTTGCGTTTATTACGTCTGTGTTAGGTATCTTTGATAGATAAAACGTAATTTTATAACTAATTAAACGGAATATGTGCTTTGGAATTTGCAACCTTGGAATTGTTTAGTGCTAACGGATATTCCATTGCCATGCGAGTATGAGTTGGTTCCATGCACTTGATCGATTCTGCCCAGTTACATCAAATATGCAGCGAAGAAGCTACAAATTTAGATTATCCGTAGAATCAAAGTAAAAATCTACATACGTGTGACATCTTGAAATAATAGAATCATGCAGAGACTAAATTCTATTATTTGCGAACAAGGATTTAATTCTTTTCATGGGAAAATAAGGAAGAATTTGATCAGATCCGTTCAGCGTCAAAGTGGTCAGAGAACTAGAGAATAGTGCGAACGGGGAATGATCGCAGAGAACATATTTGCATCGCAGAAATGTGATTTTGTTTTATTCCATGGAAAGAAAACTTCTCTTCTCTTCTCGTTTAATTCTTAAAATTATTTCAGCATTATATTGCAATTGTCTTACCAGCTGAAAGGAGAATTTTTCCCCAAGAAAGAAGGTCGTTTATATTGCAACGAATATTTCTTTATCTGTGTGTTTTTTTGATTTTAGAGACATCTGCAGAAGCCTTGGTGAGCCTACGAGGTAATGACTCCAATAGATATCATGAAACTAGAATGTTAATCTGCATTGCTTCACCCTTTGAACTGTAAGAGTAACTAGCATCAAATTTCTCCTCACAAGATAACCTCTGAATTACACATTAAGGTCACAAGAATAAAGAAAATGATCACCAACTGATTAAAAATAGCTCTTGATTGTTAAACAAATTCTCTTTGTCAGCACCTTATGAAATGCACCTTAAGAAATGCACTTTAAGAACAGTGCGGAGAATATACACACTGATGCAAGTGTGTAAACAATTAAAATAGATAAATGAATGAAAAATTAATTGGTATTTGTGTTTTTCCTGATTTATATTTTTCTGTTTGTTTGAAATCAATTATTTTGTTTCTCTGTAGCTGGCATGTTGGCTTATTGTCTGATTTTTAGAAGTTTTCTTCTGTAACATTTCATCTGTTTGATTGTGTTATGCTGGTTAACCTTTTCATCTCTAAGAGTGACCAAAATGTTATTTCTCCTGTCACTATTTACATTTAATTTCTGTTTAGGGAATGTAGTCTGATCTACTGCCAAATTCTCTATAGTTAACATAGTAAGAAATGTATGATAGATATATATATATATCATATATATATAAATATTATGAGAGGAAAAAAGGACGCAACTACATTTCCCAACAAGCCTGTTTCGTGAATCGCTTCACTCTCCAGGGGTTTAATTGAAGAGTGAAGTGATTCACAAAACAGGCTTGTTGGGAAATGTAGTTGTGTCCTTTTTTCCTCTCATAATATTTATTCTGCTCTGCTTCAATGTATTGAGCACTGTTCCACGCGAAAATTCGACTTGCAGACTTCCTATTATATATATATATATATATATATATAGTAAGAAGAATTGACTTTGAGATCTTGGTTGTGGAAAGGTTTATTCTCCAGCAAAATGCAAGCCTTAGGGTACTTTTTTAGTCAGAGACAATGTTTACAATAATTATTGTGTTATTCTATTGTCTGTTCTTTTATTTTTAACTCTATAGGTACTTTTTCATTTTAATGATATCTTACTTTACACATAATTGAAAATTTTTGTAAAAGAAGACTGACAGAATGTGTTTTTGTGCAGGTATTGGATCTCCATTCAGCTCACCGGCAAAACGTAGCACTCCGGTTTGTACTCTTAATGTGTATTTAGTTTGAAAACTACACATGCATTGTTCTTATTGAATTTTATAATTATGTAGGGTTTTTTTTTTAGTTTTACAGCTGTTGGTGAGCACTGATTGGTGATTTTCTTTCGTCAAAGCTTTCGTAATGACAAGAAAATGTCTATTTTTTGCAAGCTCTGCCATAACTGCTTATTGCCTTAACCCTTTAACTCCCAGTTCAAATTTGTCATTCTCCTTACTGTCAACCATACAATTCTTATAATGTTAGTTCAGAGAATTTAGTGTTGAATCAACTAATTATCCCCAAATTGATATTTTTCTTTATTCTCATCACTTATCTGGTTGATATTGTATTGATATCGTAAGGAGAAATTCTGTCTTGGTCACTCATGGGATTTAAAGGGTTAACTTAAAGGAGATATTGTAGATGTATATTGGCTGCTTGTAGCCTGAACTGAATGCACAGATGCGCCATAACTTTAATTATTTATTTGGATAGATTAACCTTCCAAATGTTACACTTGCAAGTGCAGTTCTATTTAGAATATTGTGATGGTAATGTAATTGCAAATGTTGTCTTTTGATTTAAGTTGATAGCATAATTTCAATGTAAACTTTTAAAACAAAGTAAATGGATATAACACATCAACCTGATGGCATGAGTCATGCTAAAACATGTCTTTAAATAGTACATGTATGAGGGGTTTGATTCTATTATTGTCAGGAAGTTTTGAAACTTTTTAGGTATGTGTTCAACTTCTCTCTTGTCAATAAACCTCAATGATTATCATTAATTCTTTTACCTTCATAGCCACGGTCCAAGAAAAGAACTCGACAGACTGATGATAGTGTAGAAGATTCTGACTTAGACAGAGGCACAGATGAAGGGGTAATTCCGAACTTTTGTGACAAATTATCTCGGTGATTTTAGTGTTTTCTGATTAACAAATACATACCATGTTGCTGTGAGTCTGTCAGTAACAGATCACAGATAACATCAAAATGTGGTAAGAACAAAAAAAGTGGCACATGAGGCACAGCCACTGATGTTGTTACATATTCTTACAGATGTATTGTGCTAGTAACAGGATACACTATATTTAATTTTTTGCATTTTTTTTAGTATGTTATCATTCTAGACTGTCTAATTTTCAGTTTTTTTTTTTTCAGGAATACTCACTTTCCTCCCCAAGAACTAGGTTTGTTTTTGTTTCTTAATAGTTCCCTATATCTGGTTGAAATTGGATTGAAGAAACCTTAGTTATAACTGAAGACATGAAGAGATTTAATATATGAAAGTTTGTGTTTGCTATTTTCTGGGAAAGCACTCCTTTGGAGGGGAAAAGCACCTCTCTGGGCCACCAAAGGGGAGTGGTGGGAAAAAGCTCTTCTCGGGACCACCAAAAGGGAGCAGGAGGAGGGGTGGGGAGAGAAGGGAGAAAGTGCTCCTCTAGACCCCACCTAGCAGGAGCAAGGAGGAGAGACAAGGGTCTTTGCAAAATCCAGCTGCCCTTCTGCTTTAAGCATCAATAAAACCCCTGCTTGTTGTGTTGGAATAATTGTTTCTACTTTGAACTAACTTATTTACTGGAGAATATCTGCTCTCTTACAGGAGAATGACAAAAGCAGCTTCTCTGGTAAGTAATTTTGTGTACATGAATATGTGATCAAAATGTTTCTTATTATAACAAAACAATAAGCGTTTAGGATAGTGTCCAGAATTATGTGAAATTTTAAATGCTTCAATGCACAGTGTATGATATCTCATAATTGCCCTATTTCTGATTTTTTAGTTATTTGGCAATGGAAATACAGACAAGAAGCTTGCCAAGGTACAGTTAACATATTTTTGTAAAGTTATTGATTTTACCACTGGTCTTGTTCAAAGGCAACAAAACAGAGGAGAAAGTGTGATCAACACTTTGCCTTGATGTTAAGAATGTATTTGAAAATCTTTGTCTCTGCAATGGAAAGTGGCATAAGTACTAAATAATTTCAATTTATGCACTCTTATAACAACAGAGTGAAATTGAGCAAATTACTGTAGTCAGCAACTTGTGGTTTGCTGGTTTTGGCCTGACCTTTTGGCGATGCATTTTATTGCTTTTTTTGGCTTGTTTTTTGCTTCCTTTTGAAGATTGGCTTGTTCAAACTCCTGCCCCTTGCCACACACTTGCAGAATTGTTTATTAAATAATTCTGTGTGTGGTCAACGATTGTTGTAAAATTTAGCAAAGTCATGTATTAGTCTTAGGTGCCACTATGTTTTTCACTTGTAGGCATCATTCTAAAATGTGAAAATTTTCTTTTGAGCTATTTGCTCATGAAAGCAAACTCTTTGCCTTTTAACTCCTTCTTATTTAAAATTAAAATGTGTGTAATTTGCTGGTTTAACCCTTTAACTCCCATGACCTAATTGTCAATTCTCCCTTCCAGCTACTAAATATTTCCCTTGACATTAGTTACGAGAATTTTGTGTTAGATCAAGATAACAACTTCTACCTGATAAGTTTGAGTATTCTCATAACCTTTTTGTTGGATACCGTATGGATATTATAGAGAGAAGTTAGTTGTTAATCACCTCAGGGAATTAAAGGGTTAAATTTCCCACCCCCCCAGTGCTAGGAAAACAGTCAAATTCCTTTGAATTGGCAGGAGGGGGGATGTTGAAGCTTCAAATCAATTGATGTATAATGTTGTGAATTGGTATCTCTAGGCTTCCTTTGCTAAGTTGCAGAACCTTTTGAAGTTACCCAAAGCAGCAAGATGGTGTTATTTTGAATGGTTCTACTCCAGCTTAGACAGGTGATGGATAGAAGCACTTTTATTTGAAACTTTGTTAATTTTTAAAAATCATCAAATGTATGACTTTGATTTTGTTTTTATTGTAGAGTGTTATTTCAAGGTGACAACGACTTCGATGTTTGCCTGAGGGAATCATTTCCAAATTTAAAGGTAGATGCTGTCAGCATGAATGTTCCTCTTTTCTTTGTTGCTTATCCAGACATTCTGTCTTGTGCTTTTATGCCTTTACCAGTCTTTTGTGTAAAGTTTATTGCAATCCATGAAAATGTTGCTTGCAAAGATCACAAATTAACAAACAACTTGCAGATATCTCTAAGTTTTGCAGTGGTTGTTCCCTTGTAGTTGGTCTGTAACTGAATGCCAGGTGCCATAGATATGAAATTTTCATTAAAATGTTCTTGCTGGTCAATACTTTTAAAAGTTGGTCTTTGATAATAGTTAATCTTGGTTGACCAGGAAGAATTTTAGGTTTAAGAAATGTAGTTCATGTCCTAAAATTCACACCTACATATTAACCGTTTAACTTCCAAGAAGTGATCGTTACTTCTTCTTTCTACCTGCTACACATTACCTTGAAAATTGATGACGAGAATTTAGTTTCAGATCCAGATAAAAACCTCTACCTGATAGGTTTCAGTATTCTCATTACCTGTTTGGTGGATTATGTGTGGATATTATAGAGAGAAGTTGCATGTGAATCACATATGGGAGTTAAAGGGTTAAGTCTAAAACAGGAATGGTGAAGAAAAATATAAAAAATTTTGTGCTACTTTGTGGTAAGATGCCATTGTTAGTGACTTTCTTTTGTTGATAGACTCGCAAATTACGTCGTGTTGAATGGAGGGAAGTTAGAAGACTAATGGGTAAACCAAGGAGGTTAGTGAATGGTGAAGTCTGGAATTCCTGCAAAGTTTTCAATCTTTTCACAAAACTGACTACCATTTATTTTCTTTTTTTTTTTGTTCATTTATTGCAAGGCAGAATCTGAGATAATTTTTATGATATCATATGAGACAGGGGCATAGCCAGAATTTTTCAAAGGGGGTTACACTCTGTTGAACAGAAGGTATTCTTCAGATTGTCATGTTGACCTCCATGCCATGTTTTACTCAAAGTGACAAAAAATGCCTACAAAAGGGGGGGAGGGGTTACTGGCACCCCCTCCCTTCCCCCCTCCCCAATTCAGGACCACTGCTAGCTACACTCTTGTTAGGTGCTAGCTATGGTGATTAAAAGTTGTTTCATTGGTTATACACTCTAGATGTTCTCCAGCGTTTTTCTTGGAAGAGAGGCAAGCCTTGGAAGAGAAGAGACGAAAGATTCGCATGCTTCAGCAACGGAAGGCCAGTCTTCAGTTCTTTTTCATTCTAGACTGTTTAGTATCTTTTTAGACTATTTCTTTTTTGGTTCTTTTTTACTTGTTATGTACAGTAAGTTTTTAGTGATGTCAAAAACATTTTTATCTTAATGTTTATCAACAGGTTACTGAACTTAGCAGGTTCAAGGATTTACCCGATGAGGTTCCATTACCTTTGGTTATTGGGACAAAGGTTACAGGTTGGTTTTTAGATTATTATAAGCATACATTTAGGGGGGCTGCCCAACCCTTCAGCCTTTTTATGTATTTTCTCCAAAGGTTGAACTTTAAATCCTCATTTGCCATTTTGTGTTAATATTCGTGAATCCCTCGGTGATTGGGGTGTAAAATTGTTCACCCTATAACTCCCATAAGTGACCAAGAATTGCTCCTTCCAATATCAATACAATATCAAGTAGACAAGTGATGAGAATAGAGAAAAATATCAGTTAGGGGATTAAAGTTGATCCAATACCAAATTCTCCAAACTAACATCACAAGAACTGTATGGCAGACATTAAGGAGAATTACTAATGAGATCCTGGGAGTTAAAAGTTTAAGGATAGGTGGGTATGGCAACAAGGAATGAAATTACAAGGATTATCAGGCCAGTTGTTTTCTCAATGTTCACCTCTACTTGTAGCCTCATATAATATTGAGACTGTCACGCTGTTCCAAAATGTTTCTTTGTAGTCCACTTCCTGTTAGTAAGGTAGCTTGTGTTTCTAGGGACCATTCTTTCTGTCCTTAACCCAGCTTTAGAGATTGTAGAATTCTGTACTACTTTGCAGAATTTTGCAGCCAAATTATGTCCACCCTAGTATTTGTTCAATAATGTGTTGAAATTTTGATGATCAGACCACTGATAACCACCTCTGAAGTAAAAAGGTCACTTTTAATCTTCTTTTCACTCTAGCCCGCCTGCGTGGGCCTCATGATGGCCTTTTTACCGGTCAGATAGATGCAGTTGATACTGTGAACTGCTCTTACAGAGTTACTTTTGATCGCCCAGGTTTGTATCCAGAGCCTGTTAAATGTAGCAGTTGTATGAAGTTTTATGTTTCACATTTTTATTGTGTTACATCGTCTATGCAGTTATAAAATTCATGTACGTGTAAATAATACTGATAATGATGATAATAACAACAATAATGATATTGATAATTATTATATACCACAGGAGTGAATAGTGCTTTTCATGCATGCTGACTGGCTAGTGTGAAAATGAAAAGTTAGAACTATTCACCTCCAGGCAGCTGATGAGACAAAACTGCATGTCAAGAGTTTAATTTCCAACCATTTTTAGTACAGTAACTGTGTATTGAAAGAAATAAACTAATCATTTGATATCTGTTTGATTTATACTAAAACAATTATTTACCTCAGTCTCATTGAAAGTGGTAGATATTTACCTCACTGACTCGTGGCTAGGTAAACATCCACCACTTTTCACCTCCACTTTGGTGATTAATTGTTAACTGTTATTATAATGATAAGTTTTCATGTGAAAAAGAGTAACTTTCACTAGTGGGCATTTGAATGTGCAATATAGTAAAGCCCAACAAAAGCTTGAAATAGTTTTGTAATGAAATTTCAACTTGTAGGGGTCAACATTTCTAATAGCTTTATTGCATTTTTTCTGAGTTGCATTATTTATTCCTGCAGGCCTTGGAACACATTCAGTACTTGATCTTGAAGTCTTGGTATGTAATTATTTTTCCTCTTCTTTTCTTACCCTGACAGAATTTTTTTTTCTGTTTGAATTAATATGAATAATAATAATAATAATAATAATAATAATAATAATAAAAGGTGGAATGAAGCTTGTTAATACTGATCAGTGAATGTGAAAGTGATCTTTGCAATAATGAGCAGTTACTTAATCATGCAGTAATGAAAATAAGGCCAGCTAACAAACCAACTGGGATCTGGTCATTATGTTGGTTCTGAGTAATCCCTTGAAGTGATGAACAAGACTATGAATATCTGAAAATCATAAATGTGAACTGGGGAGAAAGAAGTGAAGATTGCTTTCATATTCACTTCTTTTTCTGCAATTTCATTTATTCACTGTCTTAATACTGATCAATTCTGTTTTCAGAGTGAGGAGCCACATGACACCATGCCCATATCATCATTTCTTCAAAAAGAACGGCCAAGAACAGCAGCATTCACTCCTGCGTATACACCACCAAGGTGATACAAGCTTCTTAATCCATTAACTCCCAAGATCTGATTGTCAATTCTCCCTTCCTGCTACTACACATTTCCTTGTAAATTGATTAAAAGAATTTCAGTTTTCAACCAAGGTTATAAATCGTACCTGATAAGTTTGAGTATTCTCACTACCTATTTGCTGAATAATTTATGGAAACTATAAGAAGAAGTTACATAGTAATTGCTTCTGGAGTTAACCCTGTAATTCCCAAGATTTTGATGTTAATTCTCTCTCCAGCTGTCACACATTTCCTTGTAAATTAGTTACGAGAATTTGGTGTTAGATCTAGATAACAACTTCTACCTGATAAGTTTGAGTATTCTCATAACCTGTTTGCTAGATAATGTGAGGATATTATAAAGAGAAGTTTCGAGTTAATCCATTGTTATCACACTTTCATTTGTAAAATTTGGCCTTTTCATGATTTATATAATGCTGATGGAATCTTGGTTCCTTCTAGGCTTCTTCCTGCTGGTAGTGACTTGAATAGCCCAAATATGGTAAGAAAATTCCAGCATTGTCTTAAATTGTATTCAAGATGCCAAAGTTTCACCAGACACTTTTAGTAAATTTTACTTTCCTATCCATTACATCTTTCCACAGGTTCATGATCCTCTTATAGGAGCATCACCTGGAAGGTAATAGTTGTTTATCTCTCAGTTGCATCAATGTCATTTTGTTTTAAGTGTTTGATGTTGTTTAAAACCACCTTGAACTTGAAGGGGACTACAAAATAGTTATGAAAAAAAAACACGAAACAGGCAATATTCAATGATCACAGAACAGGGATTGCTATGATTAAAGAGGATAGAACTGGATTGATAGTGACAGACCTGTAAAGTTAAGGTTAATTGTTTTTATAAAACTGCGCAAACCAACAATGTTGCTCCTTAGAACATTTACCAATTTGAAATTTTCCAAGTCACACCTGCAGTGATAATTAATAACTTCAACAAGTACCTCAATTTTTCTTGTGAGCAATAGGCTATTTCTGAGTTTGGACTTTCTCAGTTGCAAAAGAAGCCACTGGTAAGTGCAAACCCTATTGCTAAAAAAAAAAAAAATAGAATGCATAAGAGTACTAAATAATCATGTTCATGGTAGAAGTCTTACACTTACCATCATTTTTAAACTGAGGTTTTGGAAATGTAGGAATTTTTTATACGTATGGTTATTTAAAGTAAAATCATGTTATGAATAAATATAATAATGTCTTATTTCTTTGTAAGGTTACGACTTCAAGATGCAATCTCTCAACAAGGACAAGGTAATTGAGAACAAATTGGAAGGCAGTGCCATTAGCAATGTTGTGTGATCTTCCATTGTCAAAGTGCTCTTACCTCCTTGATACTTAAACTTTTACACCCTAAAATTGATATCTATATTCTCCATACTGTTCTCTATACATTTTGTAAAGTACCAGCAAGGAGAGTTTGTTTAACAATTAAGAGCTTGTTTAGTTGGTGATCATTTCCTTCATTCTTGTGACCTAAATGTGTTTACATTTAGGGGTGTTATGGTAAGGAGAAATGAGATGAATACAGAAGCGATCCTTGCAGTTATGAACATTACTGAACTAGTAGTTGAAATAAGGCCTGAAAAAAATTCAGGCCTGTATGGGATTTGAACCCATGACCTCTGTGATACCGGTGCAGCGCTCTACTGACTGAGCTAACAAGCCAACTAGGAGCTGGTCATTATGTTGGATCCAAATAAACCTTTCAGGCTTTTATTTATGAACTAAAACAAGGATAAATAAATTCTAAACTTGTTTGGTTCATGTTAAGAGGTTTCAAATCCTCACAGGCCTTACAGAAGACTGGTAGTGTTAAAAGAAAAAGTTGTGATAATGATGAACATTCATTTTCTCCAAAGCATTTAATTTTTTTTATCCATAGAAATGCATTCTACTCTAACTGATATTTCTTTTTTTTTTTTAACTTAATGAAGTTGAAACACATTTTTCATGAAAATTAATTGAAGTTGAACATAATATTTTTATATCATTTTTCTTAAGGTGGCACTCTTGGTGGTTTTCCAATCAGGTTTCTCATCCTTGTGGTATGTTTTTCATGATTCAGTGAAATATGTATGCTAACCAAACCTTGACACTTACTATGATGTATGTGAGCATTCAATGTCAGTGTTTGTGATGTATTTATTTTAGAGAGATATTTTTTTTTTTGTAGACAAGATTATCAAAGATCTTACTTGTCAAGAAAGAATGCATTGAAAAGTTACGAGAAATGAACACACAAGCTCAGAAGATGGTGAGAGTTCAATGCTGTAAATTTACAATCAAACTTGTGTGATGTCCTGTGCCAATTACAAAGTCACTTCAAAGGACTGTTTTTGCAATTAGCTTGATGGAGATATAAATTTTGAGCTCGACTGTGTGTTGTTGGTTTCAGTTTTTTTCATTGTAACCCTTTAGAATGAGTTTACCTTTCAACTCCCAGAAGTGATAAACATGTAACTTCTCCCTATTATATTCATACATTATCCAGGAAACGGGTAATGAGAAAACTTAAATTTATTTGGAAGAAGTTTTGATTTTGATCTGAAAGTAAATTCTGGTTATCAATTTTCAAGGTAATGTGTAGCAGGTAGAGAGGAGAATTAACTATCACACCTTGGGAGTTAAAGGGTTAAAATGTAGGAGTGAATTTTATGACATGAACTACATTTCTTAAACACCAAATTCTTACTGTTCAACCAAAATTAACCATTATCAAAAACAAACCTTTATAAGTATTGGCCAGCAAGAACATTTTAATGAAAATTTAATATCTATGGCACCTATCATTCAGTCATCTTGATCCACTACCAGCTAGAAGGGAGAACTGGATATTGGATGTTATAGCATTAAGTTACTACAAAAAACAATGAGCATTATTGTAAACATTACTATAATCATTGCCACTATAATTGTCACATTAGTCTGTGTCATTATCACTGTCGTGATCACTGTAATTGTAACTAATGACTGGTATCTTTATTGGCAATCCAATTATCAATTGTAAATTTACTCTGTTATTTTTACTCACTTAACAGAAATCCTACCAGGAGCCCATTGATAAGGAGTTCCAGAGGCGTTATGCCTCAGTTGTATTGGAATTAGAGAGGCTCAATAAAGTGAGTTTTGGTGTATTTGTTTGTTTTTGTCCTCTAAGGTAGAACACATTTTGTAATATAAAATTAATGTTTATGATTTGTGCCATTTTTTGCAGGATCTCAATGAGTATTTAACAGGTGTTCAGGAGTATTGTCAAGAGGTAAGAACATTTTTTCCTGTGTAATTGCTTAACCATTTAACCCCCTTAGAAGTGATTAAGTTGTAACTTCTCCTTGTGATTTCAATATGTTATCTTGTATATGAGATAGGAGAATAGACAAGCTGATCATTAAGTGGGTATCATGTTGTTATAATACCAAATTCCTGTCTAATAATTACTAGGAACTGTGTGGTAGTCAGTAGGGAGAAATTCTAATTCAATCTTGGGTCTTAAAGGGTTCATTAACTGATAAATGACCTAAAGTACTGATTGAACAACTTAAAAAATGTTATTACCAACAGCAGAAAACCAATCCATTTCCACAGAAATGTACTGTAAAATCAATCAGCTTTACTCCAGATTTAGAGGCTGGCATAATGAAGTGATATGCTTATTTGGGTTTTGTTTTCTAATCAGCTGGCCCCTGAACAAGGAGTTCAATCTATGGATCCTTCCATCAGTGTTAAAAGAAGATGTGATGAAGAGGCTGCCAGAGTAGTGGAAGACAATAATGCAAACATGGGCCTGTATGTATCAAATTCTGCAACATAGTACTTAGAAAGTAACAACTACCTGTAGCTTGTGGTCAGGTTCTCAAAGGTACTGTGGTTGGAGCTACAAAAAAAGTCTCATTTGGGCAGACAGAATTGTGTCTCACTGCTGTGCTGCTTCTAGTAATACCACAGCACTAATTAGAGCCTATACTCATAGTAGTCTAGTTGCACAGTCCCCCAAAATAGCAAAATGCACAACCCACCTCAGGGAAGGAGATATAGGGAATCAATTGCATCAGCCTGATGCTCAACATGAAAGCAAGCTCCGTCCATAAACAGCATTGAGAATGGACAGTTTTAAAAAACTGTCCATTCTCAACCATTTCATAATAAAAAGTAGCAAGATTAAAACATGACGTTTTGGTGATGACCTTCCACCTTTATCAAATGTAAAATTGTTATGCATTGTAAGTTCAGGGACGTTGTATAAAGAAAGGAATTAGAATAAAAATGAGATGGAGTTAAGCAAAAGAGATGCTTCTAATAAGGAAATAGAGATCGACTCTGAATACTCAAGAAGACTCCATTCCAGCAAAACTGGTCATTTGATTATGTACATTCTTTTGTTTAACTCCATCTCCTTTTTATTCTAATATACTGCTAGTTTCATAGTTTCCATTCTTTAGATAATGTCCCAGAACTTTTAATAATTCTACATTTGATAATAGTGACATGTTGCCAACATGTCATGTTTTAATCTTGCTACTTTTGGTATAAAATGTTTTTCTAAATCTTTTGTTATCCTCAACCAAATCTAAATAAATATAAGAGCTTTCAAAAACCAGCCTTAAAATGGTTAAAATCTCAGTGGCTCATGACTCATCACATGACCTTTTAGATATGAAGTCTGTCTTTTTTCCAGTGTCAATCAAATGTCATTTGCTTTTGAACAAACTTGATCACAGACTAAAGGTATAAACACCTAGCTCTGATTATGACTTCCTTTAGGTTATTGAAAATGCCAATGACTGTCACCTTGGAAACTCTTTTTCATACCTACTACAGAGGACCTTCACACTGCATGTTTCTACTGGGCATAAATCATTTACCATGAGAATGATTGCATTTGTGCATTAAAGCTTGAGCTCTGTAACTGCTTTTGTGTAATGTGTGTGAAAAATCACTGCCATTAATGGACTGGTTATTTTTCAGAAATGCTCTCACAAGTCAGCCGTTGGTGCAGATTGTCAGTAATTTAACTTCTCTCATGCTTCAAATTAAGGTAATTAAGCAGCTACAAAATTTAGACTCATACAAGCAGCAACTGTAGCAACAGCAGTAGTGGTAGCAGTGCGGACAGCAGTGGCAGTAATAATGGCAGTGGTTATAGTAGAGATAGTAGTCACAGCAGTGGTTACCATTGACAGTAGTCCAAAGTAGTATTGGTGGCAGCAGAAGTTGAGGTGGTAGTGATAATGGTAGTACCTGTAGTACACAAAGATGACAGCTTCAAATTGGGTTCTTTAAGGATACATGTACTTCACAATTCCCTGTCCAAAAACTCCAGGGAGTACAGATTGCCTGAAAGCAAATTAACACATAACTCATCCTTTCTCCATTGATATTTTCAGTCATTAGCAGAGAATGATCTCAATACCTTTGAGTTCAAATCTTTATCTGATGCAGTGGATGAAATCAAGAAAACTATAGACCCCTCAAACATTAGGTATGTATTTTGATATGAAACAGCTGCAGTAGGTAGCATAAGAGTATTTTGAGTCCAAACTGATGATGTCTAGGGAGCAGTGCCAAGACTTGGCAGTTGTAGAGTCTATTTCATGGTGTACATGCCTGAGTGATACAGCAGAAAAAAACAGAGTCAAGAAATAGGGGGAGAGGCTAAGAAACACTGTACAACAATAAGAAGAATCTGTTTTAAAGCAATGCTACTTTTTTTTTCATTTGTCACAGTATATTAAAATCAAGGGTAGGTGGTTGTTGAATGATCTTATGGTCAACTATTTTCATAACATCTAAATCCTTCCTTCAGGTAACTCTACCTTAAGAGGAGTTGTATCACTGTTGTTTTTTTACTGAAGATTGAGTTGAAATTAAAGCTGATTGTTGTTTTTGTTTTTGTTTTTTTTTTTTACTGCAGCTGTTTTCAGAACAATGTAGAGATCCATGTAGCTCACATCCAGTCTGGTCTTAGTCAGATGGGAAATCTACATGCGTTTTCATCATCTGCTGGGCCTTCATAAGATATGTTTTGCAGCACATAAATCATGGATAGACAACAACTCTTAGTCAACATGTATGCTACATTGAGACATGAAAATAAAATCCCACTCAAACATGATTAGATAATTATTTAGAACTTCATTTTTGAAATAGGCTTTTTGCGCCAACTACTTAAAATGACAAAATGACATTTTATTTAAACAAATGCAGTTGTTAAATAATTATTGTAAAGAAAAGTTGCAGTTAATACTGTGGTGAATTGTGGTGAATTGACTTGAAATGAAGTGTAATTGTTTGTCAAAAGATATGGTTGTTTCTCAATACTGAATCCACATTGGAGGCTACATACACTTCTACAATCCATGTTGTGATTCACTCTGGAGATGACACATGCTTCTCAGCTCCACATTGGAGATGACACATGCTTCTCAGCTCCACATTGGAGGTGACACACACTTCCTAGCTCTGCATTGCAATCCACATTAGAGGTGGCTACTTTGTAAGACAAACAGTTTTACTTCATTTCAAATGCACATGGATATAATGGAAAAGGTTCATAAGAAATTATGAAAAGAGGGTCTGTAATAACCAATAATACTAGCTTATGTTTTTAATACATACATATTCCTGTTAACATTTGACTGGATGAGTGGTTAGAAATGCACAACCTTTTGATCGAATCTATTTCATTAAAGTTGTGATTTTTCTGATTATATACATGAATAAAGTCATCTATACTTTTTCTGCAAAGTGGTCTGGAATAACCTTTTATTATTCTTCTGTAACATTTTGATCACACTCACTTGACCTCATCCTTCCCTAAAGAAACTAACATAATCATTTTTTATTGTAACTTTACTGATCAGGTAGTTCCTTATTTCTAAGAAAACCATGAACACCTGAAATATCAGTTTGACAAAAGAGCAAACTGGTTAATAGCCTTGGAACAGGCCGTTATTAATAGTGCTGCAGGATGTACGTTTCTCCACTTGCATTATTTACAGCCTTGTATTTCCTGCAGGCAAAGAAATGCTTGTGCCAAGGTGCTCGAAAGAAGTGCCTGCCTACAGGCTAACTGATATTGACTTCTGATTGGCTTTCTTTCTCTTAACGTAAGATAATTACAGATGGTACCTAAAGCAGAACTCCCTCAACTGACTGTTGACTGATTGTCTGTACTGTTCTGGTATAATCTAACAGACAGAAAAATTCTACAATCCCACAAACTCAACTACTTTATTAAACAGCAAGTAATGTTCTAAACGAGGAGTGACTCCTTAAAGGAGTGCAATACTTATCGTAAATAAACTTAATTAAGCCCATCAGAGACTATATCCAAGCTCACCACTGACACAATCTCACTGCTGTCTCCAAAGTTCCTTCAAATAGGTGGCCTTCTGCAGTGACCCTCTTGGTTCAGCTTTCAAAACATTAATTGCTCTGACTACAACAACTTCTTCTACTACTGTATAAGTAAGTCTTTATATATAATTATATATATTTTCAAAGTGTTCTGGAACATTCCAGAAGCTTCCATGAGAACTATTTTTGTAGTATTACATAATAAATAATTAAATAAATAATAAATCTAGAGGCTACAATGTCTGCTGACAAACAGCCAACAGATGACAACAGTTTTTTGGGGGAGCTCATCTTCAAACATACCAATATTTCTGGTCTTCAGTTTTCATCTTTTTCTTTTAGTAAGGAAAAGTAACTGAGATTTCTTAATAGAAATCCAAACTGTGGGAGTTACTATATTGCTACATGTAAGGACAGTCTGGTGCTAATATCATGAAATTAAAAATAATGTTACTTAATATAAGTGATGATGTATTTTGACTCTTTTTGCTAAGTTGGCATTAGTGTATACTATATATGTTGACAAATAGAATACCTGTAATTGGGAACATTTTTTAATTCAAATAGTTGAGAACCATATTTGATGGAAAGTACACCACAAGCCTAATCAAAAGGCTTAGTGCAGAACTAATTGTGTGGCTGAGTTGAGGATTTTAATATGGGATCTCAAGATTTCGAATCCTGGACCCTAATCAACTATTGTGTCATCATTTGTAATTAATTTACTAATAAAAGGATGAGAAAAAATTCTCTAGGCAAGTAAATTAGGAATTTGCTCCTCAAAGTTTACTGAATATGTTCCTTACATGCATGGGTTAAAAAAGAAAATAATAAAAAAAAATGAAGTTGTCTGAGTGTAAAAAAAGTACTTTTGAAGTACACAATATTAATTTTAAAAACAAATAATTTTAGTATCTTTTATTTTGAAATAAATCTACAACAATTTTTTCAAGTTTTACAACATGATTCTCATTAGCAAGTTACTTGTAATATTATAAGAATCTCTAATTTTAAACATTCTTCTGTTACTAAGAAATTTGATTTAAATTGCTCTATAAAGGTCTTCAATAATGGTAAAACAGTTGGACATTTGTTATTCATTCTTTTCCTTTTCGTATACCAAGCTGCGGTATTTTGATTTTTTGGGCAGGATGTACAATATAAGAATATCTACAATGGTGGCTGTCAGGGTTAGAAGACTTACTGCAGATGCAAGGTGACCTAACAGTGCTGAGAAAGAGAAATGGCCTGAATAAAAAAATAAAAAAAGACATGAAAAGATACAGTCACTGTTTATTTGACCCTTTACATCTCAACATCAACATGTATATTCTCCATACTGTTTCCCATACATCACCTAAGGTATAGACAATGAGAATTGTCAAACAATCAAGAGCTTTGTCAGTTGATGAAGTTGTTGGTCATTTCAGTCATTCAGGTGACCTTCATGTTTGATTCAGGGGTGATCTTTTAATGACAAATTACATGCTAGTCACTCTAAGGCTAGGGCTAGCCTAGGGAAGGGAGTCTTGAATTTAAGTAAAGAAAATTAATAGTGAATACATATGAGATGTAAACCAAGTTTGGAAGGAGGAAAAAGCCCAAAATCTGAGATAATTCAAAACCCACATTTTGTTTAAATTTATCTATTATTTATGGTTTTGGATGAACTCTAATAGTTGGAACAACATTTCTGCTCAACCTAATTCATTTTAAACTTACCCAGTACACCACTTTGGTGGAATTCTATTTTGATTCCATAACGTTTTCTGAAGAGTCGATTTTCTTGATGACGTTCTAGACTTTGGTTTGTAAAATCCATGGCATCTATGACTGGTATCACTTCATTCACTCGGTAATCAGCATATGGGATTCTTCTCACTTGGTATGAATATTCTATATCTCTAACAAAACAACAGTGAACAAAGATTTGTTAACACAGTTTAATGTCTTGAAGCAAGAACAAGAGCCCACAAGTACCTCCACCAACATATGAAGTGGTCCAAACATTATACCTGTGAGACAATTTTTAAGGGGAAGGGCTCTACCACTGCATCATCATCTGCACCATTTATTTTTTTTATCATTGTTTGAGTTGGGAAGCTTTAATTGTAATTTATGAGCTTAATAGGCTTCAAGGATTTGGTGCAGGAAAAGTAAATAATTTCTACTTAACATAAGGATTCCATGTTGCCATGCAATTCTTCCGTAATATTTGTCTTACATGATTACGAAGCAAAATATTGTTAATGGTGAGGTCATCTATGTGTCTGTCCTACACAATTAGATCATCAGCGAGAACCATTTAAATTATGCATGCACAATTTAGCTTATCATACAAATAATGGTAACAGTCAGGAAGGGCTCTTGGAGAAGGAAAAAGAAGAAAGAGAATTTAGAGATCAGTTTATAACAATTGTTAATAAAAGATACTGTTTCTCTTCTATTCGGATCTAAAGGTAATCTTCCTTTTTGGAAACACTTTCACATTTTCTGGACTTTCCTTAGGTAGAAGGGGTCTCAGTGGGACCAATGACATGTAAGCAAAGAAAGGACTTACAACAAGGAAATTCATGATTTTGAAAGTGTTACTTACCCTGTTCCAAGCCAAGTTGACTCGGCATTTTGATAATTGATGGCCATATGCAGGACAATTCCATGTCTTCGGAATGGCTTCCCTTTAGAATTGAGGGCATCTGAGGTTTCATCCAGGCTTGTAACTCCAGCTGCTTGGAGGATTTCTTGGACGGTAAGCTTATCTGCCTTTCCTCTCATCCGATTCTCTTTGTTGGATGAAAGACTGAAAATATTACAAAAAACAGACCAATCTGCAGATTGTTAAGTGGGATGCCATCTTATCAATCCTTAAGTGATTAGTATGTAACTTCTCCCTACAAGATCCATGCATTATATCCAGCAAACAAGTAAAAAGAACACTCAAACTTAACTGGTAGAAGTACTGTTGTTACCTCAATTTAACACCAAATTCTTGTATCTTATTACAAGGAACTGTCTAACAGCTAGTGGGGAGAATTAACAACGAGATTTTGGGAATTAAAGGGTTGCCAAAAATTGAGCAGGGCTGAGTTGTTTAAAACATGATAAAGCTCACTAAGGGTTAGCTAATAATTTTTCTTTAGTTTTCTAGCATTGCAGACAGTTTTGATCTATTCTATTTTTTATTTCAGTTTTGTATGCAAAGATAAACCCCTCAAAACATAAGCCCTAAATTATACAAATTATTTTGAGAGAAATCAGGAACAAGGGAAACTTCTTTAATCCTGGAATATTGCTAATGCTGTAATATTATAGGAAGAAGCAGGACGAGACAGATATAAATGTCAACAGAACGAGGTCTTTTAATTAAGATGGCGGATCTCTCTCCATGTGCTAGTCATGTGACATACGTACACATAACACACAGGGATACCATACTACAAATGCCTTCTGAACAACCGGGCCCAGGAAAACAAAAATTTCTTTTCAGTTAGCTCATTCAGTCAATAATTCTAAATTGTCAGTTTTATTGATTACTATGCATCCTAATTCAAAATTATTTATTTGCATTTCAAATAATTCAGAGGCTGGCGATAAGGCTAAAAGACAGTGTTTCTTTTAATTTGCCACCCTTAAAGTCTGTAATAAAGAATAACTAGATGCCACATGAAGAAGCATCTGCTAATTGTCCCAAAGGGATCTAAAGCAGTGTATCCATTGTGAATGCAACTGACTAGAACCCATTTCAAAAATCATATTCAGTTATTTGAAGCTTTGAACGTAATTACTTTAAATAGGTTTATAATGTACATGAAAAATTATGTACCTCTGATTGACTGAAAACAAGTGCATTCTCATGCGAAGTTGTAACACAAGTGCAAATTACAAATAGGGCATGCATGCTTTCAGAATTTTGTGTGTCTTGACTTGCTGTGATGTTTTTTCATGCACATTTTCAGCAAGTAATAACATGATTTCTCTTGCAATTTGGTGTAATAAGTACTTGTAAATTTTTTGAAGACTACATACTGCACTTGCCCTACAGGCTCAGGTGCAATTTTGTTGTCTTAGAAATTTTACTTGTACTTATCCACACCAAATTACACTTGAAATCATGTTATTACCTAATTATACTGCGTACCTTTTTATAAGTGTTCCATTATGGCCATACAGATATCCTTTCATGTTTCTTTGTGATGCTGCCAGGTCTTTTCCTCCTAATTTACCTGTTAAAAACTTTGTAGCCAGTACTGCATGTTCAATTTTTATCATCATCTTCTCTGGTTGAACTGTGAAGTATAGGTTTTCTCTAAATGGAAGTTTTAATAAATGCATATAAGTTACATTGCTGCATGAACAATTTAACTTCAGTTGTAATAATTACTTTTCTCTTGGATTTAGCCTCGATATTGAAATCCTTAAATTTTCCATTTCTACTGAGCTATGTATGAAGGAAAAGTTTGTAACGAAAGGGCAGATCCAGGATTTTTTTCATGAAGAGAGAGGGGGGAGGGCATGGTTGAAAATTTGATTCAGACAAAGAATGCCTTTCCTAACTTTAGAGCCTAAGTGAGCCAAGATAATTCTCCAAGAAAACGTAATTTTACACGCATCAAGTTGAGTTGTAATAAATGCTACTGTCATTCTGAAAATACCCACAGGTCTGATGGGGGAGGGGATTCCATCACTGCAATACCATTGGGGGTGAGGTGAAAGGAGGCTAACGAGAGTTTGCATGTCCTCACCTAGTGTCACCTTATATTTATCACACCTTTGGTTTTCTTTCCCTCCTCATCCCACTCATTTTCATATCCACAACCTCTAATTACGTATTCTGCAGCTTTGAATCCAATCCTTTTATCCCTTTTGATCTTGTGAGTCACTAGCAACTAATTTCCTCTTACTGTATTAATATTGGTTAGGGTCATAGGAATAAAGAGAAAGAATGGAAAGCTCAAGAAGTCTCTGATTGTTTGATGAATTTTCTCTAATTTGACAGTAGTACCATACAGAATATTGGACAGAGATCACTATTTTTTTAACAGCTTTATTGGGTATGACTCATGCAGTACTAATACAATATACAATATCAATTGAAAAATAAAAGATACAGCAAGAACAGCTTTTGAGAGAGCAAAGCAGACAAAAAAAAGTCCTGGACCCAATGGTGCTGGTGCAAACAAGACACAAGGACCCATGCAAGGCACCCTCATTGAGTTAAAAAGAGGAAAAAAAAAAAATTCTCAAATATGGTATTTAACCCTTTAACTCCCAAGATCTGATTGTTAATTCTCTCCTCTGGCTGTTATACATTTCCTTGTGAATTGGTTACAAGAATTTGGTGTTCAATCAAGATAATATCTTGTACCTGATATGTTTGAGCAGTCTCACTACCTGTTAGCTGGATAATGTACAAATACAATAGGGAAAAGTTACATGTTTATCACTTGTGGGAGTTTAAAGGGGTTAAGAGGATAGACAGTAGAGTCTATAGGTGACGGGGAGGATCGCACAACCATCCAAGTGCAGGAATAATTTACATCAAAGCGATTCTGAAGAAGATGAAAGATGGGGAGATACATACTGATGGTAGGGCATAAAGGGTTAATGTTACTCATGCAGTCACCCATAGTCCTGACAACCCTTTACCATTTTCCTCTTGCTCTTCATCACTCCATTTGTTTCACATCTCGTACCACTTCCCATTACACCTGCACTTTCTCACCCTCCCCCCATGCCTTTCATCCTCTTTCTCATTCCCCTCTTAAATTTCCTAGCCCCTGTCACATTTGGGTCTTATCTAGCTTGTCACTCTACTCTAAATAATCTAAACCTGAAATTAAATTCAAAGCTGCACAAACCTGATGGTTTCAAATTTCCCAAATTTGCCAGATGACATGTTTTTGGTCTGCCAGCGATCCTTTGGAAAATGTTGTCAAACTAATTGTGCGAGACTCCACAGGCCAAGATAACTCCCTTGCATCCATTACCTGGCATTGCGTACAATACTCTGAAGCAGTTTCTGTTAACAGTAAAACAAATATGCTAAAGTGGTTTCTTCTTTAAGATTGGTGCAGACATCTTCGGTGAATGTTTAAAACATATTGTGTTATACATACCTAGTTTATAATCTTATACATATTGATACCTTGAAGGAATCATGTTCCTGTTGTCAGTGAGATACCCTTCCTGAAATGAGGGTTTTTCAAAAACATTGCAAAGACTGAGTATAGAGGCAATGTGGCAGAATGGTTACTAGGCTTGTAATCTGGTGGTTTCCTCCATCCTGCTATGCACTGGACATGTCCTCTGTTGTCCTTTGTGATTTTTAACCCTGTTACTCCCAGAAGTGATTAACAAGTAACTTCTCCATACAATATCCATCCACTATCCAGCAAACAGGTAATGAGAACATTCAAATGTGTCGGGTAAAAGTTGTTTTCTTGATCTAACACCAAATTCTCATAACTTATTTACAAGGAAATGTGTAGCAGCTATAGAGGGGAGAATTATCAATTAGATCTTGGGAGTTAGAGGGTTAAACACTATGTTTATTCATTCATTCATTCTTGTGTACTGACCTAAAGGAGTCCCATTACCAGGGAGTGGTCAACTAGTATGTATACCTTAAAATACACATGCACACTGTACACTGTTTGGATTATTCCATTCCCTGCTGCAATTTGATTGCTTTATATTACTTATATCATTATATCAATTGACAATTTATTACAGTGACTGTATTGGTATAATTGGGCTGGCCTTGCATTCGATGCAAAACTGACGAACAGCCTACCATTGTAACAGCAGTAGCTCAAGTTTGCAACCTGAGCTGATTTATCATGATCAACTCCGTTATCTTCCTTGGGATCTGATAGGAGAAATCTTATAGTTGCATCAGGTGCTGTATCAAACTGACAACAATGAAAAAGAAACCTATATTCAAATTTTATCACATGATAAAAAATTAAAGAGGGTGTTATAAATTGATGAAATGATAGGGTTCTGTCGCTAGATAAAAATTTGCTGTCTTAGGACTGGTTAGGATGGGATTATTTCAGGTTAGGCACAGTGGAGGTGGGGGGATGAGGGGTCTCTTTTTTTTTTTTCCTTTTTTTTAGCATTAACATTTAATAAAAGTTTCACTCCGATCATGCAATCAGTCTAACATAATATCAGAAAGAAACACTTGTCAAGGGAAACTGCCGGGGTCTTGTTGGTGTTCCAGGTTCTTTTTTTCACTTTTCACTTGAGTTCAGCTGCTTTGCAGGCTTTTCTTTTGAAGTTTGATCATTTTTCAATTGGTATAATATAAGGTTACTATTTCATACCTCTAAATACCCTTTCTTGACAAATATTTCAGCTAAAGAGTAGAGGATAACTGCAATCGCGATGACGTAATAAATTACGCCAATTCTTCGTTCTCTGATTATAACAAGCTTGTAAGTAATGTAATGAAGTAAGGACATGGTTAAATATTGATTGAAGAAAGATGGACCGGAAGTGATGTTTTGTTACTTTCGCTTTGGGAATAAGGCTGTGTTTGTGGGCCATCATTCTTCTTGGGCAGCGGTAATTTTCTAAGTGGTGGAATTTTTCCAAAATATGGCGGTAGAAGGAAGGAAAAGGAGAAAGAAACGAAAGGATTCGACTTGTAGTATCAAACCACCCTTAGATTTTATTGAAAGTCCTCTAGATGGACAAAAGTATTATTGCACTCCTGTTCAAGCTGCAAGGAGACCATTTCTGGCGGCATCTATGCCCGTTGATGACCAAGTATCAATGAAATGGGTAATAAATGGTAGAAGATTTTCTTTAACCGTTGACAAATGTTTTGTGGTGTGCTAATTTCTGGTTATTTTTTGGCTTTCTGCTCATTCGAATTGCTTGATTACGATTAAAGCTTCTGTTAATCGTATTCCAGAGCTTTCAATAATTTCGTAAACGAAGAATCGTCCCAATGCAAGTTTATTAGCGAGGCATGTGGAAATGAAAGAGTGTTGGAAATATATCGAAACTTTGTAAGCAATTAAAGATTACAAAAGAGGATCACGCAGTTCATAGCTAAACTTCCTATATTCTGAAAATGAATGTTCTAGATTTCGTTCCTCAAGAGTTAAGAAGAAAGTTAGTGTGCAATTGTTCACTTCTTCATTAATTGTTTAATTTTACTTTGTAGGTATCCCCTCAATTCCCTGATAGAATTGAAAATGAAGAGGAACTTTTAGCTCTATTAAAACCAAACAAAAAGTCTCGAGGAAGGAAGAAAGGAAAAGAAAATCCCCAGGCAACTGAGCAACTGGCATCAAATGGACATCTGTTGGGTGAATTGGATTTTGGATGTAAGAATGTGAGAAACATGGATACAAATGAGAAAAGCAAGTTTCCTTGTAGAAGATCTCAAAGACTAAGGAAACTTAAAAAAACTCATTGCTTGTTTCAAGAACCACAAGTTATGACTCCTGTAAATAGGCAAGGAGTTGTTATTCTCGCATATGAAACACCAGATCAAGAACTTTTAACAGCAGTTGAAAGGAAACACTCGTCAACAAAAAGAGGAAGATAATGCGAAGCCTACCATTATTATAATCATTTTTCTTCAATGAATAATACTCAGAAATGATTTGAATTAAGGCTGAAAATACTTGCAAGTTTTCTCCTAATGCTCAAGTATTGTTCTTTTCTCATGTGAATGGGATTTAGCTAGCGAAAGACATACTGTATAAAGAATGATATTGACCCTTTACACATCAGTATGCATATTCTCCATACTGTTCTCTGTTCATTTCTTACGTGTAAAGTGCCAATAAGGAAGAACTTGTTTAACAGTCAAGAACTTTTTTAGTTGCTGATCATTTCCTCTATTCTTGTAACCTTAATTGTGGTTTACGGGTGATATTGTGAGGAGAAATTAGATGTTCATCACTCCTAGCGGTCAATAGTTTAATAATATCAATGAATGCTATGAGTAATAACCAAAAAACAATACCCATTTTCAATGTCATAATACCCTTAGAAATCTTTAATCTTTGAAAGATGCCGATCAGATGTGAACTATGAGAAAGTTACTCTTTTAAAGTGCTCATTACCAACAACCTGACAACATTGTGGTAGATTTCTGAAGTGATAAAGCATATATTCTAATTGTAGTTATAAATTTGATCACTTAAGTCACACCTCCTTCTAATTACCCAAAGGCTTGAAAAGCAAAGATAATATATTGTCAAGGACAAAGAGTTATACAACAAATGGTAGTGCAGGTACTGGTTTCAATTGTTTTTTTTTTGCAGTTATATTCTGGTCAATGGCATATTTTGGTGCTAAGATAGCTTAGTTTGAACCTCACAGTACAGATGTCTTTTATCAGCTAAAATGCTTCCTTCTCTTTAGTTGGCTGTCTGTATGGTAAATTGTGGGTAAAATCACCAGTCTCCCATAGGTTCAGAGAGAATCATGTTGAAAGACCAAAAATCCTTTCATATCAATCAAATCGACTCCTACTTGGTTAAAATACTTAACCATACACAGACCTCTCAGCACACTCTAGTCAAACTGATATTAATGCAAAGTTACAATTTTAATAAATTAACATTTTTTTGTGATCATCTGGTAAGGGTTGAGAGATTCTTCCTGAGAAACAGCGAGTACAGTTGAACCTGTAGTAGGAGGCATTGTTTTAAACCTCTGAGTCTCCTACAGCTGGCTTTGTGGGGAAGTTTGTTAGAGGCATGTTATCAGCAATCAAAGGTCTCTTGTATTTATGAATTATTCTTTGCTAGCATTTCAATATTGAGCCCTATCTTCAAAAGGTTGAGCCATTGTTCCTGAGAAACAGTGACTACAGTTGAACCTGTATTAAGAGGCATTGTATTATTAAAGTGGCCAGTTGTCAAAGTCCTGCATTTGTTTCCCCTTAATCACTCTAATTTTCACCTCTACCAAGCAGTTGTGGTCATCCTTTACTAAGTCTCAAGGGCCTGTTTGTACCCATCTTCCATCCCAACCATTCGAACAAAACTAAGAACAATTTTTCAAGTAAATTTAATCCATGTTTCTCTCCCTAGATGAGAGTGAGTAGTATTTTTGAGCAAGATAACATGAAGTGGTCTATTATGGCTGAAAACGCGTTGTTTATCTTCTTTTATAATATATATTTATATATTCTATGGAACCTGTATTAAGTGTTTGATCCGCCATTCCCCTCGGGACCTCAAGATTCCTCAAAGATAAAACGGGAGAAGCCTGGTACGAGTAAGTTGGTCACCGCGGCGATTTGGTCGAGTTGTCAACTGTATTTGTAAACTTTGTTGAACATTTTGAGAGAAATAGTTCTAAAGAGGTCAACATGACAAACTGTATCTCGTAGAAGGGCGAATGTACCTGCTTCATTTCAATCAAAATAATCCAGACGAGAACTGCGTCGAAAATCAGTCATGATCGTTTGAGACTCGTAACTACATACACCTTGTGGTTACAGTAAGTGATGGCATCCATTGTTTTAAAAGTGATTGATCGTCGAGTACTTTTGATTAAAGTAAATTTGTTTAAGTACTTTCTTCTTGACGCAAATTCTGTAAACAGGGAAATGCTGTCAACTTTGTTGACTACAAGTCTGGCATTCACGTTATGATCTCAAAGGTTTGAAGAGAATTTGCTAGAGTTGTATCACTGTTTTGACTGAAGTGCAAAGGGTGGCAAGTCGCGAGCTCATTAACTCAAGAACCAAATGAAAGATAAAGGTGTCCATGATAGCTCACAAAGCGATGACAACAATGAGGCATTGAAACGATCTCCTTCTTCAGCAGTCGCTTCGTTCTCTATTCCTGGTGAGTTAAGGAATTAATATCCTTTAGATCTAATAGTTTGTTTTTACCTTGTCATTAAGTATAGAAAGGTTACATTACCTATGAACGCTAGCATTAGAAAACATCTAGTCTCACAGGAAGTTTGAAAACAATTATTCTCCGCTCTCACTCATCTCGATATTTATCATTTTTTCCTATATGAAGTTAGAAGATTTTTCCTCCAAGGGTTTAAAAACGTTTTCATTGATAATTAGAGAATATTAATTAGTTGTAACCATTACATGTTAAGTACACAGTCATTCAAACGTTCAAAATTTGATTAACTTTAAATTTCTTCAAACAGGGCTTTTTCTTAGTAATTTTTTCTCTCTTAGTAGTCTTTCAAACTTGCCCCTTGCTAGATTGCTAGATTATGAATAAAACTGTTATGAAGATGGATAATATTAAGTCTATACACAAGACTCACTCACATAATTGTCACAGCAAACTAGTTTCTGTAGTGTGGTAGGACTGGTAAGGAATTATATTCTTACTTTCCCCTGGATTGGCCTGGGATAGGATGGTAGCCCCTGGGAAATTACTCTTGCCTTTTGTTAGCTCTCTTGACAATATGCTGCTACAATCATTTACAGTTATGAAAGGGAGGAGAGCTGTTATGTGAGAGTTTATAAGTGGCTTCTGCCTAATTAAACACAGTAAAATTACCCAGGGCTAGAATCTGGGGCCCAATTTCATTTACCTACATAAGAGAGCAGCTGTTAAAAAAGTGTTGTTACAAGCCAATTCTGCTAAGTGTGTTCTTAGTGAAATAATTTGGAAAAAGGTCAGGATACTGGATATATTTTCATTGCTGAATAAACATTTTGTGGTGCAAATGAGATTGAGTTTCTGCACTGCAAACAAGGCAGGCCTTAGTGCATTTAAGTTTCTGCTCCTACGACCCCCTCTGCCTTACCACCTATACCAGTCCTAATAATGTGCAGCTAGTGTATGTGTGCTGTACTTATATGAGGAAATGCAAAATATAGAACCCTGTTCTAAGGAATGATGGCCAGTAATTATGTAGAAGCTGTTACAGAAACTATAAGAAACTATAAGAAAATTCTCAAACGTGATTGGTTATCACCAGCCCGATTTGAGTATGAATAGGACAGTGCATGTGTCATGCTTGTAAATGGACAGAGTAATTGAACAGTTAAAGGGACATTTAACACGTCATGCCTGTATAAGTGGGACTGTGAGTTGTCCAATTCAGTCTGTATTCATACTTGTGATTAACAAATTGGACTCCCGCTTGGTGGCCGTCTGAGTTCCTTAATTGCTTATATAATTACAGACTAAATTGGACTCCTTGTAGTCCCATTACCATTATTAATCAAACTATGTTATGTCCACCATTCCTGTCATATGATTTTGAGCTTAATATATAATTTTATCCCACAGATATAAAGCTGTTTGAAAAGGAGTCTAGATCAACACAGCTTGTTTTTAGCTACAAAGGAGGAAAAAAGGTCAGTTACTGGTGCCAGTGAATGTATATGTTGGCAGTGTACATTTAAGATATTACCAGAACTATAGCTTAAAACAGTATAATAATTCAGTATTTAGAATGATTTCCTAGCTTGTGGAATATTTGTTTTTATAATTGAACTTTATTGCAAATTATGATTAATCTTGTAGGTTCCAAAACTTAGAGAACCTAGAAATTTATTTGCATTCAGCAAAGACAAAGGACAGCAGGCCTCTCCAAGATGGTAAGGAAAAAAAAAATATAGGCATGCATAGCATGGAAGAGTTATTTTTTTTGGTTGGGTATGTTGAGATGGGATACTTTGGGTTCCTAATGTTTTCATAACTTTCAAAGGGATGAAAATGTCATTTTACTACACTTTAAGAGAAAGAAATAAAACCTAATTTACCTAAACTCACACAGGTATTTTGTGGTCTATTGTCTCTATTGTCCAAATACTTCTGAGCAAAAATAAAATGCATTGGTGCCATACTTGCTGTTGTCTTCTTCACAGCTGTTGTTTGGTCTTGTCACACAATGCCCTCTCCTAAGCTTCCTGTTTGGAGAGAGAGCGTGTTGCATGACGAAACCAAATAGTGGTTTCAATAGAACCTACACTTACAACTGTTCCTCTAACAGAGAGAATATCAAAATTATTAGTCTACAGTTAGTCCCCTCAAACATATCACTCCATGTACCTATAATTTAGCCATTAAAAGCAAATTGAAACTCTGTTCTTTCTTTAAGTGAAGATACGCTGAACAAGGGAATTGGATAATATTTCAAGGAGGGCTCCTTGATTGGTGGTTGCCTATCTGGACTTTGCCCCTTGAGTGTGAAACATGTGATAAAATGCAGTTTGTTTACAAGGAATCAACACATGATGGGGTGAAGTCCAAGGCACCTAAGAGTGAATTTCATTCGTAGGAAAAGTCAAAACATGGGAGAATTGCATGAAAAAGCCACTATCAGTAGCATTTAGTTCCATGTGAGTTTTTTTTGTGTGGTGTTGGATAATGCAGTTAGAATAAGTGATAAAGTGCAGGTTGTTTACCAGGAAATGACACTTGATGGAGCAAAGTCTAATGTGGCAAAATGGAATTCGATCGATGGAATACAATTCAAGCACGTGAAAAATTGCCTAATGTTCATGTAGTGCAATAATTGGGTGTGTTCTGATTGGACTTTGGACATTGTTTTCATAGTGCGTGATGGAACGTTAGTTGTTTGGCCTGTACGTTGTGAGAAAAGGAGTGGAAAAAACATTTTTAACTAAAAAATTATACAAAAAGTCAAATGTGTACCCTTTTATATCACGATAAATATCGATTTTAATCGATGAGGTCCCCGGTAAGGCAACAACCATTACACTTATCAAATGCAGCAATCTGATTGGTGCAAGATACATACCATAATGCAGCAAACTGATTGGTGTGAGATACATACCCTTATGCAGAAATCTGATTGGTGTGAGATATATACCCTACCATGGCAATCTGATTGGTGCGAGCAACATACTATTCTACACACTAACTTTTTTCTGAAAAAAAATTTAAAATTACAAATACGTCTGAGACATAATTTTTTTGTCTCTGGTTATAAATGATTGTTCAGTAATTTTTTAAATATTTTCTATATCTGCCAGTTAAGCACAACTCAAACTTATGCACATCAATTAATTTAACTTTTCACGGCCCATGGAACTCATAATGTTCTTTTATAATATATTAATGTTTATTATGGCAGGCCATATCAGATGAAGATTTTGCCGACAAGGCCCAAACACATACAGTACATTCCAAGAAATTCAGAACCTTTCATTAAGCCAGGTTTGTAATCATATATGTAAACTATTTAGTGTTAAAAAAGGGATTTGTCTTCATTAGCAAGAAATAACAAAATACAATTATTATTGTAAACTTTCCTTTTTGTTCAGAAGATTATTGCTGTTTGCTACACAGAGGCCTCCAGCTGTAGTTATCATGTTGGGAGCAAATACTTAAAAGCTGAATCTTAAAACTTGACATTAAAAACATTCTTGAAGTTAACTTTTCCCAAGGATTTAGTTGATTAACATAACTGCCTTTAGGCAAACAGGAATTATTGCTTTGTCATCATGATGGAGTCTCATAGGTTTTGTGTTATTGTTATTAATTATTATTAATTAAGAATCTTCAATCTATAAGTTGCCAGTGAACTTAAAAGTTTTCTTTTGTTTGCTTTTCAGAGAAGACAGCTGATGATGAAAGTCTAACAAAGTTATCTCGTGAAGATGGTAAAGTTGTATATAACAATGAACCAGGACCTGAAAAATATGTAAGTTATCTCTGAGGAAATTTTAATCCTCATGTGCTCTTTTACTCGGAAGCTGATAAAATTTTAATTTAGTGTTCACACTTTGACTGTCTCTTTGTGCGGATTTAATTTCTAGTTTCTCAGGTCACGTGTAGGTGGAACCCAGATTTCTAACAAACCTTTTTACAAGCTCAAGTCTCCTGAGGACTCTACTTTACTATTTGAATCTCGGTTTGAATGTGGAAATCTGTTGAGGGCAGTGAAAGTGTAAGTGAAATAGACTTATAATTATAATGAATTATTTACATTTATTCAGCTGAATGTATTTGTTTATTATTGATCTACTAGTTGAATTTTTTACTTTTTCATCGTAGTAATGATGCTGAATACCAGTTGTGGCTTAGAAATGATTTGTACACCAACAAACACACACAGTGGTATTACTTCAGAGTTCAGAACACAAGACCAACTGTCCGGTATAAGTTCACCATCATGAACCTCCTTAAAGTAAGGGATGGATCAAAGTTTTCTCTATTTTTGCTCATAGTCTAAGCAGTTTTCCATTGGAAGTGATTTATCATTGAATTTCATTGTTAAATTTTGCTATAATATAAACTGTGTTAGATATCACCAATCAGCCACTGACAGGTCACTTGCCTTTGGCACTACTGTGTCAGTGTGATGAATGAATGACAAAGTGTTCATCATTCTCAATCTAAGGCTGTTTCTGGAAAATTTTCTTGCATGTGTTGTTTATATAATAAAAAAAATAATACAGACTTTGGTCTTGATTTAATGAAACTAAACCAGCAGTAGGTAATTGTGAAATGGCCCTACTCTTTATTTTAATAGATATTTATTTGTCTTAGTCTGGTAGCTTGTATAATGAAGGAATGAGGCCTTTATTTTACTCTGAACTGGATGCAGCAACAAAGAAAATTGGCTGGATTAGAACTGGAGAAAATATAAAGTACTACAAGAATGCCATCAAGTGAGGCCACAGTTTTGTTTTCCTTTCCTGTTACTTGTTAATAATTAGTCTGTAAAAGGTGGAGTGTAGAGGCTTTAAAAGCAAGTGTTTTGTAAATTTTGATTCTAGTTAGAGCACATTTATCCCCTCGTTGAATTTATCAATACTTTGAATCCAATGGTAGGAGACGTGGTTGTATTGTAAGGGTGCTGGTCTACAGGTTGAAAGATCCAGGTTTGAGACTTGGGGATCAGTGAGCTGTGTTCTTGGGCAAAACACTTTTTATTTACACTGGAGTATAAGTGGGTACTGGTGATTTGTCAGGGAAGCCTCATGAAATGCTGGGAGATGACCTTACGATGGACTAGCATCCCATCCTGGGGGGTAGGGGGGTGGGTAGTAGATATATTCCTAGTTGTTCCATGCTTTATGGAAACTGAGATAAGCTCTAGCTGGATGGGCCCCTTGTCTCCAGTGCAGACTTCACCTTCACCTTCGCCTTCACTTTGAAACCAACAACATTGCAGCTTAGTAATCTCAATTGCAAGTGGTACTCAGTAGGAGGTCTGTGAGAGGGGTGGGTTCAACCCTGTTAAAAACCCCAATCCTTTTTTATGTTTCACTTTCTGCAAGTGCCTTAATAGATAATGACCACAGCCAACATGCGAGAATAAATTTATCACTTGCACCTTTCTTATTGACATGGGCATATTTCAGGTAATCCGAATAGACAAAAGTGTTCCTACTATGAACCATACCTGAGAGAGAAAGATTCCTGAAAAGGCACATTGGTTTTCTTACCTAGAAATTTCTCCTACTAGACAAAATTTCATGTTAACAGTCAATCAGTTGTTGTTTGTTATTTCAGACGTGAAGACACAACAAAAGAAAAGTACCATTACTCGTTAACATGGACTTGTGAATTTCCCAATGAGAATGACACGTACTATTTTGCCCACTGTTATCCATACACCTATTCTGACTTGCAGGTAAGTTGAGTGTTTATATTAAAATACCTACAGATGTCCCAGAAATGTTTATGAAAAGAATTGTTCTTGTTAAATTGGACTGTTTATTTTCAGTGACCTATCCACAGAGTAGATGGTGTGCTTAATTAAACTATATGCTTGTATGGAAAATACGTCTAAACACCATGGCATTGGGAAATAACTAACTGACTTTCTGAACTGATTGAATATATGACTGTTGAACTTGCTAAGTAAGTTTAAGACTGACTGGCTGAGTGGTGAAGCACTGAATGAATGAAGGATTTATTGACAGACTGACTTTACAGCTGAGAGGGGAACTGATTGACTAATCAACTACTTGGATGATTATCAGATCGGGTGGTGGACCAACTGGAAGACTGATTGTCTGATTGACTGATTGTTAGACTGACTCTTTGATCAAACGATCAACTGACTGTTTAGCTTACTTACTCCCTGATCGACCGACTGACTGACCGACTACTGAGTGACTCTTAAGTGCAATACATACTCGAACTATATTATTTCAATTATTTTCATCCAGGAATATCTTCAAAACTTGAGGAACGACCCAGTGCGATCACGGATATGCAAACAAAGAGTGTTATGCCGGACTCTTGCCGGCAACTTTGTTTACACACTCACTGTCACAAACCCATCAAGAAGGCCAGCTGATGCTGAGGTATGGAATGGAACTTAAGTATTTGTGAACTTGAATCTTCTACATCGATACTGCAATCTATACCTTGTGCATATATATAATTTAAAAAAGTTGCAACTTTGTCAAAGCACACAGCACTGAAGAGTTCTGTCAGTTTTTTAAACCCAGACCTATCAATCTGGTTAGACGTCTGCATCATCGTCATATTGTTTGTGCATCTTGAGAATATTCATCTGAACAAGCTAGGTGGTCATTTCAGATTTGCAATCCAATTTGATCTTCTCTGGTATGGTAGTTGGCGCGCCAGACTCCGCGTTAAGAGGTCTGGGTCCTGACCTTGGTCAGAATCGTTTGGACGTGTCCTTTGGCAAAACACTTTGCTATCACAGTCCCTCTCTCTGCTGTCATGTTAGGACAAGTGATTTTCAGAGCGGCCGCGCTTATTTAGAAACTCCCATAAAAAAGTAAACAGTAAAAATACCCGTTTAGAATCGTAGGCTAAGAGATAAATGGAAGAGAAAGGAAGTATGACCATTTCAAACTAAAAAAAAAACATAGTTTTATGGGAAAGTGAAAGTTTTGAGGTTGTTTTAGTCAAAGTTGTTCCCCCTACGTTAGTACCTATTGATAGTTTTGCTCTCGCACGCGGCGCTCTTTCGAGGGTGGTGCTGAATTGCGTAAACACATTTCTATCATGGAAACTTAACGAACGAACAGTTTACGGAGGAAGGGGGAGGGGTTATTCACGACAGACTAGAATCCCGACCATGAGAAGGGGTGACAGTCTGTTTATGGTGCAGAAACTGAGAAGAGCTTCGCCAGCCATGCAAGTCAGTCTTGTTTCAAGACTTATATTTATTTTATGTTTTCGTTTATTTGATCCCAGGCCAAACAAGGAGTGGTAGTGACGGCAAGAGTTCACCCAGGAGAGACTAACTCAAGTTGGATGATGAAAGGACTTTTAGATTATCTAACAAGCAACGCTGCTGACGCAAAGGTTAGTGTTTTTTCCACTTGGAGCACCTTTTGATCGACTCATATCGGCTGAGTAAGGAACCAATGAGAATTCATAGACTTTGATGCCATGGGTGCGATTTATTTCACTCTACCGGGGAATCTTCGTTTTTGAGGTCTTGAACGTCCTGATGTGTAGAGCGTCTGCCGCTGAATTGGGTGTCGCAAATCAAATGCAAAGTCACAACGACCAATCAGAACATGGAACACGCAAGCAAGCTGCTGGAAGCGCGGGAAACGCCGCTGGGTTTGTGCAAGAGTTGCATGTGATTTGTTGCGAGAATGCCGCTGGTTTTCCTGTCCAAACACAGAGCCTTAAAGCAAAACCAATACAATCCCAGAATTCTTTCGACACCCACTGGAAAATTACGTTTGGTGAGTCTCGGTGGAAACAATCATTTCACTCATTTTTCACGGTCCTTATTGCTCCGTAGCTCCTCCGTGACATGTTCATTTTCAAGATTGTTCCTATGTTAAATCCTGACGGAGTCGTTGTTGGTAACTATCGGTGTTCACTAGCCGGGAGAGACCTGAACAGGAATTACAAGACAGTGCTGAAAGATTCGTTCCCTCCCATTTGGCATGTCAGGAATATGGTTCGCAAGTAAGGAGCTCCGTACTAGAAATATCTTTTGTAAATTCATTATTTGCTATTGAGCTAAGCCGTGATCGGGCGTTTCGTTCTTGGAATGGGGAGTGGAAAAGGGGGGGGGGTCGGCGGGAAAAAAAGAAAGAAAACGACTGAACATTAACTCTTCCAACAAATAACAATACACAACTGATTGAAGATTATTGAATATCGCAGGTGATAGAGGGTTTCAATGGGGTTTACCGATAGCCTTAAAGCGACCCAAACAGGCGTTAAAATTGGTTTATTTTAACCGTTAGTCGTAGAAAAAGTTAACCGTTAGAAAAACTTCTGGGTATGACAATGGAAAGATATTAAACGTTAGCCGTAAATTGGCCAAAATTTCATCCGTTAGCCGTAAAAGCCATCACCCCATTTATACCCCCTCGACAGGATCAACACAAAATTCCTCGAACTAAAATGATGACATTTGATTGACTCTGACGATGACTAACGCTCAGATTTTCGAAAAGTCACTTAACGTCACCTTTTAACCCTTAAAACCCTACGGGTGACCAGAGTCTAATTTCTCCTTACAGTAATATTACTGAATCATCGTCAATACCAATGGGAATTTATAGAGAAGAGTGCGGAGAAAATGGATTCTGATGTGAGAGTGTGAAGTGTTAAGGATATATCCCACCCACACGATTAAACTGCAGATCGACTGTTAACTGCTGGTTTGAAGCCATGTACTTCATAATGTTGAATTTTTCATGGACTTTTTATGAGTTCGTAAGACTCCCAGTCCCCTCTATGGAGTCTTTACGCTCGACAATCACTTTAGTCAGTGACACAATCACTTCAGTCGGTGAACTGGGTCATAACACACCTAGCATTTTGTTTTGTTTCTTTTTCGTTGTTGTTGCAGATTATTAGAGGAACGTGACATAACATTATACTGCGATCTGCACGGACACAGTCGCAAGCAGAATGTGTTCATTTATGGCTGTGAAAATCGCTTCGATCCTCTGAAGAGATTGAGAGAAAGAGTTTTTCCTGTGATGGTATCTAAAAATGCCCCTAGCAAGGTGCGGTGCAAGGATTAATTTGTTTTCCAGTAGTGTCCATCGTTTCTAAAACCTGGGGGTAATAAAAGCAATTGATCAAAGGAAAATAAGCCTTTTTAGATGGAGAACGATTTCGACTCATGTGAAGACTCATAAGGTGCGGTAACTTTGAAGGTTTTTCCGTGAGAAGTAGTATAATTTGGCGGGAAGCAATTGTTGCATAGACTTTTTGGGCTTTTCATACTGGCTCCTAAGAAAAATGTTATAAAAAAAAACACATTGCATCAAGGAAAGGTTCAGTTCTAAGTGTTATCAATATACAGTGTTCTCAGTGTACTCTTGCAACATTGATCATTTCATTATTTCTTCACAATCTTCATCTCCTTTGAGTCGAGATTAAGTACAAATTGGAATTAGGAATTAAAATTGTGTAAACGTTTTGGCAACAAATTTCCTTTCAAAGTGCAGATCAGTCTGTCAAAATTTTAAGCTCCATAAGTTACACTTGTTGTGCTTTTCCAACAGTTCTCATACAAAGGTTGCAAGTTTAAAGTACAGAAGAGCAAGGTTTGTAAAATATAATATTTCGCTGGTCACGATTGTGCGACATATGCATCCCATCACTTGCCTCGGAATACACACTGAGTGCGCTTGACAACACAGCGGTCAAACGTAAGGAATGCGCAAGGGGATAAATTTTGACCGGCCGCGAGCTAAATTAGCGCGCAAATTTTCCCTGGAAAACAGGAGCAATTGCTGTAACGCAAATATGCGAAACAGAAAAAAACATCTAAGCGTTCATTTAAATCTGTAACAGAAAACAAGAGTAGGGGAATGGAAAGCTCAAGACTTGTTATACCCAAAGCTTCTTTAATCACGAGTTTCCTGCTGATTTACAATTTTCTTTTGAGCTTTATCAAAAATGTTATACGGTTTTCAAATACCGCAAAAGCCTGAAAGCTTGTCACGTAGCCTCTAAAGCGTTCGCACATGCGCAGACGTTTTACCTCTGTGTTGCGCTGGACTCCCTGTTGATAAGTCTGGATTAAAAAAAAACTGACAGAACTCATCTGTTCTACGCTCTTCGACAAGACAATTGACTTTCTGTCTGTCTCTCTCCAGAAAGACTGAACGTCGACTTGTGAATAGACAGACAACTAGATAGGAAGTTAGGAAGACCGATAACCAGCCAGATATACAGTCTTTCCAACAGACGCTCAGACCGAAGAAGACGGATAATTAGACATTAATTAAGAAACACAAATTTTAAACTTCTTACAGGAAGGAACAGGTCGGATTGTTATGTGGCATATGGGGATTTTGAACAGTTTTACTATGGAGGTGAGATTAAACTTCTTGCTCAGTCACGAGCGAAATGTCTAGCTCTTTCTGCCTTTTTTTTTTCTGAACTCTTTTTGGGTGCGCGTGGCTTGAGAAAGCACAAGAAATCCCTTGTGTTTTGGGTTTATTTCTTCCCGTCTTGTGATTTTGCATCGCAGCACACTGTTTTTTCTAGTTTTCCTTTCATTTGATGGCTTAATTTTCTTCGTCACCTGAGTTTTTATTTCGAGTGTTCCTTCCATTTAAAGGCTAAATTTTCTTCGTCGCTAAAACGACTCAAAATGTTTTTATGTTACGTATCGCCCCCGCCGGTAAAGGTGTTACATGTTGAGCGTGTTTTTCATCTCGCTGTGTTTTTTCCTGCAGGCGACTTTTTGCGGCTCGTCAATTGGTAAACGCGCCGGCTATCATTTCAACACAGTGGACTTTGAGTCGATGGGATACCACTTGTGTGATACTCTACTAGATTACTGTGATCCTGATGATTCAAAGGTAAGAGGTCGTCTTCTCCGTACGTCACCATTTGTGCATCGTTGCCCAGGAGTTTCGATGGGGGCCTTAAGCAGTTAGGACGAAAACACCGAAGACGTCGATTATAAAGACTAATTGTCGATTGATTCATTTACCATTGCTGATATTGTCTTGTTCACAGTTTGTAACTATCTTACGAGTGCTGGAGTTGAAAATGAAGGCGGATATATTGGAGAGGATGAAGCGAAAAGGCACTGCAGCACCTACCCTTACCGAGTCTGACATAGATCTTGACCTCAATTATACTTCTGATATCGAATCAAGGTAGGTTTGGTCTTAAAACCTGTATTTAACCGTGTCCTCTGGGACTGTTGGCTCAACCTATCCAATCACATGTCGAACTCAGCCAATCAGAGGAAGCTGTCGTCACCTGTCCTTCACCTCACGTGAGTTTTCCTGCACAAAACACAACTTTTGATCGGCTCATTTCCTTCTTAAATGCCGTCATAGTCATTGACTTTGTGATAAGTTTGACGGGTCTACGTGTGTTGTATAAGCAAAATCAAAGTAATCTAGACAGCTAACTAGGGAAAGGTAAATTTCATTACAAGCCTGAATGGGCTTTCAAGAGGTAAAAAGCGTGGGAAAACGCGAGTGATAGTCGTGAATGGTTGAAGTCTTGCATTTCATTGGCTCAGAAGGTGGCGCGTGTTTCCAAGACCAAGACCAATCACACAACGTAATGAAGGACAACCACTGCATTGTGGGATTATTATTGATTCTCACTTGAGATTTGCCCGCCGCTTATTTCACCTGAAAGAAGGGGCAGTGTTTATTTCAATTTGTGTTTTATTTCCAGCACCGGCGGTTCAGACAGCTCTATGTCCGATGGTCTGCCAATGCATCTCATTTATGCTCCTGAAGGACTAAAGATGGTGAGTCTTTTGATTGATGAAAGATCATCTTGTAATTACTGACCTTCACAAATTGATATGATCTTACCTTTGGTACTGTTGTGTTCTGAAATAAAATAGTATACTGATCAAGAACCACGCAAGAAGAAGCTGAAGACGAGAAAGGAACGGAACAAGCGGCGAGCCAAAGCTATGAAAGTCAAGGACGTTTTGCTGGCTGATGTTGTGACGCGGTCTGCGGTGAGTGACATGACATTACGACTGACTTGTTTCCTTTTACGTTTGTATCCTATGATATCATAGGGTATAGAATGCTCAGTTGGAGCACATTTTGTAGGGTGCTCCACAACAAAACCGAAGTATTCAAAACAGCCAATCATAGCAAAGGACAATGCCACAAGGAGCCGATGAGAACTGGCTCAAAGTAAAAACAAGCAAATTGCCCAAAGCGCGGGAAAACGCGGGTGACCAAGTCGTGATTGCCCTCAGTTTTGAATCTGATTGGTTGAGAGGGTGGCGCTGGTGTTTTGGACCAATCATAAAGGGAATTTATGCAACACCAAAGCAATCCCGGATGACTTTCGACGCTCATTTGAAAATTTCTTTATATTGATGCAACTCTCTGTACTTTTAGAGTACTGACGTCATTTTTGTTTTCTGCTATTTTAGCAAGACCAAGAGCGAGCGACAGAAGTAAAGTTAATTTACCAGAAACATCACCCAAAAGTGAGTTGTTGGGAATAAATTGCTTATTATTTTCGAAAATTTGCAACTCGAGCAGTCTTGTTGGTAGAAATCACACTTCTGTAGATGTGTCAGGTTTTAAACTCTTTTAAGGGTCTAATGGAATGGATGATTGAACTTCATGCCAGCTTCTGTTTCATGAAGTTTTATCTCCATTATTTTGTCTACCCACCAGGTAATCGTAAAACCTTCCTCGGTATGTTTGAAAAGTTTCCATAGCTTAGCAATTTGTCTGAGATTGGAGCTCTATTTGTTAAGAGTGAAAACGTCAAAACACACTTAAAATGTCTTAAGATGTCAAACACGCTGAGAAGATCTCAATTCAGACACGCTCATTATCGGTAAGATTGAACCATTTTCCTTCCAATATCGTGCGGAGCACGTGGAAAACTAAAAATTGTAATTAAACACTTTGTTAAACTTTGTCTAGCGGTCTGCTCTTCCCAGTTCCGCGCGGATGAAGTTAGACAATCCACAGCCACGGAAGCATGAGCACAAAAGCGACAGCAGACCGTGTACACCGATGGGCTCACTGAAGTTGGATGGTTCTGCATGCAGGGTAAGTACTAAAGTAATGACAGAAAGAGAAAAAAAGAATAAGAGGGATGAGCGAAGGCCGGGAACTAGAGCAGTAACGTTTGTGAAAAATCGTATAATTATTAATAAATAGAGAATGTTACTTGGGTGCGCGTACATATGGAGTTTCTCTTTCGAGTGTTCAACTTGACATCTGAACACGAGAAGAGAAATTCCACACCTAAAGGCAACCTTGTGTTATTTTGTTTATTACATAAACGCCGTAGGCATTTACTGACGAGATAATTCGCCAAACGACCTTGGATTGAGAATGGTGAACGCTTTGCCTTTCATTAATCAACAGGACAGAGTGACGTGATTGGCAAAATCAAAGACCCGTAAAAAAATTATCGTAAATTTTCACGTGTGCGGTGACGGCTTTTCTCAGGGCTGGAAATCCTGGAAATGCAACGCAGTTTTTATAATAAAAGTATTTATTAACAGTTGAACTCTTGTTTTTAAAATTCGTGTGCCTTCTTTAAAGATGAAGTGTGGTTTTCCCACAGCAGGATTACCTGGAAGCTGTCACTAATGCTTATATGATGAGTGGCGTGCTAGTAACTGAGTCAAAAGGTGACTAACCTCTCTTATGATGCAGTGTTCAGTTTTGTGCGCTAACCAGGCGTTCCCCTTTCGATCTCCTAGGGAATCATTGTGCTGTGTTCTTGAGCTAACCTCAATTTTGCGTAAATTCCTCTACCTCCTCAATTCCCAGAAACTTTTCCTATAATTGTAAATGTAATTCCTTCTTTAATGCTTGTCTCAGTCACTACAATACTACCCCAAAAAAGAAAATTAAACAGAGGATGAATTGAACTTAAGTACATATCGTGAAAAACCAAGAACGATATTCTTAAATTTGTCTTATATCGCCCACCTCACATTTCATCTCAATCTACTGTTTGATTAGTTGTTGCCTCTTTGATGTTCGTGCCAAAGTTTATTAACACTCTAACAAAATTATTTTTATGATTATAACAAAAATCAAAAGTAACGTTTGTACACTACACTGTATCCCTATTTCATTTTCACTGCCTTTTGTTTATTATTTTTTTTTATCAGAGGTTCCCCATTTTCGTTACACTGACGGTTCTACTTATCTGAAAGAGACCCCAGAAAGGACTGGCAAGTGAGTTATAAATCTGTGGAGTTAATAACACTTGGAAACTTATTCTTTACTTATTCAGTAGACTTTGAGGAATTTGTTTAAAATGTAGAAGAGGAAAATTTTACCTGCTCGGCTGAGTTAACCTTGAAAACATTGCTTCCCACACGGACACGTTTTGTCTTAGGCCTCCATAACTGAGAGGTCGGGCAAGGACGTTTTAGAGCGCGCGAAACTAGCAACATGTCGAGTGTTCTTTTACCCCACAGTTGTTGCAGGTTATTCATCTTAAGCACTCAGTTGTTGATCCTGGAAAAATTGCTATCCAACAGATTGTAATAAATAGAGAGGTTTCCAAAGCAGTTGCGTTCCCTTTGTGATCCAAAATCATTAGTGCTCACGTTTCCTGATCACAGACATACAGGGATGCGGCACGGAAGACCACAGGCAATTTGCGAACACTTCGGTGAGCGACTGGTGACCAATTTCCAATTTAAAGCGCGAATGACCATGAGGGGGTATTCTCTTCCACCTTGGTGCCCGTGTTATTATTATTTTTTTCTGTAGTAGAAAGGCCCTAATTACGAAACAGGATACGTGAACAATTCCATCAGGCTTTATGTCATTTGATCCAAATTTTACGCTCATTCTGCTAGTTTGAGTCGCTGGTCTGTCGCCAGTCCCGCGCAGCCTCAAGGATTTGAAATAAGTGAGGAGGAGGGACACTTCACGGTGTCTTATTTGGCAAAACAGTTGGAAAAAGCTACTGGTATGTGAAAAAATGACATGAGCTTTGTCGATTTAATGTTAATGATAAGTTATGTTAATGACAATGATATGATTGAAATTTGTAGTAGTTTATGTGAAGATGTTTTACAAGGTCAGTAATTTATGATAATTTATGATGCGATGTTTGACGAGGTCATTAATTTATGATAATTCATGGTAAGATGTTTTACTAGGTCATTGCCCATCAGTGCTCCGTTGTTTCGTATCATTTACTGTACAGTCTATCGCTCTTTCTGTAGATTGTGCGTATGTAGCACCAAAAAGTCGAAATGAAAAGAGAATTAGCTCAGCTCTTGAACTGGCGCGAAAAATTACCATGTACAACAGCCGCTACAAGACGGCCGGGAATGAAAGACAAGAGCCTGTGGTCCAGCCAACGCCTCTACTAAGACCCAGGACTCCTGTGCAACCATATCCGTATTTTCCATGGCAACCTAAAGGGGACTGTTTGTCAAGTACTAAGGTACAGATCGCTGAACATGACAACTCTCTATCATCGGAAGAGATTTAGAACAGCTAATGCCTCCTAGTAGCTTCTTAACTTAACTTTTTTATTCCCGAACAACAACCTTAAATTCCAGTTTAAAAAGCCCTCTGTTCAAAGATAACAGTGCAGGGAAATTTGTAGAAGTATATTCCTATGGTCAGGGAATAATAATGCGAGGCTGTGTAGTATCAGGACGGTGTAACCTGAATTTTTTGTCAAAAGTTGGAAATTTGGTTATTCAGGGAATGAACCTTGTTGTTCACAAGTGCCAATTCTTTTAAGGCAAACAGCACATTTATCTCGTACGTACCTCTTTGCCTCCTTCACGTCTAGCCAACCCGCTTTCGGTCGAAGATATGCATAGCAAACTTAAATGGAGCGTTTACAGTAATGCGTGATTGTATTGGTTTCTGAAAAAGAGCTAAGATTTTTATCGAAGGAAATGGAAGACTCGTTGATTTGTCTGCTGTTGTATTATTTTTAAGGCGCGTTTGTACGAACCGAAACCCGCGAAAGAACAAGAAGTGAGAAAGTCCTGGTCTCAGATTTCACTGGAAGAAAGAAAAACGAAAAAACTCAGCCAAAAGAACTCCGCGAAAAAGAAAGCCCTGTCTGTTGCAGCCACTGAAGCAACAAGTTGGCAACAAACAAAGGAAGAAACGCCGCGCGTACTCAAAAAACGTGAAGGTTGCTTTTTTTTATTTTGTTTCTGTTCACTCTATTAATGGATGCTATATCCTCATTATAAAACGAAACCCCTTCTGTTGAGTACCGTTATTTTACTAGATGGAAAATAAATCATACCTGTTTGTTAACTTTAATTCAGTTCAACAGCTCGAGCCCCCAACTATTACCTCCACTTCAAAAGGTTACCAGTCTCCTCGACAGCCCGCGACCACTCAGTTGACTGCGCCGGAGACGCATGCGCAACCTACGCAATTAGTGGGATCCAAGGTTATGAAGAAATACACGGGCAACGGACAAATGAACAGAAATCCTACCGGTTTGGTAAGTAAGGCGTGCCTCTTTGTTTGTTAAGGACTGTTACCTTTCTTGAGAACTTTGCCTACACTCCGTATCGACCATGTTTCTCTTTTTATCAGACCCCAAGCGCGATCGACAGATTTAACACACTACCAGTGAAACCCAGTTCCAATTTCGTGGACGTATCTCGCTTTACGAGCAGCAATTCTTCTCTAATGACCGGCCGCCAGTCGCCTGTCTACGTCGCTGTACCTGCTGACAGACCTCCTGTGAAGCTTAGATCGAAAGCGCGCATTACTCCGCAGGACACAATCGATATATCCACCATAAATGATCTGAGAAGCAAGCTTTTAAATGTCGATGATTCAGGGTATGATATAGAGAATAATTAATGGGAGTGCATAGATATAGCATTTCTCTTCAAGCGTTCAACTTGACGTCTTACGAGTGAACGCAGCCTATGATATGACGAACGGTACCGGTTAACAAACATGGCGATGGAATCTCAGCTTTCAATATTCATTTCTATTGTAAATAAGTAAATATTTACAACACACTAACGCAATTCAATCTTGTTTTGTACCAGAACTTTAGTGACTTACGCTCTACAGAATCAGGAGGATGAGAAGGTAATGACTCAAGTACAAGATTACGTCCATGAGACTAAACCCTTTCATGCCCTGATCTCATTAATAATTCTCCGTTCAGTCTGTCACACAATTCTTATGATGTTAGTTCTGAGAATTTGTTGACATTTTTCTTTATTCTCATCACTTGTCTGTCTGATATTGTAATGATATTTTAAGGAGAAATTCTGTCTTGATCACTCATGGGAGTTAAAGTGTTACAATTATTTTGACAAGTGGTCTTTAATTTTCCCGCAATGTGAGAATGCGCGCATGCAACCTGGTGCTTATCTTTGATCAGTTGCCACCAGATGAGGCGACTAAGAGATACCCTGCTTCCCATAGATGGACGTCAGGATGAAAAGAAAGTACAAATTGAGTAATTGTCTCAGTTTGTAATGATAACCAACACTTATGACTTATTTTGCCCCCGCAGCCTGTAGCAAGCAGCAGTGACAGCGAGACAGGTGGCGCTCCTTTCGCTACTGAGCATGCTCCATCTGACAGCCCGAAGAGCATAAGAAATGAGTTGAACAGTGTCACCATGGCAACTGGTATAATCCCATGGGAAGACAGCTGTCTCCAAAATGTTGGCTTTGTGACTGGAAAACATGGCAGGAAGTCACAGTCTCCAGTTATATCTCCTGGTAAGGATAGGAAAGAAGTCCCTGAAGGAGAACTGTTCATTTTGTCACGAATGGCGTGGAATAATTCCGGTCCGTGGTCCGTATTGTTAGAAGTTGGACCGGTTATGAGCGCATGATTAGCCAATCAGATTCGAATAATTAAGATTCCTGCCCGCTGAGATGCGTCAGAAAGAAAGAATGAAAATGAATAAAAGCAAAGTAACATGGAAACATAATGAACTAAGAGAACCTTTGAAGGAAAAAGTCCTCTTTCAAGCGAAGCAGCAGTACCCCTGACCGCTGTGTACCACGAAGAGTTTAATGTAGATTTGTTTAAACTTGCAAAGGCATTAACAATTTGTTCCGTCCCTTGAGCTTACCTCCAAGTTAATAGCTTTTCGTGTCTGTCTTACTCACTAAACCACAATGACATATATGAGTAACGTTTACAACAAATTAATCTTCAATTTAGGCATAGTCCAAATAGGAAAGGGACTGAGAGACGAGGCGCCTATGAATGGTGAATCAAAGAGGACCGGCTCACTTAATAAAGCATCTCGAAGTCCTACCAGAAATCAGGAATCAGGTACTGTACTTCTTTAATATATGGACAAGGTGTTTTAAGAAGCATCCGCTACAGTGAGTCTGCTTAAGCACAGTACTTGAGCACCCGAAGTACAGATTGATAGGCGATAGGTTCGACAATTGTCGGAATCAGTCGGTAGGTCTCAAAAGTTAGTCCAAGTATTATTGCCTCGCCGACTGAAGTAAACATCGTTACTCTTCAACAATAGTCTTCGGCTTGAAATGTAAAGCTCTTTTTGTTTTCTGCGTTGTAAACGACCCTATTATGAAGAGGTTTTTACAATTCGTTCCCAATTCAGAGAGAAAAAATTTTAGCAATTACAATTTTATCGGTAAAAGTGGGTGAAAATTACTCAAACTGTTTGCTTAATCCTTCGAAAGCAATCATCTCTGAAGCTTGTTCAAACAAAGTGACCTGTTGTGTCCTTTTTCAGGTGCGGCTCCGTCAACAATTTCCCTGACGTTCCAGTTTGGTTCCGGTGGTTCACCTCGAGAGCAAGGCTTGTCGCCTCCTCAGAGACCACCAGTCTTCCCCCCACAGCTCAAGAATTTTTTTAGACCTCACGGACCACTCCACAGATAACAGCAGTGGCGGAGTCACATGCACTGAAATCATATACAATAGTTGGCTAAACACAGGCTCCCCTCCGAGAATACACTAAGCCCGCGATCTTCAACGGCATTGCTTACTGTGGCTTATACTTTTGTAGTGCCTAAAATCACTGTGGACAGGATGTTGGTGCATGCTAGACCTACTCTGTAACTGAAATCTCAGTCAACTACCCCGAACTCCGTATGCACGTACCACCTCGAATCAAGAAGCATTCCTTTCGCGACAGTGGAAAATATGTGTCAAGACTTTCTGTTTACACCCAAACAAATTTAGGCACTGAATTAGAACACTTTTCGATGGAGTGTTGTTGAAGGAAAATCGAAGTAAGCACATCAATCAATCAGACAAAAAAAAAAATGAATGACCAATGAAAACTCTGACAAGTATAAACTGCCTCAAGCAGCTATTTATTTGAATCTAATTGGTTCAAGGAATTAAAGACAGAGATTGATCGATTGGTGAAAGTTTTGTTTGACATTTTTTATGACATGTTTCTCCCTTTTCTTTTTCCTTTTCTCCTCTGTGCTCACACCGCATTTCTCCATATTCGACTCCAGTTTGTTCGGTTCAATTTCAGAGGTACTCTCTGATTGTGGAGGAGTTTCTATTAGCGCGCTTTCACTCTCTCTGGAGCTGTTCCATTTGGTTTCAAAAGGTTTCGTGTTCTTTTGAACTGTTCTGTCTGATTTTTAACAGTTTGATCCGATTTCGGACTGTACTGTGTGGGTAACGTGGTACGGTTCCGACCAATTATAAATGGTTGTACGTGAATATATAATTGCACTATGTAGTCACTTTTCTTGCCTTCTTTTTCTTTTTTGTTTGTTTGTTGTCCGTATCGCCTTCATTAGTACCACGCTCATCCGTAAAATTCTGTCCGTTTCTTGTTTCTGTATATTTTCGCTTTATTTTTCCACTTTTACGCTCTTTTTCTTTTTTCTTCGACTTCTTGTTTTTCTTTTCCCTAACTTTCTGTTCCTTGCAATTTTCCTTAGAATTAACATTGGCATCGCAACTCTCCTCTGTTGTGCTTTTACAGCTAAAAAGGCAAACGCAAGAGTGGGACAGGTTAGTAGATGTTCCCACAACGAGTAAAAATTTCGAATGAATATTGCAAAATACAAAACGTCCAGTCAACAAGGGTAAATACAACAAAAAGCTGATAATAGCACCAAGAAAACCTCGTGTATATAGCTCCAACCGAGGGAGTGCAAATGACCAAGTGATGACTGGCTTTAGATCGGTTGAGAGGGTTTATTTAATTGTTAGGAAAATATCTAGCGCACTGTATGGTTTTTAGTCTGTTTAAAGTTATGTAACTATCTTCCAAAGTCTCGTACACTGTTTGTTCTCTGGATTGTTTGTTTGTTTGTTACGCAAGAGTCTCGCGTCCTAATTGTTGTCTTGTTTGTTTGTTTGTTTGTAACGCAAGTCTCGTGCACTGTTTGTTCTCTCGTTTGTTTGTTACGCGAGTCTCGCGTACTGTTTGTTCACTGCTTTCTTTCTTTGTTACGCGAGTCTCGCGCACTGTTTGTTCTCTTGTTTGTTTGTTTGTTACGCGAGTCTCGCGTACTTTTTGTTCTCTTCCAAAGTCTCGTACACTGTTTGTTCTCTTGATTGTTTGTTTGTTTCACAAGAGTCTCGTACACTGTTCGTTCTCTGGATTGTTTGTTTGTTTCGCAAGAGTCTCGCGCACTGTTCGTTCTCTGGATTGTTTGTTTGTTTCGCAAGAGTCTCGCGCACTGTTCGTTCTCTGGATTGTTTGATTGTTTCGCAAGAGTCTCGCGCACTGTTCGTTCTCTGGATTGTTTGTTTGTTATTCAAGAGTCTCGCGCACTGTTTGTCTCTGGATTGTTTGTTTGTTTCGCAAGAGTCTCGTGCACTGTTCGTTCTCTGGATTGTTTCGCAAGAGTCTCGCGCACTGTTCGTTCTCTGCATTGTTTGTTTGTTATTCAAGAATCTCGCGTACTGTTCGTTCTCTGGATTGTTTGTTTGTTTCGCAAGAGTCTCGCGCACTGTTTGTTCTCTGGATTGTTTGTTTGTTATCCAAGAGTCTCGCGCACAGTCTGTTCTCTGGATTGTTTGTTACCCAAGAGTCTCGTGCACTGTCTGTTCTCTAGATTGTTTGTTTGTTACCTAAGAGTCTCGTGCACTGTCTGTTCTCTAGATTGTTTGTTTGTTACCCAAGAGTCTCGTGCACTGTTCGTTCTCTAGATTGTTTGTTTGTTACCCAAGAGTCTCGCACACTGATTGTTCTCTGGATTGTTTGTTTGTTATCCAAGAGTCTCGCGCACAGTCTGTTCTCTGGATTGTTTGTTACCCAAGAGTCTCGTGCACTGTCTGTTCTCTAGATTGTTTGTTTGTTACCTAAGAGTCTCGTGCACTGTCTGTTCTCTAGATTGTTTGTTTGTTTCGCAAGAGTCTCGTGCACTGTTCGTTCTCTAGATTGTTTGTTTGTTACCCAAGAGTCTCGTGCACCGTCTGTTCTCTGGATTGTTTGTTTGTTACCCAAGAGTCTCGCGCACTGTTCGTTCTCTGCATTGTTTGTTTGTTATTCAAGAATCTCGCGCACTGTTCGTTCTCTGGATTGTTTGTTTGTTTCGCAAGAGTCTCGCGCACTGTTTGTTCTCTGGATTGTTTGTTGGTTATCCAAGAGTCTCGCGCACAGTCTGTTCTCTGGATTGTTTGTTACCCAAGAGTCTCGTGCACTGTTCGTTCTCTAGATTGTTTGTTTGTTACCCAAGAGTCTCGTGCACCGTCTGTTCTCTGGATTGTTTGTTTGTTACCCAAGAGTCTCGTGCACTGTTCGTTCTCTGGATTGTTTGTTTGTTTCGCAAGAGTCTCGCGCACGGTCTGTTCTCTGGATTGTTTGTTGGCAATGCAAGAGTCTCGTGCACTGTTCGTTCTCTGGATTGTTTGTTTGTTACCCAAGAGTCTCGTGCACTGTCTGTTCTCTGGATTGTTTGTTTGTTACGCGAGAGTCTCGCGCACGGTCTGTTTTCTGGATTGTTTGTTGGCAATGCAAGAGTCTCGTGCACTGTTCGTTCTCTGGATTGTTTGTTTGTTACCCAAGAGTCTCGTGCACTGTCTGTTCTCTGGATTGTTATCCAAGAGTCTCGTGCTTTGTCTGTTCTCTGGATTGTTTGTTTGTTTCGCAAGGTTCTTGAGCACTGTTTGTTCTCTGGATTGTTTGTTTGTTACGCGAGAGTTTCGCGCACTGTCTGTTCTCTGGATTGTTTGTTTGCAACGCAAGAGTCTCGTGCACTATTTTTTCTCCGGATTATTTGTTTGTTACGCAAGAGTTTCGTGCACTGTTTTTTCTCCTGGATTCTTTATCATTTTTACGCACAAATCTTTTTTAATGGGCTAGAGTTTTGCACACTGTTATGTTTTAAATTTGCTTGTCGGTTACGCAAGAATCTCGCGCACAGTTTCTTTTCTGGATTTGTTTGTTCGTTACACAAGAATATCGCTCACTGTTTCTTCTGTAGTTTTGCTTGTCTGTTACCCAAGAATCTCGCGCACAGTTCTTCCCTGGGTGTGTTTGTTCCTTACACAAGAATCTTGCGCACTGTTTCTTCTCGGATTTTTTGGTTTGTTACTCAAGAATCTTGTGCATTCTTTCTCCTGAAGTTTGCTTGTCTGTTACGCGAGAATCTTGCGCACAGTTTCTTCCCTTGGTTTGTTGGTCTGTTATGCAAGAATCGCGCGCCCTGTTTTGTTCTGATTTGTTGGTTTGTTACGCAAGAATGTCGTGCTTTGTTTCTTCTATAGATTGCTTGCTTATTACGCGAGAATCTTGCGCACAGTTTCTCTCGTAGTTTGCTTTTCTGTTACACAAGAACCTCGCCTACAGTTTCTTCCCTGGTTTTGTTTCTCTGTTGCGCAAGAACATTGTGCATTGTTTCTTCTGTAGTTTGCTTGTCTGTTACGCAAAAACCTCGCGCATTGTTTGTTCTGGTTTGTTGGTTTGTTATGCAAGAATCTCGTGCAGTGTTTTTTTTCTGTAGTTTGGTTGTCTGTTACGCAAGAATCTCGTGCACTATTTGTTCTGGTTTGTTAGTTTGTTACGCAAGAATCTCGTACACTGTTTCTTCTGTAGTTTGCTTTTCTGTTACGTAAGAATCTCGTCCGCTGTTTCTTCGAAGTTTGCTCGTCTGTTACGCAAAAATCTCGCGGATTGTTTGTTCTGGTTTGTTACGCCAGGATCTCGTGCATTGTTTCTTCTGTAGTTTGCATGTCTGTTACGTAAGAATCTCGGGCACGGATTGTTTCTGGTTTGTTGGTTTGTTACGCAAGAGTCCTATGCACTTTTCCTTCTTCAGTTTGCTTGTCTGTTACGCAAGAATCTAGCGCTCTGTTTCTTCTGCAGTTTGCTTGTCTGTTACGCAAGAATCTCGCGCGCTATTTCTTTTGTAGTTTGTTTGTCAGCTACGCAAGAAACTCGTGCACTGTTACTTCTGTGGTTTGCTTATCTGTTACGCCAAAATCTCGCGCACCCTTTCTTCTTTGATTTGTTGGTCTGCTACGCAAGAATCTCGTGTATTGTTTCTTGTGTAAATTGCTTGTCTATCACGCGAGAATCTCGCGCACAATTTATTCCCTGGGTTTGTTGGTCTGTTGTGCAAGAATCTCATGCACTTTTCCTTCTTCAGTTTGCTTGTCTGTTACGCAAGAATCTCGCGCTCTGTTTCTTCTGCAGTTTGCTTGTCTGTTACACAAGAATCTCGCGCAATGTTTCTTCTGTAGTTCGCTTGTCTGTCTTGATTTGTTGGTTTGTTACGTAAGTACTCGTGTATTGTTTCTTGTGTAAATTGCTTGTCTGTCACGCGAGAATCTCGCGCACAACCTCTTTCGTAGTTGCTTTTCTGTTACGCGAGAATCTCGCGCACTGTCTCTTCTGTAGTTTTCTTGTCTGTTATGCAAGAATCTCGCGCATTAATTATTTTGTAGTTTGTTAGTTTGTTACGCAAGAATCTCGTACACTGTTCCTTCTGTAATTTGTTTTTCTGTTACGCCAAAATCTCGCGCACCGTTTCTTCTTTGATTTGTTGGTCTGTTACGCAAGAATCTCGTGTATTGTTTCTTGTGTAAATTGCTTGTCTATCACGCGAGAATATCGCGCACAATTTATTCCCTGGGTTTGTTGGTCTGTTGTGCAAGAATCTCGCGCACTGCCTCTCTCTTAGTTTGCTTTTCTGTTACGCGAGAATCTCGCGCACTGTCTCTTATGTGGTTTTCTTGTCTATTATGCAAGAATCTCGCGCATTATTTCTTTTGTAGATTGTTTGTCAGTTAAGCAAGAATCTCGCGCACTGTTTCTTCTGTAGTTTGCTTATCTGTTACGCCAAAATCTCGCGCACCATTTCTTCTTTGATTTGTTGGTCTGTTACGCAATAGTCTCGTGTATTGTTTCTTGTGTAAATTGCTTGTCTGTCATGCGAGAATCTCGCGCACAATTTATTCCCTGGGTTTGTTAGTCTGTTGTGCAAGAATCTCGCGCACTGTTTCTTCTGTAGTTTTCTTGTCTGTTACGCAAGAATCTCGCGCAATGTTTCTTCTGTAGTTCGCTTGTCTGTTACGCAAGAATCTCACGCACTGTTTCTGCCGTAGTTTTCTTGTCTGTTACGCAAGAATCTCGCACCCTCACGGTTTGTCTTGGGCCCAGTTGTATAAAGGGCGGATAACGCTATCCAGCGGATAAGTGTTAACAAAACTTACTGCACTATCCACCGGATAGAGATTTATCTGGTGGAGGGCGTTATTCACCCTTCGAACAACTGGAACTGGTTTGTTGGTTTGTTTCGCAAGAATCTTGTGCACTATTTCTTCTCGAGTTTGTATGTCGCCTAAATGCTCTTCATCTATAAACGTTTCTTGAGATCTAGGAGTTTTTCAATTTTTGTTTTCTTTTCAAGTTCTCTCCATGAAGCAATGCTCCCTTGGCATATTAATCCGAATAAGCAACTTGCTTAACCGTAAGATCTACCACTAGTATTAAATTCAGTAGGCTAAACGCTATCGTTGGCCCTCTATGAAGTCAACAGCACACATACGGGTCCGGAATAGACCCTACCCTTTATCCAATTTACAGTCTCATGTTTCCCTGGGACAACTTAGGCAAAGAATGACTTAGAGACATTTGAAAATTCAATTGCGTCTCAAAGGTAATCCTGAAGAATCTGGCACACTGCTTCTTCTCTGGTTACGTATGTTGCGCTGTTTCTCTGAATTCAGCTTCTTTTAGTGCTGTTAGATCTGAATCAATCATTTGGCAAGCTTTTTCCTAAGCACCGAAAGGTTGTTAGAACCCAATGCTAAGCGCGGGAAAACGCCAGAGACCAGGTTGCTATCGGTTTTAGTTTTGAATCTGAGAGTTATGAGCAAGTATCCTCGGCCACGTTAGGAAAAAGCCATACAGTCCAGGATTATTTCACAAGTCAATTGAAGTAAACACTCCTACACGAGATCTTAAGCACAGATGTTTTTCAGAAATAAAAGACGACAGTATGACGAACCCAACTCCTTTCGCTGCATTTTTAGCAACACCGATCAACTAGAAAGCTCTTGTTTTAACAATTCAAATTTGGCGTTGCAAACGAAAAATCTTCTCACAGCCGTTTTCGCAACTTAGGCATCCGTAACTAAGTGGTAAATTATTCACACATGTTTAGGTAAAACATGTCAAATTTACCATCTTAGCACAATTTACTCACGTTAGTTTAAAAATTTACGCGTAAGCTAACGCAACTCTAAATCACCTGTTTGTTGCCATAGCTATTTTGTCCTGTTCCAGAACTCGCTGGAGTTTGCCATTCAACCGGAACCCATGTCGAGCAGCTCTGAGGACATGACAAATGTAAGATGAGTTTTAGTCTTCATATACCGCGCACTCGCGGCTTAGTTCACCCCAATAATCATCATCAAATCGCTCAACACATTTTCCGTCCCTTCTTTGACTTAGGAGGGACTCTATAGGTCAAGACTTAGACAGCAAACGAAAAGTAGTCCCTTAATGGATCCCGAGCTTGGCCCATTATTCCATAGATGCCCCGGTAACACCCTTGAAAATCAATCTGAAACCAAAAAAGCCTTCAAGGTAGAGTTATCGAATAGGAATCCGAAGTTCGAATGAGGCCTTACGGTACCCAAAAGAAACCTGAAAGAATTTCAGGCTTTGACAGGATTGAAATTGATTCCTCTAGATTACTGTGCACTAGTCTCTACGTCTACACATCTATGTATCTTTTACAACAATATGCTCCTTAAGAAAGATGTTTTTCGTCTTGTCACGGGCGTGCGACAAATAAAAAATTCGGAGTCCCCATGAGGAATCGAACCTCAGACCTTCGGATTCTGCGCTTCGATGCTCTACCACTTGGTAACAAATTATAGTATTTCATTAATTAGAGCCTAAAGCCAGTGACATACTTAGCGATGTTCCTCACCGATCGAGGCGGATAACATCACCAGCTAAAGTTACCCGTATCCGAAATGCCAGTTATCGGCAATTTTCTACCCCGATCGCGGCGATCGGCGTAAATCTCAATCGCTGCACCGGGCACATCCGGCGATTTTAGCTAACTGGTATAAAAGTCGCCGAGTGTATCACCGGCTCAAGTTGTAACGCCCTTTCAATAAGCATATCATTGTAAATTACAATTTCAATAAGTCCAAGCTTCAGTAAGAAAGTCTCGCTTACTTGTGAGCTGTTCTACCGCCACAGGCTTGAAAAACTTTATCCTCGGTGCTTCTAAAAGTATAAAAAGAAATTACAATAATTAATCATTAGGATTGAAAAAAAAAGTGGGATTGGCAGGGTTGTCAAAAGTAGCTGACAGCCGGTCACTATGCAGCTGGTTCTTCATGTTTTTCGTCAGCTACTCTGCTAGGATATTCCTAGATCTTTCTGGTGAATTTCACGCATATTTGTGAGTATTCAGGCATTTGTAATCAAGGTAAGATCTCAGCATAGTCTTCACAAGGTTTTAAATCTTATTTCACCTGAAAATTTTACATGCAAGCAAAATTTGCCATGCAAGAGGCAAAGGAAAAGCATTTGAAAAGTATATGAAAAATTTCATCCCTCAATGCAGTGTTTTCACATGTTTTACAGCAAGTTCTTGAAGCCTACATACACGTGCTTCAGTGCCTCAGTGGTGTTTTGTGACTCAAAATGAACAACCCACAGTTTTCAATTTAAGTATGCTATGAGGCACCTGAGTAAGTTGGCAAAGTCAGTCATTCACTTAAACAAGAAAAGCAACCCATTCATAACATTTGAGTGACCCTAAATTTCCGCCCATGAAGGCAGAGACCCCCTCACAGTTGTGTGGTTGAACAGAAAACAGCTATTATCAATATGTGTCATTTAATGTCTAAAACTACGCACGCATATGAAGTAAGATGACTTTGAAAAAGAGAAATGCCTGCTGGGCTGGAACATCAAGGTAGAGTGACAATAAATAGAATAGAACAAGGAATATAGTTAACATACAAATTTGAGAAATCACGTTCTTCATCTGTGTCTTCCTCAGAATCAGAGAGTGCTCTTTTTGGAGTTTGACTGGAAGCCTGCAAAGACAGAAAGCAAAATTAATAATTGAGAGCCAACTGAAACAAAACGATATTTCTGATCATGTGCATGAGTAGGAAAAGACACTGGGAAGTAAATGTATTTGCAATAGCTTTTTGTGACAATCTGATATTTGACACATGGAAAATAAGTTATTTGAGAGTTACATACATATATACTTTATTAGTAATTCCCAGGGGGGGGGGGCTTGTCAATACTAAACAGTATAATTAATTAATTAACAGAACATTATAATAAAAAATGAATAAAATTATAAAAAGCGGTCAATTAAAATAATTCTCTAACATGTGCGTTTTCAACATTTTTTTTTAAAATGATGTTAAAGATAACTATTTAGTCTTTAAAGTCTTTGTCTAAATTGTTCCAAATGTTGACTGCTCTATGGAGGGATTCTCTGTTTATAGTGTTAAGAAAAGATGAAATAAGATGCTTCTGTTTTGTTTTGACAAGTGAATATATGCTTTTGTTTTGTTTTGACAAGTGAATATTTTGAGAAGTTATCTACAGTAACTTCTGAAGAATGGAGCATTATTCTTTCTTTCCTCAAGTAGTTGGTAAACCTTTCAATCCCAAGATCTCCATTGAAATTCTCCTAAATATCTGCCATACATTTCTGAGAATTAAGTACAAAGCCAACAATATCCCGTAGTTTATATTTTTCAGTTTCATCACCTTTCCAGGGGTTTCAATGAAAGCTGGTTATCAGTGGTATACTACCACCTGTGAGACTCACTGTAGATCTGCTCAGTCTGTAAGCACTTTTCTGGACACAGCTATCTGTCACGCCCTTAGCAACCACTTATGGAAAAAGTTATTGAAACCCTTGCTTTTCTGGTAGGCAATGTCTTGACGAGGTTGACAGAAATTACACTTGCTCATTGGTTTCTCCCAGGAGTGAAAGGCTTTAACTAAGCCTAAGCAGAGAATAAGGAATAATATTCAAAAACAAATATTAAATACCTTGACAAATCTGCCATATAACAGTGGTTTGTTTGAATTCTTGCTTGGTCTTTTACTACTAATTACACACGATTCTTTACCAGACTTCACTACTTCTACTCCATCCTGTGCATGTGACGAGAAAAAACAAAACAAAATGACACACTGTTGCATTTCTTATATGACTTGTGTTTTTTGTTCTTTGTGGTTCATACATAAATGGACCTTGAATTGTTGTTCTTGCAATATTATGTTGAAAATCCTTGAAGATCTTTTCAACTTCTACACTGCTAGCTTTTGACAGACAGTGATGACAGGGGAACCGCAACACCTCACCACAACATTTCACAAAAATGTAGCTCATACATATAGGACAATAATGCAAAAAAAGTAGCCAAATACTGCAATACTTCAATATCAAGTCAAAATTTTTTTATGTTTAGAGCAAATAACTTGGAAATAACAATTAAGAATTTGTTAATGACCATAAATTCAGGTAATTTTCAATTTAGACAAAATATACAAAATGCAGTCAAACTTGTATTAAGTGGTCACCCATAAGGAATGGCTGGGTGACTGCTTAATACACCTTCTTCAGACAAGGGGCATTGAAAAACAACGTCATTGTATGCTATAATTATGTGTAACCACTTAATGTCCAAACATTTGCTCAAAAATACTACTAAAATTGATTTATGGAGATAAAACTGGCTTAAATTTTGCTTGAAAGTTTATTCTTAGTTTTATTTGAGTGGTTCAACTTTATGTGACCATTCAATACAGGTGGATGACAACACAAACAGGCGGTTGGGGCCCAGTTAAGGGTGACCATGATGCTCCATCAAACCTCAGTTTCCTTAGTCAAGCAATAAAAAACGATTTGTTAATGTTGACATCCATCCACTTTAGACACTTGTGGTCATTATGCCTCAAATAGAGTCAAATTACTTCTTTAAAAGGGTTAAAATGATAAGAGAACTCTTTCAGAGAGGCATAAAATAGAAATACTACCCCCTTTGCCTTGTAAGAGCTCTACAGGTTTTAATTTGAAGCAGAGGAAAATATGGATAACCAAGGCACAAATGGTTTTGATCTTGCATTTGATGGGTTGAAAATATGGGGAAAGGTTTTTTGACCAATCAAAGATCAAAATGGGTACAAAGCTAAAAGCCAAAAAGTCCCACATAGATCTTTTGGCACAAAAATGCTAGTATATTTCCATTTCTGCAGATTTACATGTACTTATGAACAAAGGGGTAAGTTTCTAAAGAAACTGTGGTGCTGTGTTGGTAAGAGAGTATAACAGGGTAAATTGGTATTATAAACTGAGTTGACAGCATAAATTAGCCACCAAAGAGTTTCAAAGCTGACATTTCCAGCTTTACCCCTTCAATCACTCAGTCGATAACTCTACATTACCCTGTTACATGTACTTACATTGCTCTCCTGTACCACTATACTCTTTGCTGTTTTGTTGAAGACATGATCCCACCAGTGGAAACTAAACTGATCACCAGCATCATAGCCAACCTTATTGTAAAAAAGAGAAATACAAGAAAACTAATTAAGTATATAAATAAATTACGAGGAGAGAGAGATAGAGAAGTTACAAACTCTGCTGTCAAAAAAGAGTGAGGTATAATCAGGTGAATACCCTTACAAATAAATTCTTTAGAACACTGTTTCACAGCTCACCAAGACTTCATGTGCATTATTGTTTCCCAGTTACAAGAAAAAGTGAAAACTGTGGTTAAAATGTTTTAAAAAGTATGGGCAAGTAGTTGGGTTGATCAGCACTTATACTTCTGTCTATGAGTGTTGGTAGGTTTCAACCACCTCCTTCTTTAGTAAAGCCAAGTTAAAAAAAAAAAGAAAGTTATATTACAAAATCCACAAAAGAAATCTTCTGTTTGTTACTAATGAAAAAAAATCAACTCTTATGTTTTTTAAGGTTTCAATCCAGACAAAGGTTTCAGAGGTTGTTCATTTTCAGTGGGCACTGTGGTCTTCATCAATAACTTCATTTTCACCAAGGTAATTTAGCATTAACAACTGAGTTTATAACATAAATTAGCCACCGTAAAGAGTTTCAAAGCTGAGGGTTAGCCCTTTGTCAGAGTGAAGTCCCTCCGACTAAGGGCTAATGCTCAAAATGTTAGCTCTGAAACTCTTTATAGTGGCCAATTCATGCTATCAACTCAGTTGAAAATGCAACTAAATAACCCTGTTATACTCTCTCAATGACGCAGCACTTACCCCTTTACATTCTTGTCAGACTGATATGAAATACACTAAATAAAGACAACTGATGATATACATGTATGTGCATTACCCCAGCAGTATCGGTTTTAATGTTGACTTTGATTGCTTTAGAAATCCCACTTTCCTCTTTACCTAGACCTTTTCCTGTGAAAGAAACATAAAAATCCTAAGGCTTAAGGACAAGCAGTCTTTACTCTCCTTAACCCTTTCACTCCCAAGATCTCATTAGTAATTCTCCCTACTGTTAACCATACATTCTTATGAGTTATGTTAAGAGAATTTGGTATTGAATCCACTAATAATCTCCTTACTTGATATTTTTCTATGTTCTCATTACTTTTCTGCTTGATATTGTGTAGATATGGTAAGGAGAGATTCTGCCTCAGTCACTCATGGGAGTGAGCTACATGTATGAAACATGCAGTGTCCTTCATTTCCTCACAATGCAATCTCTTATATACCTTTCCATCTCAACAAAGTAAGAAAAATAGGCACCACTATCAATAAATATTTCATAAATAAGTGAATAATATGCAAAAGAAGTTCATTTGATGATGTTCTCGAGAGTGCAAACATAAGCATTGAGGAGATGGGCATTGGGATTTTCGGTTTTACGGTTTTGGCTATTTTTTAAACTGGCTTTTCAGTTTTTATGCCAAAAACTTCGGTTTTTTGGTTTTACTGTTCATTTCGGTTTGTGGATTTTCCATTTTTTAGCATTTGGTTTTCAGTTTTCATAAAAAATACTAATGGGTTTTCGGATTTGATATCTGATGTGGTTTTCTGTTTTTCCTATTTGACCTATTTGGGTTCCGGTTTCTCTTCAATCTGAGCAGCAATTGCACGCCTCCACTGATCTCGAATAGCTGCTAAATGCAAATGTTATCGAGAGGAATGTATGACAAACCAATTAAAATATCGCAGGTATTCCTAGGTAGCCTACATGTAGCTGTACCCTCCCCTTCCCCATGGTGGGGGGGAGGGGAGGGTACGGCTACACGTAGGGTACAGCTAAGCATGGAACATTGCCAGAGTTTCTTTATCAACGCCACCTTGAAGTTGGTGACCAAGTTACAGGCCATGTGTGACTGATTGATTCAACATTCCAATAGAATCTCCAAACTTTCAGGTCTTAGTTTGCAAATGGAAATGGTAGATTAAGGATTTTCATGAAAACTTTCCAGAGCTATAGCTTTTTGCAACTGCAAAATTGCAATCCTATCAAGGACTTTTGTTCAAATTTCCCTAATTTAAGTAGGCTCCATTACTAGCTGCTGAGTCCGCAGAGACCACACTCGAGGTCCTCGAGAGAGCAGCTGTTAATTTAAGCAGATACTAGATGATACGAATGCCAAGTCCATGGCACTCGTATCTTCTAGTATCTAAATCCCGTAATGAAATTAGTGTAGTTTACTCTGTATGCTCCACTTGTCACCAATAAATCAGATCGATCAGGGTTTCAATAACTGGGATGTGAAAATGTATCGGTTTTGACAGTTTTGCATGCGGTTTTCGGTCTTAATCGATTTTTTTTTTCGGTTTTTCGGTTTTGGATGATTTTTTCTACGGTTTTGCGGTTTGTAATAAGCCCCAATGCCCCCCTTGTTGAGCAAATGAAAACATAGGGTAAAATAAGCGACAAAAAATTAGTAAAGGATCATTTCTTCACTTAGTAAAAGAAATACGAAATAGAATGCCGTGAGCTCTTCAAAAATAATGAACTCTCAACGATTCCCGTTCTGTCCACGTGTGTGACTCTCGGTCCATGTGCACTAATCATTTTAATGCGTTGACGATATTTATGAGTTCATTCCACCTTAAGTCTCAATTTCGATTATCAAACTATTCAGTACTTTGCCTACCTTCAGCCCAGCCATGTTTCTCGAGCTGTTTTCTAGCGAATGCCGTGTCAGCCCCCATCTCCTTCAGTTTGTTCGCCATCTTGTTATGCAATGTTATCCAATAAACGCTTTCTTCCCAGTCTCCTTTTCAGACTACTTCATCAGCCCTCGCTGTCTTCACCAGGCTCCGGTTGTTCGTAGGATCAATAAGCTATCCAGTAGATAAATCTCTATCTTTTGGATAGAACGATACGTTTTGTTGACACTTATCCGCTTGATAGCGATTTATCCGGCGGATAGTGGTATCCGCCCTTTAATCGACTGGGCCCTGCCGACAAAGCCAACAACGGTGGTTAGCAAAGGTAACCAGTCACTGTGCCGACATGATAACTCGCCGACACCAAGACATGTCGGCGAAGTTACCGGTAACTCTACAAACGCGAGACCAAAGTATGCGTAAAAATGAAAGGAAACATACTGAAAAAAATATAAAAAAACCGGAAAAACCGAGAAAACGAACTTGCAAAATCGCCGAGAATCGTCCAAATTGGAAGTTATTGGCAGGAAACGGCTGTGAAAGTCCGAAGTCGTAAGTAAACTTTCAAAAACGGCCCAGGTGTCAGAAAACAACTGCAATTAGCTGAAAGCGGACGGAACCGTGTGAGAACGGACGCAAGTGCCCGAAAGCAGACGTAGGAGTCTAATTTTTTAAGGGAATACAATTCGACATTTCAGCCTGTGTCGCAAGCAGGAAGATTGACCGTGCTTTTAGCAAAAGGGAAATCTTGTTATTAGCCTGAATTTTTTTTCTCTGCTGATCCATGCTTTCTCGTGTAGGCATGATACTAGAGTTAGTTGATTTTGGCTCACTTTCTTCGGAGTAGTATTTGTAGACAGATAATGAAAACAGTGTGTCTGGCCAGTGTCGCCAAAGGAAATATTTTTATGAATTATAAACTGTATTGGAAAACTGCCAATAATATGGAATATGTTGAAACAAGATAAAGTGATCATGATGAGGATAAACTGAGAAACAACTTTCGAAAAAAACAGACTCTTGTCGGAAAACCGTGCTCAAAGTTGTTCTAAAACCGAAGAAAAAGTGCCCTCTATACCTGCTGCAGAAGATTTTTCTGAAACCAAAATACACGCAAATATTTCGGTTTCTGAAAAGTTAGTAAAATTTTACTGGGATAAAGTAATTCAGCGTCATGGCTGAAATGTCTATGAGTAATTTTAATAGTCAATTTTATTTTGACTCGCAGGAAAAAAGCTGCGGCGAAAATATAAAAAAAAACAGAGTATTAAAAAAGACTATTAAGTTACTAACGCGAAAGGTTCTTAAATTGTCACTCAGCAAGAAACCTACTTATTAATAATTTCATACTTATCACTAGAAAAGACAGATGCTTTTTAGAGTCCCAAGCCTTGTCTTATTTACCATATTACTGTTGATATGAAATATTTTAAAAATTTAAATCAACGCTTTGAAAAAAAAACTATCATTGAGTTATTGCAACTGCAATAATATCTGGATTAAAATTGCTTTTGGATACATATCGATCAGTATTATTTACATAAAGAAACATTTACCTTTAAAATACAAATGTACCGAGTTGCAAATTACTAGTAAAACTATTTTGCAGTAAAATTCGAATCTTTACATATTAAGAAAACGAAGAAGCGCAATTCCAGCGAGAAGCAGTTTACAACTGATGTAAACTGTGCCCGCGGTATTCGGATTGGTTTGGTACATGATCACCATGGTTCCTTCAACTTTCTTCTCGAGTAGTGTGCAGTTTGTTCCATTTACGATGGTTGTGTTGTACCGAGCATTGCTCATGAGCACAAAATCCTCGTCTTTGATGTCCTTCAGAGACACCGTTTGATTGATTCCTGTACGTCTGAGTACATCTCCGGTTTTTTTGTACGTGATTGTTGTGTTGAGTTCCAGTAAATATTCGTCGATTCCCTCTCGTAGATTTTGCATCTCCCCTTTCTTCGTTTCGTTCACACACAAGTTGCCATCCGCATCCATGAGTTTGCTTTCTTCAGAGGAAAGCCTCACAGCTCGGTCTTTGGGAATGGTGACGTAGCTTCGGTACATGGGATACCCGTACCGGTAAACTTTGGCATTGCCTAAAGTGTAGCGAACCACCATATAGCCGACGAAAACCTTCGTAAAAGTGTTTGTGCGCAAGCCCTTTGTTGTTTGAGTTACAATGACCGGCGAACGCTTACTCTTAACTGGGATCGGTGTGTATTTGGTGGTTTTGTAAACGGTGTTACTTCCCCCTGACGACCTAGATCTACTAGATCCACTATTTCTTGAAGTACTGCGCGATCGTGAACTGCTGCCACCGCGACTTCCACTGCGCCCTCCTCGAGCGGCTTCTGAAAAATCCATCTCGATGAATACGAGAATCAAAACGCACAATAACAAAATCTTTTGTAGCTTCATTGCTTTCTAGTCGAGTTTAACAAGCACCTTTTACCTCGTGATGTATATCTACACATAAGTTACCCTTCTATATATACATAGATATATATAGAGTGCCCTTCTTTCGTTTTCGAATGGAAAATTACTCAGAAACTTGCGCGACTCTGAAAAACCATAGTAATTATTATTCATAGAAATTAGAGTACACATTAGTCCAATTACTTAATTCCATATTTTCGTCTGGACAATAGTTTATTTTCTTTATAATAATCATCCTTGACGTCACGTTGTCAAGGAAACATTTATTTATTTTAGCCAATTGTTCAGAGATGCGTTATTGTGAATAAATATCGACATTCTAGGGCAGCTTTGTAGCTAGCTTAGTAAAATTTTTTAAAGAATTAAATATTTATGTAATATGATGACGGTTGTGGCACCTGCCTTCGGAGAAAAAATAAAAACATGACATGCTACATAAAGGCCTCTCTCGATTGTACTTGGCAACTTTTGAGCAGCTTTTGGCGTTTGAGGCAACTTTTTGCAATTCTTGTAAAGGTTTTAAAAATTTTGGTATTTCTGAGTAATTTTTGCACAAAATGTAGGTTTAGAGCACATGTTAAGCATGAAAGAGTCAACGATTTCCATTCATGCAAGTCTCTTTAATGTTAATCAACCTTCTTAACGCATATCCTGTTATTTGAAAACGTTTCGTTCGGTAAGACGCCAAATGAACCATGTTTTTTGTTCCGCTAGACTTATGGATGTCCTTAAATTTCACCCATATTCACGAGCAACTCTTTAAAGCTAAGTTTCGAGCTATTTTAATTTCTTGAGTGATTTTAACTCTTATTGTAAGAAATGAAAACAAAAAAACAAAAAAACTTAAACTTTTAGCGTTTTCCAAATGTGTTACAAAATCAAACACAAGGGGAGGTAATCGCAATTTCTGAGGTAAAGCAGTCGGGAGAACATAGTTTTTATTCTCGCCTTTGGATAGCTTAAATTGGTTGAATTAGGAGCTGTTGATCCTTTGTGGAGGATAGGTTTCATCCACTGTCTTCGACGAAATGCTCGCGGCGCAGGAGTGCACTCTGGGGAAAAAGCGTTTACGCGGCCGTTTGTGTCATTAAGAAACTAGGGATGATTCAGCTTGATCCAAAGTAGCGGGAAGGTGTATATCCAGTGGGTCAGCCTTGAATTAACGGACTCAATTAAACCATACCACTGAGGCCAACAAAACTTTTAATATGTAGGAGGTTTCAAAGCATTTTCAGAAATAAGATACAATGCATTCCGCAGTGATTGGTTGTTTGCTGTCATTGATTGGTATCTCTGAAAAATGAAAAAGGAAGTCTTCAAAGACTCGTATGAAACGGACTCCAAGGAAACTGTCAATTTTTACACCGTAATAGGTAAACAAAACATCATCGCTCAGCTGCAACATCCTATTAATATGAAAATTAAGCCAAATTTAGCTTCGATCCGTCAAATTTTTAATTTGAATGCATAATTTACCCAAACTGACTCACAATGATACGAACAACTTGATAAAACAAATTCGAATCTCTCGAATTTTAATGATGTCTTTTTTTATTATTATCGTCGTGCAAACGGTAAAGAAATCGGTGCAATGGTCTTAGCGTCGAGAAAAACGACTTGTTTATTACAGTGAAGTTTTTATCATCATTAATGTGTGCCCTGTCGTTCTATTTGCTGAGCATTCTTAACAAAAGTGGCTTTTGAAGCTGTCACAGCACGTATTTGCGGCTAAAACTGTTACTAATCTTCCCCAGCTGTCGCCCATCAAGATTTAAAACATCTTTGGCTGATTGCCTCACTTTCTTGATCATTATGATACCCATCGACAAACACAAATTAGTTTTGTTTTACTGAGAAAGAAATTTATGTTATCAAAACGATAAAAGGGTTATCTGCTTGCACACAAAATTTAAAAGGGAGATCGCATCGCTTTGTGGCATATGAAGTCACTAGAGTTGCATAATTTTTCATTGTTCTACAACGGTCATCTAGGTTTATTTTTAACGCTTCGATTTTTCGATGTAATTACAGCGCGATAGCACTTTTTTTTATATAATCTTTGGAATGAGTTCATTAAAAGAGTCCTTTAGGAAAAGTAAAATGAATCACGAAGTTTTGCGATTGTCGGCGGATTCTCGATATTTATCGTCAGTGGCTCTTAAAAATCTTGAGGAAAAAATAACTTGGCCTTACTATCAGCAATTTTGCGCTATTAAGACGTGTTTAAATTGGCTGAAATAGCAATCTTGTCAGCAGTGACCTCTCTTTGTCTCTCTTGATCTTTTATAATCGAGGAAGCTCAGAATAACTACTATTAACGACTCACGAGAGCAGAATATATTATCTTTATTTATGGCACTATTCAAGGTGTCCTGAATTAATCTTCTGAATAAAACAGAACAGAAGTTTTTCTATTTATAGTTGATCTAGGAACTTGTGAACTCAATTTCCTGTTTCAACTTCATTCTCAAGAGGATAACTAAGTTGTTAAAGAAAAAGTTGACCATAAAAAACAAAGCTCTTTTTCCTAGCATAATTTTACTGGCATTTTCTCCCACGTTGTGTAATGTTTACACAACACTGGAAGGCGTTTGAAGGGAACCCCACTGTTTTTTAGCGGTGTTTTTTGTTCTCCAAATCAATTAATACGATGTAAATCACATTCTCTTTTTACCAAGTTCTATTTAAACAATTTATATTTCCCTGTTTTTTCAACCACAGGCGGCCCAAGCTCCAGCTGTGAGATGAGCATCTTGCGTAACAAGAATTGTGGCGACGGATCTTAGGAATTAAAAAATTACAGTCAAATTCTCAATAAAAGTACCTCACCTTCCTTTCACAGTGCATTTCTAGGTATCTGACCGCTTGTTACGTTAAAAGAACCCATTTCAGCTCTACAAATGGATAAATTCGCAGACTTTTATCGTTTCCTGGTTGGTATAGTAGTTTCGACAAGTACTTCTGTCTCGACAGTCATCGTTCCTCCGCTTCAGTTAAAAATATCATGACAGATTATAATATATCTTGAAAATTTTCCTGTATCACAGTGGTGGATCAAGATCATTACAGTCTCTCGCTATTACGGAAATGCGGACACTTTTATGTCCCCAGCAAGACATTTCACTTGTCTTTTTCTCTCCTTGAAGCAGACACTTCGTCCAAAATTCCTACTCACATGATATATAGCGACATTACGATAAATGAAAATAAAGAAACCATTCTTCAATTGGGTGCGAAAATGAGTTTTTCCTGCTGGCGGCAGGATCTTTTTCCGGTTCTTGAGGCCACGTTAGAAACTTTATGTTTGCGTAGCTGCCTATTATTTGATATGTTTACAGACAAAACAATTTTTTTGTCTCGTACCCCACTATTACGTACTCTCGCTATTATGAACACAAAATCTCTCCAAGAGGGTGTCCGCAATAACGGGAGTCGACTGTATTATCTATCTTTCAAAACATGTGTGTACTTAACTCATTTTTAACCAAATTGTGAAAGGAAAAAGGACCTAGCTATTTTTAGGGTAATTTAGAGTTATCAACTGAGTTGATAACGCGGTAAATTTGCCCTTGGCTCCGGCGAAGGGCTAACGCTCGAAACGTCAGCTTCGATGGCCAATAATTTACGTTATCAACCCATTGATAATATTAAATTACCCTGTTGCACACTCCCACCAACGCAGCATCACAGTTTCTTTCGAAACTTACCTCTTAATTCATTTGGCTTTTTTTAGCCCAATCAAAATTTAAGAAGGGGGAGATAATGTTGAAACAGTTTCGACCTTCTAAAATGTATTTTCAATTTAGAGTATTGACAAAAACTGTCGCCTTCAATAATTAATGGCGTATCTTTGTAAATTTGTGTGCTTTTATTAAAACATAACTGAAACTTAGCGTACGCATCATTCAACGCCAAATGGCACCATGCAGCACTTAGGTCATACGATCTGTTATAACAAACAAGGCGATGTCTGAGTTGAAAGACCGCTCATAATTTAACTTCGAAAAATCCACTCGTTCGTCAAGGATTATGGCCATAACTTTCAGTTGTCTATGTAAAGAGGAGTAGTATTACGAAGCTTTATTCACGATCAAAACCGGAACGACAATCGTCACAGCTGAGTGAGCAAACATTAATGCCAGATGTCTATCATATCATTGGCGTAGACACCTACCTATTATTTACATTGTCACTAGGCTGCTAATTAACTTTGTGAAGACTAGCCAGTTTGCGCCGGATATTTCTGGAAGATTACAACTCCAAAATGCGTTATCACTCGTGGCCAACTTCAACACGGAGTATAACCGCCACTGGCGGGGAGATGGTTTTTCAGTCTTGTCGCGCCGCAGCTAAGACAAATCAGTGAATTCAGCGTTTCTATTCATGGCCCTCGCACTGAAGTGGACTTCCAAGAAACATATGTAAACATTAATATGGCTTCGTTGAACCAGAACAGCAGCGAATCTTTTACGAGTGGCATCGAGTATAACTGCAACAAAACACAGGAGGCGATTTTTTTGGTCCTCTACGCAGTTGTAGGGATTGTCATGTTTTTTGGGAACAGTTTCGTCTGCGTGGTTTTCTTAGCATCCAGGAAACTTCGCCATAGTTTCATGAATATGTTTCTGTTAAGCTTGTCAGCCTCGGACATCCTAATGGCTGCTTTTGTTATTCCCTTTTACACAGTTCACTGTTTCCGAGACTGTCCTCATTCGCTGACCTCTTACTGTTGGCTTTTAAGAAAGGCTCGAGACTTCGTACTGGCGGCAACCACGCTCAACATTTGCGCAATTACTTACGATCGTTTTCTCGCCATTCTCCGTCCGTTGCAATACGGTGCCAAAATGACAAGACTTAGAGTAGGGGTCATTTTAACAGCCGTGTGGTTGATTCCCGCCGTGGTAGCTGCAACACGCAACGCATGGAATCAAAGAACTGACGACAACGCACAGCGTCACCTTAAAGTCAAGTTGTATGACACATTTGTCGTTATAATCCCAGTGCTTCTGTTTCAGATTGGAATTGTGACTGTTAACATTCAGATAATTCGTAATATTCACAAACACGAACAAGCTGCTAAGATTTGTGGTGCTTTGCATTCACCAGATCAACAAAAAAAAGACCTGAGAGAAATTTCCCGTTTAAGAAAGGGAACAACATCATGTGTTATTGTTGTGATGACATTTGTAATATGTTGGTTGCCAAAAACTGTGCATAATTTTAGCTATATTGTGGATTCTCCAGATCCTCTCTTATCAAGTCCCTTATTTTTCAGAATTTGTTTTATTTTCCTATTTATACAATCGTCTTTCAATCCATTTATTTACACTGTGTATAGAGCACAATTCAGAAAAGCTACAAGGGACATTATCACAAGATTTTATCTCGGCCCAAAGCAACAGAAAAATAATTCTTATCTCTGATTGGAAACTCATGTTGTCAATAGTGTCTGTTTTATTTCATTTGTTATGCATAATGCAATTAGAAAAAGGCCAACAGCTATGTTTTTGCGACGAGATGTCTCGTTTGATATACACGCTATCGATGACATAATCTGTTTTTCCAAAGTGTACAGTTTTCATAATACGATTTGAGAAATGCTTGACTAAAAGTTTTATCATTTTAGGAATGAAGAGGCCTGTTTTGAAATAAGAAGTAACAACGCGATGACTGTTCAAAGCTTGATTTCATTTAATAATTTAAGCCTAGTTTTAACTGACGAATAATCTTGTTGTTAATGATTCAATCGCAAGTGAACTATTGCCAGAATGCTGACCAGGTGGTCCAGTCCTATGGTCATCTTTCATTTGATGTCCAATTTTCGGAACAAATCTTCTTTTAAAAAATGCACCAATCCTTCAACATTAAAAATCTCACTTGAGCATCAAGCGCCAGTGATAATAAAATAGCTAGAACTGACCTGAACTGATTCTTTGAAAGAGATCGTGTGTTTATATATTTGCATCCGTGTTTGTCTCAAAAAAATTTCGAAAGACAATTAAATCAATTGACACGCAGCGAAATTCGTAATTTGTTTAAAGGAAGGTAAAGCTTTCGAAAATGTGGACATAAATAACAGCAACCTAATAAGATTTAATTCTGGAGATGAAACAGGTTATAATTTCTGTTAAAGCTTTGTCTTCGCAACTGTTGCCCCCGAGTAGAAGGAAGGAATCCAGTCCAATCTGATTTCAGATTTGTTCAAAATCCTCAGACAATCCTTTCACGCAAAATAATTGCTTGATTCGCTAACGTAGAAATTGCGTACTTCGTACAGCATACGCGAACTGTCAATTTGTGAGCAAATATACGTAAATGAAAGCCAAACTAACGTATCACCCACTGCTGACAATTTTATCTGCCATTTGAAAAATTTGTATTCCTTGGCGAATTTTAATATAATTAAAATGGCCTATTTGTTTGGGTGACATCACGGCTTGAAGTCGAGATATTCTCTCGAAAAATGCATGATCCTTAAGATTTGGCGACCTCCATTGTCTTTTCCAACTTAAATACATAATAGCACGAAGGAGGTAAGTTTCAAAAACAAAACTATGGCGCTGCGTCGTTGAGAGAGTTTAACAGAGTAATTTGGTATTATCACAAGGCAACTGAGTTGATAACGTACATTGGCCACCGTAAAGAGTTTCAAAGCTGAAACTCTATACAGTGGCCAATTTACGTTATCAAGTCAGTTGCCTTGTGATAATACCAAATACCCTTAACCCTTTAAGTCCCAGAAGTGATTAACATAAAACTTCTCCCTACAATATCCGTACATTCTTCAGCAAACAGGTAATAAGAATATTCAAACTTATCAGGTAGAAGCTGCTATCTTGATCTAGCACCAAGTTCTCATAACAAATTTATAAGGAAATGTGTAATAGCTAGAGGGGAGAATTAACAATCAGATCTTGGGAGTTAAAGGGTTAAATGCATAAGACAACCGCTTTGATTAAATACACAGACACTAATTGGCAAACATCTTTGTCAACTTCAACATGAATACACATGAATACACAAAACACGACCGCTCTAAATACATTCAAGACACTTTCAAAACAGTTTAGGAAGAAAAACGCGCCTATTTTTTCAGGGGCTCAATAACTTCTTCCATAAGCGACTGCCGATGGTGTTATAGGCTGCTGTGCCACGAAATGAAACCCAAACGACACGAGAGCCTACACGCAAGCTGATCACAGGCGATGAGAAGTCTTACAGGCGTCGGTAGACCGCCAGCAACCGACTTTCACTCGGCCTCTTGTTTTTGATGTATAAAGATGTTCCCGCTCGACTCTCTAAATGAAATTTCTCGTGATGGGTAAATATTTCTTCCGCGGAAAAAAAAAAGTTCAAGAAATAGATGGCCTTTTACTTTTTAATTTTCTTAGTTCTCAAGTTGACGTATGCAAATGCACGATAAGATTAGCATGTGTAAACACTTATCTCGGTTTAATTCATTTTGGCTGATCAATTATAAAAAAAAACCCAGACCATCATTAATGCCATAACACCCGATATTTATTTTCGTTTCAATCGTCAGTTTTAATTCAGTTCTTTTAATGTTGAGCTATCATTTCACAGGCACTGGGTATTTTTTTTATTTAGAAGAACCCGCGTCACCCTCAGAAAATTCTTCGGAAATCTTCGACAGTCTTCGTTGGTGAAAGTCATCGAGGCTATCTGTTCAATCCAACTTGGTGATATAGCAGCACTGCAAAAACAGCGTTAATTTACTTAATTATAGTGCTTTTGGTGTTCACCAAACCCTGCTGACATGCGTGGGTTTTTCTATGATTCGGGAACTCTCTCTGAACGTTCTACGGCTGTTGTCTTCAGATTTTATCGGAAGCAATCTGCCCATAGATTCGTTCCTCGGATGTTTGCTTTATTGAAGGCTATTCATGGGATTGGAAAAGAGGAAGGGATACAAAAGAGATTCAGATGGTTGTCTTAGATTACATAGTAACTGAGATGCTACGAGCCTCTTGATTGGTCAAAAGCCTATCGTTTATTGAACCAGCAAAACCCATAGAAAATTGAAAGTTATTTTATTAAAGAAATACAGTCGAACTTGCGTAAAGCGGTACTAGGAGCCCATCACTCGGAGCTTCCATCTTCCATACTTACCCTCTGAGTCAACCCTGTCCCGTATCTTTTTATTTTTAGAAGCACCTCCTACAGGGTTTTTCGCGGGTGTTTAACATAATAGCCAATCACAAGAGAGCTGTGGTCCTCTATTGTTTACGTCACATGCAGGCCGCACGAACGGTGTTTCAATAATGGCGAAAAGCGTGGAAAGTTAATGCGAACGTCAGCGTGTTTTCGCGGAAAATTAAAGAACCCCCCCCCAAATCTCAGTTCTAAAAATAAAAAAATTCGGGACAGGGTTGACTCAAGGGTACAATTGGTATGGAGGCTCCGGATAATGGGCTCCTAGCGGTACCCTATTGAACGATCAGTTGTCAAAGTTCCGAAATTGTTTCCTCTTAATCACTGTAATTTTCACCTCTTTTAACCCTTCAACTCCCAAGATCTGATTAGTAATTCTCCTTACTGTCTGCCAAATGATTCTCATTATGTTAGTTTGGAGAATTTTGTATCGGATCAACTAGTAATCCCATAATTGGTATTTTTCTTTATTCTCATCACTTGTCTGCATGATATTGTATAGATATAGTAAGGAGAAATTCAGACTCGGTCACTCACGAGAGTTAAAGGGTTAAGCAGTCGCAGTCACCCTTTACTGAGTCCCAACGGCTCCACCTGTGTTGAAAGGTCACTGAAAGCGGAACCACTTAAATAAAACTAAGAATAATCTTTCAAGTAATTTTTAAGCCATGTTTCTCTCCCAAAATCAAAATAAGTAGTATCTTCAAACGAGATTTTGTAAATTATGTGGTTATTGCGTAAAGCGGCTTGTTATCGTTTTTTTTTATATTAACCCTAATCTGTGGAACCTGTTAAGGGTGACCGCTTAATACAGGTTCGTCTGTAGAGCGCAGTTTCTATCGTTTTACGGGTGTACGATAAAAGTTTGTGCCTGAGAAAACTAGGTTCCTCAGTTTTAAGAATGCAAAGATATGTTTATTGTGTATTGTGTATTGTGTTACACGTACGTATTTTGAACGACCATGTACAGCTACAACGCGTTAGGTGTCCAAATGAAGTGTTGTTGCTGTCGTTGGTGGTGATAGAGTGCTTTCAAGATTTTTCCTTTTTTCCGTGTTACTGTGCAGTTTTCAAGCCTTCGCACATATTTCGTGATCTCTAAGGGCTTCTTGAGCTAACGTATACTTGCACTACAATTGTCTGAATGAAATATTTGGCAAAACGTAGCCGACAAACGTCGGTAAGCAGCTTATCAAAGTGGAATTTATCAGGACAACTGTTCAAGAATTCATGTTTAATAGATATTCCTTTCACTTCCCTTTACATGAACGATGAATACGACAGTTTTTTGATGTTAATGAACGCAAGTCGGTATTGAAACCGAGTTAATAAGTATTTCCTCAATTGAAATTACAAAGAGTTTGATATCCAGGCTTCATTTACCGAGTTTAATTCAATGCTAAAAAACTAAGAAGTCTAGTTTTCCTCTAGCTACGTCAAGATACTTAGCAACGTTTTTACTACGTGAAAAATCACTTTCAACCGTGGAACATTCAGCCTAAAGGAATTATCGCATGCTGGTATAGAGCGTTGTTCGATTGAGTGTCGTAAAACCAAAACTAAGGTAATCACAACAACCAATCAGAAAAAAGGCAAATAATCTCAAGCGCCAATGAGAACTCAAAGCTGCTAGAAGCGCGGGAAAACGGGGTCGTGATTGGGTTTAGTTTTGCATCTGATTGGTTAACTGAGAGGGTGGCGCGAGTTTATTGGGCCAATCACAGAGTAAAGTGAAGCAAAACCAATGCGATACCGGATTAGTTTCCACACTCAATTGAAAATGACTAAGCATCGATCGTAAGGAGGAACAAGAAAGCCAGTGATGGAGAATTTAAAGCTGATCACTTCGAGTGCTGAAAGGGTCGTTAAAGAAACTACGTCACGGATTGTGCATCATGGAAAGATTCAGCTCGAAATTTCCAAGATGAACATTTTTAGGAAGCCTTAATCTTCTTCATCCGTAACCCTCGATCTTTGGTGTTCTTGTACCCTCAATAAGTTTTCTTCATTCCCAACAGATTTCAATGACCCAAAGAAAAGTCAAAGATTGTCAGCTCCTTCAGTGCAAATTTTTTTACGTCTCTAACGCTTCAGCAGCAACCCAAAGGGCAACCAAACGGCTGACTGCTTGATCAAAACTGTGCAATTCGGTGCTTAATAAACAAATTTCGTATCTAATGCTATCGCTCCCTACATCTGATTGTTAAGACATTACAAATACAGCCATGCAATCGGCGGAAATTTGAGTCGTTTATGTAAATAATGTTCTAAGTTTCTAATAAATCTGCGAAAAAGATTATAGACTTATTAACAAGTCAGTCTATAACAAGGAGTAGATCGTTAACTTTTCCCCACATCCCAAATATGCTCGTTCAGAACTCTCTTTATTTGGTTCTGCAACTGAGCAAACACAAGCAGCTGAAATCGAAATGAACAGCTTGTTTTCTTTGATCAGAAAAATGGAAAAGGAATTTAAAAAGAGGCAAAAAAAACATGGCCACCCACAAGTTGAACGGTCTCTTGAGATAGATTACACGTATGCGGCCTTTTCCTTAATGGCAAAATTTAAACAGTCGTTTAGCGGCCTGCCGAAAATCCGTCCTGTAAAATGAGTAAATGAAAGGATTCACGCATGACTGCAAAAGAAGAAAAAACATGGACAGTTTTACCAGAAGGGGAGTAACCAGATCAGCACGACCAACCACAAAAGCGAAGTTGTAGATTGAGCGGGGAACCCATGACAACACAAACACTAAAACAACTGCAGCACATGCACTGGTTCCTTTTCGTTTTCTAACGCTTGCAGCGCGTGTTTCCTCACATGAAAATTCCTGAACGGTCGAAGAGCTTAATGAGTCTCTCATGGGAATCGTTTTCCTTCGCTGCGTCCGAATGGCGCGAATAATCATCGAGTTGACAACGGTCATTATAATAGCTGGTAACACAACGAGGAGAAAAACTAGTATTACGTTATAAACCTGATTGATAACCTTAGCTTTTTCTTCCTCTTGCGTCTGCCACCATATATTTCTTGCGGTGGCAACGAGAGCAGGAATAACCCAAATGGCTATCACCATACAAGTGACTTTGGTTCTAGTCATTTTGCTGCTGTACTGCAAAGGGCGTAACACCGCTAAATATCTATCGTACGTGATGGCTAATAGGCTGAAAAAGGACGAACTGAACACGATGTCTTTGGTCTGCGCTAGAATCCAGCAAGTGTCCGTGGAGAGGTACTTACAGCCAGCGCAGAATGCGGTGTAACCTGGAACGACCATAATGGCCATGAGAATATCACTAACTGCTAAGCTGACAAGGAAGATGTTCATGATCTGTTGTCGAAAAATCGCGGTGGACAGAAAGATCACACAAGTTAGAGTGTTTCCCGCAAAAATGATCAAAGCCAAGACGCCATTTACGACCCAAAAAATCTTCTGTAAAGTTTCATCACAGGTTTCTGTCGTAGTGTGATTGGGATTGCCAGGCAAGGAGGAGATATTCGTTGAAATTCCCTCCATGCCGAGATCTTCTCCCGCAAGTGAATTACTCGCAGTAAGGATTCCGTGATATCGATAGGTTTTCTTTGTAACAATGGTGCTAAAGGCGATGTGGTCTTCTTTTATTTTTTTCCTGTATGATCACCAGGTGTGCTCTTCTTTGACGTTAGCGAATTCATCACATTATTTCCTTAATAGCCAACAACCTGTCAAAATACATTCATATGTAGATGACTTACCTATTTCGAGATTCGTAAATAGATAACAGCATTTCCCGTAGACATTGAAATCTTTACTTTTGTCTCGTGCACTTTGTTCCGCAATCAAAGAGCCTAGTGTTTCTTCTGTAATGAGTGGATTATAAAACGCCCAAAAACTAGTGCTTTTGTTCTGAGTGAAATTTAATCTTGTTTCCAGAAGACTGCTGGGTTATTGCTTGCGTGCCTCAGGAAGTTGTTTGTGTTTTCAGCCCATGTTCAATAAATATGTCAACCTATAAGGCTCCTTGCGAAAAATTTTACATAAAAATTGGCATTCAGATTGTTGTTAGTTTCCACCGGGGCGCAATTGATTTCCACAGTTTCATTCAAAAACCAAGGAATAGTATTCATTCGAGATTTTGTTTCGGCTAAAGTCTAGATCAATCTTCTTCCTTGCTTTTCTTCTTTCAATTTCTTTTACTGAACTTAATTCAATAACAGAAATTTATATTGCACACTTAAATTTTCGACGAAGGAAAATTTACCCGTTTGATTCGTGACGCGTCATTTAATAAAAGAATTAAATCTAATCAAATTTTTCGTAAAACGCGTCAGAAAGCGTTGTTGTTTTTGCGACAAAATGACCTCAAAGGGTGACACAAAAATAATATACAATTTTCCATTTTTCTGTGTAAAATAAATAAAATAAAATGCTTATCATGATTTTTTGACGTCAAATAATTGAAGTGCAAGTTTTTCTGTCACAAGAGCTCCAAGCTTACGCTTGGAACTTACAGAACGCACGAAATCTATCATGCAAAACAAAACCTGAGAAGGAATTGTTTAATAAAGTTTGTGTTTTGTGACTTTAGGCACTGTGATCAAAATACTAAAAGGTCGGTGACGTGATTCCTATCTTCATCAATGAGTGCCGAAATTTTATCATTTGAGAAAAATTAAACAAACTGTCGAAGATTTGACAAGGGATCTTTACCCAAGTCTCCACAAAGTTTACTCAGTTGCTTTCCTCCGTATCATGACCACTGGATGCAACACGAAACTGGGGTAGTAATTTGATCGTCTTCTGAGGAAAGTTGAATGGAAGGGTTTACTTTCGTGGCCATGAGTCGAGTCAGATGAAGATTTACTCACAGGAAGAAAAAATCTAATTTTAGAATTTACCTGATATGGTCGTGATATCTGGATGTTTTAAGCATTAACATACAGAGATGTTTACCTTTAAATCTATGTGGGTGTTTAGGCGTTCATGGAAAAGACAGAAAAAACAAAAAAAGTGACGATTTTTGCTCATTGAGATGCTAACGAAATTGTTCGTAGGATTTGAGAGGGTATCGTGTTGATAATGGGAAAATTCCAATTTGCCTCAAGTGTTCGTAAACATATCAGTGGATTGTTGATAGGAAAATACAAATGGAAAATACCTAATGACGATAATAGCCCCCTTATGACGTCAACGATTTGATCTCAGTCGACGGAGGTGAAATAATGATCTTTATTTACTCGTGTGGGATAGATGCTATTTTAAATGGGACGTTAATATTTCGATTTTTCACTTCCTTCTCGAGATGCTGAGTTGCTAACATGCACCAGATAAAAATTAGAGAAAAAAAATGGATCATTTTGAGTCTTCCACCACCGATGATCAAAAGCGGAACGGCGCAACTCGCTTTGGGGGTTGTTTAATTTTCATAAAATTTTACATAAACAACTCAAACAAAACAGCAATCATTCAAAATTCTTAAGAAAATGACAAATTTGTAAGCGATCTATATATGGAATCGTTTTCCCCATTTTAAATCAAAGCTATCATTTAGGAAGAATGGTGTTAAGGTTGGGTCACGTGGGGGGATCATGTGACTGTTTGCGTCAGAAATTAACATGCGAAAATGAATTTAATCTGATTATCTATTTGGTTTGCTCTAAATAGCATTTTAAATTGTTTCAATGGCATTTTCTTTTCGATTGGTCAACAGCTTACGTGGTCAAAATCTTACCCTGGGAGGCAAATTATGCCTCGCCCATAGGGAACAAACACGATCTAAGTGAAGCTAAAAAGTTTCTCCTCATTCCCGCCTTTACGAACTCACGGTTTCTTGAGATGTCAACTCGAATCAAGCGTGGCTGCTTGCCTTGGTTTTCCTCCACTCCATACTGGAACCAATTTTGTTTCCGATATCTTTAAGCTACAGTAACTCTTGATTTTAACTTCCGACAAATCGAGTCAATTTTCATTTCTTGGCAGAATAATTACAACCCTCCCTAGCTCGAATCTTTGAAAATTTGAAATGACATTTAATACCGATGAAGCGCAGTGTCAACATGGACGCGGTATTAAGAAAAACACAATGCACTATACATTTTGTTGATAACCATATCTATTGGAAGATGAATTCGAACACTGCTCTGTTTCCGAAAACTCTTCATGGGTGCTTCAAGCAAACATCGATTTCTAAAAGTGATTTCATTCACGAAGAGAAATATGAACTCTGCAGTAAATTTAGCTATGACGAGAGTGACGTCTTTGATGGAAACACGTACCGAAATTTCCCCAAACTTGGTAAATATTCCTGAAAACCTTTAGCTGTGCAAATAAGATTTGTCATCCAAAATGTGTGAAAGGAAGCCACTAGTGTGCAATGTACTTTATACCCGACGTTTTAACACGAGCATTTGGCGTATAAGTACACTTTGACGAGGAAGTATTCGAAAATCCTCAAAATAGTGTCAATCACAACTGACATTTTGCAGATATTATGTTGGGTTACAATTATAAGTAAAATATCCAGGACAAATATTTTAGAATCAAGCTGTTCACCGAAAACCGCAGATCGTGAATTACCACCACTGTTACGGTCAGTTTCGTTCAAGATCGAAATTGTTGAAACTGTTGAAGGAAAGGTTACTAATAATAAGCATCTAAAACGTACAAAATGTCTATCAATACGAGCAACTTAGCAGAACTCACTGACTTTGGCGACGATTCAGATGATGTGAACTTACACATAGATGGTTCTTGCAACAGAAAAGTCGAAGTGGTTTTTTGGGTCTTGTACTCTGCAGTAGGAATCATTATTTTTATTGGGAACAGTTTCACGTGCATCGTTCTGCTGGTATCGAAACGGTTGCGAAACATCTTCATGAATATCTTCCTTGTAAGCTTATCGCTCTGGGATGTACTGATGGCGATTTTTGTTGTTCCATTTTACGCTATACATTGCAGCCATGGCTGCGAGTATTCCTTAACCGAATATTGTTGGATTTTTAGGAAAGCAAAGGATTGTGTTCTTCTCGCAACGACTTTTAATATATGTGCTATCACGTACGATCGTTATCTGGCGGTGGTTCGACCACTTCATTACGGCGCGAAAATGACAAAGCGACGTGTCATCGTCATTTTGGCCGGAGTTTGGACGGCGCCCGTCGTCGTGGCAGGAATAAGAAGCGCTTGGCACCATTCCAAGATAAACGAAGAATTGCGCTACGCTAACAAACTTTACGACACCATATTAGTGATTGTGTTCGTCATCTTCGCTATTCTTGTACTAATGGTAGCTAATGTGAAAATTATGAAGGCCATTAAAACGCAAAACGAACGAGAACGAACCGAACAAGGGAGACGGGCAGTCTGGAGAGCGACTTATGAAACAAGAAAGCGAAGAAAAGGAACAAGAGCCTGTGTCTTAGTTGTCTTTATGTTCGTATTATGCTGGCTTCCGAGGATTGTGTACAATCTTAGTTATGTCATTGAGCCACCGGGATTAACGAGTCCTTTGTTTCTAAGGCTGGCTTTTCTTTCTCTTTATCTACAGTCTTCCGCTAATCCATTTATTTACTCATTTTATAGATCCGAGTTCAGAAGAGCCGCTTTTAAGCTTTTAAGCAGGCGGAACTCTACAAATCTTAGAATTCACCCTTCTGTTGATTCAGTACAACATGTCCGATCTCAAAACATACAGGATTTAACCCCATAAACGGATTAGTTCCAGCGATCATGGATGTTTGGCGAAGGGTTAGCAGCCAAATAAGTAAATGTCACGTAAAAGTGTTGCTTTGACTGAATTGTATTCGCAAACAAAGTCTGGAAACGATTGTGGATACAGTTTCTATTAAATTGGAGCAGTGGCTTTTCAGTAAAGGCTAATTTGCATTCACTGCTTGACATCATGACAAATACTGTTGAAACTGATGACAATTCGTCTCTATTTGATCGTTTAGAGTAAAAAGAAACAAGAAAACAGAAAAGCTGAAATACTGTAAAGAGACGCTTAATTCATTAGAATAAGACGCCTTACCTATCCGTACGTCGGGCTGATACTTAATGAAAAGCTTTTCCTTTTTGTCTCTGTCTTTTCCTGCCTTTTTTTTTTTCCTCTCTCGTATTTAAAGCTGTGTGAGGTTGGCAAAATCTTTACGAAAATGAATGCATGCATTAAGTATTCACCAATACAAACAGATTTGCTGTCTTTGTTGAATGAGTTGATTTCTCCTTTTTAAATTTGGGGTTTCAAGGTTTCAGGTTTCTACGGTGGTTGCCCGTACTTTGAAAGAACTCTTGCAATATCTTTTATCCCTCTCACGTTTTTTTGCGATTTAAAAAGCGTGATACCACCATAATATCACATTTTTCAAAGGGTCTTTGTTTTAAAAGCCCAAATCTAAGTCTGTTGCTTAAGAATTTGGTGACAACCGAAAAAAATTATCGTTACTTTCGGAGGAACATAATTTGGTGGTTTTTTACTCTCAAAACTCCATAAATATTTCTGTAAATATTTACATTGCGTGAAAACTAAATACGAAAGTTGATATATATAAATGAAAGACGAAAGGCAAACTGTAACCTACTATTGAATATTTATACCTTATGGAGTAGAGTCCTTTCTTATTCTTAGGGCTGGAATTACTTCATGATATTTCAAGGTGACGTCGTCCTCGAGGTTTCAGGTACGATTACTTTCAGAATGACGAAAAACTAAACGATTCAGGCAATGTGATATGCGGTGACAGTAATGTGTGCCAATCACGTTAATCCCGCAGCAAGTTATGTCCAATAAAATAAAGTCTTTGGGTGTAGGCCAATTTTCGCAGCATGTAGCGGACATAACGTAATGTTCGTAAATGGAAACCATTTGTTAAGACTAAAAAAATGTTAAAATAATGAAGAAAGGCAGGAAATAAAGATTACCCTGTTTTTAGTCCCTCTGCATAAGTGATCCATTTTTTCCGTTTTATGTCAGCGATAACATGTTAGACGGTCTCCAAATCAAGTCCTTGAAGCTCTCAATATCGTAGTCTCGATATATTTTGTATCCAACTATCTTAGGTAGTTAAAGACATTCCACCTGTCGCAGCTTGTATGTAAAGATTTTCCACCTAGGTGGAAAAATCATTAAAAGGAGAAAAAAACATCTAATGTTGGTAATGGAAAAAACAAAACAAAACAAACAAGAACAGATAACGCAGAGCTTCCTGCTTTTAACTCAGATATAAATCAAATAATCACCGTGTAACTAGTGCGCATGCCAATTTTCACCTCATGTGATTGACGTCATGTATAAGTTATTATTGTTGACTAATGTGCAAAGAAGACATAAAAGTTACAGAAGAAAAACAGGAAAAATAATTAACAAAAAATATAAGACGATTACAGCAGAGGTACTTTCATTTCAATTTTTTACCTCACTCCGTGCCAAGGATGAATTTATTTGACAAGCTTTCATCAACTGATTAAAATGGCTACCCAATCAAAATTGCCGCAGATAACAATTTCCATCCACCCAACCACATGCAAATTTCAAGTTGAATACAGCATTAACCTGATGAGAAATCAAGAGTATTCACTTCATATCAACGACAGGAAAAACTAAACGTGTCGTGGTTTTGAGTATCAAATGACCGAGTTTGAATTTATGAAAATCATATATGTGAACTGCGGATTAATAAATGAATAATGTGAATGATCTTAGCAGTAACGGTTGGGTATTGCCAGCTGAAATGTTGCGCGGATTATTATTATATTTTCATTATTGGCTCTTTAAGTCATTTCATGTAAGTTGGTTGTTTCAAATGAAACTCGAGCAGAAAGTGAAATGCTTGAGTTAATCGGTCAGCCCATACGACAAACCTTTCGTAAAATATAAAGCTAGCCCGTTACACAGTGCTTCAAAGCACATCAGATACAAATTTGTGGTTAAAATTTAGAAGGCCTTATCAAACTGAATATCAGTTTGTTTTGTCTCAGCATCCCGAAAAGATTTCTACAATATAAATTCGATGTCTTTATTCATAATCAGGCGGAAATCAATAATTTAGCTTACTGTTCCCTTTACAGTTAATAAGATATTGACAAGGTGAAGTTTTCAAACATCTAAGAGCTTTTTTAGTTGGTGATCATTTCCTTTATTCTCGTGACCCTATTTTGTGATTCACGGGTGATATTGTAAGGAGAAATTAGATGCTGGTCACTCCTAGGGGTTACAGGGTCAGTGAAATCGAGGAAACGAAGCATCACATAAGTATGTAAGTATCACAAAATTCTCCAAAAGATCTTTCGCGTCCAGAGAACAAAATCCATGATTAATGGCTTGGGCAAAATTTCACAAAAGTTGTAGGCGTAGAACATTTCTTTGGCTTACGTAATAGCTATTTCATATGAATGAGGAGCCTATTTAACGAATGTTACAAAAATATTTCGGAGTTCTTGACCTCGAAGCATTGTTGGACGTTGCTTTCAGGAGCTCAAGAACGCACGAGTTTTATACAGGTGCAACGTTGACTTTCAGAGTTTGGTCCAGATTTTGGAAAGATTGTATAATTTTATGTTAAGTCAGGAAATTTTCCGGCTCCATTCTGAGCTCTTCCGACTTCTTCCTAAAACGCATAAGCTCTACAGTTGCAACTTTTGCAGTTTCCGCAAGAAAAGACTGGGTCCGAGGTGTTGACGTCATCGACTCCGCCCTTTTAGTTACAAGGCGCCATCTTAACAAAGAAAACGCGGCTTTTCGAAATTCTGTTCTGTAGAACCAATAAATAAATGGATTAAGGGACGACTGAATAAACAGAAAGAGGAAGCAAATTCTGAAGAACAGAGGACTCGCGAGCCCCGGAGGATCAACGATAAAACTGAAGTTATAAACAGTGCGTGGAACCCAGCAAACCATAAAAACTAGAGTTACTATAACACACGCAGTTGTACCTTTTCGTTGTTGAGAAGTCAGTGATTTATTTTGCAAGTCTCTTCTTTCCCGTTTGGCTTGCTTTCGTATGGCTCTGATAATCTTGATGTTTGTTATCAACATTAAAACAACTAGAAAAACAACGAGACCTAACACGATCACACTATCGTAGATTTTGTTGGCAAAGCGAACCTCGCGCTTGTCAAAGCTGTGTTGCCACGAGTTCCGAATTCCGGCTAATAACAGTGGTAATAACCAAACGACAGTTAGCATACCAATTATTCTTGTCGAAGTAACCTTCGATTTATATCGAAGTGGCTGCAATACAGCAACATAGCGATCGTACGTAATAGCATACAAGTTAAGGGTAGTGCCTATCTTGACGCAGTCCTTTGCCCCTCGCATAAGCCAGCAATAGCTTTTCAGGGCTTTTTCGCATCCAAGACCACAGAAAACAGCGTAAAATGGAACTACGAAAACGGACATGAGTATATCCCAAGTGGCGAGACTGACAAGAAGAATGTTCATGTTACTTCCACGGAGTTTGGCTGTGGTTAGGAACACCACACAAGCGAAAATATTTCCAGTTAGGATTATCACACCTAGAACTCCGAATAAAATGAAAAACAGTGTTTCTATTGATTCGCTGCAGGTGGCATGTTCCATCTCGATTTCCTGTTTTTTTACACCAATGTCACTTCCTCTTTGTGGCGAAAGTTCTATGGGGAAGAACTTTGATTTATCAAGCCGAAGATCTCTTTAGAAACAGGGTTTAAAAAGATTAAGTGCGCTTTTTGAACTCCGCCATAACATATCACTTCCTCGGGAGTTCGATCATAAATTTATCACATAGACGTCAACGCTCTTACAACATCTATATAAATACGCTTTGACATTGTCCTTTTAAATTCTATTTTGTCAGGCGTGTTGTCATAGGAAACGAACGAGTATGTCCACTCAATATGAATTTGAATTTGCAAAGGGGTAAAATTTGTCATTTTTGTCGCTGTTTTCATTGTCAGCTCCGAAGCAAATCTGGAATCATCAAGATATCGAACACAAGCAGCAAAGAGCATCGAAAAAATGGCAAAAACCTCAACGACTGGCAATGAATACTGAACACGATGAAGATATTAACATTTTAAGTGACTTTGAAGTGACCATACGCCGTCATCACAACCTTTAAAAGTACACACGCGGACTCGGCTGAAAATTAAATGCAATTCGATGAGCAATCTCAGAAACGCTTGAAAGAAAAGGAATATACTTCTATGATATATTAAAAACAAGGATGTTATATCCAGAGAAGTCAGAAAACAGGAACAAGGGTTTACGAAAGTCACCCTTTCTCTTTGTGCATTAACCCCATAACATCGGTAATCTGTTTATGTAAATGTGGTCTTTGTATGACCTACGTAATTAAAAATTTGCTCTCAGAAATACAGCTTCTCGATAAAAACCACCGTCTCAAAACGCATCACCGCTTTCAAAAATCTGAAGCTAGCATCTCCTTTAAGTAACCATTCGTAGAATACGGTAGGAGTGGGGCTCAAAATAAAAGGGTCCAGTTTGTTTAATGCTCTGTACGAAATTTTCAAACAAAGAAGATTTATAGAGTCCGGTAAAAACCCTTCTTCGGGCGCTGATAAATCTAATGGACATCAGGGAAGCGGATGCTTGAATACGAGATATTGCATGTAAAAATTGCAATAACAAATGAGTGCCTGGAGGAGTACAGCCAAAATAACAAACAACGAAAAGAAAAAACTGCATATAGCTGAGCTAAAAAAGATGAAAAGCATAGTATTGGAAATTCTTTCCGTTTGTCAGCTCTCAAAGTAATGCCATCCTCTGTCGTACTTTGGTGGAAAATAAATAGAGAAATCATTTTATTTCCCTTCTTCAAACTCAATTAGCTTCTGATATTCGATACAACTAATGGACTTGTTTTTTCAAACATCCTGTTGTAGCTTAACAAACCTCGATTTTTAAAAGACTTGGTTCAAGTTTTTTTTTTCTTTTTCTGTTATAGTTAACGACGAGTTAAAGAATTAGTGGGGTTTTCCTTTAGAAAATTTTAAAGAGATTGGTGAATGTAGAAAAAACAATCGTGCGACTTTATCATTAAAAAAGGCTTTGTTCATTTTTCCTTGGAGTAACATTTGAATAAAAATACCATATAGAAATCCACTTCAATATCAACCGACAAGACATACAAGCCCGCATACTGCCCATTTGACGTTTATCCGATAATATATAGGTTCAGTTTTGTTGCGAATTACTGACGTTTTCCTCAATAGGGGAGTATGCATCCCACCCCAAAAGAAAACAAAGTTCCACCTTCAAAGCCAGATAGTACAAAACTGTACCCGCTAAGTTCTTAAATAAAATTATCTTACCTTTCAGGCTAAAGATTATCGGGCAAAATCATGGGTCAAGTTGGCGTTTACTGAGAGTCCTCCTGTTTTCTTTTAATCTTCAGAATGACAGTGCATTAAATCCATTTTAAACATGATAAATGTTTATAACGCATGGACCAGTCATATGACAGCTATGTTGTGTCACTCGCGTTTTCCGATAGGATGTTATGATCTGAAGGTAAAACACTTAAACAAGTGCTGTAAAATGATGAGACAACACCACTCCCGCTTATTTAAAATGTCAGTCATGCATTAAGGTGTGCCAATAACCATATTCATCCAAATAGATATGCAATTTCTCTTCGAGTGTTCAAGTCGATATTAAGTTGAACAAGAAGAGAGAAATTCAATATCTACCAGCAACTATGTCTTTTTTTTTGTCTAAAAACCTTTACGAACAAGGAAAGTGACTTAATTAATTGTAAACACTTTGCTACTCATCCTGACAGAGGGGCGCGTAAGACGAGTGACAGGTCAACAACTGATTGGCGATATCAAACACTCCTAAACAATTATCGTAATTTTGCAAGTGTGCGGTTACACCTTTTCTCAGGACTGGGCGCATCCTTTTAAAACACTGCAGTTTATGTAAAAAAGGAAAGGAAATTATAGGAAAAGGGAAACTCTCTCCTTTCCTCCTTCCCATCATCCTTTCGTCGGGACAGCCCGGGTCCTCTTCCGCGAACTGCGACCGCGCGTGAAAAATTAGAGAGAGCCTCGGACGAGTCAGCTGTTTTCCATAGTTAAACAAATAAACGAGCGATTCCGTCGATATAGACTGCAATAATATTCTATCTTTTATTTCACGTTTCTTTTCTTTTTATTTCTATCATCCTTCACATACATAAAATTCGTCCGTTGTAAAGTGAACGTAGGTTTTACCGATCATAAATCAGTTACTGAATTATCATTTATCCATAAAAAGAAGTGCCTCTGATGATGATGAGTGGAAATAACTACAAGTGTAGCTTTTGCTGTTTTCTGTGATGCGTGCACATCCTTTCCCCAATGATCTTTTTTCATAAAGAAGTATAGATTTATCAAGAGACATACTAAAAATGCTTTATTTATGAATTCTATAGAATATTTAATTTCTTTACGCAAGACATCCCCCCAAGAAAAAATCTCTTAAGTATTTATCGAGTTCATTTTAGATATGCCCTTTCCACTTTCTTTCGAAAGTAGCTCATTAGCTTTTTTTATGTAGTTACTTAAGTGGCCGTATTGCGGTGGACCTTTGAGTCAATTTAAGTTGACAACAAATCAAGGAGCGGCTGGCTTGTCTAAAATCGGATCTCAAAAATGAATAAATGAAAGGATTGGCAGATGATTGTACAAAAATGAAAAACCATGCAGTCTTCTCTAATTTTCCACTGACTAAATCAGGCCTCCCGCACACAAAACTAAAATTGACGAAAGCCAGTGGCAACCAGCTGATTAGAAACCTATACACAATTAGAACACAGGAAATTGTTCCTGTGACAGCTGTCATCCTCTTCAAGCGATTTCTTTCTCCTGTTTCTGTTTGTCGGACATGGATCCTGCCTCGCTGTAATCGATTTTGCCTTCTTATTTCTTGAATCACTTTCACATTCATCCCTGAAATGACAACAACGGGCATCAAAGCGAAAGCGAACATTAGTGTACTGTTGTAAATTTTATCGACTTTTTGCGCCTCTTTTTCTGGCTTCGTATGAAGCCACGCGTGTCGTAAGCTGGCCAGAAAGATACTGAAAACCCACACCCCAGTTAAAATAAGACTGACGCTTCTTTTCGTCATGTAGTTGTAATAATGTAAAGGCCATAGAACGGCGAGGAACCTGTCGAACGATATCGCAGCCAAATTAAACACCGTACTACCGTAGGCGACGTCTTTAATTCCAGCCAGGACCCAATTGCAGCCATTGCAGAAGACCGCGTATCCGGAGATGACAAACACCGCCATCATCAAATCTGCTACTGCTAAGCTCACCAAAAAAATGTTCACGTAGTTTTGTAGAAGTCTTCTGTTTGTAACAAGCACAAGGATAGTGATGAAGTTCCCGCTTAGTATAATCACACTTGCTGTGCCATTGAGGACCCAGAACACCAATTCTAAATTCTTACTGCACGGAGGAATACTCTTTGTTGGTCCTAATGTTCTGTTCTCCATTTTTAACAATCGATTTTAACTATTTAACAGTTGCGCTTGACTGCAAGGAAAAGGAACTGAATGAGTTCTATCACATCAACTTTTAAAGTATTGAACACGGACGCATTAAAGAGAATGACCTATTTTGTAACAGTTCACAGGATCAGTGACAGATGTAACTTTTAAGCCAATGTGATGGTTCCCGCTTAAACACAATTGTGCACGAAGTTAATTGAGCGCAAAGAGGTCCATTTCGTATTTGCTTTCAAACAGACATCTCTGAACTCGGTACAATATAATTGAAAGGTAATTGTTGTCTGTCAAGAGCACGTTAGGCAAACAAAGAAAAGCTTCCATTAGGTAATGAGCACTCTCCTTTGGCCTGTTTTTTTTTATCACGTCAGTTTATCAGTGTGCCATTTTTAGATCCATGAATCAGCAAAAATGACCGATGGAAAGTTGAAGACCAACAGTTGACGATGGTCTGAGAGTTTACGATCAGTTCAACTCTCAAATATTCACCTTTAATAACTCGCAAAATGCATCATTATCATGGAAAATGCGCGCGTACGATTTTTATTCACGAGTTGTGTAGTATCAGAAAACGAACGAGTGAGCGCAGCGAACGAGTGAATTTTCTGATACGTATCAACGAGTGAATGAAAATCGTACAAAGCATTTTCCATGCTGTAATGTGTTTATTTCATAGGACTACACATACCGAGCAAACCCTTCTCGTACATTATCTTTAACTCTTCGGTTGTCAAAGCTACCGATGCTTTCGGTTTATTCCCTTTTCCTTGCTTCTTTAGCTGCTTTTGTTTGGATTGAAGAGCTTTTCTGGTTTTCTCAAAGACCATGTCGTTGATTGTGCTGGCAGAATAGCCCTTTTTCTTCAAATGTCGTTCGAAGCTGGCCATTAAACTTCGAAGCGAAGTCGGCTCGTACTCGTTGCCATCTTTAGTGCGTACGGAGATAATAAATTCGCTAATGAATTCATTTAACTCAGCCGCTGGAATATCTTCAATTTTCCTGCCTTCGTCCTTCGTTTTCAAAGATCTTTCAAGCAATCTTACATCTCTTTCAGTTTTTTGAGCGGTATTTTTGTTTTCTTGTTCTAAAATGAATTCTTCAACTGAGTAAACAGAAGCGAACCTTCCCTCGGCCATTTTTCAAAGCGCGCGGGTTTTGTGCAACGGCTCTCGCATGACGCTCTCTTCAGTACGTTCATTCATCATTAGTGAAATTTCGTCGTTCGCGTTGCTGATTGGACGAACGATAATTTTTCACGGTGAAATTTTGTCGTTCGTACTCCTGATTGGCTACATTTAGAATCAGTACGAATTTTATTCACTACGATTTTTGTGGGTAAATCTCAGTACCTATGAAATAAAACTAATTACGTTTCACGTTGGATAGATATTTCACTTAGTACTTTATCGATAAATTTTCGATTTTCCTCGACTTCTTATTAGGAAAAAAAAGTATTATTGCTAAAACGTTCAAGTAAGCACACGCATTAAAAGATGAGTCATCTTCCATCCCACGTATTAACGTAAGGAACCTTTCTTACGTTAACCGCAACTGCCAAGACTGCGATGATAAAACTGGGAACGTGAGTCTTAGTTTTATCTTGAGCTCAATCATGATTTCAGCCAGTGAGGTTTCCAAGCCATTACCACTACTCTTCTTGATTAATTCCTCAATTTACATTTTTCATTTTCGATGAATGCTCTTAGTTGAAGATGCAGCAGGCCCTATTTGATGAGAGATTTAGTACTAGTGTTGTTCGGTTTTATCACAATGGACACATTTAAGAAGAGCACTTTTACCAGAACATGGAAATGATAAAAGAGTCAGTTTTTTTTACCGGTTAACGTCACGTGGTCTAAGAGAAGTAAAGAAAAATAACATCCCAAAAGGTATCTTATCTATTTAAGTAGAAACCCGTTAACTCCAATTCGGATTAAGAAACGGCAAACATGCCAAGAAGTAATGCTGAAAAGACGGAGGTTATTCTATTTACATCCCGGTTCACCAAGACACCTAATATCGAGAAGCTTTCTTTTGCCAATACCGTCATTGAACTAACTGAGAGAGTGTGTGATCTTAGTGTTAACTAAGATAATAACCTAACACTGACATACCACATAAACGAGACATGTAAGAAAGCAACTAACGCCATTAGGTCCATAGGTCGCATTCGCAGATACATCACCAAGGAAAATCTCAAACTGTTAGTTAATGCACTAGTAATATCACGTCTGGACTGCTGTGATAGTATCCTTTATGGTCTCCCTAAACAGGAACTCGATAAACTTCAAAGAATTCAAAACACTGCAGCACGTCTCATCACTGGAACTAAACGATACGAGCTCATCAAACCTGCTCTTCGAGAACTACACTGGCTACCTGTTGAGTCTCGCATTATATTCAAAGTTCTGCTCATCACTTTCAAGATTATCCATGGACTTTCCCGCAAAGAAGCCCACGCTCATCCCCTAAAATACTTTTTACTGTCCCTGTTGTGAACTCTGTGACATACGGTGAACGTGCTTTTTCTTTCTCCGCACCTACATTATATGGAACAGTCTACCACATTTTGTTAAAAATACAACTTCTCTTTCATCTTTTAAATCTGCCCTCAAAACATTCTTCTTGTTTCGGACATTTTATTTTTGATTTATTTTACCAGGAACTGTACCGAGCTTTCATGTCACCTATTCTTAACCAGTTATTTTGTAGGTTTAATCTAGTTTATTTAGTTTTTCTCCATGGTAATGTAAGCGCATTGAGTTTTCTAAATGTGCCCAAAAACTGTTATTAGTATTATTAGGAACTTTTGTTGAAACGTTTTACAAGCGTTTTTTCCTCGATCCAAACCAACCTACCATTATTTTTTTGCTCCGTTATGCTAAATGAACTCCCAAGAAATACGATATGTGCACAGTTCGACATGACTCTTTATTTATGTTTCTTCTTACTGGACATTTTGTACATCGTGCATTTATTCCTCAATTTGTAATTTTCATCTTCGATGGATGCTCTTAATTGAAACTGTAGGCCCCCTTTCGAAGAGAGATTACCGGCGTTGTTTAGCATATCACGTTGAACAGCTGTAAGAAAAGTATTCTTAGAGGAACATGATATGGTTACAGGAAAATTTAAAGGAAGCTTATTTATTACTCTAATCTTGAAATTTTACGCTAAAATCAGAGACAAATATTTACATAAGTTTACAGCCAGTAGCGCTCTCCTTTTGGTTAATCAATTGTATGTGCATTTCGGGATGACGTCATTATCTCAACTGTTGAGTAAGGGCGGCACCGTAATAAACGAGAGGCAGCCTGTCGAAACTCCACTCTGTAAAATGAGTATATGAATGGGTTTAAAGATGATTGCAAAAACAAGAAAAACAATGAGAGGTGGATTAGAAGTGGACTGACTAAGTCTTTCCGACGAAAGAGAAAACAAAAATTGTAAAATATACGGGGTAACCAACATAAAACATAGATTAGGACGACAACAACGCAAGCTAGAGTCCCTTTCAGCTTTCTTACATTGTTCACTGCACGAGAACGTTTTGTAGATAAATTTGAAGGGAAATTTTGAACTGCGTTGGCGACGTGAATTCGTTGAACCTGCTTTTTAATGACAATCAGAATTCTAAAATTAATTCCAAGTAGTAAAAAGAAAGGAATGATAACGAAAATGAAAGTCAAAATAATTGAATATGTTTTGTCGATGAAAAGAGACATCTCTCTTGAACTACTGTGCTGCCAGAAGTTTCTTGTAGCAGCCAAAAGGACTGGTGCTCCCCAGACCATGGCGAGGATGAAAACCAACTTCTTTCTTGTCATCTTAGAGGTATAACGAAGAGGGTTGATGAAGGCTTCATGGCGGTCCAATGAAATAGCTAAAAGGTTAAAAATATTAGCTCCAAAGGCAAAACCTTTCAGGAATCTGATCGCCCAACAGTATTTAGTGAGTGAATACTTGCAACCAGAGCAAAAAACCGAGTAGAACGGCACAACAAATACTCCCATGCTTATGTCAGAAATGGCCAAACTCACGAGATAGATGTTCATGAAGCTGCGGCGAAGATGTCGGGTCTTTAGAAACACCGCGCACGAAAGAGAGTTTCCCGCCAACATCAGGACGGCGATGACGCTATTGATGACCCAGAAAACAACATCCAGCGTAGGGTTGCATGGAACCCCTTGAAATCCTTTCATATCTGATATTTTAGTGGACTTCTAGACAGCTAAGGTTATCACTTCAACTTGGAGTCAGCTTCAGATCAAAACTTCAGTCTGATATGCTGTATCATCCCAAATGTTTCCTTTCTACTGTTTATTCAAAGAAAAAATCCGGCAGAACTGCGTTTTCTTTTTCTCGGCAGCTGCAGTGGCAATTGAAAAGGTTATTTAACTTAGATCGAAGTGTTAAATTGGCCTTACATCAGATACAATCTTTCATCTACGAATCCAAGACCTAAAAAGATTAAGCTGCTCAAGAAACTTATTTCCTTTTTTCACAATACTAATTTATCCTATTGTTCGCAAAAGATAACATATCCTTTATTACATTTCGTCGTTTTGATAAGCCAAAAGTAATCTTTATTATCAGTCTAAATTTTAAAACTTATTGTTTATTCAAAGACATTCTTTATTGCATCGCTCTATTTTGCTACTTCTACTTCAAGCCCGGTTATTGCAGCAGGATGAAGTTTGGATGGATAATGAGTACATTAAGTCTCTGAACTAATTTTAGGCAGGCAAAGTGAAGTTATATTAACGACACCAGTTTCCGATTCAGGTCTTATCAGTCTTGTCAGTTAGGTTGCAGCTTCGAATCAGCGGCAAAATTTTATGGTTAAATTGAAAATGTGAATTATTGAAATAAATTAAAAAAAAAAAAAAAAACGTTGCGTGCTTTTGGACAATTTCATAGTGGAATACAGACAGATCTGTGTCGGATTGGCTGTGAAATCTTCAATCCGCATAAGTACGTAGGAAATATGATGTACAAATCCTAGCGTAAGTGGAGGTTATCGATCTCTTTCATTTAATAAATCTCTTCAGACTTCAAAAAAGATATTTGTGGGCTTATATAAAATTCTGCCCTTTCAGTGAATGTTTTGAGAACTGTCGCACACTTTTGACGCATATGTACTTCAGAAAAATTACCAACCACTGCAAACCACTTCTAAACTGTGAAAAATCTTTAACTTAGATTTTCGCGATCGGATTGATATAAATGGCACGTAAAATCTTGCGGGCACGGTTCTCTTTTTACTTTGCACAACATATCTAAGTTTTAACACTATTTGAATTATAAAAAAAAAAAAACAGATTAGACACATGATAAAAATTCATTAGCGGACATTGTCTTGATTCTCTTTTAAATCAAACGCTTTTCCCCATATTTGCTCTGTGGCAGTTTGTAAATGAAATCTTTTCAAATAGGTACGTCAGTATAATTTATGTCGTGTCTTTTCATGTCATGGAAATTTTAAAGAATGGCAAGCAAAAGTTGACATAATGTATTTCAGGCAAGGAAAAAAATAAAGAAAATGAATTATTCTTGGGAATTTGCTGACAAAACGCGTGAAGAAGGTATTATTTGTAATAATATAAATAATATGTTTTAAGAACGTAGGTTCTTTAATTTGTTCATTTCTATGACTCAGTATCAGTGCTGGAGCTCGAGAGGGAATCTTTATGACACCAGACTTATTATTTTCCTAGCTAATAACATAGCAAACAGTATTGTTGTTGCAATCCTAGCGGGCGACCATTATGTGTTAAGGCATTGTTAGCTTGTACAATAGTACACTTCCTATCATGCCTATAAATTTTACAAACAAATTTTGTTACGCTGTGCCAATATACTTCCAGCTGAAATGTACGAGAGGAGCAGTGCGTTGGGGCACTTTATAATGGTTTCACCCCATTGCAAGTGGCCCGCTCTCACCTTTACGTGTTCGCCTCTTGACGTAAAACAAGCTCGCCCCTATCTTTACCAGTTCGCCCTCATCTTCGCCCAAAATGTTTCAACCCTTTTTCCTACTGCGTAATATCTTCCTTTAATTTTCTGTCGAAATCATAATACAATTTGATCAACATGCAATTTTGCAGCAGTTTTGTAGTAGTTTAATATTCGCACTCCTATTTCGTCGGACTTTAACGTTTCATAGCGACGTAGCGTGGTTTCGTGGTCAACATTTGATTGAGAAAAACAAATTTCATGTTGATGGAAACACATTATGATTTTGACAGGGAAGCAATATGGTATTGCTGAAAGGTAACGAGTCGAAATATTTGAAGACGAGCTCAGAGAAAAGTGGGGCGCGCGTGTTTTATTTCGAAGGGGCAAAGTAGCAGAGGTGGTAGAGGGCGAACTTGCAATGGGGAGAAACTTCTAGATGCCGTATGAGTCTTTTGAGCGGCGGGTTGTTTATTTCAATTTCATTTTCGCATCTTCCATAAAGGATTCGCTTCAAACAAAGCACTAGTTGGAGCTTTTGAAATTAATGAGAATGTTTTGAGAACGGAGCCTGGATGGGGAGATATATAAAACAATACTCTCAAGACTACGACACTCGAAACTTTCGTTTACCTCAATTGCTGGGAGAAGATCGTCAAAGACTTTATTTCTACGTAAATTCACTTTGACCAAATTAATTTTTTTGCCATCATAGGTAAGATAATATGATCAACGTTTAGCATTTAGCGTCAATCAACTGGTAAATGAAATAGATAAAAAACACCGCAAGATCAAAAGGGTTTTCTACGCGAATACTGTTCAGGTGTCAATCTATAAATTATTAATCGACTTTAAAATTAATTATAAATTTCAAGTTATAATTACAGATGTTTCCTTTATCTTTTTATTCCTAATTATCAAGGCCTTCGCATGCTCGTTTATTGGAGAGGCGTCTCAAAAATAATCTAGAAGACTCTATTTCCGTGTGCACAGAGTAGTATAAATAAAAAAAATCATTTCAAATGGAGGTAAAAACCCTCAAAAAACAATGAGACAACTAAGCTTTAAAACGTTATGATCTTGAACCGATAGAAATGCGAAAACTATGGTGAATAATTATGAGATAAGAAAAGATGTTACAAAACGGGGCTCCCTACAATCGCAACGATAAAATTTTTCATCTTTAATTTGTTTGCTCGCTCGTTCGGAGGCAATTTCAGTATTGTTTTTCCTTTGTCATATGGTATTAAATTTGTCAGTTTGCTGTCGAGATCAACTGAGAGGAAATGAAAAGGCATGTCAGCTTCAGGTTGTTTTCCTCCTCCGTAAAATTCACTTCGGTGTTCTGAAGTATTCATTTCTTGAGATAAAAGAGTGGATTAATAAAATGAAAAAAAAAAATGATTGGCGCTCCATTTAATAGAACTAATTAAAAAGCCAGAGAGTAATTAAAATGCAGTAAGACTGAACTATTTTGTCGTGTTTACTCTCTAACATTTGAGCAACGTCAACAAAAGCGAATGCAAATGAATTTCTTGTGAAGGTTATGTCATTGGCTGTTTTTCAATCGTTGCCATAAATAAATTAGAAAAGCACGGTCTCCCTGTTGGAAATCGGTAACAGTTTGCATTTTGCATTGAAGTGAACCACCTGCAAAACTATTCATACCTTCCTCTTGATTTTTTTTTTCACAATTTTTTACACGAATTTATAAATTAAGACAAAAGGGTCTCAGGTAGTCCTTTGCGAACGTAACTGGTTCGTTTTCAAAACCATCAAGCACTGATTTTTCTTCGGCTGAGGAAAATCATGTCTTCAGAAGGAGAGAACGTTTCTTCTATTCGCGTATTACCCAACACTGAGTACTACTGCAACGAAGCTTTGGACGAAGCATTTCTAATCGTGTACATTGTTTTAGGCCTGGCAATTTTCGCCGGAAATACCTTCTGTTGCATCGTATTTTTGGCGAATCCTAAGCTCCGAGGATGTTACATGAACATATTTTTGGTGAGTCTCGGATTGGCTGATATTCTTGGTTCCATTTTGGTAATTCCAGGCCACTGCGCGTTCTGCACAAACTGCTCCAGGAATTTCAGTTTGAAACAGATCGTAGATGAAGAAACATGCAGATTCTTTGACGCCGTAAAGGACTTCGTTTGGTTGACGTCTGTCCTCAGCCTTCTCGGAATCACTTATGACAGATATTTAGCAGTTATTCAACCACTTCGTTATCAGTGCAAAATGACGCCACGAAAAGTCTCTGCCGTCTTAGGAATAACTTGGCTACTGCCAATCCCATTTTCCTTCATAAAACCGATTATTAACGATGCGGGAGTGGACTTCCTAAAAAAAGGTTCGCGTAGTGAATCTATCTTTGACTTCCTTGTGGTACTAACGCTCGTCATCCTTCCAATGACGATTATATTCATCGTAAACTTTATGGTGACAAACGCCATAAAGAACCAACTTCGGAAAGTTCATTTCGAACGACAGGAAAGCAGAGGAGACCAAAAACCGAAAGACAACCGACGAAAGACGATTTCCTGCTTGATCGTTGTAGTGGTATTTTTAATTTGTTGGTTTCCCCGATGCTTGTTGAATTTTATGTTTTTATTTAAAATTCTTCAGGAAAAAGGCTTGCGCCTTCTTGAAAAGATATCTTTGGTATTTATTTTTCTGCAATCGTCTGCCAACCCTTTCTTATACTCCTTTTACAGAAGCGACTTTCGCAGAGGCGCAAAAACTTTAATGCGACAGGTGATTCCATTAGGATCAAAAAGTTCTGAACATATCGATCAACCTAGAAAGCGCTTCAACACCCAAGAATCGAGGGTGGGGCCAGATTTAAACGAACAACCGACTGAATTAAAACTTCAGGAATTATAAACTCTTATTACCGCTAAGTCTCTTTAAGATTTGATCGCATTGAAATTCACTAGGCTTAGAGTTTGTGCGTGACATTTTGAAATATTAATATCAACAATTAGCGAAAACGCAGCGTATTCAAAGGATGAAAACATTTTCATTCTCAGAAAACCATAAAATTTGAAGTTACAGGAGCAGAGACACTTCTCTCTCTCTGTCATTTGGACTAGAGTTATTTGAATAATAGAGTTGTAATTTCCGTTAGAAAACAAAATACGCTGTTGTCTGAATGCACATTTTAACCTTGCGGCTGAATAAATATTGAGGAGAAAATTGTTTCAAGTTTTTAATCTCTTAAGAGTTTGTTTTATGCCATTATATTTCCTGAAACAGCTTGTAAAAAAAGCAGCTGTTCTCTCTTTTTGAGAATATCATATCCAGCTATTCACAAAGGCGATGACTTGCTCCTGAGGGATATAGATATTCTAACGACAAAGTTCGTTCGCCTTCATATATTTAAGCTATTTACTCAATTCTCGTCGTGTTGTAACAGCTGCCCTTAAAAGACATCTCATCTGCGCCTATTTTAACAATTAAATGAAATGGAAACCGCAGAGCAGACACGTAGTCTTTGCAGTTTGCGTATAAGGACCACGAATGCGCGTCAAATTTGCGCGATGACACCATTCGCGGCAAAGACCTTGGTGTTTGTTCCTTGATTGAAGTCAGCCAAGGAGGCATTTCGTAATGAAGTCGAATTGCCATCATCTAAATCGAAATAGGGTGAAAAGTTACGGTTAATAACGGGTTTGAAAGTTGCCAACCTCCCACAAGACAAGGAACTTAAAAGCGAGGCAAACAACGTCGGAAGTTTTGCAAAAGTGTCGAAGCTCTTTTGTTGCAGCTGAAGCGGCTTTTTTGTTTTAAATGGAATGGTAAATAACAAAAATTACCACGGTTGGACTCTTGACATAATTTTTTTTTTTAACTTTCATCAACTGAATTAAAAAAAATAAAAAGAATAGATTCAAGGCGGAGACTCGTGTATTGTATGACAGCAAGTAAAACTTATTTGTTTTTCTTGACAGAATGAACAAGGACCACGTGACTTAGAAGTGCTTTCTCATTTTTCCTTAAGGGGAGATATTTGCACGTTTCGCATATCATATCATGTATAAGGGTGTTTATTTTCCTTTCCAAGCTACTCAAGTGACTTAATTTTTTTTAAGATTTCACAACCTTATTGAATGTAAACTAATCTGAGTCACCCACTTCAGTTAAAGCATATTCTTGCGTCAACCATCCACTCACCCAACAAAACACTTCATCAAAAAGAAAAAATTCAAAAAAGAAAAAACCAGCAGTAATCTACTCTACTGGTCAGTCAGCCAGTGCTCGGATAATTCGACCCGCAGTAGTGCCCATATCACTAACCAATTTATTTGTCTGTTTTGTTTTCTCTCACTTAGAAAGTCAGGGAGTCTTATTCCCCTCCACTAACTCAAGAAAAAGACCATTTACGTCACCCATTCAATCAATAGGATGAATCCAACCACCTATCCGTTGACTCACTCAGTGTGCGACTTATCTCTTCATGCACTCAATTAATGCAACCAAAGTACTCACACTCGCTCTCTCTCTCTTTTTTCTCTCTCTCCTCGAGTGCTTGTTCTTTCTAGTGACATTTACGTAATGTTATTTCCGTTATGTGTAATTACAGCGCTCCCTTCTCGACCGTGATGGAAATACTTAGTCGATACGGTCGTATGATATACTTATAACCCTTGAAAAGGTGGAGATTTACGTTTATAGAGAATAACAGGCTGCGATTGTTAAGTTGCAGCCCGGAGAAGATTTTAAATTCTCATATCATTAGGGTTCTGACAGAAGCTAAACAGGACTTGAGGTTTGTCATGGCGATGGTTGCTTGCGAAAGTTTCGGCCTCTCGAAGGTCTGAGGTCTGATGATTCCTGACGTATGTTGATTATGACCTGGTCGGACTTGTAACGGCCAACGCTTGAATTTCACTCCCTAGGGAGAATTTTTCTTTTAGCTCATTGCGCTTTACAGAAGCTGTTTTTCATTTCCTCTGAGTGTAAGTTGGTCGCACTTGATCGCCAGGGCAATGACATGTGACGTCATCATACATGTCAAGTCATGGTATGTCGAGTTAGTCAGTTTTTGGGGACTAGATGAAAACGTTTCAAAACGCGCGGAATTCTGAAATTTCTCGACACCGAGTTTAGTTTTCAAGATCTCTCTTGAGATTTTCCTATTCTTAAAGAAATCCTAAAGGACGACCAAGAAAACTCGTATACAGATACTTTTGCATGCTTGCCTTCCTTGCGAATTCAACCGCTTTTTCTCACTCCTGCTCGACAATGCGCATGCTCTGTATCAAAAGATTTTGTAAGCTACGGGAACTTGCTCCATACCTTAAGTACCGAGTCTCAGTAATCTGGCGACGGCTTGTCGGAAGTCAGCTCTGTAAAACGAATATATGAAAGGATTCACTGAAGACTGCATCAGAAGGAAAAACATAGACAGCTTTTGCAGCAGTGCGTCAATTTCATGGGTGTCTCCACTGACTAGGTATTGGATGTTAAATGAGATCCGTGGAATCCACGAAACCACAAATATTATAACCACGAGGGCGCAAGCAATGGTCCCTTTTCGTTTCCGGCTCGCTTCTGCTCGAATTTCTTCAAGGTTTTCAGCTTCGCTTACATCCTGTGGATTTCGCATCACAGCCACTTGACGACCTTGTACTCTGATCGCTATTATGATTTTGATGTTGATAATGGAAACTAGTATGGAAGGAGTGACGAGAACAACTGCCATGAGTATGCTATTATAAACCCCGTTGACGGCAGTTATTTCGGGGCCAGTTATTGTAAGATAGAGAGTGCTGCGCACGACAGCAGTGCTGACTGAGACGCTCCACACCGCGATTAGAATGTTCACACATCGACGTCTGGTCATAACGTTCTCGTATTGGAGAGGTCGGAAAACTGCTAAATAGCGATCGAAGGAAATGGCGAATAGATTAGTGATACTCCCGGCGAGGACAGCGTCTTTCGGAAATTCAAGAAGCCAGCAGTAATTACTCACAGCGTACTGCCTACAACCCAAGCAAAATGTTGCATAGCCAGGAGCCACAAATGCGCCCATTATCATGTCCGCGATAGCCAAAGACGCGAGAAACAAGTTCACCTTTTGCTGTCGAAGACGCGAAGTAAACACTATCGATAAAAACACCACTGCATTACCAAAAACAACGATTGCACCTGTAATGGAGTTAAGGATTATGAATGTCTTCTCTAACATCTGATCGCACGACAAATGATTTTCGGTTTCATTTGACATCGGCTGTTGTGAATCGTTCGTAAACAGCATAGTGGTTCGTCAGGCAGTTGTCACTGATTTCTTACCAAAACGTAGATGGTATTCTTTGAGCGAAGACTGCCGGAGCCTGATCAAAGGTTCCAACCAGTAGAGTTGTCGATTGGTAAACTAGTTGTCAATTGCCTCTTAGGAAAACTCCACGTCGACTGATATATCCCAAGCAGTCCCTCCCATTAGCGCAAGAGCTTAAGTTTACTTTGTGTTACGGACAGGTTCTACTGCATGAAGGAAGTCGCTTTCAACGAGTCTTAATTTTTGATAAAAGTATAGATACCCCACGACAATAGCACCTTCGGTTTGAAAGAAAGCAATCTAAATTAACTGGACAGGTTCATAAATCCCTTACAAAATTTTATTTAGATGGTGAGTGTCTTTGTTCTCAAAGGAGCTAAGTGTTATCAAGGTTAATGTCTTTGGGAATAAAAGGTCGGCTCATTTGAAAGTTTCACTTCTCCGCAACCCCAAACGTTAAAAGTTAAAAACCCTGTAACTGAGAACTAACACGGACAAAATTTTTGTTATTTATGAGATACACTTTATCCATGAGTATTTTCATTTCCGAAATAATATCTTTCGTGTATTATTAGGGACGTCTGAAAAGGAAATATATCCTTAATGGAGGACAGCTGAAGTGCTATGAGGCGGAAAAAGTTTAGTCGGTGTATTGTGCATCGAACATAACATATTAAAATTTCCATTTTCGTACTTCACTCTGACGAAGGGCTGATGCTCGAAACGTCAGCCCTTAAACTCTTTACGGTGGCCAATTTACGTTGTCAACTCAGTTGATAACACCAAATTACCCCATTTTCGTATGAGTTTGGTCGAAGCCTGAATGGCGGGTAACCTCGATGATTGAAAAGCACAGGAAATTAATAAATTACAGAGACAAAACAAACTTAGAAATTATGTATTTGTTAAGAACGCTTATTACTTTATGATGAAAATTTTTCACAGGCACAAAAAATGGAATATCGTCACCAACCCTTGTTGTTGTAGGTTAAATGTCAACATCATATTCCAAGGGTTCCAAAATTTCCTACGTCTTTAATTCGAGTTAATGATGTTCTCTGGCTTTATTTCCTACTGGTTGTAATTAATACAAAGTACACATGGCATCACTAATAATACGATTTTAAAAAACTCCAATATTTGGGATTGAAAGCTGACAATTTTGTAAGTTATAAAGCTCATAAAATTGAACCATCATTTATTAAAGATGTAGATAATAATTATTCACCGAAGCGGAGGTAAATCGTGGTGGTATTCACTGAGGTGAATAATTGTTTTATTATATACCACAAAGGTACAAAAAAATAGGTTAATTTATTTTAATATATAGGCTGAAAAATAGCCGGAAATTATACTTTTGAGGCGCGATTTTGTCTCAGTCATCACCGACTCGGAAGTGAATAATGCTCGCTATTCACTTCCGAATTAGCCAATCAGCGTGCGCAAAAAGAACTTTTTACTTGTGTGGTATATACTAATTACAAACATAGCTCTACCAAAGTCCAGATACGTACGACTTGTATGCTTCATTGTTTTTATTGACATTATATCCTTTAGCGTGTAATTAATAAATTTTCACACTTTTTGTCTTCGCTTTTTCATTGAGAATGATACCACTTGTAAAAATCTGTTCTCTGAAAGAATCGATATCGAGAGATCTGCTGAGTCGAAGAAATTGCTTGGAACGGGAAAATACTCTTTAACTCAAGGCAGTACTAGCTAAGAAAATTTCACTGATGGGTCCTCTCGAATATTCTGTCGCGCCATTAATCATGCGGCGCCACGAAATGAACATATCGGCATCATTTTCCGTGTGAATTGCTCTGAAGTCACCTTATTCACAATTAATTCAAATATTTTCAAGTTCACTTCCCGTGTAAGTAAGAATTGTCTTTTTGGAACTTAACAAAGAAGCAAGCTTTGAAATCGACAAGGTAAGAGTATGTTTTCGATTTGCATCGGCTTTCGTCGAGAGCATTCGAGTCTCTTATTATAATAAACAATCTGCGCGAAATAAATAATTCATTGCGCACGATTTTTGAAGAGTATCTTAAGTGGATTTTATCATCTCTGTTTTCTTCTTACTTATAGTCTTTAAACTAGACCGGATGCTTTAAAAATTATCGTATTACTCACACCTTCCTATAACCCGCATCAACCACTGTTTGTAGAAAAATTAATAGATTACCCGCGGGTAATCGGCCAGTAAGTGTTTTACATTTAACGATAGAATTTCTATCAAACACATGCAGTTAAAGGGTTCATCAGAGGCTCTGGACAGCTAATTTCTAACATAAGATTGTATGTGATTACTCTCTTCTAAGCTTCATGTATCAGTTCAACTGATATACGTTTGAGTACCAAGTAACTTAAATCCTCGTTGTACACAACTTGACAACGTTCCAAATCTTTATATCTGCGCTCCCCTTAGGCTTCCCTAAAAGCTGGCGAAGATTAGAATTTCAAAGTTTTTGTCGGTGACAAAAAAAAAATTGCCCCAAAAAAATCGAAGAAATCCTAATTGAAAGTAAAAACTGAAACCAATAAAACGCATTCAACTCCAAAGCTAACTCAGGGTATCATATATATGTTCAAAATGCGTTGAAAACAAACAAAGAAAAAAAAACAAACATTGTGGATAGGGAAGATAGCATGGAAACGTTTTCATTAAGTTTTTTCAAGAATTTGTTCTTGTCTCTTGTGAACGAAAAAAGGAAACTGAATAATAATCTTCAAACTATCTTGTTATCAAGTAAATATGATATGACCAGTATCTATTTGTACGGTTCTTTAGTTGAAATTTATTCGACCGTCATGTTTATTCAATGGGAGTATAGATCTCCGTTACAACATCTAGAACATGTATATAGTTTCTTCCAAATCTATTTTTGAAAAAATTCCTGCTTAATTCAGCACTCAGTTTCAAGTTTTCCGTCATCGCTAAATTCAAAACAACAGTACTCTGTAGAAGTTAAATGCTCACAAATCTTCATCTTCGAAATGAATTTTATCTAATTTATTTCCTGGTTTTCAAGTCGCATAAAGCAAACATCCTTTCTTTGAATAAATACGAATCAGAATTTGAATTAGAATTAAGTGAAATTTTTTTGAAGGGAACATTAGATAAATTGGAAATTTATTCTTGAAACTCAGCGATTTAGACACATGGTGTTTAACACATTATTTGACAGACTGGATATAAGGCTATATTCAAAATTCAATGTTTAAAGCCAAGCACGTTGAATGGAGCTGTTTTGGACACGCTTTCAAAATATATACCAGAAAAAAAGAATCAATTAACACCTGAGCCCTCTATGCCGAAAACTGCCGCAGCTGCCACAGGTTATCACACGCTTGCGCGAATTTTCTTTCGAGATTTTAACCCTCGACTTTGATTCCTTTGTAGATTAGAATTCAAACCTGATACGTCAGTCTCGTTAAATGAAGTGGGTGATTGACAAAAGCTTGATACTAAAGAAACTGGCATGAATGATTCAAGCTGAGGGGCAAGCAGAAATGTGAAGAGACAACACTTTGAAAAATAAGCTAGTTCTATTGATTCTGTCAGAGAACTTCTCTCTTTGGAAGAAGAATAATATCCTTGGAGACTAAAACTCTATTTTCATCGGCATGAATTTCTCGAGTTTTTGGGAGCCTGACTCCGCGCTGTCTACTTTGTCGACCCCGAGCGAGACGATGAACACTCAAAATATATCTGGGAATAATAATCTTGATTGCAGCTTTCAGCTTGACCTTCTTTTTTGGGTTGTGAACGGTATCATCGGGGCAGCCATCTTACTTGGAAATACTTTCACGTGTGTTGTATTCCTGTCCAGATCTCATTTAAGACAGAATTACATGAATATCTACCTCGTAAGTTTGGCTGTCGCTGACATTTTAATGGGGCTTCTAGTCGTGCCTGGATTTGCTGCATTTTGCAGCGGCTGCACTTACAAGTGGAGCGAATATTGTTGGTTATTTGGAGGTGCTAGAGATATCGCTTTTCCAGCGACAGTCCTAAACCTTTTGGCCATTACTTACGATAGATACTTGGCTGTTCTACGACCTCTGCAATACGCATCGACAATGACGAAACGCAAAGTCTTCTCCGTTCTTGTCGCTGTTTGGGTAACACCTCTTATTGTTTCGTCTGTAAGGAGCATTTGGCAGCATTCATGGGAATCACAAGCCGTTAAAAATGCTGAGTTGGTTTATAATGCAATCCTTTCCACCGTGTTTGGGTTCTCGCCGGTTCCTATTTTGCTCATCGTTAACCTAAAGATTATGAGAACCATCAAGAGTCATGGAAAGCGAATCCATGTAGACATGATTGAGGGTACGTCGCTCTCTCACACCGACCCTGCGCCAACTTCGGGGCTTAACCAAGAATTTACAAGTAACATAACTATCATTGAGCAAAATCGGAGGAACGCATATCGCCGAAAAAAGGGAACAATGTCGTGTGTTTTAGTTGTTTTAATATTCATTATTTCGTGGCTTCCAAGGCAGTTCCTAAATATATGCATCCTTTTTGGTCGAAGAGATTTAACGAGTCCTTTACTTGTGAAACTATCATTGTTTTTTCTTTTCTTTCAATCTTCAGTGAATCCTGCGATATATTCTTTCTATAGAAACGACTTCCGCCAAGCGGCCCGTCGGCTGATAAAAAGGCAGCGTTGATTGTATCATTCATTTAAGGAGTGTATATAGAAATTGTGTCCGTTTTTGTTTTTTCGTCTGTCAGATATGTGCGAAAAGGCGATATTATTCCGTAAAAATTTTAGCTTGTAGTTTTTTTTTTCGGTAATAGGCCGTAAAAAATGCTTCCCTCTAAACCACTGATAACTTCAAAGATAACTAAGTGGCAGTTACGATTATCTCTGTAACCAAACGGACTGATATAAGATCAGCCATTAGCAAAGGACAAAATAAATTTTCTGGAACTCACCACTTAATGGTTGATACTTGACATGCAACTGAGTTCCTGAAATGTGCGCGCCGGCTAGCAGACGGTTTTTTGCTTTACAGATCTAAATTTTCTCAGAACGGTAAGGTTTTGGGGATTCGTGAAAATAAGAAAATGTGTTCGAGCGACAACGAGAGTTGCTTTATCTGTTTTTTCATAATTGGTAAAGCCTATACTGAGTATTGTTCAGTCGGATCTATAACTGTAACTGAGCGCAAAATCGCTAAACTTGATGAAGGCTTTTGTATCGCCCTATCTAAATCAACATTGTAAATATAGCGAGTTCCTTTAAATCGCCTTTTTGAGTTCCTTAAATTTTCACGTTTAAGACTCTTAAAATCGCCTTCTTAAGTTCTTTAATACGCCACTCTAAGTCCCTTCGCCTCTTTTAAGTTCATGAAAGTAGCCTCCTAAGATCCCTTAGAATTGACGCCAATTTTTCGCTCCTTTACATTGTCCCTCTCAAGTTCCTTTAAATTTGCAATTTTGAAGTTCTTAAAATGCCTTTTTAAAGTCCCTTAAAATCTAGCGCCACTTACAAAATCGGTGTCTGTTTAACTTTGAAATGAGACGAAATATTTCCATTAATTCTGTACTCTTGGTTCCCACTACTCCAATTTCCGCTATTTAACACTTCAAATTTGGCACGAAAATTTAATGACATTTGTTATTTGTGAGATGCATGAGGAATAAATAGCAGCGAGCCTACGTTTCTAGCCGATGAGGTCGTTGAAAAAGAGAAATTTTAACCAAAGGACTGGTTGGCAGTGAACTGAGAACGTCTGTCAGGATCCAACTGAATGCAATGGATAACGGGAAAGCGACAAAGTCTAAATGACGCCGTTTACGTTATCAAAACGGGTTTAGCTGTCTACGAGCTTCCCTGAACCTTTCAGCGCGAATTATAACATATATATCTTGAAGTCAATTCACGTTTTTCTTCTGTAAGCGGAACTATTCAGTGATCATGTGACTCGCGCGTGTTTATACATGTTCAATACCATTTCAAACATGTGCACCTTTCAGCGAGCCAAAGCGCTTTTGGAAACTAAGTGATTCTTCTGATGTTTATTCTAATGCTGCAACGGAAGTTTCAAAATTAAAATTGCGATTGTCAAGTCACATATTATTTCTCTCTCTTTGTTTGACATCTGTAACACTTCTCACAGCTTTTGCGTATGACGTCAACGTTCAATTTGTTCTACACCTTGTGCGGCTGTTATTTACAATTTTAGTCCTAAGCGTGCCTGAAAACAACTACCGGAATAGCTGAATGAAGCTAATAGTGCTATAACAAGTCATGCTTATCCGTTGCATTAAATTTTGTGCTTGCTTGCTTGGTTAAATGCGATGAAAGGTCCTTGTACCATTTAGTTGCTTTTGACCTGCTGACAGAGACGCATTAATTTTTTTCTTTTTTCGCTATATTATAACTGGCGATGTCGCAAGTATCTTCAAATAATTCAACTATGTTTTCTAGCCATTATTCGGTACATTTTCCAGACTTTAACCCACCCACAGGTGAACTCGAGTCTAATGGAGACTGTAGCCGAGAGCTTGACTTCGCTTTTTGGATCATAAACGGTGTATTCGGTGTTCTTATCCTGCTGGGAAATTCCCTCACTTGCGCAACGTTTTTACGGTTCGAAACCCTCAGGCGGAGCTACATGAATTTGCTTCTGCTGAGCTTGGCCATTTGCGACGCTGCAATGGCCGTGATAGTAACGCCTGGTTATGCCACCTTTTGCACTGGTTGCTCTTACAACTTGAGTAAATTTTGTTGGTTTTTCGAAGGTGGCAAAGATGTGTGCCTCCTCACGTCCACATTCAATTTACTTGCCATCTCATACGACAGACATCTGGCCATCTTTCAGCCACTCAAATACCAGGTCAAAATGTCGCGAAGAAAACTCCGTGTGATTTTATCGGTTGTGTGGCTCACTCCACTGTTTCTCGCCTCGCTCAGGAACATTTGGTCCCACACTCGGCCGGAGAACGTTGTAGAGAAGCTCAACAGAACTTATTCATACATCTTACTCATCGTCTTTGTCATACTTCCGATAGTAATCGTGTCCGTTATAAACATAACAATTTTGATCGCCATCAAAAAACAAAGACAAAAGGTAACAGTGCTCAACACGACCAGTGATGGAGTCTGGTGGAAAAAGCAAACTCGTATGCAGTATCTTCAGTTACGAAAAGGAACTCTTTCTTGTGTTTTAATAGTTGTTATTTTCGTAGCCTGTTGGTTACCCAGAACAGTTCATTACGCTTTTTATCTCTTCAACCATCCAGAATTGGTAACTCCTATCCTCCGAAAAATTTCCGTGACTTTTCTTTTATTGCAATCATCCATGAATCCCCTAATATACTGTTTTTATCGAAAGGAGTTTCGACAAGCTGTCAAAACTTTAATTAAATGTGCGTAGAACTTGACGGCAAAATTTCAGTGCGCTATATGGAAATATCTAGGAAATGTCTGCAGGTCATTTGTGTCAACAAATTGAACGGAATTAAAATTCAGCATTCACCGATTCGTTTGTCTTCTTTGAGTCTGATATCATGGGTAGTAAACAATGATTATTTTCTATATTTGAAACTTTCTTTAACTGTTTAGTTTGTCTGACAATAATGCAATCCAAAGAGGTTTCCTGTCTCCTAAACCCTTTACATCCTGACATCAATATTTATTTTCTCCATACTATTGCCGTAACATTTCTTATGGTACGGACAAGGAGAATGACAAGCTTATTCAGTTTGCAATCATTTTTCTTATTTTCATGGTTTCAATTTTTGATTAATCATTGATGCTGTAGGGAGAACTCAGATTCTAGGCACTTTTTGGGGTTTAAGTGTCATTTTGTTATTAAATAGATCGCTGGTCAGTCACTCCACCAGATGAGAAGACAGTGGAAAGTTCCGCTGAGACTGTGGTGAGTGTCAAAGGATAAAGTAAAAATCCTGGCTGCCAAGCAACCTAACGTAAATTGTAAGAAAGTTGTTTATCCAATCAACAAATCACCTACAGTCAGCCATACATTTTGGTAATGCAATATAATTGGTCTCTTAAGAATAATGTGAGGTGTATTGTGGGAATAGAGCCCTTGACGAGGACTCTATTCCGCTACGTGTTCGCCATACCCTTCAGTGAGAATGCCAAGCTGTTTTCGTAACAACTTCGCTCGAAATGCACCGAACACAATGAGGTATGCTTTGAAATCGGCTCCTTTAAATCTACTCGGTGCCGTCGCACAAATTTGACCCATTTCCCTCAGGAAATTCAATCGAGATGCCTGCCGTGTAGCTGATGTTCGTACAGCTTTGATTGTTGGGCGCTCCGGCGACACAATGGTGTCCACCGTTCCTCTTTGGCTTTTTCTTTTCCGCCATGTTGTCAAGTGATAGTACAATAACCTGACGTCACAGCCTCAGCTCACGTGCCTTTTTGGCCGCGCGGTCGAGGGGACAAATCGAAGTACGAACGGAAAAAAATACCTAAAAGTATTTTTGAAGAATCCTAACTCTCAGACCCTTTATCTTAATTATATATCTAGTTACCTAAAGACAGTGTACAAAATTTTGTGTCATGTACACCTTAACCGGCTTTTAAGGTCGAGGAATGCGGTTTGAGGACGGTCTGTTTGAGAGAAACTCATTTTGCCGGTGAACAAATCATACATCTTAGTATAGGAATTCATAAGCAGAATTTAGCCGAACACTTGCTTATGATTAACAAGTATACAAATGATCCCTAATTCATTTAGGAAAAGACAATTATATTTGCTACCGTTTAAGTACAGTAAGTGGATTTGAATTCAGCAAATTTTCACTGACACATGTGAATTGGTATTGCCTCCTAACTCGCTGAAATAAGACTTCTTAAGTCGAGAATAATCAGAAATCGTACCTTTATCTTGCCTTCTATTGACGTTTTAGGGTAAATTCGTCGATTGGACGGTAAAATGTTTCATCCGCCTTTCGCTTACTGAAGTCTGGCGATTCCTCGGAGACAAACCCGCAAGTATTTCATACTACAGTGCTGTGGTACAGCCGCGTTTGAAATTTGGCGCGAAACTTAAAGTGAAGCGATGAAATTTTCGCGCCAAATTTGTCCAGATGTAGGCAGGCATCTGATATACAAATGGCTCTATATCCGAGTAACTTAACAACAACTTATCATATAAAACTAATGACCTAAGAAACAGCAGAAACAAGATAAACTCTCAAACAACCAATTCACTCGCAATAAAATGCATGATTTTCTTTAATTAGCAAAGTAAGTTTGAAGGCCACCGACAAGCTTTTGGACAAAGAAATACGAGTTATGTTACAATCAGTATTTATTTGCCTGGATAGTTAAAAATTTACTATGGAAGAGTATAAATATACAAAGGTACAAAATAAATACGAAAGAAGTTCAAGTTCTGGTAGTCATTTCTTACAAATATCTCAGATTTAAAAAATTTGCCACTGGAAATAGACTTTGATTTAGTGTCCTTCAAGAGTTACACGCGACAAAAACACTGCGATCAATTTGTTGAACAATCAACAAGTGAAATACGACACATGGAAAAGAAACAGAAGTAGAACTATGCATGAAGAGAACTGCTCAAAACAAGCTGACGATTCTTAATAAATCTCTTGCCAACAGTAACTGGTACACTGAGAAATGCAAATATTAGCGTCGACAGAGGCACGTCCTGGTAAGTACCCTATATCCGACAAGAAAATGTCATACGTTATCAACTTGAAACATCTAAAAGCAATTTATATTATCATCTCAATTCCAAGCTTCCTAACTTTAAAGTTCTACCTACACTGCTACACTTTTTAATATAGCTTGCCACATTTGCAATAATAAAATTTCCTAGACTGGCCTCACAAGCTAACTAAGATTTAACTGGACACCAAGAATACGGAAAATTTGACTTGACTGTACTAGAATTAGTCATAAAACAAAATTTGTGGTAAATTACTTTTAAAAGGACTACTGAACTGTGTTAACTACTCTTTCGTATTGTTGCTTTATTACGATTGGTGAATATCATGAGAAAAATATTTTTTGTTGGGAGTCGAACGATGTTTATCCTGTCAACTGAATCTTGCCATCTTGGAGGGGATTTCTGGGTAGATGAAGAGAAAAAAAAAAGACTGAGTAAATTACTTCTATATGACAAGTAAAATAATTAAAAAGTAGGCTCGTTTGAGCCTATGGACAACAGGTCTATGGATGACACCTTGGTATGAAATCCATAAAATAAAAGCCACCAAGCGGTGTCTTAAGTGGTAATGCTTGTTAAGCTATACAAATTGATTCTTACCAGTTAAACGTGTGTATGAAAATTGTGCGCGACTTCTCTCACCTCACCTTCCTCAAACTTAGCTCGAAGAGAACCACAAGATTGCTACACAGAAAGCGTACAAAGTTGTTTCCAAATTTTAATTCTAAGGATAAAAGTCTTAACTATCACAATAAACTTATCACTTATGTCTAAGACTATGACGAAAAAATCCAAAATATCATCTAACTGCCCACCTTCATTCGGATATCCTGGAAACTCGCCGTTCCTCATATGACTTGCGTACGCCGCATTAAACAGTTGTTGTTGACGTAACATACCACCGAATCCAATCATACGCTCAGGCTGACCCCCAGCCATCATGGCATCCATAGAAGATGCCATATGCTGTCGACGTTGCTGCTGCTCTAAGAAGTACATCTGCTCTCTCGTAAGAGACTCCCTGGAGGGTAGTACAGACGGGTAACGATATTGCATGGAATTCAGGTCCACAAATTGAGAATTTCCACCCTGTTGCATTTGCGCAGATTCAATGTTTCGTTGATGCGCCATAGCAGATAAGTTAGGTCTGTACTGCAGCGGAGGTAAAACGTCTGACGGGCGCTTGTTTCCGTACATGGCCGCATACGAACTCATGTCCGCGACACGCGTAGGATTAAATCTCTCGTGTTTCTCCTCTGGGCTGTGCAGAAAATTACCAGCCATCATATTTTCCCGTATTCTCTCCCGATTTGCTGCCTCCAAGGCTAAGTACTGACCGCGATTCTCCGGACTGGCTTGTGATGGGTTTATTCCCCTCAGCATTGAAGTGAAAGGGAGACGATGATTTCTTTCGGGTGCAGGTTTGTTGTCCACGCCCCCTGAAGATGGAGGGCCGACATCGTTAAGTTCTTGAAGAAAACTACCCGGTTGAAAGTCAGGCCAACTCTTGAAAGGCACCGCAGTCTCTGCCCCCTTAGGAGGATCTTTGTTCATATTTGCAGGGGGCATCCGCTGAGGAACAGCCTCCGTTTTACCAGGTTCTAAATGTCCATTTTCAGATACACTTTCCAATGTTTTCGCTCGGGAACGTTTGTCCTCTACATCATTTCCGGGTGGTTCTTTTATCGGGGTTAGCAATGGCATTTTCTTGTAAACATCCGCTTCGGGAGCGCTGTTCTGAGGAACTTTCTTTATTACACTCTCCGCTGCGTTACCTAAATTTTTTTTATTGTTAAAATTCATTCTAAATGCACGATCGTGCATTTCCAGATGAAGAGGATCTCCTTGTGCTCCTAATCTATCTAACCCTTCGTTTGGAGAAACACCGAAAGACCCTCGCCCAGAGGAAGTATCGAAATTTGGCCGCCCTCCCATTCCATCATAGGGCCCTTTTCCGGGCACCCTCTTCAGATGCTCGTTAGATGGCGCGACACGATCCCTGTTCTCTGGTGACTGGATAACTTGGCGTGAAGAACTGGGGTGCATGGCCAAGGCACCCTGTGGTGTACCCTGAGCGGGCCCCTCTCGCATTTTGGCTCCTTCTGTCGGCTGCTGATCCTCTCGTGAGGCCCCGCTTAAGATATGACTGATGGACAGAGTAGGAGGAACTCGACTCCTAGTCTGCTGCATTCCTTCGACGTTTGGCTCTTCCCTACCATTTGTTTGGAGATCCTTCCGTTCCTCTTGTTCGCTATAAGCTTCCTCGCTATCGGTTTCGTTTTCGGCCTGTTTGTTGTTACCGGTAAAATTTGGTGCTTGTGCCTTTGTAAGTTCAGGAGGCTTGTTTGGCATGACTGAAAACAGATGAAATGGAAAGAAAACGTTGGGGCAACCGAACAGAAAAAAAACCAACCAAACAAACAAAATCTGATGATACATGACAATTTTCATCCTTCAGCTGGGTGGCTGTATGGGTAAGGTTCCTTGCGTAAAGAACAAATTATCTTATTGCTTTTGGTAGACTTTTTGTCAAATCTGCTCATACCTTCTTCTCTAAAGGAGCCCTCTCTGGAGGGGACCCTCTGTGGGGGAGCCTCTGGAGTGCGTCTGTCTAAGCGCCAAGGCTCCCTCCCAGGTACCATAGGTTGATTGTAGGGTCCAGCTGCTGGAGCTCTATAGGGCATAGGACCATTTCGAGGATAGCCAAGGTAACCTTGATTGAAGGTCTGTGGTCTGTAGTAAGGTGGCCCTCCATGCGGCTGCTGTTGAGATTGACGGCCTCTCTCAGTGCCACCCGTTATTGAAGGAGGAGTGGGCTCACCTGAGGTGAAAATTAAGATAAACAAATAATCACTGATGTGACCTCTTTTAAAAGAGACCACCTCCTGGAAGTCATTGCATTTGTATGAAATATTGAATGATGGTCATTGAAAAGCTAAAAATTGAAAAGGAAGACCCACCTGAAGTCGAGACAGGGACTGCCTGCTGTGGGGACAGCTGCTTGGCTTGTTCAGTCTGACTAGGACTATTGATGTCATTCTCCCTACGAGGCAGCTCCATACTTCCACCTGCAGCACCCATCCCATATTGGAATGGCATCCTGCCAGGCATGCGCTGTGGTGGAAAATGTGATGACTGTGGCTGTGGCTGACCCATCTGTCCCATGGGATTCCCTGGAGGAAATCTAAACCTGTTGTACTGAGGACCTGGTTGCGACATACCAAATCTGGCAAAAGCAGCTGGGTTAAAAGCATTTTGGTAGAACTGCGGGGGATAGAGGGGTCTCCCATCAGAGGAAAAATGTGGGGGACCAGGGAAGGGCATTCTGGAAGGGTGATGCGATGGCATCATACCTCCATTTGACATGCTGTTAGGTAACATATGGTTTTGAAACATTGACTGTATTCCAGATGGGGCCATCTGTTGGGGGAAAGGGCGGTCCTCTCCTGGATGAGAACTACCAAACATCTCAGTTCCTGAGCTTGCCTCTCCTTTCTTTCTCTTGTCTTTTTTGCTTTTGCGTGCAAGCTCTTCTTCAAAGTCCTCATCACTGTTGTCATCATCTTCAGGAAAATGTTTCTTCAGTTGACGATTGAAAGCTGCCTCAAGGCTGTTTGCCATCTTAGTGTACACTAAAATTTTATGGAGAAAATTTAAAAGTTGGGTTTAAAAAGGAAAAAAAGAAACACATCCCAGTTTAGTAGGGTTTAAGTGATCTTCATGTAATATGATGTTGTCAAAATTACATCACTGATAAAACATATTGGTACACTCCAAAATTATAACAGGGTGATGCAGGATTCCATGTTGGAAACCTCTACTTACCCTATTGATGATACATACAGAGTATAACCAGCAACAACACCTGCTAAACAGCAGGAAATGTACTTACTACTATCAGGGCCATTGTAGTCTAAACAGTTCTCAAACATCAACTTCATGTCTGTATTGAACTGCAAGGCAACCATCAAAGAACTTAAATTTATAACAAGAAAACAACAACATATTAATTCACTGCTCTTACACTATTCATTTCTTTTAAGGACATTTTGAGTATAAGCTGATCAGGCATAATCTACATTAAATTACAAAATCCTCTTTCAAAGGGAGGCAATCGACCCCTTTTTCAAAATTATTTTAGTTTGTAGAGGTAATCACATGATTCCAAGTGCAGTTTGGAATAAACAAGCGACAGGAAATTCTTTCAAAGACTAACAAAATTGCACGAGCCTGTAGGGCGAGTGCAATTTGTGGTCTTTGAAAAAAATTGCAAGTGGTTATTTCTTCTAAATTGCACAAGAAAAATCATGTGATTATGTATTAATAATATACATGAAAAAATACGAGATAGCGTATCATAATTATACAGAAGCAAAGCACTTGTATCAAGTGCAAAAATAATTTATTCACAACCTGCAAGTGACCTTGTGTGTTCAGTCAAAACAACTGCATTTGATCAAAACAATAATATACGATGATATTTTCACACCTTAAGGTGCAAAAGAGCTCAAAGTCTGGCTAAACAGTTCAAGTTATTGTTCAGTCTGGTTTGTAACTTTTCTGCACTGAATTAATACTCTTCTGCACTGAATTACTTGAAAACTGCACTCATCTTAACCAATCAGAACTGAGTAATTTTTTCATGTATCTTATTAATGGTGTAATGATAGCATGTACTCACATCATTCAAAGTGGTGTATTTACTGTCATCAAGCTTTTGTTCAATGGTTGACAGATCCATTGGTTCCTACAAGAGTGATGCAGTTTATTGGTTTAGCTCATACATGAATGTGAAAGGCTATAAACTCTTACTTGATAAGAGGGGAAAGCTCAACATATCACAATCAGTGTTCTATGTTGGGTTTGGGGAGGGGTAGGTGTGGAGATGTTCAGAGCTGACACTGATCTAACAATTTCAGAAACTATCAACTATTTGTAGGGGACATTGCTTAGATAAAACAACCAATTCTCAGAACTAGAAAACAAAGAAACATATGGACATCAGTAGCAAGAATTACATTTCAAAGCTTGGAAAAGCAAAAGCATCCTTGTTGCTCACCTCTATGATCTCGTAGTATTGAGGGGCATAAGATTCCTCCACAGGCTCCAGGAAAGGCCATGCATTATTGTGTTTTTTCAAAGCATCCAAAACTGTGGTAAAAACAAAAATTCAACATGCTATGAATAGACACTAAAGAACCAAAGGTTTTTGTTATTACAGTGAATGTTTTGAACTTATGAGAAGCAGGAACCTTGTTCCCAAGGTCCTCTCGATTCCCCTTGATAATGGACCCTGATTGCAGCTGGTCACAACTGGGTCCTTCCATAAAGGAAGAAGGAGAGAGGTCCCTTGGAATAAGGTTGGAGAAGCAGCTGTTTGTGTATTGTGAGCTGGGTGACGGTCTGAAAAGCACTGTCATCGGTGACACTGACCAGTATTTTAACAACCTAAGCAGAAGTCACCTCCCTACACTGAGGATCATGATTTTCATTGGGTGGAAATCAGGAGAATTTCCCTTTTCAGCACAACCCTCACCTGAATGATCAACCTACAGGTTCAACTGTTATTCGTAGCAAAAACTTTTCATATGCATTATTACCTTTATACATTCCAGTGTACAAGTCTTCATCTCTGTCTTCAAGGCCGATATCCTCTCCTGACTGTTTTGATCGTGTACTAGTTCGTGTACTGGTTCCTTCTTCACTGTCTTTGCCCTCTTCTATGTTAGACAAGCTTGATTTCAGTTCTTCTGGAACAAATTCACCATTAGCCATCATCCATTGCCGTTCTTCTCGCATACGCGCTCTTCTGGCTCTCTCTGAAAAAGGAGATCACATAGGTTAAGTCTGCACACGAGCCAAGTGGCCCATTTAGCTGGAGCTTATCATGGTTTTCTCAGCATGACTCACTACTCCCCCCTGGATGGGATGCTGATCCATCACAAGGTTACTCCCCGGAATTTAATCAAGCTTTCCTGAAAATTCACCTGTACACCATTTATACTCCTGGGTAGACATAGGCACCGTGAGAGTAAAGTGCTTTGCCCAAGGTAACACATTGACCCAACCATGCCTTGAACCCAATACCTCCTGACCCAGAGTCTGGCCCCCTAACCAAATGAAGGAATAACACAACCTCATACTTCAGAGGTCATGATGATTTTATGAACAGCATTGTCCTGCTAATGTACTTTTGTATTCCAGAAGGACAATCTCAACCACACCATTGATTGATGTAATTTTTGTAACTTTTTTTAATTGTTGTCCAATATATTCACAAGTCACAGCACTTTTTTCTTCACTTTGCCAACTTTTTCCAAGTCTTGAGTTGTTTTCCCATTTTTAAGAATTTTCTGTAAGTAATCTAAATAAGCAAACACAATCCAATCATTTACAAATCCTTGATGAGGAACATTTCAAACTTGTCAAAACCAATTGAAAACAATTGTTCCCCTACCTTGCTGTCTTTTCTCAGCTTGCTGCTGCTTTTCACGCTGCTTTTCTTCCTCCTCCTTCTTTCTCTCTTCAGCTGCCCTTTCTCTTTCCCGTTGTCTTTCACTTTCCTCCTGTATTTCCTCCTCCTCTCTGGACTGTGCTTTTGAAGCTATTCGGTCAGATGCCCGCCGAGGTGCCATTTCCATAAGCAGCTTTTTCCTCATGGCTTTATCCTGTGTCAAAGAGTAAAGATTTTTAAAAAATACCATATATCAGTGCTCTGAGCTACTTCTTTAGATGGTGATAATTTCCTTTATTTTTGTGACATTAACATGTGATTTTTTGGGTTGATACTCTCAGGAGTAATTAGGGAGGGTTGTCTAATTGAGAAAAATATCAAAACATTTTCACGAGCATGGCACAATGGAAATCTACCTCAAGGGGTCACAGCTTTTCAAATTAAACTTTTTCTCACTCTACCCTAAAATATGAACATTTTCTTCATTATTCTTCTCTTTGGCTCTATCAATTTTCATCAGACACTGCATAATGCTGTGGAAAGTCTGTAAACACTACTATGGTTTTACTACTCTTAAGAAAAGGATGCAACATAGCCCCAACAACAATATCTTAAACTTTCACAGGTATTCCTTGTACCTTTGCTTCAATCATTTTGCCAATCTCAGGAACAAAGTCGACACTGAGTGTTTCATAAAGCATCTTCTCATCTTTGTTTTTACTTTTCTTAAATGACTCGGCCAGCTGTTGCCATTCCTCCTCTGTGGAACACACAACTGTCCATGAAGGTCGAGGCTTCTTTTCGCCATCTTCCTTCCCTTCTGAATCTACCTCCTGCTCCTCATCGTCATCTTCATCATCAGCATAATCACTACTGGGCATATCACTGCTTGGACTAGTAAAACAAGTAGCTGATCAGTATTGAGAGCTGCACAATCACTCAGGTCTTACAGTGCATGTAGACAGTACCCACTGAAAACATAGCACAGTAGTCTTAACCCTTTAACTCATATGACCAACACAGAATTTCTCCTTACAATATCAACACAGCATCAAGCAGATGAGGGATGAGAATAAAGAAAAATAAATATTAGGCGATTAGTCTGAAGTAACATCAGAAGAATTTCATGGCAGAGAGAAAGGAGAATTACTATGTGATCTTGGGAGTGAAGTGGTAAATGATCAACAACTAAAGATACTCTTCATTGTTAGACAAAATCTCCTTGTCAACACCATACTGAATAAACAGGGAACAGTATGGAGATTATGAATACTGATGTTAGGGTGTAAAGGGTTAATTGATGGACGTGAAGTGGACAATTTCCCAGAGTCTGCGAAATTTCATGTTTATGACCTACACCCCTTTTCTCATCTCAACAGTTGGATTCATTTTCAATAAGTGCAGTAGAACACTGCTTCATTCTACATGTTATGTTGAACCTCAACAGAATATTTTTCTTAGTATGGCTGGGGAAGAAAATGTGAACCATAACAAAAATCAAAACAAAAAAGGAGACACTGAAAAAAAGGTTGGAATGGTTTAGCACAGAGAAGATTGAAAGAGAATACGGACGATTGTTTCAAACAATTTCAAAATGTACAGTGCATGACATACAATGTAGTTCCATTAGCATCTTTACCTTGATTCAGAATCTGGCTCTGAGTCAGATGATGATCCTTTCACTTTCTTCTTCCTCTTCACTTTCCCTTTCTTCTTCTTATTTTTTCCCTCCATCTTTTTCTTTTTCTTAGACTTCTTGTTTACTTTGTTATCAGACTGTTCAGGCTTTTGTTCACGATATAATCTAGTGCCGTAGAAGTACCAGTAAGTTCTGGCCTCGGCGTCAAATCCCAGTGGTTCTACTCGCAAGCTGTCTGCATCTAAGCCCTGAAAAATAATGAATACTTTAAAACTCAAAGAACACTTACTAATAACACTATACAAGGATGAACCTTTGAATGGCCACCTTCTGAGTGCTTATTATCCTACTTTCCTACTTTTGATCTTTAGGAATCATGACATTACTAAAGAATTGAGCAAAATTGCATCATCCTATCACATTTCAAATGTACATACTGGAGAAGATTAACACCTTTGACACTACTACACAAAATCAACTTTTTCTATCAAGCAACATATCGGCAAAGTTTCATAAGTCTCTAAAAACCATGTAAAATAAGGGCCCTCTAAAGTTGCCAGATTTTAGAAAGAAATGTAAAATATAACCAAGGATGAGAGCTTGCACGACATCGGCACTTAAATGTGACCGGACGAGTACATTTAGAAGCATTACTGGATGACTCTACAGAAATATGAGATTCCCGCCAGTCTATCCCTCAAGTATTCTAAGTTGTGTCAAGTGGATATAAAACGCAACTAAAAAAACTCAGTTCATCAAAGTTCAATGACTTGATCACGGAAAGAAAGATTATCTGAGTGTTTGAAGTGAATTCCTCTACCACAGAAGACAGAGCGATTAATATACAGCCATGTAATTCCATTCCATCTTGTCAGAAATACAATACAGTACCAATATATCATTACAATATGATTTGACAAGTAGCCAATCTATTTAACCTCTGATATGTGTCTAGATAGCTAAAATCTAGGAAATTGTAAATCCAAAATAGGATAATTACTGAAGCAAGATCATGGAGAGAATGATAAAAGTGTCGAAGTAGTGCTTGAATTCACATCTAAACCATGTGCATACCAAAAACATGGAATTAAAACAAGAAAACTCTAGACTTGTGATCAATGGAGGGCTAAGTCTTGTTTACGTACACAATGACTAACCTGAAAGCCAATATTTTCATATAATTTTGACGCTACTGAGGATAGCTAGTTTTAAAATTACAAGTCACTTTTAGTCTTTCCATGAAGCATTTCATTGACACACTTATTTAGTTCCAATCTATTTCTAAAGCGTAACATAGGGTAGGTCAAATACCTCATCATTATCTGCTCTCATCACACCAGTAGGCCAATAAAATCTATTTACTTGAAACTTGTAATACTCAAAGGTATCCCAACCCTATGCCTACTTGTTCAACTGCATGCCTAGTACCCACTTGTACTGCCGACCAGAGCTTCACACACACATTCACTAACCTTAAAGCAAATTAATTTATCACTTATGTTCCAAGATGGACAAGCACTGTAAATGTTACTTTTTCAACAACATTCTTATGCAAAAAAAATGGGAGTTACTCATTAACACAAGTATGATAGCAAGGAGTATAGAAATGGTGGCTATTGACAAGATTTTGATAGAGGTGAATTTAATTGTGTGGTGAATTATAAATGGCTGGTGTAAAGAGCACTGGCCCTTAAGCTTAGAAAAAAGAGCACTTTTGCAAAAATGAATGACGGTTTGCAATGATCTACACTATCCTTAAACAACAAAGAAAGCTCTAAAACTTTAAAACAAAACTTTGACAATCCTATCTGCTTTGTAAGGTGCTATTTTGCAGGAGGACAAGAATACACAATTCCACCAGATGTGTAGAACTGCTCAGATTCCATCCATGCCAGCCTCATCACATGGAAATTGAATATTCACCACCCTTTAGGCTGTGGCAGAATTTTGACAATATTTTCCAATCAAAAATCCATCATTCAATTTTGAGACTTTGATTTTGAGACTTTGATTTTGAGAATTATGACCGAAACTCATCAAAAAGTGTTCATTTGGCATAAAAATTTTTCTCTTGACATTCACAAAACTTGTAGATTTTATAATTAAAATCTAAAACTTAATATCTGCCTGATAACATTATTATAATTCATTTGTAACACTAGGATTGTAATTAAAGTGCATGTGAAGGTGAGTTTGAAGGCCAAAGGGATAAATTGGAATATCTACTGGGGAAATTTTTGTTTGGATTAAAAAGAAGAATGTTTCTTACCTTCAGTAACTCAGGAACATCTTCGACATCAAGTCTAAAGTCACAAAGGTTGTGTAGAATCTCAACTTTTTCCCTTGTTGAAAGTTTGCTGCGGATAAAAAAAGGTCAATATTGATTTCAGGGACAATATAAAGAGATAAAGTTACTTGTGCAAGAATTTTAATGACTACCAAATATCAGAGATTTCAAGATTGGAAAAAAAAAAAAAAAAAAAAAAAAAGTGAAGGTCACCCGTCAGTAATCAAATCAGTAAACACTTTTTCTCCCTCAACAATGGGCCATCTATCATTTTTCCTCTAATCCTTTCAGTCACTGGAGAGCATTTAAGTGTACTCAAGATCTACAGAGAGATAACTGTCTCTTGAATGTGTTCGAGGTAAAATACAGGTTTTTTTAATGTGTACTGTTCAGTTCCATAAGCACAATCGTAACAAAAGTATCAAAAACATAAAGTGGGCTGATAAACAGAATTGTGTGGGCCAGAACAAAAATATTACTATTCCAATGACAATACACTCCGTCAAACCCAAGTATTTACTGTCAAGTAGGGTTAAATTTCTTGACACTGAGACATGATAAACATTTCAGAAGTAAGAAATTACAATTTTAATGAAGATTTATCACAGTTCCTGATTGTGGAGCATAACTCTGTACATTAAAGATCAGAGAAGGTAATTTTTATCTGAATGAGTACATCACAAATTACTGCAAAACAACACGTGTTTTGAACTTTCAGAGAACTATATTATGACTAAAAAACAGTGCCTTGTCAATGAAAACATAACTAGCTTGCCCTGTTATATGCAACATATTCTCAATGTTTACCATTTTAATGAAATAAAGAGAACAATTTGCGCCTTAACCGGTGTTAACAAAAAAGATGGCTTCAAAACAAGCTGGGAATTTTAGAAAACACATCAACCTCTACAAAGATACTCAAAGCAATTTGTGTCTCACTAAAACAGCAACTTAATTTTCAAATTGCCTAAAAGAAAGGGTTTATCCTCTTCGTTTAAAACTTTTACTCTAAATTTGATGAAAAAATGAGAACAGGTGAGCATTTGGGCCATTTCCAACAACTAGAAACGAAAGCGTACTTTCTGGGTACACACACGCGTTTAATCATATTTCGCTGCCATAGACAATACTGCGTTGTCGGCCACATGGAGCAAGGCAAATCAACAAAGGCACAAAATAGCTGTCCGAAATACCTGTATTCTTTATCCGCCAAAGGGTTCTTCTTTCCTAAGTCATCTTCCCAGCGTATTTTCAATACTTGTGACAAATATGGCTCGAAATTCTCGGCCCTAAAAGGAAACATGGAAACTGTCACGATACGCTAAACTAAATAAGGAAGCTTTGGCTAAACTCTCAAGAGAAAATTTTCCACTCGCCTAAATAGTTAGGGAACTAATCTCACCGCCAAAACAAATTTCTTTTCCTAAGCCACAAATCTCTAAATATAACTCAAAATTCGCAAGTAAACCGAATAACGAATACCAAGGTATAAATTTTCAATAGGATCGCTCAATAAATATTTCACGTGTCAGAATATCAAATCGCACGTTTGTCCCTCCATTTTTAATAGCCGACTAAAAAGATTTAACTTTGGGTTCCAATTTAGTTCAATGAAATCAAGATTCCTCGTTACGATCGTCTACTTTTATGAAAAATCTCAAAAAAGAGTATTTTCGTTCCACAAAGGAGAAAGCTGCCGAGCCGTTGTGGTACAACATCGTCAACTGATACTCAATCAAGATGAGAAAGGCTGTGGATATTTGTTTCAAATCGATTCCTGTCGTGAACACGATGAGCGAAAAAAATGGTTTCAAACAAATCATCAAGGCTTAACAACGCTAAATGGATTTCTCAAAGTGTTCGGTAGAGCTGATAAACCTGCTGGCAAACAGATCTGCTATCACTCCATAATAAAATCGTGCAAGCATTAATAAAATACTAGAATTACTCGTTTGACAATTTCGGCGAACGGAACACGACCCAGAACTATTTTCTCGTGTCTGGAAAGTTTCTTCGTCGAAGACTTCATTCATAACGTAGTAATAACATCGTAAGAGTAATATTTACACAGTTCCCGATTCCAGATAATTTCATTTTTGAAAACATGGCTTACATGATTAGACAATGAAGAAAATTACCATGAGGCGGTCGGAGTTAGAATGAATTAGGAACATTCACGTTTGCACACGAAATCAACTAAAAGCTCGTATTTTTAGTAAATACGTGTAATCACACAAACAAAATCAATCAATGCGTTGTTAAGACATTTTCAAAGAAATGGTCAAAGGATAAGCTAGGGGATGAAGTAGAATGCAATACAGTAAAAACTGAAACTGTCTTACGTTATATCCTTTATTCCATACAATCCCCTTAACAATCGAGCATGAAGATCGGCCAAAAATCGGTTGTTTCCCTCTTCATTAGAGCCATCAATGACAAGTGCATCTTCTAAATCCTATGGGAAGTAAAACAATGTCTTTTTAAACTTAAAGGTGACAGGGCACAAACGATATATGTCCGTCTAAGCTTCCAACTTTGCTACCAGTTTTTAGCTGGCACCGTAAATTCAAATTTTAAAATAAACAATGCACGAAATAGTTTGGGCGAAGAAAGGTCAAAGGCTTAAGACTAAACGAACCTTCAATTCAAACTTTCAAAATTATATTATCGGTGAACGATCAGGAAAAAAAAGCGCGGTCCTTACTACAAAAAGATAATTGCAGATTTTCGTACGTACCTCGATTTCGAAGTCAGTCAATCCGAAAGCGGCGCGGAACAACGAACAGAAATGTGCTATCGATGGTACCTCCCACCAATTTCGGATCTCTGCAAGCCAGAAAAATATGATAAGCGCAATATTTCACCTTTCCAAAGATACCTCAAACAATCGTCAAAGTTGCTCTGAAAACATATTTACAAGGCCGTTCAACAGTACCTTCCATGTCAGCCAAAACAGATGGCCGACTGAGTACAATGACGACACAAGACGAAGCCGGGAACATCCGGGCTTTTCCCTTAGAACCACGCCCACAGAAGTCTGGGGCGAGTAAGGAAACGTGACTTTTGACTGACATGATCCTGAAGACAATGAATTACTTTTAAAGTAGATGATGATATCATGAATATCACGGAAAGCTATTTAAAGGTGCTCTCCTCAGTTGGTAAGGGAAATGAAACAACTGATAGAGAGAATCATTTTGGGCAAACATTTCCGCCAAATTACAGTGATACTCCAGGGCGCCCAGTTGAAAACACATACGCCACCCATCGGTATTGAAGGCTAGAGACGCACATTTCTTGCTGGCTCTTTCCAAGTTTGGTAGGAATAAAAATCGATTTATTACTCCGTGAAGAGATACCATGGTGTTCCCCATCAAAGAAAAGAAGATTGAGATAAAAAAAAGATAAAACACCAGAAGAACTATCAACAAACGGTAGACACTTGCTCTAAGAGGACAGTTGTAAATGGTGTGCACATAAACCACATTAAGAGTCGTTAGTCAAACATAACATGATTTGGTTTTATCAGCTGCGTTGGCCACCGTAGAGATTCTGAAAATGACATTCTGAGCGTTACCCTATCGTTATGTTCGCTTTGACAAAGGGCAAACGTTCGAAAATTCAGCTTTAGGATCTCTTAACGGTAAGCAATTTACATTATCAACTCATTTCATAATTATGAAGCCAAATCATTTTGTAATACCTCCAACGACGCAGAACCATAGTTGCCTTGGAAACTTACCCCCTTCAGTCGTTGATACACTTGCCGGTTCTCGCTTCCATTGAATAGAGCCCAGGACCCCTCCGTAAACCAAGTTAACTTTTTAACCCCTGAGAGTGAAAGAATTCTAATTCAGTTCTCTTTGAAGTATCACTGCAGAATCACGCATCACGATCATGAGGATAAAGACATCTTCACACATGATCATCAACCGAAGAAGCTCTCGATTGTTTTAAACAGATTCTACTTGCCTGTACCACAGGATTGTGCAAAGAACAATATGCACGCTAGTGTTAGAGTGTGACGATTTGGCGACATACAACCACGGCCCTTATCAAATTTTCAGTATGGGTTATCGACCGACGCTAGTCTGAGAGAAGAGTCCTCCAACAAAACATTTGGTTTTCCTTACGAATTTGCTTTCCATTCGCGGCTGAAAACCCTTAAACGAATGCCTTACGGTACGCAAATAGAAACCGATGTAAGGTCATAAATCCTTGCACTCGATCTTTCCTAAAACCTGTCTAATAATTGGAAAAGGGCTTGCAAAGGAGGACGGGATACCGCGCTTTGCGGCTAACAGGCCGTTCGTTGTCCGCAAAACGGAGGCAGAGGTATTCCAGGTCCGTTCTTAATGATCTGTCCTCATGTATTATTCAACTGCGATCCTATCGTACTTACCTCAACAGACTTCGTATCGCTATCAATGACGATAACTCAGTTATCATTACAGGACGAAACAGCTGTGTTACACAACAATTTCAAAGCAGTTTAATCAAATGTTTTCTCGGTATTTAAATTTCAGCCGTACACCACAGCCTATTAGTAAACAATGGACAAATAAAGCACATCTAGTGATCCTGAATTTTATTTTAAATAGCTTGAGGTACAAAGATAAAATTTGTCTTTGATAGAGTACTGTAAGACTCTGTCTCTTCACAAAGTACTTGAAACTTATAAAGGGGGTAAGTTTCTAAAGAAACTGTGGTGCTGCGTCGGTGGGAGAGTATAACAGGTAATTTGGTGTTAACAACTGAGTTGAAAACGAAAATTGGTCACCGTAGAGTTAAAAGGCTGACGTCTCGAGCGTCAGCCCTTCGTCAGAGCGAAGGGCTAACGCTCGAAACGTCAGTCTTTTAACTTTTTACGGTGGCTAATTTACGTTATCAACTCAGTTGTTAACGCTAATTTAATTGAAACTTAGTTTTACATGCACAACAGGAAAAAAACTTTTTTCACATAAAAGCAATTTTCAACGGAGTGTCCAGAGTAATCCGCTGTTGCATTGGTTTTGATATACTCTGGTTTGTAATTGGTCCAAAAAAACTCACGACCAATTCTCCACCAATCAGATGCTAAACTCAAGCCAGTCGCGACTGGGTCACTCACGTTTCCCCGCGCTTTTGGTAGTTTGCCTGTAATCACTTTCAGTGCTTATTGGTTCCTTGTGATATTTTCCTATGTTCTGATTGGTTGGGTGTCAGGAAATTCAATTGAAAACCGCCTTATGTACGCATGCTCTACAATACTCTGAAGGCCTGATCGAGTTCAAGCAGTTTATTGCTTTCAAATTTATGTAAGATAGCGGAGCCTCGATTTCACAAGTGATCTTCCATCTTGCAAACTAGGAGTAACCCGCAAAACCATTCGCAGGATTTCTCTCCTACTTCAGATCATCGGTAAAGTTCTGACTAAGTCCAAATAGTTGAATTTAAGTCGCAGGCAAAAGTAGAGTCAGTTGATAGAAATTAATTATAGTGTTCGACGATTGAATATGAGAGCATTTCACAAAAGATAAGGTAATTCTTCCGTCTTAAGAAGGTCCACATCACAGTATGGGGCAGAAACTTTTCCCCTTTCACCATCACACTTCGCGTGTTGAACGATCAAACTCATGAGTGTATCTTCCAAATGTTGACAGTAATTTCGTCAGCGGACTGAGTACCTAGTATACATGAACCATTCCATACAAAAACCTTAAAAATGTTAAAGAAATAACAAGATATTATTGATCCTAACAGTACGCAGGACGCGTGTCATATAAGAACTTTGTAATGGGCTTTGCTCAACATAGAGTCTCTGTGGCTCCGGAGCGCGGAATCCGAAGGTCTGAGGTTCGATTCCTCAGAGGAACGCAGAATTTTTTCTTCGTTCTACGCTTTTATATCTTTCCCTATATAACAAGATAGTTCCTAAAATAAACGCATGATACTCGCAAGCAAGCAGCAATTATTAGAAGCAATTGCATAAAAAATGTCTGAAAATAATTCAGGCATAGACGGGATTCGAATCCAGGCCTCCCAGATACTAGTTGACCTACGAAGCAACACGCTTTGAGCAAGGCAAACATCTAGAGGCTACTTTTTTTCCCGCGGGGGAATTTGATGCAAATTGTAATGAAATAATCAGTGACATGCCCCAGACTAAATCACTATGACCGCAAAGTTACATAAGCCACCGCAAAAATTATGAAAAGTTCCCCCAAATACCTATCGCCTGTCGATAACTTGTCGCTCATCTGTTTGCCGTTTGTCATCCGACTTTCAAACCGATAGGGCAGCTTTCGAACATCAGTCGGCCGACAGTCGTTGTGTCGGTTGTACGTCGACTGCATGTCGGTAATACGTCGGTTGCATGTCGGCAATACGTCGCTTACATGTTGGTAATAGCCCCCACCTCCCGCCTCCGAGCGCAGTGATAAAATTTAACACGTGCATAAAAAAATCCTCAAAGTTGTGAAAACGTGAAAACCATGACCCTCACAACGTCGCGACCTCAATTTTTTTTAACAGGAAATGACGGAAATACCACATAAAAGAAACTAAAGGCTAAAACGGTGTATACATACGAAACTATGAAGTGTAACCGTTAAGATGTCTCTGATTCCTAAACAAAACTGGGCGTTTGCTACACTTATTACCAAAGGAAAGAGAACCTCGTAGGTAGCGATATATAAAGGCTATTGAATCCGAAAGTAAAGACCAGATAATTACTCCTTTCGGAATTTCACGGTGCTCAACATAGATTCACGTCTCGTGCTAATGTGAGAAATTCTTCTGGTCGTGAGGTTTTCCTCTTCCGGGATATCAGTGCGTGGGAAACAAATACACGTCTGCTGAAGAAATGAAGCTATAATTTTTTTTATAAATGAGAACAAAAGGATACGTCCAAAATAGTAAATATGTCTAAAATGCAGACAAAACAAGAGACAACAGTTAAGGAAATAACTTGATATGGGCGTGAATTTACAAATTATCATTATTGCGCATCTTAGTGGAGGTCACTTCAAAGCTAACCCTAACATAAAAAAAAATATCACACTTGTTAAATAGCTGAAATTGCGGGCGAATGTGATCCATTTTAAATCGTATTTAACATAATCTGTCTCAAAATGGAGGAAATCTCAAATCTTTGGCAATTTGACAAATTCTGTGTTATTACAGCAGTTCATTAATTAAACAATACCTTAAAGCTGACTACAGTCACTGTAAAACTATAGTGTGGCACATTGGATGGGGCTTGATCAGTTTAATTCAAATCGAAAGTGACTGCCAAAGCCTAGCCCTGCAAGCACGTTCACGTTATTAGCGCCGCAGGACGCGTGTTTCTCTGCCTGTGGGAAGATTTGAGACGAAGCCTGGGGTCTAGCACTCACAATGAGTCCCAGACCCCTTGCAGACCTTCTGCCAACCTTGGTTGCTCAAGCCTCCTCGTGCTTTCCTGTGGGCAAACAAGGGGGTAGCCAGGATTTTTCAAAGTAGGGGGGCCCCCTCAGGGCACCCTGTGTCAAACAGAGGGCACTTACCAGTTTTCTTACCTGAATATTGTGGGTTGTTTGCTTAAAAAAAAGACTTACATTGGTGGGTCATGGGCACCCCAGGACACCCCTCCCCCCTGCCAGCTTCACCCTTTGCAAAGAAATGCTTGCATCACTATTAAACCCTGTTAATCAAAACAACAATGATAGTAATAATAACAGTTAAAATAAAAATTTATTACATGTTTTAAAAGGATACAAATACTCCTCCAAAGATTCCAGAGGTGCTCAGATCCCACCAAGAAATGAAAAATTTTCTCCACTGTGTACCAGCCTTTAAACAGATTAGAATCTAAAGAAAACAGGTAACATTTTAAAATTATTGTTTGTTATCTTTGGATTGTGTGTTGTGCCCATGCATGGATCACTATTCCACTATTCCATGTTAACAAGTAAAAAGGGGATTAACCACTGCGCACCCATCCAAGGTCTATCCTGGGTTCCTTGGCATGAAGCTACAAGGGGTATCACTTCTCCCCCTTGGATGGAATGTTAGTCCATCACAAAGCTACCCCCAGCATTTCATCAGGCTTTCTTGACAATTCACCACTACCTATTTATACTCTGAGGTGGATCAAGGTACTAGGAGAGTAAAGTGATTTGAATTCAACACCAAAAGAACAAAACACAATGTGGTGGCCAGGTTTGAACCCAAACCTCTTGAGCCGGAGTCCAGCACACCAATCATAGGTATCTGCATATCTCACCCATACACAAATACAGTGACCTATTATTAGTCCTGACTTGCTAAAGAGAACAATGATTATCTTTTCACAAATACATTAAGACAGTATCGTAGTGTAGAATAGAAAAGAGATCATCAGAATTATGTGAATTTAAAATTACTTGTACACTAATGGGCAAGCTCTGTTATTATTTGAAAACTTGAGTTCCAGGAAAAGTAAAAAAAAAAACTCCATCTGAGGTTGAGATGTGTCCAGAAATGTATACAGTAACAAAAAATCCTCAAAATCGTCAAATCTGCCTGGCCGATTGAGCTTTGAAGAATTTGACTTCAATTTGTAAAAATTGTCAATTCCACCAAACTGATTCTACTTTGAGAAATTTGACTAAAATTCCCCAAAATGATCAAATCCATGAACATTCACTTGCTTTGACAAAATTTGGTAAAATCTGCCATTTTTATTACTGCATGCATTTCTGGACATAAGTGTAAGTTTGACCAAAAAGTCAGCACCAGTTCCATTCCAGAGCAATGGCCTGGCTAAATTCCATTAAAACTAAGGGGTTTTCCATCACATGTTATGGACTGAAAAATAACTTACAGACATAAAGAGGGAAGCTATAAAGTAAAAGATGAAGCCTTTCAGAGCTGTCAGACCAAGAATGCCAGCAGAGATGCCTGCCATGGATGCTAATGATGTCCGACTAAAAAGTGAGAACAGAATAAAAACACTGAGATGCTGTTTATATTTATACATGATGTCTACATAACAGAAACAACAACAAAACAACAATAAAAGAGACAACATTTTTGTTTGAACATCCTTTAGCCACATGAAAGTCATGAAAAACAACCATGCCTTGCAGTTAATCACATATCAAATTTTTGGACATACCGGTGTTTTGTTATGGAGATTACTATTTGAAAGATTATGAAGGACAAGCGATCAAACATCGGAATTATTTTCATCTAAGTTGCATTTTGACATAGCATAGATTCAACTTTGCACCAAGACTATCGATGAAAAATACCAAGAACCAAAAACAAAGGAATACAGTACAAATATAGCATAAAAATGAACCGTAAAATATTCATTTTTATCCGCACCGCGTAAAATCTTACCAGAAGTCAATGATGCTGTTGTTAGCCATGATGGAGAAAGGGCTGAAAGCTTCATCCTTCCCTGAAAACGAACAGGGAGAAAAAAAGTGAAACAAACCTTAAAATTGCGACTTGAAATGCAACTCACAATATAAAACATGTTAGAAAGGTCGTTGCTTTAAATTTAAAGATAAGCTTGTTCATATAAACGGCACGATGACATATTTTCAAGCCTGTGGAACATTTGTCAAAGTAAGCAAACCAGATTGAATTGGAATATCTGTATAAGTCAGTAAAACCCCAAGTTTCGTTTTTTGTCAGTTAAATTTTACACCACCAACATCAAGCGCCAAATGAAGCATGATTCGAATGTTTCTTCTACCGTGAATATGTTGCTCTCCTTCCGCCATCTTGAATTTAAGACCTGTCAGCTGTTGTGTCTGTGGGCTCAAAGGAATGTGCATTGTAGTAGCCACTCTCGCTCTGTTGCTCCGCAGCACTAAGTAATCTAAACACTCTTCAGTGATCGTGGTAAATTCAACTTTCAGCTGATCTGAAAAAACCTTTAATGATGGTCTCCCACTCTGCGATCCGATTCGAATTTTGAATATAGCTACGCCCCCTGATGAACGATCTCTTGGATTTCATCGATGCAAAACGGGATTTTGCGACTTGAATCTTGAGTCAAGATGGTTGATGTACTTCTTTGCTCGACGTACGAGGACCAAAAACGCGACTTTGTGTTTGATTTTAAAGACAGTGGGAAGTTACAGAGACTCACTGTGCCGATACCAATACCACTGAAGGTTGATGCGAGAGAATTTGTTCAAAGGCTGATAACTTTTCACAATTTACCGTGCTATCTTGAACCAGGTACTGTATGAAAAGAAACGATGTGTGGGGGAAGGGGAGGGACGGGGAGGGACGGGGTGAGGGTATTGACATGCTTGTAGGACAGGATAGGTAATGGGGAAAAGGTTTCCTTATAAATGAATATTTTAGGGAGTTTGTGGAAAGATTTTCATTTGACCATATACTATTAACCATTTCCTGCCTGAGGTAAATGCCAAATTTTTCTAAAAGTAGAATGATGAACCACCAGACCATGTTTAATATATCATTTCAAAGGTATTTTTGGATTATGCTATAAAGGAAACCAGCAGGTATAGAGGAGGTCCAGAGTGAAAAATTAAAAACATTGAAATTTTTTGCTTGCCTCGTTCATATAGCGTATACCACTAAACTATAGCTTAAATTGCAGCTCTCAGAGCATTGATTGTGGTGAGATATTACCTGAACCAAAATAGTACAAAGACAAAAAGTTCCAAAAGTTGTTGGGGTGGTAAATGAAGGCTAATATTGGAGAGGGCCATGATCTTATGCTGTCAATGTGCAGATCTTTCAATGACCTTTTGGTTGTGAAAATTTCAGAAAAAATGAATAAATATTAAGCATGTAATGGCATCCTGTGCCATATGGCACTCTTGGGCCAGAAAAACAAGGAATAAAAAGGGGTTAGTTTCTCAAGAAACTGTGGTGCTGTGTCGGGGGAGGTTATAACAAGATAAATTGGTTTGATGATCTGAATTGATAATGCAAATTGGCCACCATAAAGGGTTTCTTTGTCCTTCATCATTCACTCTTACAAAGGGCTTACATTCAAAACTCTTTGTGGTGGTCAATTTAAATTATCAAATGGGTTAATAAAACCAAAATATCTTACTCTAGATCAAAACATTAATCCCAATTTTACCATTGTTTTATTTCATCTGATAACTGTATGCAAAATGGAGTAATGGGTTATTCTGAGATCTTTCTGGTTTAGGTGTTAACTGTGTGATTCACTCCAAGGTTTGGAAATTGTGGAGAGAGAGTTGAAATTTAGCTGGTAGTTAACCTTTTCTGGGAATTTAAGCCTTTTAAAAACTCCAATGAGTGATCATGACAGAATTTCTCCTTGCAATGTCAATACAGACTATCAAGCAGACAGTTGATTGGAAGAAAGAAAATATCATAAGAGGATTATTAGTTGGTCTAATACCAGATTCGCCAAACTAACAACATAAGAGTTGTATGGCAATCAGTAAGGAGAATTACTAATGAGATCTTGGGAGTGAAAGGGTTGAGGATCTAATTACTGGTCTCTGTTCTTTCACTCAATCATAGAATTGACCAAAACTTTAGATGAATTCAACAAGTCATCATGCAGGGAGCTGCAGGACAAAATGGGTGGTGCAGCTCTTGAACAAATGAGGCAATCTTCACAGTGTGCTGCTGATTATATCTCTTCTTGGTCTGACACTTTTACTCAAGAACATGCAAATTACAGCTCTGCCACTGACAAGAGTGAAGAGTCTGTGTTTTCTGAGATGTACCATTCATTGATTCATTCAGCGGCACTTGAAACATTGCTACAACTGGAGAATACTTATGCCATAGCAATGGATGATGTTGTCTCAAAGAAAGCAAATGCAATAAAAGCAATGGAAGAGAAGTAAGATAGACCAAGTTGATTGTCAAGGCAAATAGTACACTCTAATCAGCCAATTACATTCAACCCTTTAAGTCCAAGAAGTGATCAACACGTAACTTCTCCTCATGATATCCATTCATTATCCAGAAAAGAAGTAATGAGAGTACTGAAACTCATCTGGTAGAAGTGATTGTCTTGATCTAGCACCAAATTCTCATAGCTAATATACAGGGAAATGAGTAGCAGCTAGAAGGGAGAATCAATGATAAGATCTTGGAAGTGAAAGGGTTAAGAATTTAGTGTAACTGAAGGTTGAAATTAGAAAGTCTTCTCATGTGTCTATAGTAAATATATTCCTTTGTGATAAATTTTCTTCCCAAGATGTATTAACCCTTCACACCATAACATCAATATGCATATTCTCCATACTGTTCTCTATACATTTTTTAAGGTGCTGACAGGGAGAGTGTGTTTAACAAATAGAAGCTTTTATTATTGGTGATCATTTCCTGATTCAGGGGTAAAATTGTAAGGGAAAATAAGATGCTTGTCACTCAAAGGGGTAAAAGAGTCAACTGTTCACCTCTATATTAAAATTATGTTGTTTTTTAGGCACCAGAGAGAAATGGAAGATTCCATTAACAATCTTGGCATTGTCACTTCAGACAAAGATGTCAATGATTTGGCAGCCAGGCACTGTGAGGATGCACAAGTAAGTTATATAACTATGCGGTTTGACTGATTTAGATCCTTTTTTTTATATTTTTTTTCTTTTGTGGATCAATTTTTATTTTCATTTAATTCTTAGATGCTGGAGACATACTGGTCCAGTGAGCTCTCGCAACTCCAGGAGATGCAAAAGAGAGAGTACAGAGAGTGGGTCACTAAGGTACATGAGGATATGGTCAGAGTCAGTTCAGGTAATTTGTTGAATATATTGATCTACATGTAAAAACACATGGAAAAGAAAGAATCTTTGAAACTATAATTTTTTGTTTTTGCTGAAATGTTTGCCAAGATTTATAATTTTATCCAGTACTTTGAAAATTTGAGGGAAATTTGTATGAGCAAATCTTAGCTTAGAAACAGCCACATTCCTTGCCTCAAGTATTTTTTTTATTTCCTTGGGGGGGCCCTGACTCTCCATGAAATGTTTGAGTGCGGGGAGATAAATAAAGTAAAATTTCAATGGAATGTAACATATACATGATGTTATGGCATGGTAGAACAAGGAAAATATGAATGCAAAACAAAGTAACAAAAAAGCTACACTAAAAAATCCAAACTTTGATTTATTTATATCCTTTTAAGGCAAGGAATTTAAGTGAAACTGAGTATTTTATTTGTCATAAAGGACACTGGTGTCTGTTTTGTCTTTTGCAAGCACCTTACTCCATTGATACAGTTCTCCTTACTCCTATTGGGGCTCATAAAATAGCAAACAACTTACAAAATGTAGGCATGTGTTGTGAATTTCCTGTGCAAGCCATCAAATGAATTTTTTTTATTATTCATCTGAAAAATTGTCTTTAAAGGCTTGGAAAAATGATAGACAATTATAATATTCAGTTATTATATGTTGAACTATTTAATAAGGTGCATTTTTTTTGGTTTTATTTGAAAATTGTCCTAAAGGTTTCTACGCACATGACTGTATAAGGCTTGTACCAACTGTACAGTCACATTTATGATTGCTTTGTGTTGCTTTCTTTGGTTTCTTCCTCAGATCCATCATCAGTGGAAGACTCTTTCTCCATAGGAAAGTGAGTGGTAGATGTTCATATTTAACAAACCTTGGGAAATTATTTTAATAGGCCAATTTAGATTCAATTTAACTCTTAGTTATGTTATGGTTTTAAAACACTTCAGGAATCACAGCATGTCTGTTCAGAGCATGCCAGAAGCTAATGAGTTTTCTACCTCTGAGCATGATTTCAGGCTTGAAGAGAGTTTTACCATCCTTTTGGGTGAGTACACAATTGTACAATGAGGCAGATTTTGTTGTTTTGAGAAAAATGTTTTGACCAGTGTTTTATCATGATATGCTCTTTGTGGTTTGTGTGCTGAACTCCAGATTGAAAGGGAAGCAGTTGGGGTCATTTGAGTCATGTTCTGCCTTTTGATTCTGTTCTTTCACCATTGACAGGAGCCCAAAAGAAGTCAACACACAATCTGCGATTGATCTGTGGCCATGTGCTGGACTTGTGCAAACATAAGACCAGACCAGGAGGGTAGATATGGAGTCATTACTGTAATATTGACTGGAGGAAAATTGAGAATTGCATAAAGTACAATGGCTCCCCTATCTTCAATTATTTCAAACAGTTAATCAAGCCTCTACAGTTTCTAGGGGGTTTTTGCACAATGCATTTGAGTAAATGTCAGGAAAAACATTTACTTTTCACTGAGTTTTGTTATTGTAAGGTTTCGATTTTGGAGACAAACTGCCATACCTTGTTTCCTTGTGTGCGTTTACCAACTCAAGACTGAAACCTCTGGGTTTGAGCCCCAGCTAGGTTACTGATTGTCTCATGTCCTTGAAAAGACATTTTTTCAGACAGTACCTCTCATCACAAAGGAGTATAAATGGGTGTCTTTGAACTGCTTGGGTAACTTGAGTTGTGATTCCCTTAACATATTATTATACTTTAGAAAAAGGGATAACCTTGAGCATTAGCTACAGATGTACGAGGCAGTCTTGTATCCAGGCTTTTTGTTTATGTAACTGGTTCTTGAAACAATGAGGTGAGTTTTTTATTTTTCTTAACCAGATCAGTGCTATCACAGCCCCACAGAATCCAGACAGCTCTGTCATTGTACTCTGGAACACTGGCAGGAGTAATTTTGCTGGTAGAAGACCGCCTTAATACATACTCAGGAATTTTGAAACGTATGTTTAAAGAGTTTTCATTTCCCTGTAGCCTCTCATAGTTAGTTCTGTAAGACCACAGGCAGACCACACCATGTGTTCATCATTAATTATTGTTCACATGAGATGAACAAAATCTAAGAGGGTTATAAATAAAGTTCTAAAAATTACATATCTAAATTATATCTTGGGCTGAATATCTCAATAAAATGAAATGAGATTTTAATTGATGCATTTGTGGTATTTTTTCGCCTTTATGGGTTGGTTGAAGCATTTTTAAAAAAAATTTTCAGAGCTTTATTCATAACCCTCATAGCTTTTGTATGTTTGCATATGAGTTTGTTCGTCTCATGTCAACAATTCTTAACCGTGTACACACAGTGTGGTGTACCTGTGGTAAGACAAGTACCCCTGGGTTATTTTGGCGGGAATAAAAGAGAACCTCTACATGTAGAGTATTTTACTGCTTAGGTGGTCAGATTTTAACTAAAAATCGGCATTCAACCTTCTCAGAAACCCTTTTTGTTTTAGATTTTGCCATGATTTGTCAGCAGTCCGGGACAGAATTTCATTTTCCAGACCTGGACAAACAGCTGTGCCTCATTCAGCAAATGTTTGAGAAGAGGGATCGTAGCAAGTCAAATGCTAGTGAACATCAACAACTTCCTTCAGCTGATGCTGCTCTACGCCCACTAACACTAAACACAGGTTTGTCATTTTCATACCCAGTGCAATTTCAATCACACGTCGAAAATATTCGTAATAAGAGAAGTTTCTTTTGCAGCCATTTCGCGGGATGTCACGCAACGTCCTCTCCCTCCCCCTCCCCCTCTTCCTCCCCCACCCCGCACAAACGCTATGTGGTTCCAGCTCTAATTTGCTCTGTGATTGGTCCTGAATACCCACGTGGCACTCTGCATAACCAATCAAATGCAGAAGTAAAATTAACCGCGACTTGGTCACTCCCGTTTTCCCGCGCTTTGGACACTTCGCTTGTTTTTACTTTAAGTTCTCATTGGCTCCTTGTAATATATCTGATTGGTTAAGAATGCGAATCGAGTTTTTCGCTTTGCTCTGGGCTGTGAATTGGAAATCGCTCCGAACACATTAGTTAGCGCGTTAGCATCGCAACCCTTTTTCTTAACTTATTTATTTCTCACAGAACTGCTCTCTGAGATTTTACCCCTGTTTTCAATTTATAATCGTTGTATGTTTGTTTTACTAACGAAGATAATTGAATTTATTGGCAAACGTGCTACAACGGAATACGCAAGAAGTTAAACCCTTTTAACCCAAAGAGTGACGAGAATCTAATTTCTCCTTGCAGTCATACAGCTGAATCATTTATTAAGATCATGAGAATTAAGGAAATGATCATTAACCTAAGAGGCTTTGATTGCTTAACAAATTCTCCCTGTCAATACCAAAGGAAATCTATAAAGACAAGAATGGAGAATATGGATACTGATATTAGGATGTAAAGGGTTCAAAGCTATAACAACCACGACCAAACATTTTTTTAATCGCTCAATGCAGGAGATATCTACATCACTCGGCATTCAAACTTGTCTGAGGTACATGTTGTGTTCCATCTCGTTGTGGACGACAGTGTGAAGTCACCAACAATTAGCACAAGAAATCCTGTTATAGTTGGCTTAAGGAACGCTCTGCACACAGCTGTTAGACACAGCATAACCACCATAACTATACCACTACTGTTATTCCATGAAATGACAGAGGTAGGTGCAAGACACTGGCAGACTGAGTACCATTCTACTTCGATAGAGATCTCGAGTGCTTTTAAATCAATTTCTTTTTCAGTTCTAAGTATTCAAGAAAGCGTTTTATATAAAGAGATGAAGCATTTAGAAACCTCATAAATTGTAACTCTGTTCCCATAATACTTCACGTACGAAAATTTTAACTACTTTGCAGGAGATGACAGTGTCTTGGTGCATGAAGAGAGCAGAGTTGATGTTTAAATGTGTAAAAGGTAAATAATGATTAAATGTAATTCTACTTGTAATACAGAAGGAAAACACTGCGTGGCACAAACAAGTTCATTTTCTCTATTCTTTACGTATTTGCCTCGGCACGAAAATTTCGTCTCTTTTTTCAGCTGTGTTACCACACTAATATCTTGCTCTCGTTACGATGAATCAGTTTTCGTGTTAATGTCGAAAATAGTCCGAGATTGCGTTAGCTTCGCCTAATCCTTTGACCAGCATCTAAGTTCTCTTTACAATATCACCCCTGAGTCACACATTAAAGTCACGACAGTAACAAGCTCTTGGTTGTGAAACAAAATTATCCTTGATAGCACCTTAGGAAATGTATGTAGAGCATTAAGGGATGTATGCATAATACTGTTAGGGTGTAAAGGGTTATCATCGCTCTCTAATTGATTCAGAAACTCACACCACTCTCTCAACCAATCAGATTCAGCCCTTTACACCCTAACATCAGTATGCATATTCCCCTTACTGTCCTCTAGATAATTTCTAGTGTTCTGAAAAGGAGAATTTGTTTCACAATCAAGAGGTTCTCTACTTGGTGATTATTTCCTTTACTCTCGTGACCTTAACCTGTGATTTTGGGGAGATATTGTAAGGAGAAATTAGATGCTTGTCACTCTCAGTGATCAAAGGGTTAAAAATTAAAACGAGTCGCGACTTCATCACACAAGTTTACCCGCGCTACAACCCTTCTGCATTCCTTTTGGCCTGCTATGAAATTTTCTTTCTTTTTTTTTCTGATTGGCCTCTGAATTTCACGCCAGTTTCGGTGGAACTACTGTTGATCGGAATGTGAACTGACTAATGAATTTTTCCATGGTGCAAACCGTGTTTTTTGCATCCATTCGGTAAGTCTTTTCCCTGACCAATTTGGCGGCTTTTATGCTAAACATTACTCGTATGCTTCCTCATTGTAGGTTTTATTATGGAATGCAGCACGTGGAGCGGAGCAGAGTCTTTGAATTTGCAGTTTTTGGTGCCCAAGGTAGGAAGTTTATCACCTATAGAAACTGCCATTCAGTGTGTCACTCTACTATTCTTTCATTTCATTTTCTTCTATTTATTTTCACAGGGTATATCTGAGGAAATGTTCACATCATTTAGCCAAATGCTGTCTAGTATCTTCCGTGTATCCACGCCTTTGGATCTCACATCCACCGCCAACAGATGACGTCATTTCTACCTATCCCGTGATGCTATTCGACGGCCGTCGTCGTCATGTCGAGTTACGCGACCTTCCCATAGTGCTCTTCACTAGCCAGAAAATGGTAGAACACTGAAGAACGTGTTACGTCTTGAGTCCATAGAAGGATTTCTTTAAAGAAAAACTTCAAATTATACTCGCAGTGGTCGCAAGAAGATTTGAAGAAATTTGATTTTGTATTGTAGCACTGTACTTACTGAGTGTCAAATTTAATCTGGCTTTGCACTGTTTTTCTTGAATGCACGCTCTGTTCTTTGTTTACAAAACATGTGCCGTTCTCTCAAACAATCAGATGGAAAGCATAAACAAATTACTACCTGATCACTCTATTTTTGACGCGTTTGAAGTAGTTTACATGTATTTGCCTTGAGTTCTCGTCCTCTCTTGGTTTCTTGTGAGATTTTCCTACGTTAAAACTGGCCACTGTCAGTGTTCATTCCATTTTTTTTTCACCGCACTTAGTAGAAATACGGAAAGAAATTAAAAAATTCTCTAAATTATTTACATATGTCCTGTACGAGCCCGCGTGCGTAGTCGGCCCGTAGAAAACCATAGTGAAAGCGAGGAAAGGACACAAAACCGCGACTTGTTAATTTCTTAAAACCAAGTTTTGTTTCATCATAATAAGGAGGGTTTTGCAAGAGGGTCTCAGTAGGATTCAGTAACCGTGCGCGGTAAAGCGGCCAAAAAATTAGCAGTTAACCATAAAAATGTACAATTTTAACTGTTAATCGTGATAAAAGTTAACCTTAAAAATGTTTATGATGACTACTTTGAAAAGATATTAACCGATAGCCGTATATTGGCCAAAATTGAAATAGCCGTAAAAGCCATCAACTCATTGAGACCCCCTCCATTACGGAATCATGTCCAAGTAATTAAAACTTGGAAGAATTGGACAGCTCATACATCAAGGAAACAGTAATTAGTCATATTGATGGTTTAAAAATCAATTCAAGTTAAGCAACATGAAACGACGCCGTTAAAGAAAAGGATCTATTTGTTACGAGTTTTGTTTCATTACATTAAGGAGTGTTTTGCAAGAGGGTCTCAGTAGGATTCAGTAACCGTTCGCGGTTAAGTGGCCCAAAAATTAGCAGTTAGCCGTAAAAATTGACAATTTTAACCGTTGGTCGACCACCTCCATTATGGAATCATGTCCAAGTAATTAAAACTTGGAAGAAGTGGACAGCTCATACATCAAGGAAACAGTAATTAGTCATATTGATGGTTTAAAATCAATTCGAGAAACGACGCCGTCAAAGAAAGGGATCTGTTTGTTACGATCTAATCTGAGATCGAATTTTCTGATTCTGTATACCCCTGATAGTACCCGCTTTTAAAGCATTATGCGTAGCGCGGGGAAGTTTTCCGATTTAGTCAGTTTTATTGTGATTTACATTACGGTTGAGAAAGGTGTAGGGCAAGACAGAAATACGGAAACAAGAGAAAAGGAAGCTGATCTCATAATCATCACATATACTCCTTATGAGGCTTAAACGCGGAGTTGTCTTTGCGCGCGCAAAATTTGGCGATTTTCTTTGCCTTAAAGCGTGCGTGTTCACTGAAACGGTTTATTCATTTTGCAGAAATCCTTAGCAAATACCTTTTTGTGCGGCTAGCGTTTCGACCGCCATTTCATAATGGACATTGTCAAAATGTGGAGGGGAAAGCAATAATCACCCGTAAATTAATAGTTGACATGTAATTCAGATCCGCCGGAGTGTCTGTTTGGCCCAGCGCACGTGAGGTATGTCGTGTTTTCTGAGCCTGTACTGTTACCATGGAGGAGTAAAGAGCTATTATCGACCCTTACGATCCGTCTTAATCACAATTACCGATCTTGGCTGGTACGAAAGAAAAGGCCTGCTACCTTCCTTGAGTTCTGGTAGGTTAAACTACATTGATTGTTCTTTGTTCTACAATTCTAGTGGTGAACTGCGTATCCGAAAAATGAAGTTAATTGTTTGATGGTGTGGTAAGCATCGAATCTTCTGATATTAAGTGATACAAGAGCAATTTTTTAAACTCGCTTAGCGTACTCGATTATTTAGGTAAGTCGTGGTTATTGCCGGAGGTACCGCAAACTGTTTGGATTTTTTGCCTTGATATCATTTGCCTTAATATCATTGTTCAGGAGAAGTAAAGTTTGTTAAAATACGTTATTAGCTTTTGGACGTAGAGATCATATGTGATTACGAAACGCGCGTGAATTTAGAGAAGGAAACGCCTTTTTTAAATTAACTGTTGAATTTTGAAAAAGGAAGTTTTGCGCTCGTAAGTACCAGAGACTAACATGAGAGGCTGAAATGGGGCAAACGGACGCACGCGTTTTTAGAAGAATGAGCTCGAAATAATCGCCGAAATTTAGGGTTTTACTTCATGTTTCTATCTCGTTCAGTACAGTAGTTGTGTCTCAGGTTCTATTAAATTAGCAATAACAAGGGAATGATTTTAACAGTCAGCTGTAACTGAGTTGGGTTCCTGTTTTTCAGTGTCTTACATCAACTGAAATTTCAGCTTTTTCGCGCCGTCTTGTCTCTAAATAGTATCTTGTACAGCAGCCATTGCAAAACGTCATGAATTTTGTAGTTGTTGCTGTTTGATAGGTACTCATCCAAAATTTCCTATTGGCCGTCTAACTGGCGGCGACTTCATCACGAGAACGAAAAACAAATTAAATAAAAGAGAGGGAAAAAGAACGAAAATAAATAAACCGCTTGAAAGAATCTTGAAAGTACATGTGCATATCGGGTTTTCCTCATTAAATATTTAAATTGCACTCCGTTTTGTTGGTAAATTAGTTTTGAAAGTATTGGTAAAGAATTCAAATTTTCAAAAACGTCATGGTTCATTTTAAGAATTAAAACCTTTTTCGTATCTGATTGACATTGACAGAGCTTTCTGTCTGTTGCATAAATTACGGTTCCACCGCTTGATTGCGTTTTTGTGTAACTATTTTTGTTTCCGTGGAGAAGTGGCAGAGACAAAATAAAATATTTAAAACGCAACTGCTTGCGGGGTAATACAACGCGAGATATCTGCATCCTTATCAATAACTTTCCACCTCAGTTCTTGGCACATACGAGTACTGGCAAAAAGCGTGGTAAGTAAACTTTTTTGTTGAAGAAACTCGACATTTGGCTGGTCAAAGTAACCAAAACCGGCCTCACACAGTTTTTAGGGAGCACACTTATGATTGCTTGGAATCTGCAGAAGTTTTACTTGTGCGGTAAAATTCGATAGCTGGTATTTTGTTCAAGAGGAGCCATCCGATTCGAATTAAAGTTACGGCCCCTCATAAATTTTTCTCCCATTTGAATGACGCGAAAACCGCGAAACAACATTTTACGGGATGGGATATTGAATTACCTTTCCATCGATGTATAGTTTATGATGGTTGGGATTAAATAAGGTAGCGCGTTCAAAATTATTTTCGAAGGACCCCCTCAGAGATCTACCATAACAGTGAAACAAATATGTATTGACTCCAAGATCCTAATAGTAATAATTTTGGTTTTTGGATTTAAGGAAGGAAGTAAGGAACTCATGTTGACCTTGTTAAAACTTACTTGGGGATGTAAGTTTTATACCCAAGTAAGTTTTAACAAGGTCAACATGAGTTCCTAACGTCTTTGGCCTCATTATAGAGGTATGCGTGCTGGTCGTCTTGTTCAAGAGCGTAGCAAACTTCGTCGTCTTAAAATAAGCGCGATTCAGCAGCGAGGTGTCGGCAATGGCTTGGGAAAACTATCTTGGCGTGTTTCCCAGCAAGCCCACAATCCGTCAAACTGCGTTCGTCTAACATCAACTTCAATCTCAACAAGGAAGGGCTCTCCATCTGCCTACGTTCCATCGCTATATTTATCGAACGTTATGTCCCTTGCTCCCAAGATTGATGAAATCCGCTACGTTGCCCAACATGCAAATTTTGATTGTGTCATGGCTTCGTAGTTATGTTCAAGATAACATTGTCGCGCTCAGTGGCTTCAATCTGGTGCGAAAGGACAGAGTTGATATTACTCAGGGAGGGGTTTGTGTATATATTAGAGACAATATTAACTTTACTATCCTAGAAGATTTAGAAGACCCATCCTTTGAAGCGCTTTGGTTAAAATTACGATCTGCTCGTCTCCCGAGGGGATTCAGTTGTATTGTATTAAGAATAATCTATCATCCACCAAACAACAATAACCCTGCAATTTTAGGTTATTTGTGGCAGAGTTTGTCGTCCATTGAATCGCGCTTTCCCAACAGTGGTCTGCTTATTGTTGGAGATTTCAATCGGCTTAACACCAAGCGTCTTCAGAACAGTTTTGATCTGAAACAGATTGTCAAATTCCCCACGCGAGGCGATAAAATACTGGACCTTGTCCTAACGAATCTGAGAGAGTACTACAAGGTCCCCATCCAACGTCCTCCCCACGGTCTATCAGAGCCAAAGGATAGATCCCAGCTTCCGGACTCGCGATCAACGATCAAAACAAGGGACTTAAAACCTAGCAATCGCCTTGCTATACGCACCTACCTCCAAGAGGTCGATGCGTACACCCTCGTCGGCAACGTACATGGCTGTGCAGAGAAAGGGTCAATTTTTCAGTCAATAATCCAACATGGTCTGGACAGTGTACTGCCCCTGAGATCCAAAGCGATCCACTCTAGAGATCCGCCCTGGATTAATTCAGGTTTGAAAGATCTTATCAGACGGCGGCAAAGAGCACTCGCAGAAAATAATCAGCCGATGTTTCGATTTCTGCGGAACTAAGTGAACCGTGAGCGTAAGATCTGTAGGTGGCGGTATTACGACTCCAAAGTTAGCCAGCTTAAGGAGTGCAAACCGTCTGCTTGGTGGAGTGGAGTTAAGAAACTGAGCGGCATGTCATCGGCCGTTAGGGACTCGGAAGAGCTAATGAGATCATTACAACACATAAGTGAGGAGTCTCTTAGTGCTTTGGATCTGGCCAACCTGATCAATGATACTTTCCTCTCCCCAATGCAAGACTTTACACCGTTATCTGCTGAATCTTTCCAGCTGTCGCAAGACCACTCCACCGAGCAACCATTTGTCGTTTCTCAGCATGCTGTTTACCTTCAGCTTGTGTCGATCAACCCTAGGAAAGCGTCTGGCCCCGACGATATTCCAGCATGGTTGCTAAAGGAAAATGCCGATCTCCTTTCCGATACATCTGATATCATTAACAGTTCTTTTGCTGAAAGACGTTTACCACCTTCTTGGAAATCTGCTGATACCGTGCCGATCCCAAAGCAGAAACCAATTAAAGACGTAAATAAACACCTGCGTCCCATCTCGTTAACGTCCATTCTTTCTAAGTTGGCAGAGGGGTTTTTTGTTGCAGAATACTTGTGACCATCAATTCTCAAGAAAATTGGAGACAACCAATTTGGGGCTATCCCAAAATCTTCTACAACACATGCATTAATATGGTGCACTCCTGGGCCAAACACACAGACGGTACAGGATCCACCGTCAGGGTCGTCTTATTCGATTACCGGAAGGCTTTTGACTTGATAGACCACGCGCTTCTCGCTGGGAAACTGCTCGCCTTGGACATACCGGTTGGCGTATCGTTTTGGATCATCGACTTCCTTACAGATCGTACGTAGAGAGTCAAGTTGGGAGAAGATTGCCTGTCCGAATGGAGGAATGTACCGGCAGGGGTGCCTCAGGGAACCAAGCTCGGGCCGTGGCTGTTTATTCTTATGATCGACGACATCAACACCAGCAATACGAATCTGTGGAAATACGTGGATGACACAACTATTGCAGAGTGTGTTCACAAGAAAGAAGGCAGTCGTATTCAATCTGATGTGGAGGAACTGATTGCTAAGTGTAATCAAAATGAGTTCCAGCTAAATAAATCGAAATGTAAGGAACTGCGGATTTCGTTCGCTAAATCAGCCGCGGACTTTGCTCCAATTGTTATCAATGGGAAAGCAATAGAGGTAGTGTCTACTGTTAAGTTGTTGGGGCTAAACATTTCTTCCGACCTTCGGTGGAACTGTCATGTTTCTGAAATAAGTAGAAAAGTTGCAAGTCGATTATATTTTCTTAAACAACTGAAGAGAGAGAATATTCCCACCAAAGATCTGCTAATCTTTTACAGGACTTGTATCCGCTTAGTAATGGAATACGCATGCCCGGTGTTTCACGACGCGCTTCCTGCCATGCGAATTATTTTTCCGTTTGTTCCATATAGCGACGCATTAAATCAAGCCAACTTGGAGACACTCTCCCAACGCAAGCAGTCTATCACAACTAAGCTTTTTGATTCCATCACCTGTAACTCAGACCATAAACTGTATAAGCTCCTGCCTCCTCAGAACAACTGTGAACTCAATTTGAGACGAATGGGGAAATTTAATGTTCCTCTGGCTAAGACGAAGAGACTCATGAATACATTCATATACAATGATTGTAGTTAATCTGTGTACATTTTTCTTATACTTTTCTCATACTTTTATAAGATTTTATTATTGTAACGATTAATCTAATTCAGCTTTTGGCTGCGATTTTAATCAGAATAAACTATATTCTACTAAGGGAGAATTAAATTATGGGTCCTCTTCTACAGAGAGGAGATTAATTTGGACTTTCCAAGTCGGAAGACTTAAATTAACTCTCTGAAGATCTTTAAATTTTTACCGAGCTCAGTGAAATGTATTAAGGTTCATCGTTCGACCGCGTGAAGGTACAGTGGTGTTACATCATCGCAAACATTTTAAGAGCTTTCATATAGATGTATTCCATGGTTTTCTCCGCCTGTTTGCATGTAACGTGGTCTTTAGAAATTGCAGTGAATAAGGCAATAGGTAATGGTTGCGAATCAGTAGAATTCCTTTTTGCACATCGACAAGATATGGAAGACTTGTGTTAAAAATTTGTGCAAATATTTCAGTACTCAGACTGTCTACTTTATCGAACGAACGCGACAAGTACGGCCGGCGGGGTTCGACTGCATGAACGACTAAGACAAGTACAAAATAGTTTACTGAGAAAAGGCCCATCTAGAGTCGTTATTGCTGTCTTCGCGTGACACCGCAAAAAATAGATAAAAGAAATTGAACTTCCATTTTTAAGATCGTAAAGTGTTTCAATACACCGAGATATGGCTTTTTTCCACAACTATGCAGTTCTTGCAAACACGGGCTCCAATTGTTTTGCATATATATATATATATATATATACATACATATATATATATATATATATATATATATATATATATATATATATATATATATATATATATTATGTTCGTTTTCCTTCCCGTTGACTTCGGACGGTAACCGTTCTCGTCCTCGATAATATTAATAAGGAATTGAAGTTGGTTGTTGATATCAACTAACAAAAGTTTTCCAGCATATTGCACTGAAACGTTTTTATTTCTAGATTAAAATGAAAGGTTTTATCAAGATTTTGTTGCTGCTTTGTGCTCTCTCGTTGGCTAAAGCCAAACCTGTCCCTGAAACATCCGATAACCTCGGAGAAATTTGGAACGTTCAAGACTGGGACACAGTCTCGGAATTTGAGACTTCCTCGGACGAAGAAGAGGACGAGAAGGCTTGGGACGAAGATTGGGATGAAGAAGAGGACGAGGAGGATTGGAGTGAAGAAGAGGATGAGGAGGCTTGGGATGAGAGTGATCAGAATCTACAGCGGGTCGAAGATAGTGACTTGGAGGGATGGAACGAGCCAGAATGGGAAAATGACCGCAGTGAGGAGGAAAAGAATGACGAAGGAGAAGAAGAAGGAGACGAAGGAGAATCAGTTGATGCAGACCCAGCAATTGATGATGCGAATAACGAGAGTGAAGGTTATGAAGGCAGTTCTTGAATTTTTATTGATTGGGGGGGGGGGGCTAGAAATCTTGTGGACACTCTCGTATTTGACGTTATCATTTGATGTACGAGTGCAGTGTGCCCACGCACGTTTGGTAGTTTTGATTTTAACCCTTCCATTCTCAAGAAATTATTCTAACTGTCTTCCATACAATTCTTATGATAATAGTTCGGATAATAACTAATATTCCCCTCCCCTAATTGATATATATTTTTCAATTCTCGTCATTTGTCTACTTGATCTTATATTGATATTGAAAGGAGAAATTCTCTCTTGGTCATTCATGGGAGTTAAACAGTTGATGGGGCTATTTAAAGGTCGCCAAACATTCACCGGTATTTCAAAGTAATTATCAGCTAATAAGTTATCAGCTATAAATCTCAAACAAGAAGGAAAAGTTTCTCAGTATATGTGAAACGAAGATGATTCCAGAGCATTATCGGTTTTATTTTCTTCTGCTGATTTTATTACTTGCCTTGGTGTTCGTCTACACTCTCTCGCATTTCTTTTCCCTCTTTTAGGCTACATTAGCTATTTATTTTTTGTTACTTGTTGCAATAACTTTATAAATTTATTAGTTTATAAATTGCAGTTCCCATGGAAGAAAGTGACGTCTTCGAGGGAGAAATTCGGGATTTCAAGAGAGGTGAGAGTAAATCGAAACATTTACACCCCTTAGCGGTTTTATATATTGACTAACTTTGAGAACCACCTCAATCGTATGAAAAATTGAGCAACACTACATGATGCTGTTAACTAGCAGCTCTAAATCTAGAAGGTCATATTCTTGAATTTTATCTCAAGAGCCACGTATTTACAGCCTGAATAATAACTTCTCACTAACCGAGCGTGAAGGTCGCGCTGGGGAACATTTTCCCGAGGACGTGGCAAAACGGACCGAAACGACTAAGGGTCATACAATATTCTCCAGTAGGCCTCGAGCAAGCGAGGTTAGTTAGCAGTTTATTATATGACACTGGGACCAAACTTGTTTAATTTTGAATTTTCCGTTTTTCGCGAACTAAAAATAGACAGCTCATGACCTTTTCCGTAGTTTCCGAAGACTTAAAAAGGGCTTTATTTGTTTAGAAATAACATTTTTCTGTTTATTTTACTTTCTTAATTCAAGATCTTGACCTGATGCAAGAGACCTTTAAGGGGAATTTTGAGATACGCTAGACTCGACCGGCTGAGGAAACGCCTCGCGATGTCGACTTCATCGCATCCGCAGTAGTTTGTCATTAAGACTTGTAACATTAGGAAAGAAAAAGCGAGCACATGTAAAATTGTAAAAATGCATATGAGTGTGGGATAGTGTACTCTGGTAATTCAGAATCTGGCCAGGAGCCCATTACTCTTGATGGGCTCCTGATCTGGCATTATTTATATGAAAGGAACTCGCTAGACAGAGTTCAATTCCGAGCTTCATATAATTAGTGTCATTCATTGTGTCGCGCAGTTACACGCATGCGTATCTAATCATATAGGGCTGCACCGTCAGTTTGTCAGCGGTCGCGCCACTACACTGAACGAGGAGAATGTTAAGTTTCATTGCCCGTTAGATCCCGCCAATGCATGTATTCTCAATTTTTTCACCGAAAAGTTACTCTTTCGATTAGAAATAGATATCGAATTTCTGAGGAATTAAGTTTTTTAAACTTTATTTTCATCTTTTTGGTAGTGTTGAAGGACTGTTCTACATTCTGTGAAAAGTGCCATAAAGCCTTAGCCCTACCCCTCCCCAACTCTGTTGTACACCTATCGTCACTCTCACATGCATTTTATTATAAAATTCTTGTTAAAAGCTTTATTTAGGAAGGTGTCTATACGTGTTTTTGTTGCTGTAATTTTATTTCGAATATTGAATCTGTGTAACTTTGAAAAATAAAAAAGGGTGATGAAAGAAATGATTACGGCTTATCCTGTTTTTATCCTTTACATTGAATTTTATTCTTTATATCCTATTATTATGTATATTAATATATTTATACAATATTCTACATTATTATATAGTACTTGTATGAAATTTTGATCTTGGTACTTACACATAACCACCATCAGAGTGAGGGCTGATGAAAATTATAACTTCCAATAAAGGTGGATCATTTCTATACTACAGAGCCTTGTGGGTGGATCGGGTAAATTTTATTGTGACAAAAGCAAAATCCTCCTAACCCAACCCCCCCCCCCAGCCAACACTGAGCACAGCGGTCGAAACGAAAGGCATGCGCGAGGGGATTCATTTTGGCCGCCAATTTCCCGCGCAAAATTTCTAGGAAACACATCCTAACCAAGCCGCTGTACGCTGTTTCCTGTACTGTTCCTGTACAGCCGGGAAACAAAATTATGGAAAAGGAAAACTCGAGACTTTTCGAACACAAAGCTTATTCAAGAACGGGTATCCGGTTGAATTACCGTCCTGTATTGAGCTTTTAATTACCAAACAAGTAATTCGCTTATAAAACACCGTGACTCGCTGGCTAGTATGATTACTTGTAACAGCCTGAAAGCAAGCCACTTAGTCCTTAGTCATTACGACGCTTGCACATGCGCAGACGTTTGACCGCTTTGTTCCAAAACTGCGGGTTGGCGTTTAATTTTTTCACACTATTCAGCCTTTACATTCCCGAGCTGTTTTATTATAGTGTTCCAAATCAAACAACTTTTTCAGCTGTGTTCTGAAAATCCAATACTCCAAGTCACATTCTGCATACTGAACTCGCCTCCTACAGCACTTGCAAGAAAGCTTAAAACGTTCGCTCACTCCGCAACGATGAACCTCGTAATTATCACACTCTGTAGTCTGAACTTTCTCCGCAACTTTTCTATACACTGCATCCACAAGGCTTGAACATGTATTTACATATTCAGCCAGAGTCTTTTCAAGCTCCTGTATCCTTGTTTTGCAGATTTCTAGTTTGGTTTTGTCGGGAAGTTTACCAAAATACGCGTCCTGATCCAATGTCCTCCAAGGCAGATATTTCGTTTGCTGCAGTGTTTCTTTCAACAAAGAATCAAGTCTAAATCTTTCTGCAATCATATAAAACTTCACACAGGTTGTATCCTGTACGTTGCCAGAGAGGTATTCGCAGCAAAGCTCCTTAACTGTGTCCATCTGGTATTCCTCGGCCAGTTCCAGCAGGAATTGACAATTTTCTTCTAATACAGAGAGGATTGATTTGCAATAAATCATTAAATATTTTTTTTTCTTCATGTTTAGTACTCATTGTAAACACAACGATATCATAAATAACCTTAAAGACAGTGGACACACAAAGTATCCGCGTTGATTTAGGACGAAGGAGAACAGACTAACATTACAGGAGAGTTCAGTGGCGGACACAGGGAGGGGCCAGTTATGGTCTCGGTATTGTGACGGAAATGCGTTCGTGTTGTGAAGGATAGGACATCAGGATGGTGTCAGTACGTAAACGTGTGGACGATGCGTCAGTAGTCTGTCGGTGATGCTCAATAACTCGTCGAGCACCGACCTACCACCGATGCATCGTCAATTCAAAGCGTTGACCGACACCATCCCGATGTCCTGATCTTCACACCAAAAGTAATCCATCAAATATGCGAGCAGGTCTTTAATGATCAGCGCTTCGGCAAGAGTGTTTCCTAGCCCGCGGGAAAGTTTGAGCAATGCGAGTCGGCAAGCGGTTTGGCACGGATAACGAGATTAGTGCCAGAACCCAACAAACTTCTCCTCGACTCGTTTCAAATCTTCCCGTGGTCAGAAACCCGCGTCCTGCAACCCTTAGCAACCCTGATAATATGAGCCTGCCGCAGGCTATGCCATAGAGACTCGCCTACCTCTTATTTGACGAGCTCTGCCTTGAGAGTACATTATCTTGAGCAGCACTTCAATCTCGTCTGCTTTTTTCCCAGGCAAAGTTATCTCTTTTGCGTCTCTCTCCACGAATTCGGACGTGAACATTTTCTCGAACACTGGGGACCACATAGACAGCGTACTCCTATGGACGTGAAATTTGGTTCCCTCCACAGAAAGCACCACGTCACTAAAGTGCCTTGGTTGTGAGAAGTCAGGGTCACTCATCATTTAGCTGGTTAGAAATCAGAGGTGTTATTATTGAGGAAAACAGATCAGCTCTTCGTATTTCTAATTTTGGTTGGAAGTATGTAATATCCGAATTATTTTGTTGCCAAACTCTTGAACGGGTCTCAAGATACTAAAGTAAGCTTCTTTTGTCAACACCACCCTCACACATCCAGCAAGGAATCCCCCTGCCCTCCCCCCTCCCCGTTTTAAGTGGCTGCTACCGGTCCTCGCCGACTACAAGCGCAAGATGTTTGAAAGGTTATATATCTGGCGATTTTATTAGGATTAAAAACTCAACAGGGATTATTCCCCGTAATCCACTGAGCAGGTAGGTTGTCCAGTGTCAGATTACGCTTGGCAAAGGAGACAAAGGAGGCACTCACGTACGAACGGACAGGCCGAGAAGTGTTGTTTCAAACAGCGTCTGAAACTTCATTTTCAATAAGGTCGCAAATAGTTCCATGTAGCTGATTGCAAGAAACACTTCATCTATTTTGCACAATAAAAGTAATGCAGAAGAAATGTCTCATGGAAAACCGTGACACACCGCAAAACACAACAAGCAACAGATCTGAATAAAGAGCGATAGATATTCACACAAGCTGTCTAGATCTAACCAGAGACCACAAACACATGTACACACATACCGGGATATCGAAGTAAGCTGTCTGCTTCAATTAAGCGATGTTAACTCACAAAGTCTGATAACATAGACGAGAAATTGAAGCAACAAGCACCTTAGTGTTTGGTTGCAGACAGACAGAGACTGAGGTCGTCTTGTTTGAATACAATTAACGCCTCAAATCCTTTTATCTGCATTAAAAATCTGTCAACCAGAATTAATCTTAATGAATGAATTAACATGCTGATTACTTTCTTAACCCATAGGGCTTCTAAATTTAACATACTCTTTCAGGGGAAATAAAAGAAAAAAATTGACATGTTGGAATATTAAAAATCATTGTCACCATACTGTGAGGATGATTTACTCCTTTAACAACACAAAATCATTATGCATATTCTCCATACTGTTCTCTATACGTTTCCAAAGGTGCTGACAAGGAGAATCTGTTTAACAATCAATATCTTCTTAAGTTGGTGATCATTTCCTTTATTCTCATGACCTCAATGTGTAATTCAGGGGATATATTGTAGGGGGAAATTACTGGAAGATGTTAGTCAAAGGGTTGAAGGATTAACCCTTTAACTCCCATGATCTGTTTCTTAATTCTCCCCTCTAGTAGCTACACAATTTGCAAATAAGTTAGGAGAATTTGGTGTTAAATCAAAACAACAACTACTTGATAAGTTTGAGTATTCTCATTACCTGTTTGTTGGATGTTTGAATGTTGTAAGGGAAGGTATGTTTTTTCTTGATGGGGGGAGGGCTGGGGCCTCAGTGGGGAGGGTCATCAGTGAAAGCGAGCACCAAAGGGGGAGGGCCATACCCTCTTTTTCAGCTATTCAAAGAGAGGGTCACATCTTTTCCAGAATTTTTAATGGGGATTTTTGTGATGTTATTTTCCATTTTTCTTTAACAGACTAAGTTTTTTCTTTTCAACTTGTTTCTTTTAATTCGGTAGTGAGGGGAGGGTCACACTTTTGTCAGTCACCTAAAAGTGGGGGGGGGAGGGTCAGGAGTTTTTTAATCAAAACATGAGGGAGGGCCAACACTTTCTTTTGGAAAAAATACCAAAATTCCCCAGCCCTCCCCCCCCCAAGAAAAAAATGTACCTTCCCTAAGGAGAAGTTACAGGTTAATCACTTCTGGGAGTTAGACAGTTAAAGAGCAGTGTGGGTGAGCCAGAGCTGAAAATTCATAAGGAATGAGAAAACCACAAGATATAAGCAAACTGTACTGACTCCCAGTTAAAAAGAGTTATATCATCCTTGGTCCATATTACTACTGAGATTACTATTGAGATAATCCACAGTAATCAGATGCTTGAAAAATAATAGAGTAAATTATCCAGAAAGGCCTTTGAACAAAGGCTTAAAAAAAGCCTGGGTTTAAATTTGATCTCTGTTTGGCACCAATCAGCCTGCACACAACTGGGCCCTAAACTGTTGCTTTGGTTCAAACATTTCACTTCAATGCACAAAGCTTATCACCTATCTCACATGAAATACATTTTTAATCTTATATTAAATGTTACATAAAATCAATGTACAACTTTTAAATAAAAAAATTTTAATTTACAATCTTTTAAATGGCTCTTATCTTAAAGAGACATGTTAGTGTAATGATAGGGTAGACTTGGAATGATTATGTCTCTATGTAGTTGTGTATAGGGAAATCATTATTCCCTTGTCTTTGCAAATGCCTGCTAAAGGCCTGAGGCAACATCCCTTTTGCATTGTGTTATAAACAAACGGATGATCTATGAGGTGTTATCAAAGCACCTTTTGCTTCCCTTAAAAGAAGTGGAAGTGAAGCTGACAACAGTAGAGGTATCTTATTTATCTGGATTCAGCAATGTTTGGTTTTCAGTGGCTATTGGACAAATTCTGGTGGTTGGATTGTAGGTGGATCAACATCACTTCCATAGTCAAAATAGTTCTCTCTTACTGTTGATTTTGTTCCCCTCTCAGCATCAACAACAGTTTCTTTTTCAAGTTCATCTGTTTCTGATGATTCACTGTCACAAATTCCAAGTACATCAAGGTCTTCTGCAATCTTTTTTGTTTGTTCCTTTGTCAGGTGAGTGCTACCAGGTTTTGTGGCGAGAGGTTGTGCTGATCTTGGTCTTGCAGAGGAAGGCCTTGCAGACATAGGTCGTGATGGTCTCAGTTCCTTTATGGTGGACTCCTCAGGTTTTGTTGAAGATGAAACTGGCGAATCTATGGGCTTATGCAAACCTTTTCCAGATTCTCTGACCTTCTTTATTTCTGAATCAAGAATAGCCTTAACCTTCTCTATTGAAGGTTTGAGTTCATCACATGTGTTGTTCACTTCTTGACAAATTTGATGTTGTTCTACACCACTAATATCATTGTTAACCTCCACATTGAGTTCACCAGATACACTTGTACCAAAGTCAGTGCTATGGCTTTCTGAAAAGTCACAACCTTGTGGCTCAGGACGGGGTTGTTTTCTCAAAACCCATCGATATGGGTTGGCTTTGTTGAGCTTTGAGCTATCTGTCTGAGCTAACTGCTCAGAGGAGCGGGAAATTCTTTTCAAACCTGTATCCACTTGTTTTCTTGGAGACATAATTTTTTCTACCCTTTTCTTTCCAAGTTCTTTGATGACTGCTTCTAAGTGAGAATCTATCAAATCCTGTTTCTTCTTAATTATTTTTTCCTTGTCACTATTTCGTTTCAATTTCAACCATTCATTGTAACTTAAAGCCTGCATTTTTTTCGATGTGTCATGACTGGATGCAGAACTAGTTGCTTTTGCCTTAGTGTCAGCATTCTTGATGGACCTTTCCTTGGCTGTTTTTGGTCTTTTTGTGGCTGTTTTTGGACTAGAAGTGGACATTGGTTCTGTGTGATCCATAGCAGTCTTTGGACGCTGCTTTCCAGAATTTGCAGTGTTTCCTACGTTATTTAATTCACCTTTCATATCAAGAAGTATCTTCTCTTTACTAAAACTTTTATCATCAACAAGGGGTGCTGAGGAAGCTTCTTTAGTCATTGGCACAGATTTAGACACTGATTTACTTTTATCCTCAGACACATTCCCTGTCTTAGAATCAGATGATGGGGCTTTACACTTAAAACTCTTGACAACCCTATACTCAGGGGATGGTAGTAGAGAAGATTCACCTGGGTGTAAGCTGCCATCCCCTTGCTGAGGTGTGACCTTGGTGTGACTTTTCCTCCATTCTAGTTTTGCCTGTTTACGTTTCCTTCTTAGCCATAAACCAACCCTTTCCATGGACTCTAAAGCCCTTTCAGCTTGAATACGGGCCTCCTCTTGCAGGGCAGCCCTTTTTGCACGTTTTTCCTGTCTTTCCAGCTTTTTCTGCTTGCGAGCCACTATGGCTTTTTTATGAAGCCAGGTCTTTAGAACTGGGTTATCAGTGTCTTTCAGTTGATGCTCTGATCTGAAGCTTTTTCTTGTTCCATCAGGATTTTTCACTTTGCTGTCGTTTTTTTTAGTTTCATCCTCCTGTTTCATAGTATCTTTGTTTGCATTCTTGGAAACAGATCTGATTTGCTTCTTCTTCTTCCTAGCAACTAGAGGTTTTTTCTTCCTTTCACCTTCTTCATCACTGATCCATTCTGTTTCCTCTGGTAGTGGAAAAAGAGGAAATGAAGACAACCTCGTTTGACAACTCTTGTTTCTAGAAGTCTTCTTGAACAACACAGGGTATGTTCCAACCGGCGCTGCCTTATCTTTTACTTTTTTCACATTTTCTGTTTGAGAACTTCCATCGCTCTTTGTGGATGTTTTAGTGATGTTTTTCTTTCCATCAACTTCCAAATCGCTTGCGGAGGAATCTTCAAGAATTTGTTTCAAGAACTGAAATTTCTCTTTTCTTCTTGACTTCGGCATCATCGCAAATCTAGTTCACATGCGGATTCGTCGTCGCATAAAATACCAATATAAGTAGATATTATTCAATTTTAAGCCTGCAAGCTTGCAATCATGGTCGTTACATCTGTTTTCTGAGGGTTGATCTCTCAAATAACTAGAGGATCAAAATATGGCGCTACATGTCTTGGTCGCTATGGAAACTAACCGATAGGGAACTGGAGAGGAGATTGCAAAATGGCGGCAAAGTAAGCTGCATGGGTATTTTTCGCGGATTCGCTGAATGGCAGAATCTGCGACAAATAACGACGAATTCCTCTACTTTACCGTCGAGGGTCTTCGGTACGAAGGTTTGTGTGGGTTTTTATTTAGTGTTAAGTCTCAAAATCCTTTAATTTGGAGTTGTATTGATCTCCATTATCTACGTGAGCTCATACTTAGAGAGAACAAGCTGTTAAGAACGGTTTTCCTAGATGTTTTCGAAGTATATTTCACAATCGACCGATCTCTGATTAAGATTTATTGTATGGCTGTCAGTCAAAGTTTTATCTGCCCATCCAACTTAATGCTCTCTCGACAATCACGCGTCGCGCGATCGCCTAATTATTCTCACAAATAATTTGTCTTTCTCTTTTCCAATGATGTAGTTAAGGTTCTTTTATATTAAAACTGTAACTGACTTACCTAGTTTGATGCCACTTTTTAACAAAGCTGCCTTTGTTTTCGGGATTTGGGCCTAAGAACTGTTTCTCTGAAGAAAGACTTCATTGTTTGTTTCCAACTCCCTCTCAAAATAACACCCAGACCTCTCTCGTCTGAGTTCAAGATTTTTCTTTACAAATGTTAGGATTGTGCAGAATGAAGCTTCTGGGTTACAGTGGAAGAAGACATTTTACCTTGAGGCATTGCAGTAATATTGTGCTTATTAGAATTCTTTTTTCAAAGATCAATGGGCATATTTCCATGTAAAAATTGACTGATAATTTTAATTGTATTATCATTGATTGTGTTGGTCATAGCTGTTACCTACCTGCTCTGTATGTTTATTGTAAAGTGTCACAGGTACCTGCTGATAAATATTGTCAAATCACCCAACTTAGAAAGAAAAAATCAGATGTTTCATTCCAGTGGTTTATTATAATTTTGTGTCCATTGATTGTTCTATGCTTCTGTGCTTGAGGAACTAGCAGACAGCACATGTTTTGACTGACCAGCAATGCAACTCTCACAGGTCAAAGATTGTGTGGAACACCTATCAATTGTTTGTTTGTAAGTCTGAGATAACTGTGATCTTTGTGTGTTCAAGACACTCAGGAACACCTCTATTGGAACAACAAAGACTGTCAGAATGATGGATTGATCTGGAGACTGGAAAAGAAGCTCTGCAATTGAAGAAGTTTATTTACAGAACCTACTTTTACCTCTATTTTTTTTTGAAATATCATGTTATGAGCTCATTGGTCAAATCTGTGGGACTATATTGATGGTAGGTTTTCTAAAATGGGTGTCTGTGGTATTCCAACTGTGAAACCCAAACAAGGAAAGCTTATGTACATTGGATTTATTTTATTTGGTGTTTTGATGTCAACACTGACATTTATACCAGACTTTAGAAGATTCTTTGTGGTAAATTCTCGTTACTGTAGCAGAAATACAAGTCAAGGAAAATGTGATACTTTGGTGGGACACATTTTGCTGTACAGATTCTTCATTGGAATGATGGTTTTCTTTTTGTTCTTGGCGATAATCAACTGCCAGCTGACTGTGTTTACAACGTTCAGCCATTGGCTCGAGAATGGCTTCTGGTTCATAAAGTTTCATTTGTTTTGTTTGTGTGTTCTCTTGACACTTCTCATTCCGGAAGGACACCTCAGTAATGCCATAATGCATGTTGGTTGGATTGGAAGTTTTATTGTGATGGTTATCCAGACCATTTTAATCATTGATCTAGCAAAAGCTTTAAATGGTTATTGGGTAGAGAGAATGGAACTCTCAGACCGGCCAAAATGGTGGTATTTTTCAATGTTATTCTTCACATCTCTGTTATATACCCTTTCTTTAGCATTCATTGTATATTTCTATGCCACTTACACCATTTCAAAAGATTGTAGAACAAACTTAATTTTTATCACAACTGTTGTTTTGCTTTGTACTTTTGCATCACTTTTGTCAATTCATCCCAAAGTGCGAGAAACTGGACTCCTTCAAGCTGGCATTGTTACATCATATTCTGTTTATTTTGGTTGGACCTGTATGCAGCATTATCCTTATTCTGCCTGCAATCCTAGCTGGAATTCTTTAATCCTTACAGAGTTTAATTTTCACATTCAATTGAACATGATCTTTGACACTTTTGTAACATTTTCACTGCTCGTATACAGTGTACTTCATGAGGTATCTGTGCAGCATCTCCTAACAAACATCAATCCTTGTGCAGATTGCTGGAATCTTCAGTCACAAGTTAAGAACCATCCTTCGACTCCAGAGGAGAGCGAAGAAAAGCCACTGGTTGCCTCAACATACCTTATGTTTTACCTTTTTCTTCTTTTGATATGCCTACACCTCTTGATGGTAATAAGCAATTATTACACTCCTGAAGGAATAGTGGGCACTGAAGATGAAGTACTGGAGACAGAATATGACAAACTCATTGACATGGATGAATACGTGAAGTCGTTGAGCCAGTGGGTTGCCTCCTGCCTGAAAATGATTGTGTGTGTTGTGTTTCTTCTCCTGTATGTATGGACTATTCTGTCACCTGTTGTCTTGCCAGCAAACAAATAACTCCAGCCCACAATCTTACTACAATTTACTGAAAAGAAGCTATAAGGTGATGGAAAAAGACAAACTTATCAGCTAGTTTTGTAACACTATCAAAATTTTCTCAACTAATTTGTTAAGAAATGAGTAGCAGCTATTAAGGGGAATTGCTCAGTACATCAGATCTCCTGAGTTAAGGGGAAAATATTTATAATGATTTCTGATCACAGCTCTGAGCTCAAATGTTTCCAAAGCCATTTGGGAACCTACATGAAAAATTGTAAATTGGTTTCCAAAATTAAAATTTTTTTCTCCAGGAAAAAAAAACACTCTCATCACAACATTAATGATATACTAAACCACAAACAAACATTCTTATCTGTGGATCAAGTGAGCAGTAAATGATTGTTTGTGGTTTGCATTTAATTTCTTTTATATCGGGTAACAGAAAAGCTTGAGTGATGTGTTATAAAGTTTATAGTTTCACTTTGATTGCAGACCATACAATATTTTCATAAACATATAATACTGTATACTATATACTGACTTGCCCATTTTGATTATAAATATAAATTACATTATATATTATAATGCTATTAATAAGATACATAGAAAAATTACTCAGTTCTGATTGGTTAAGATAAACGCAGTTTTCAGGTAGTTCAGTGGAGAAGAGGGTAAATTCAGTGCAAAGAAGTAACAAACCAGACTGAACAATTCCTTGAACTGTTTAGCTGGACTTTGAACTTTTTTGCACCTTAAAGATATGAAAATAGCATTGTATATTATTGTTTTGATTGAACACAGTTTTTTTGACTGAAGGCACAATGTCACTTGCATAATTTGAATAATAACCTGATTTGAAAAATAACGTTATTTTTGCACTTGATGTGCACTTTGCTTCTGCATAATTACGGTGAGCTATCTTGTATTTTTCATGTATCTTATTAATAACATGTAATCACATGATTTTTCTTGTGCAATTTGGAATAAATAAGCACTTGTAAATTTTTTTGAAGACCACAAATTACACTGGCCCTACAGGCTCATGCAATTTTGTTAGTCTTTAAAAAAATTTACTTGCTCTTATTTATTCCAAATTGCACTCAAAATTATGTGATTATCTAAATAAATTTAAAACTATCAGTGATATTTGTAATTAGAGTATCATGACTTTATAGTTTATTTTCAATGATTTTTTTTCAGTTGGTAGGTTTTTTAATACGGAAATAAAATTTCTACAATTTGACTTACTCCCTGCTTTTGTAGATCTTCCAGAACTTTCAAGTTGTACGGCACCATTCAACAGCGATGAAGGTGTTCCCTTCTTCTCTGGCATCTCTGGTAGGAGAAAATCTAGGAGACGTACAGGAAGACTGGTGACAGTAAATAACCAGAAGATTGCATTGCTCAAACATAAAGGAACAGTTTATGCCTTGGATGAAATGTGTCCACACATGGGTGAGTAGATGTGAGGGTCATTCTGTAAGATAAGGTTAGATTGGATGAGATAAGATAATTTAGATAACATCAAATTCATGGGGAATGTTAAATCTCCATAGCCTAAGGCTCATGATGTAAGTGTTTGAAAAGCTCAAACACGAAGGCATATACATGCTAAAAGCAAAGAAAATATGCAAGAATTATGAAGAAGGTCTAAAGACTACCATGCATTGCTTAAAGAAAATTTGTCAGTGCAAAATGCAAACAGTTCATGAGAGTGCTCAAATTTATCAGGTAGAAGTTGCAATCTTGAGCTAACACCAAATGCTTGTAACTTATTTATGATGAAATATGTTGCAGCTAGAGGGGAGAATTAACAATCAGATCTTGGGAGTTAAAGGGTGGATTGAATTCTGTTTCAATGCAGGTGGCCCTCTTCATCTTGGGGACATTGAAGAGCTGGGTCAGGCAGCCCTGCCATGCATTGTGTGTCCTTGGCATAGTTGGAAGTTTTCCTTAGAAAATGGATTTGTGAAAGATCCTGCTTGTGAGAAGGGTACAAAAGTTGGTATTTATCCTGTGCAAGTCACTGACAAGGGAGAATTGCGAGTTGGCTTCAGGTCTTTTTCCCCAGACTATTTCAATGGTGCAATGGAATTCTAGTTTTAAAAAGCTCTCAGCTCATGTGAGTTTGATACATGAGAGAATCTGGTTGTGCATTGATTACAGGCTGACAGAAATGCCCAGCATGTTATGGTACATTGTGGTTTGCTGTGTGCAACAGGTGTTCTAAGTTGAGTGAATTCGAATGCAATAATGTGCACAATGCACCAAATCCAACATTTGAATTGCGTTGAGAAGGCTGATAACTGTTACATGTAATCCTTTGGTAACAGGTTCAACCTGTACATTGTGATGACATGTTTCACTGTGTCAACTGTTGTTCAACAGGGACATGTTAGCAGTGAGCCATCTACATTCTTGGATGGGGTTTTCAAATGCATGGAAAATCCCAGATAATCGATGAGAACTTTGTAGTTTTCTCAGTGTCCCAGTGTTTGTCAGTTCATTTATAATGTGAAATTGCAAAATGTCTGTCTCTGGGACTGAAGGCAAGCAACTAAGGATTAGTTACAAGCCATGTAAGCTGTGTCACTCCCCCATGTTTTTGGTGTAGTTTAAATGATTGTTGACCAATGCAAAAATCTTTAAAATATCAGGTAAGGTGGGCATTCTCCCAAATTCTCTATCTCCATTTTTCTTTGGTGATTCCAGTTTTTGGTGGTATGTCTTTAATTTTGTATTGGTTTAAAAAATCTGGAATGGGCAGGCTTTGAAATGAAGGCAATTCATTGTACAGAATGTATAATTTTTACAAAGGTTTTTATAATTGGTAACAGTGTATTGTAGAAAAATGATCCATTCAAAATAGTTAATAAACATTAAGGGGCTCACAGTGACAGTTCACGCAATGATGGAACAGAGAAACGATTCTGTGAAACCCCTGTTATAGTTTTTAATTGCAATTTTACACCAACCTTCAAAAATACAACATCATAAACTGTTTCAGTTATTGTAAATATTACGAAAAAATGATTCAAATTTGGTGATAATTGCGTTTAAATTATCAGACTGTAAGTGTGTTAGAACAGTTTTCAATTGAGTATTGAAAATAATTCAAGATTGATGTTGTTGTTGTTTGTTTGTTTGTTGTTGTTTTTTTTGCTTCACTTTGTGATTGGGCTCGAAAACTTGCACCAATCTCTCAACCAATCAGATGCAAAACTACAACCAATCACAACTTAGCTGCCTGCATTTTGTTCACTTAAGGTTTGGTTAGTTGAAATTTGAGTTCTCATCGGCTCTTAACCCTTTAACTCCCAGAATTGATTAACATAAAACTTCTCCCTACAATATCCATACATTCTTCAGCAAACAGGTAATGAAAATATTCAAACTTATCAGGTAGAAGCTGCTATCTTGATCTAGCACCAAGTTCTCATAACTAATTTACAATGAAATGTGTAGCAGCTACAGGGGAGAATTAACAATTAGATCTTGGGAGTTAAAGGGATCTTCCTTTCTTCTGATTGGTGTTTGTGACTTCTTTTTTCCTGCTCTCATCCTTTAGTAAATGAAATAAGTTCTCCTTGTCAGCTCTAGTGGTGAATATGACATGATAAATCTTCAATTTATTAGTGTTCAGTAACCAAACATCAAAATTAGAATAGCTCCTCCCCCCTCCCAACCCCTCCCCCTCTCTTTTTGCCTTTTTGGCTTCTCCAAGTATCTCAACGCCATACCGGGCAAGAAAAAAAAACATTGAAGCAGATTCCCTTTTTTTATAAATAAATAATTGTTAGAAAAATATACTTGTGACTTCAACCTCATGGATGCTAGTTTAAATGTAAAATGAGTATTTTCACTGGTAGACTTTTAAGTTCCCGGATGCAAAGTTCTGACTGTAAATTGATACCCTCATAGAGGCTGAAATAATGTGTCCATTGTATCTGTAAGTGATCCCAAATGCTTTAGCTCCCCACTGCTTTTTTTCAAAGTCTGTGGACATCAATTGACGCGCATAGTTTCATTGTAACCTTTGCACTCCACTGACAGCTCTATGTTGTTAACAATGTAGTTTTAGCAACAAAGTTTCAAATGATCCATACACTGAACTTTCACAAGATATTTAGCTCCATATCTTGGCAACCTCAGTCAATGTTATTGATGAAACCTTCAGTGTTACTGCTGTTCTTTGCTTTGTTGTTGTTGTTGTTGTTGTTGTTTGTTATCTTGTCGTGTATCATGCAACACTGGTTCTATATGAGTTCCTTCCAACTGGAAGCTGAAATTAAAAAGAAGGAAAAAATGTGGTAAAAAAAAACATTACTACAAACATTCCTATACATGACGTCATCTTGAGTCGTTTCAAGAGGTCGCAAAGAGGTTTTTTCCAATCAACTTTAAGAAAAACAAATATTTCATTATAATAGCTGGCTACCTAAGAACAACGCGGATTGCTTTTATACATTCAAAGCCACAACGTCCCTTAACGTCAAAGCAGAATTTTTGCAATTTGAAAATTGTCATGATAAATGCCGCGTTCTTTCTGATCTCCCGTGATGTTACTTATGCCAAGGGTGGGGAAACAAACTTACAAAGGGTTGAGGCATGGGTAAACGAGTAGCGCGGGCTGCAAAGCCCGAGGAAAACGTGACAGGCGTGTGAAGAAATGCGTTCATTGATCTCCAAGTTCTCAAAAAAGACCTCGTGGTAAAAAACATAAACTGTTCCTTTCACGAAAATGATATGTAATTAGGTCTGTTTCAAATGTCGGTTGGGAAACAACGAAGAAATATTAAAAGTATGACTTCCAACCTGCTCTTTGCAACCTGGATCATGCTTTCTCTCCCCGAGCTGAACCCAGTCCTCTTTATCGTCTGACATAGGCAGGCCTGTTTTCGAGTTCCATCTCCTTCGTTGGCTGGGTAACCAGCTTAGGAGCCATAACTTCACTGGAAATAACAACTTGGGATCCACGCCTACTTTTCTTTCTTCTGCAGTTTCTGATGACGAAGACAAATGAGGTGCGGTAATTTAGGATCCACGCAAGACAGTGAATGTAATCGCTTGAACGGAATCTCTCATTTTTTTTTCAGCCAAGGGTCTGGAATGCATTATCCCCACCTTGTTGGCAGACGCGAAGAGAGTTTGCCATACCACATTTGGCACAAAGGGCTCTGCAGACTTAATAGTCCATTTTACAGTTACGTTCTTCGTTGCCAAGCCTTTGAACACGAGTGAGGCTAAGGGTGACCTTGTTATGATACAAACCTTGCTGCTTTTCAGATGTAAATTACTTAGTTATCATGCAAACTAGATACTAGTCTCTATCACAACATGGTCAACTTCAAACTCATTCCAAATCAAAGACTTGGTAACTAAGCACACAACTGTAAAATGGCCTATTACAAACAAACAAGCTCAGAAGCAAACAGAAAACAAATCATTGACTCAAATTTTTGATATATTTCAACTTTTTACCGGTCATAGACACAACAACATTGGCATGGCGTCGTCTCAAACGCGGTACCTCAGGGAAGGTCCTGGGAACAAGGTTCACACACTACTCATAATTGTTTTATTTGTCTCTCACCTAACAAAAAACTTGTAACAGTTCCTATTAGCATAGTAACAAACCAACCAATGGCACAGTACCACAAGTACGATGTGCTGTAAAACCCAGCCATCGGGTTACTGAAAAAAAAAATAATAAAAACGAAAAAATGTCATGAATGCCTCCAGCAGCAATAAAGTCACAATTCACAAGTTTTTTAACTGAACCAATTTAATCCCTCACGTCTGTACAAAACTCATAGTGCAAAAGAATAAGCTTGATTACACTCACACGCACAAATCTGTCAATAAATAGTCTTGCCTGTGTTCGACCCCGGTCTCCGACAAAACGAAAAATAATGGGGAGATTCCCTCACGAACACAGGAAAAGCAAGTTTTCAAAGTTTTCCTCTAAGATGGAAAGTTTAAAAAGGGAGACTAACTTGCTTACTTGGCGGAGCCTATGACGATTATATCCCATTGAATCGACAAGGAGTAATACTGCTTACTCTGAATAAGAAGCTAACTTGGTCTTAGAGTAACCTACCAGATCCCCACCCCCTCAGCCTTTCTCTTCCCCCCCCCCTCCATCCACTATTTTCTCCGGTTTATTTTGCTTGTATTCAGTTATTGTCCTGATGGAGAGGAGAATGGGGGTGTTCAGTGTATTATCCAATCCAGAAAGTCCCCCACCCCCAGGAAACAACTGGTAACTGACTGGAAATCAGGTTCAGGCGAGAGAATATATTATTGTGTCAGTTTAGTTTCGAGGATTTTTACTTACTCGTACTGGTATGTGATCTTCGTGTTATTGATCATTGCTGCTTGAGACTTGTTGAATACTTCAGGGGAGCATTCCGAGATTGAGACTGGGCCGAAGTTTTCATTTGGCGGGTAAAGCTGGGCTCCAGTAAAAAGCCAGATTGTCATGGCCAGACCGCTGACCACTCCAAGGTATGCGCCCTAAGGTAGGAATAAAAAACATTTTGAGACGAAAAGACGCGCAGCCTATAGAAGGTACACAGTGGCCTTCAGAGTCTACTGACACGATCATCAGTTCTCTTTAAGCGGGGTGAAAGTGAACAGGGGTCAGCTCTTTGGCAGAGGAGTAATCACCTTGAGCTATCCAGGTAAAACAAAGTTTATTGTGAAAACATCGAATTGTAAAAAAGAAATCGAAGGAGATTGATCGTAATTGTTAAGGTTGATTTACTTCCGGAAAATGACAATCCCTTTGATATAAGAAAACTTTGAAATATTAGTTTGCCTCGAGTACAAATGTAGCTTAAATCGGATTTCATATTTTGAACTGGACGAACGAAACGCGAACAAGCGTAAGCTCGAGATTGATTGCTACCTTTGCATTTGCACGTGACACCAGAAGACCGAGAGTGAAGATGCCAAGTAAAGGGCCACCGGTGATGTAAAGCAAACCAGAGAACACCTATGATAAAGAAAAGAAAGAAAAAAACACACTTTCAAAGTCGGAACATCGTAAAATCTTCGTTGCGAGCCACGAAAGAAACTCAAAATTCCTTAACGAGGGTCTTGAACACGTCCTTAGTGGTAAAAAATATATTAACATGGTAAATATTTCACGCTTTCTTGGAATGGAAGTAGATGTTAACGAGCTTGTCACGAAAATGAGACAAAGCAAACTTCTGAGTTCTTGCAAAAGCATTGAACACACGCTCCTCCGTTTGGATCACCCGTCGATTGTTGTCTCACTCGCCAACAGACTAGTTGGGCCGTGATAGCCCAAACATTAGGTTCATAAGTGACGAGTATCCCATTTAACGTTGGGATCACGACGGCGACGGGAATAAGAACGTGGCGCAACAAGAAATTTAAAGCTAGCTTCACTTACAACGGAGTCGGAGTTGGATTTGGAGTCGTAATTATAAGCGCAGGGTGATAAGTTCTTATGAAAGGGAAAAACATCGAGAAACTGGGAAAATTCTGAAGAGAAATGAAAGTTCATTTTCAGGCGACGTTCGCCTAAGCGTCGCCGTCGCGGAATTGTGCCCAAACCCCTTCGGATTTCGCGGTCCCATGCTCCACCCTTGAGCTGCGTGAAACTGGCTGGTAAGTTAGACCATTGCAAAAGATGTAATACTAAGAAGGTTGTTTACCAACCTGTAAGACCACGTCGCCTGCATGGTGAAGAACAAAGGCTCCTACCATCACTGTCCCGCCCAGAATCGCAGCTGAGCCAAATAAATCAAACTCAAATTTAGCATGCATGGTATTACACCTGGAAAAAGTTTTAAAATGGAAAGTTTACTTACTGACAAGTTGGCAACTTTTCACCGAATCGAAGTCGTCAATCCTTCTTGACCATTTCTTTAAAAAATCCTCCAAAATGACCAGGCTTAAAGAGTTCAGCCCTGATGACACGAAGCTGAAAGAGAAAATGTCTAGTCCTTCAAACACAGAGAAAAGACTGAGATATCATCTGGTGCATGCCTAATATAGTCACTGCAGTCAGTAAGAAGAAATACATCAGTATCGCAATGAGTCAGTGAAATATTGAAGCAAAGACAAGTGCAAAAGGCTGGCAGAAAAGCGGTAAAAAATTAAAAATTTACCGCCATCTCTTAATTAATTCACCGATTGCTTCTGATCGGCTGACCGAGTGTGGCGCGAGTTTTCTATACCAACCACTGAACTAATTAATTCACCAATTGCTTCTGATCGGCTGACCGAGTGTGGCGCGACCAACCACTGAACGTTGCCTCCAAACTAGAGAAATCTCTCTACATATCATGTTTTTCTACCCCGAAATGGTAATTGCTCAAACATCTACTTGCGCCGCTGGTACAGGTTTTGCATCCGATTGGTTTACGAGAGGTTTTCAGACCAGTCACAGTTCGAAGTAAAGCAAATCCAAAACAATAACGTGCAATGCAAAATTACTCCAATATTCACTTGCACCGACCGATAAAGCCACTAGAAGTAAGCTACAAAGAGACATGCATCACGATGGCGCTAAATAAAATCGCGGAATTTCTACCTCAAAGATCCAGCGAATACGCAGGAAGTGAGGAATCCTGGAAGTCCTTTTAGGTGTTGTAGGTGATGTTTGATGTAATAGAACAGCACCTGAAAAGCAGGAAAAGAATTTATGAGGGTTTCTGTGTTGGTCGAGCTTCAAGCAGAGGGACTGAGTGGGAATGATCTCTATTGAGCTCTCCAAGACGCCTCTCGATTTGGAGTCCTGGACGTTAACTATTAGGCCGCAAATTCTCTTTATCACCAAATGCCCTTAGTGTTTTTGTCTAATTTGAAACAAACTCAATATATCTGGGCTAATATTTGAGATTTGTAATTCATCTCCTTGTTAACACCTCTGCAAGTGTCTATAAAGTATTTTTCAGTACCTGATCACTGCGTTGAATTGCTCCTGTCATCAAAGGATCACAGTTGGCAAACACAGTATACATGATGAGACCGGTTATACACGCTAAGCCTGTTATGATTATAAGCACTGGCACACTGATCCAAACGGCCCTGCAAAATCAAATCGATTTGTATCTGTTAAAAGTACTATAGCGTCTGAAGTTCTTATTTGAGGATGTTGCTGAGGCAGTCAAGTATATTAATTACATGTATAACTGAATCAAAGCCGCTACTGTAAGTTCATATTATCCTAGGGCTCTTTTGTACTGAATGTGGATGGTAATAAGAGTATCTTTTGTAGTGAATGTGGTAACAAGAAAACGTCAATAGTTGATCTACCACATAAATCAAAAAGTACACTTAGATAATTACCCTGAAGCGCGGGAATTCACGATTGCTCAGGCAACTTTACAATGAATTGTTTCTAATTGAGTTTCGAAAACCAAAACCACAGTAATCACAGCAACAATCAGAACAAAGGTTTACATTAGCCAATGAGAACTCAAAGTGGAAACAAGCTAACTGATTGCATGAAGCGCGGTAAAACGCGAATGACCAAATCACGATTGTTTTTACATATGCATCCAATTAGTTGAGAGGATGGCGCGAATTTTCTGAACCAATCGCAGAGCAAAGTTAGGTTAAACCAAAGCAATCCGGGACTTCTGCCGACACTCCAATGAAAAATTTCTCTAAGAGGGTTTTAAGGTAAACGAAGAATCTTACAACGATACGACGCGTAGTAACGAGCGAATGTAGTTCAGCGTTAACAGGTGGAAGCAAAGGAAAGCTAAGTCGCGTCAGTTTGAAATTTCCATATCTTCATATAATTGGTTGAGTTGGCGCGAAAATTTCCAAGTAATAGATGCATCGCCCAGAGGGATGGGAAAAGACTGGAACTGTTAAATTCTCAGAGCTTACCTCCTAGCCAGGCCGACACACTTGTTGGAGATATACCGCTGAACTGCTGTCTGATTGACCGTCCACACAGGTATGACAGTGATGGCTCCGCCAATGGAAAGAGTCCAGAAAGTATCACGAACTGTGGGGTTTGGGTTGAAACTGCCAGAGGAAAGACGCAAATATAAATAAGAAGCATTTAGAAATTCATAAATCTCAGAGATCTCCGAATCTTATGCTTCTTACTCAAATAACAGCATTCGCTTTCGATCTTTGTTGACTTCAATCACATGATCAAAGCCTCCTGCGGTGTTCGTACCCACAATGCACAGCGTGACCAGTCCAGTCACCATAAGAATCACATGAAACGCGTTTGTCCACGCCACCGCCTTCAAGCCTCCCTGTAAAAAAAAGCAAAACAAAACAAACCAAAACAAAACAGTTACCATGAATAAACAAATGCAACATCAGTTTACATGTTACTCAATACCAAGAGAGAAGAAAATTGGTTTCTGATTTTAAAATTGAAAGAATCTTATTTTTGGCGATCGGTAACTACTTTCAGAAGGAGTAATTTTTTAGAAGTAATGTAATTTTTAGCTTTATAGTACCATTTTTTCCAGTGATCTTGTACGATTTTTCTCCAGTGCTCTCTTAACAGTTCAAAATATTTACATTATAATTTCACAATATTTTATTTAACCTTAGATCAATATGATAATTTAGCGAGGTACGGGACTCTAATGAGGTGAGTGTAATCCAAGGAGGAGCGAGGAAAGATCCGTGTACATTGGTGAACATCAACATGTAATTCAAATAACGAAACTAGAAAAATTTTAATCGAAACAGGCAGCGGCTTTCGATATTCAAAAGCCGTGATCTACTTCCTTTTTGTGCTAAGAACGATTTGACTTAAACACCTTCCTAACAGCCAGATATTTCAGTTCAGGGGCTTGCCTGGATATGATAAATTTCGCATTTTCAGTCTTTCGTTTCCTCAATATTTTTCGCGACCTCCAAGGTAAATATTTTCATATGTATTCTTTTTGTGACTAAGTGAAAAAAAGGTTGTGGGCGGAAGTCTTTGTTATTTGTTGACTCGTGAAATCGGCGGCGTATTGCCAGGTCAATCAAGATTACTGGCAATGATTGTCTGTGGATTTAGCTGATATGCTAAAGAGCTGTACTTTGGACAGTGTTTAGTGGACGTGCTTGTGCACATTAAAACAATTAACCGGAGTTTGACCTCCGAGTCAACTTGTGTCATTCAAACCGAGAAAGGAAACCTCAATCGACTTAATTAAACACTTCTTCAAATTGGCAACTAAAAATAATTTCACTAGAAATGAAAAACCTTACATGATTTGGTACACGCACAGGAAAGATAAACGAACAAATGAAATATCGTTTATTATCTGATTGTATTTTAGTTATCTTTCTTATCTACGCAACAGTCTTTTTTTTTTCTTTTTTTAATACGGGTTCGAATACGAAAAAAATTACAGATTATATGATCGGAGAGCCACAATCCCAGAGGAAAAAAAAAAAAAAAAAAAAACAATTTCGCTCTGATATTTCTTCAATATAATGAGTTCATTGACTGAAATTTCACTACTTACTATCTGGACCATGTTATTATTTTTGTTATGTTCGTCAATTTAACCTTTATCCCCTAACATCAGTATGCATTTTCTCCATACTGTCCTCTTTGTATTCCTTGATGTGCTGACAAGGAGAATTTGTTCAACTATCAAGAGCTTCTTTATTTAACAATCATTTCCTCCGTTCTCGTGACCTTATTGTGTGATTCAGGAGTGACATTGTGAGGAAAAAATTAGAAGCTGGTCACTGTTACAAAGGTAGAAGGAAAGGGTCTCTAAACTCACCAATGCAGAGTACAGTGTACAGGCGACGCTCGTGCAGACGATGCCGACTGCTAACGGAACTCCAGCAACTAGGAATATGAAACAGTAAAAGATGAAATAACGATAGCACTAACAAGATTTTACTAGGATATGAAAAGTGCACTTATACACATAGAAACCTGTTTTAGAAAAACTTCGGATGTGCGATTCAGAGACACTCCAAGAAATCCTCATAACATCGTTATTTTAAATCGTTTCATTTTTTTTCGATAACTTTCCATCAACAAATTTCCTGTTTATCTAATTCAATACCCATGCCATTTAATATTAACAGCTCCTTACCCGTATTGATGGCCTGTGAGGGTATGTACACGACCAGACATAAGTACAGGCTCTATACAGCAGCAAAACAAAAAGTTTCATTTTCACTTTGACCTTAACTTAAATGTCTGCAAAGACTGCTTATCAAAGCACATTTTAAGATTTCTGTTTATGGAGGTTTGACTTTTTCTGGTAAAGAACATAAAAGTTTACGTAGCGTTTCAAGTAAAAGAGCTCCAACCGTAAATGATCGCTTTGGATTTCTGTAAGGTTTGATATCGTCATATAATTAACGTCTTCAGTCACGTCTTTCCGTATTGCGTGACGGGAATACATTCAAATTCGCTCCCAATTTCATCCGTTGTCAGAGCAGGGATTCAAGAAATAAAGTAAATCTGACTTTACTTACATAGGTCACAGTGAAGAGGATTGCCCCCACATACCGGACGCCACCGGAAAACCGCGCCTCTAGGTACTAAAGGAAAAAGAGTAAATGGTTTTGCGAAATTGTTAAATTTAGAATATTACCCCTTCAAGATGTGTTGAGCAATAGCAGAACTTGCCTTCCGCATTTTGTTACCAATTCTAACTCCACAGACTTCTAAAAAATTTTTTAAGGGGAAAATTTTTATTAGTTCTTAATAAAGAGAAAGGGCGCACTGCACGGACAAAAACAAATCTAATTTATTGTTTAATACGTGAATGAATTGATAAATAAATTAAACGAGTCTATTAAATAGCAAAAACAAGGGCACGTAACAAACAAGTTCTTTGATTCCCGACGTTACTTTCACTATAATCTTAATTTACCTCAATGTCATCTTTCTAAAATTTAGTTATCAACACTTTTTCTTGTCCTTTCCTTAGTTTTTCTCTCTAAATTTAAGCTACTTTTGACGGCGACTGTATTGACCGTAAGCGATAAAGACTGCATAACATTGCGTGAGGTACCCCACGTATCAATGATTATTGCCCACATGGCGTGGGACGTTAAATTTTTGAATACCTTGCTCTATCTTCAATTTTATGAAAAACCATAATTTCTTGAGGACAAACCGCAAGTAAATCAGAAAAGGTGATTTTATCACCTCTCTAATCATTTTGGGTTTGTTCTTGGATCAAGAGTGAAGCTCGAAGGAAATTAGGGATAAAATGGAGGGCTTTCGAAACTCAAACTACATCATGTTTACTGAATTCCAGCATATTTTTTTTTCGAAATCAAGAAACCTTAGTTTCGAAAACTACGAATCGTGTATTCTAAAAGATGTAATTTAGACAATACATGAAGTTCGTTTAACCATTCTCACATAAATTTCGATTCCGTAAATTTGTTATTTCTCCTGATAAGAATGGCATTAATGATTTTAAACATCGAATCTAAAGTCTGGTCACGTTATTTCATCACTCCATTGTGGTAGCCTTTTACTCAAATTTCTATCGCAAAATGATAGACTTCATAGGGCTCTAAAAAACACGAAAGACTCATAGGTAAAATTTTCGCAAAATACCAAATTCCTTTTTAATATGTCTACAGACACTTAAAGGGATGGATTAGGGTTTTGGAGTAAATGAGACGTTTCAGAATAATCGGCTAAAGAGAAAAATTTAAAAACATCTCATTGACATCGGCGGTAACAACAACAAGTTCCTCTATTCATGAAGAAAAATATTTGTGGTATTCGTCTAGTATTGTACATCTGCATTTACTATCCTTTCTATAATGATTCTATGCACGTGTACAGAGTGTGCAAAATATCAGTTACTCTTTTTTATTGCGCGCTCTCATATTTAAACGTAGGTCAGGTCCTCTTGACAGCAAATGATAATTTGATTAAGATGGTTTTTTCATGGTAAAATTTTGCGACTCGGAACTTAAGCTCTGATGATAATAAAACACACAAATCTAACTGCCGGCGAAAGCAAGAAAGAAAATCACAACAATACCGATTCATGGAAGATTCTATAAACTGAGCGAGCTAGTTACTAATTCCTTTCACACTTAAAATTTAATTATTTCATGCATATGGTAAGCTGCACGACTTAAGGGTGATCTAAGTATCGGTTCTTTTCCCTTAAGGAAATATCTGATCCTGTGTTTTCTCATAACATGCATGTTACCTCGCGATGTCTATCGAGACTATAACGAAAAAGGGCCAAGAAGCTTTTCAAACGCCAGACATAACTCGGAATTAATGTTACATAACCACAAACTTACCTCGTTGACTGACGTAACTTGCAATCGGTGAAACATAGGAATGAAGATAACATGAGAAACAGCCGCGACAAACCAGTAAGCGAACAGAGCGAAAATGATGTACTGCAGTCCAAATGAAAACACTTGTGCTACTGAAGCAAGAAGAAGAACCGACGAAAAATAGCTAGCCACAAGTGACAGCGCCAAAATCCAGCTTCTTAAATTCTTGTCCGCGAAGAGAAATTCTGTTGTGGTTTTCGGCCTTTGTCCTCGGCAGGCAAAGAAGAATCCCACGGCGATTGGGAGCAAAAGGCACAACACGAAAACCACGTAGTCTTCTATGTAGTTCATGACTGATTTAGGTCGCTATAGTACAGGTGATGCAGATGAAAAATAACTTATCCCTTGTTTGCTGCGACAATATGAAGTACCTTGACCTTGGCTCTGGCATGTACAATCCTATCCAATCCTCGTTAGCTTGAGGTACGAGACGGGAAGAATTTTTCAAAACCCACGCAATAAAAACACTCTCGAGCGCAAAACGTGAAAGATTGTCGATAATTTTGGTAACTTCAAGAACAATCAAATCGAGAATGACCCTTTGCTCTGCGGGAAAACTCCCTTACTTGCACGAATTCGAGAACAATAGATTTCCACAAATTCGATATCTTTCGTTACAATGGTGATGACAGAAGGCCTATTGTATTCGTGATGTGTTGCAACTATTTTCTCACCCTGATTAAGCATGTACCCACTAATAACTAGAACGAGCGACTTGGCCTTTAGCCAGTATTGATTCATCAGACGTTGTTTACGCCCAATCACAGTCAGCGGATATGATGAACATGCTTAATTTGTAATTTGCAATTTTGTCATTTGTAAATCACGCGATACTCAGCACTTTCGACTAGAATGCTTTGCTCGTAACCAGAGTAATCAACGAAATTGGAAACTGAAAGTGCTTATTCTCTAAATTACGTCTGAGCTAGGAACGAAATCGGGACGAAACTGCGTGTTAGTTGTTTCTACATATTTTGATTCCAGAAAGAAAATTTAAAAGAGAATAGAAACTTCTAAAATTAAGCAGTTAAGTTTAAGACAAGCGTAGTTTTTGAATTTGCTGTTTAACTCAGTTAAAAAAAATTTGCTTGCATGAAGGCCAGTCAAAACTCGATCACAACATATAAAACCCATCCACACCTTCAAGAGTTATGATTGTGATAAACTTTTACATTTCTGAAGTCATGTAACGCAACTCTGATTAGGGCGTTTACAGCAGAATTTTGAGGGCCGGAAGTAAATTATATTGAGAAAATAAAAACGTCACGAACTCACGAACTATTTCCTTTGCTTTGTAATTCAAATTTCTGCGGTCTACATTGCTGGCCTAGAAATTAAAAAATATAGCTTCCCAGTAAAGTGCTTTGGATATTAATGATCGTGGATCAGCAATGATCTTTGTTCTAATCATATATTTTAATTTGTAGAAATCTGCTCTGATCCAGTTCTTATTCCTAATGCGCTTTCCCGCTGCTGACTAATAAAACGACAAGCTCTGATAAGTACACTTTCCGTTACAATAAGAGCTGTGACGTTCATCCATGAGTATCCTTCAAACGTCTTTCTTGTACTAGATACTTCGATTCTTGCTAATTCGGTTTCAAAACTATGCACAACAACGAGCCCTTGATATTGAACGTGACCGAGAAATGTTGATTATTGAAGTAGTAAAGGTGTTGATTTGTTTGTTTTAAACTGTGATGCGATAATCTCTCATTCCAAGAGCGCTTTTTTAAAAGCGGGAAGTAAACAAATCGTTATTATTGGATCTGCGTCACGTTTTTTACATTGATTACTGCATGTGGTCTAAGTTTTGCGTTGGTCATTCACAATCCAGATTAGTTTTAATCCTCTGTTTCCTTCTATTTTTCATTGAATCTTATTAAAAGTATGCCCTCGCAAACTACTTAAGGCTTTTTTCTTAGAGGCGATAAATTTCAACGACCTTGAAAACAATTCGCATCTGCCGTATGTCTTGAACGAATCATAACCGCGCCATTCATCATCAGGCCTGTTCTGTTATAAGGCATTCATGATTTCTGAAGGCAAGTGGAACGAAAGATAAGAGATATCAACGCTTATCGATAAGCACAATTGAAATATTAAAATAAATTAAAAAACACTTAGTGAAATGATCGGTCTTCGAGGCATGAACACGAGAACGCAACTGCTGATTGCATAAGACCAAACCCTTCCTCAATTTTTGTGGACTTTGGATCGGCTCCAACTAAAAGAGCATGAGGTTCCTGATGAAGGGCAAGAATTACAATAAAAAAGTTACAGATTTCGTACTGTTTATTCTGTTGTTGCCCCTAAGATAAAAGACCATCGAAGTCAATTCTCTACTGGGAAAAACATCATTGAAAATGAGTAAATATCACAAAATTTATATAATTTTATTTATATGACTTGCGTTGCTGTAGCCTATTTCCGTCTCGTTCTGTAATTGTTTTATACATCAAAAATTAACGTATCAAAGTTGTTTATTTAAATTCAATTCATTCTTTATCTAGGAAATGACATGAGAACTTTGGACCTTTTAATTTTTTAATGCAAAAAATTGTGATCTGTCTTAACAGATTACCAAACGCATGACAGTCAAAAACATCTCACACTAATCTGCAATGCTCGCTGAATTTAAAACTTTTTCGTCGGAATTAGCAAGTTTAAATACTAACACAGAGAAATGAAGAAAATAGCCATTTTTCGTCTAAATTAAATGGCCAAACCTCAAGGGTGATATACTTCAATTCTGTTCACAATAGCTTATGAGGCGAACACATTAATGTTATGGTTTTTTAAATTTTCTTGTCCCAGTTTACAACACTATCTAAGGTTACTATCGACATAAAGGCCGTCTTTCTTTACTCCAACCACTAACAATTTTACAAAGGTAAATGACGGCAATTAGCCCAAAAAACGCTTTAACTTAACTTCAAAAGCAATTATAAAAATATGGAGTTGGAAACGGCAATGAAATTGTAAATGCGGTTGTACAAATTACGTGTCATTAAATGTTGCCATTCTCCATCAAATTATTGGTGTACAAGTTTCCCATTTCGAGTTTTTCCTGTTTGCCTTTCGAATCTACCGGCGGAGTGTCATCCCAGTTGACCTTGATCTCCTGAAAAGTAACAAAGACTGCGTCATCTTCGTGTAACTGCTTCCGTTGAAGCTAAGTGAGCTTAAGCTTCCGAGAAAAGCTGCGAAATATTTTTTGGTGGGGTTGACGCCCCGTGATTAGTTCTTTCTAGACTGAAAATTATAGTTAGCGTTTCAGTTCAAAATAAAACCCCGCGTGTTCAAGATCGTTTTTGAATAGAAGACAAGTTAGACTGTAATCCTCGATAAAGTAATCAAGACCTGCGAACGTTGGTAAGCAATAACTTGTTTTGTGATTATGTTATCTACCTCGTAGTCGTTACTCAAAGTAAAATTTATCGCTCGTTTTTTTTACCTTTCTTTTGGTTCTATTAATTGCCACGTGCTCGTTTCCAAAATCGAGATTATTCTTAAGCTATGGTCACAGGATATTAACACTCGACTCGCGCGTTGTTTGTACTTTACTTAGCGCAGTTGGGTAATGTTTTTTTTTTTTATAAATTTTGTAAACTAGAAACGTTTAAGTGTCTTACATCCTCATGAATAGGCACCACTTCATCCTCCTCCTCCTCATCTTCGAAGTCCCATTTGAAAGAATGGCCAGGAAGGAAGGACCACAGCCATTCCTTTAGCGGGAACAGTAGCTTAGGGTCGATCTCTTTCTCTTTATCCTCTTTAGTTTCTTTAATACAATAGAGAATCATCATCAGACTAATAGATATATTTTGCGTACCGCTCTACCAGATTGAGCGCACTTCGACTGAGTGTCGTAAAATCAAACCCAAGGTACTCAAATTGGCCAAACAGAAGAAAGGGAAATATCACAAGAAGCCTGAGACAACTTAGAGTAGAGAAACCAAAGCAATGTAGGGTTACTGTATGTCGACTCTCAATTGAGAATCGGGTAACGAATTAAAACGAATATTTTTTGCGTTGATCGTACCGTAGCAAAGGGAAGACTTAATTGGCCTCTTTGGGGGCCTGTATCGTAACAGAAAGTAGATAATGTGGGGATCCAGCCATCTGAAAATAAACTCACCAAGAATGAAGCTCATTATGCATCCAACGGTGAAGGAAGTGAGGACAGACAGGGCACTAAACCACAGATAGGACATGCTGTAGAAATCAGCGATGGCCGCACTAAAGAAAACAAACACCAAAAAACCATTACTCATAAATCTACAGAGAAGATATTACATTGAAAACTAATCATGTATTATGTTTAACGTTTAATTAAAAGAGCCCTTAGGGCAAGATTCCAAGATCGATTAGCGCGACTGTTAGAGCAATTTCCCCATCAAGTAATCACTCCTTCTCCTCGAAAATGTTCCTTTGTTTACTGAAATGGAGAATAAGATTATAGATTCTCTTAGCTTTCGAGCACGCCCTTTACCGCGGCAAAGTATGATGCATTTAGCAACGTTAGGCGATAAGAGGTCTGCAATGGTCATTATCATTGATAGAGCCAGACCCCCGTTAAACCTCTCCTCAGCTCATCTCAAATCTTCCCGTGGTGAGAGATACGCGTGTCGGCTGAAGCGCTAATAATGAAGGCCTGTTCGAAAGCCATGCCCCCCCCCCCCCCCCATATATTGCTTTCAATGACCTTGAACATCGCCGATGAGGATGGGGGAAATTGCTAAATAGGCAGTCACCGAAAGGTATCTCAATTTTTTTTCATAACTTCTGCACCTAAGGAATACCTGTGGCCTTTGAATTCGTTTCTGATTAATCCATCTCCATACTGGTCCAAAATCTTGGCTGATGCATTGTTGTAGGAGCCATCAGGATATGTGCTGTTGGCAAGTGACGCATTAATATAAAACTCACATCCCTGAACCGAGCGGAGACCTGGGTATTTGTTGGGGGGAAACAATACGGATCCGAGGAAAACCCACGTGGTTAGAGCAGCTCCGGTGAACACACCAAAATAGGCACCCTGCAATTGATATTGAAATGGTTCACATCGTCTACTTCAGATGTTGACACGATCCCTTATTTTGGCAAAGCCCATTCAGCCAGATGCTTTGCCGCACGAAGTGCGCAAGGTGTGATTCACAAAACGAGTAATTTCTCTCGGCGCGTAAATTAACTCGCTGCGTAGTGGAAGCGGCACGAGACTGAAGCATTGCGCAATCAAACAAGTGCTGTTGTTGAGCGCTTTTCTATTGAGTGTCGTAAAACCAAAACCAAAATGATCGCAACGACCAATCAAAAGAAAGGAAAGTGCTTTCAAGAGCCAATGAGAGCTTAGAGTAAAAATAACCAACTGCCTGCAGCGCGGAAAAACGCAGACTACCAAGTCGCGATTGGTTTTACTTTTCCATCTGATTGGCTGAGAGAGCGGCACGAGTTTTACAGACCAATCACAAAGCGAAGTAAAGCAAAAACAAAGCAATCCCGCATTTTTTTAACACTAAATTGAATATTCCTCAATTACGCAGGGCAAGCTTGCAACGCTCGCTGGTTTTGTTACGCAATCATGCTTATGTCCTAAAAGACAGTGTGTCAGCATACCTTTGAGTTTGCGCGTGGAACAAACATTCCAAGGAGAAATATTCCTAGCAAAGGACCACCACAGATTCCGAAGATGCTGTAAGCCAACTAGATTGAAATAGCAAGGACAGTTGAACATAAATTGAAGTTTACATAGAGATTTTCACAAGAGACTCTCGATCTATGTTGAGTCAGTGAACAGATGGCCAGGTCCGAGACTTCTGCCACTGACCGAAAGATTAGAGAATCGGCGAGTAACAAACAGTGGTCGCAGTTGTCAAAGAGAGAGCCTTGCATGGTACCGGCTATTAAAAAGAAGTCGGCAATTGAAGACACCGTAATACAAAAACATACCTGCAAAACCATAGTTCCAACATACTTCACGACGAAAGCGCCTCCAATGACGATCACACCAAATGTCAGAGCTGCAAAAAAAGGAAGGTTTGAGTCTAACTTCTGCGTAACACTGAAATCGCTCTTCCAATTAGCTGAAACAGATTCCATGTTCAGTAATTGATCACAGATGACGTCAAATGTGAATACAAAAGAAGCTCACGAGGCGCAGACGAGTGTGTCACTGATGTTCATACCCCATTTTGACGTCATCTGTGATATATTTCTGTGGAGACGCGCAGCAACATGGAATCCATTTGTTATACATGATAAGAAGGCAAATTGTTGTTCATGGTGACATAATTTTTGTGTCTGTCCTCCAACAGATCATTAGATAGAACCAACCATAACGCATGTATATAATTCAGCTTAGCATATAAACGTAGATTACACATATCTCATAACGATGAAGAGAACAACGCCGTAAATAACTGACCAATTATCTTGCACAGCTTGGCAGCATCAGAGTCAGTAATATCCGGGACTTTCTTTTTGACAACATCCTCCAAGCTGACCAGGGCCATGGCGTTTAGAGCAGAGGAAGCAGTGCTGACGATCAAAGGTATAACACTCGAGATAAATTAAAACAACCACTGGTGCGCTAAACTTCAAGAGCCGCATCTCCTTAACTGATCACTTTGCACACTTCAAACGAAATCAGAGAAAAAACAGTCTGCGAAGCGTGAGCTGTGGTTGTGTGACCCGCGGGATGAGAACAACTCAAGACAAAGCCGGGAAGTTTGAATACTGCCTTGCGCTTACAACAAAAAATGCGCTTCGCACTCAATCATGTATGCATTCACATTTCATCTAAACAATACCTGAGAGCTCCTGCGTAAAGGACAGCTGTAAACATTCCCGGCAGCCCTTTCAAGTGTCCAAGCTTGTTTATCACAAAATACGGGAGAGTCTAAAGAGAAATTATAGGTTAATTAATCGCAGTGCAATAAATGATTGCAATAAATGCAATGCAATAAATAATTTCTTGACCTGCAGATGCGGCACAAGTAAAGAAGTTATTCCAACTTATTTTTGGGAGGCACAGGTTCGAATCTCTGATTTTTTCTCTTTTTTGCAGGGTTCTTCTCTGAGATTTCTTAAATGGAAGCAGCTCACTTGCGAGGATAATTTCTTTACTTGTTTTGATCAATCGAGTAATAAATCAAGGAATTATTCACCAAAAGACTCGAGGATGTCCATTCGTAAGCAGCGATATTAAAGGTTTTTACACGAGAAATTTACCTGGTCATTGCTTGTGATTTTCTTTTCTACTCGTAAATCGCAGAAAGCATAGTTGGCAAAAATAACCAGTCCGTCAAAAAAACATAGAGTCACAATCAAGATCAGTCCAGGGACATTCAGCCACACCGCTCTAAAGAGAGAGAAACAGAAATTTTCATAAATAGATAAACGATTGAATAAATATGTCGTTAGATAAATAGATGACTGATAAGCTGAAAGGATAGATGAAACGAATTAGAACGCTTTTCGATTGAGCGTTGTGAAAACCCAAACCCAACGGCCAATCAAAAGAAAGGAAATACCCTGAGGAGCCAATGAGAACTCAAAGAAAGAACAGGCAAGCCGCCTGAAGCGCGGGAAAACGTAGGCGACCAAGTCTTGGATGATGTTAGTTTTGCATCTGATTGGTTGAGAGAGTGGCGCTTTTTTTTTCTAGACCAATCACAAAGCAAAGTGAAGCAAACGAATACAATCTTGGATTACTTTCGTCTCTCAATAACAAATTGCTCTAAACAAACAATTTTTAATCCTTATTTTTGTTATACCTTTCGAAGAGGAGCTGCATTTCATTTAAGCCTGTTGATGAACTTGTTAATCAATTAACACCAAAGAATGATGACAAGAAAATTATATTGTAATCTCTTGCGAATTAGCAAGCGTTTTTCCTCATTTTTAATTCTTCAATTTCATTTGTTTTCCAGAAAAATAAGAATTGATCTCCCTCATGTCAAATGACAAGTACGTGACAGTCGCGTGTCAGCTGTCACGTGTCTTTCGTCGAAATGCAAAATGGAAGAACTTAGAGGTTAATTGAGCGTGTGAGTCTATACGAAGAACCTAACAGAGCGAGGTGGGGACTTCTTCTAAAAAGTTAAGCTTGATAGCGAAAGGTAGGCTGCAGAGAGAGTATAGTTTATATTCTTTGGATTCCAGGTACAAACTTTTTATAGCCAGGCGTGGCCAGACTTTCCCAATGATAATCAACGGAGACCTGCATGTGAAGATGCGTACTGTTTGGAGTTTTTCTCGTTATTTTCTACAATTTTTTCGCGGTTCAGTGCCATCGGCAACCGAATAAAGTCGTTTTCCTCACCAAAATAATATGGAACTCAATATTTGTATGTAATAGTGCTGTCGAAAACAGTATGAACTACTTGTATTTCAGATCTAGATCTAGTTGCTTTGAAAGTTGATTGTCATCCACAAACTATATTTAATGCCTGGAAGGTACCTCCTTTTTAATTCCCACAAGTGGACGTTTGCTTGGGCCACTTTGAGAAACACAAGAACAGGTTTAAATTTGATGCAGTAGACTGCTGGGAAGTTTTGTTTGAGTTATTCTGGTCATCATTCAAATGTTATTTGAGTAGTTTTCAAGGAAAAGTTAATGAAAGTTTACAGTCAATTATTGTTGTTTTTTTTTCTGCCACACTCTGTTTACTGTAGGTTATGAAGACTTGTGCCACATCTTAACCAATCAGATACAAAACTAGTTGGAACCATTTAACCCTTTCATCCCATGAGTGACCAAGACAGAATTTCTCCTTACAATATCAGTACAGTATCAACAAGACAAGTGATAAGAATAATGAAAAATATCAATTTGGGGAAAATAAGTTGATCCAATACCAAGTTCTCTGAACTAGCATTATAAGAATTGTATGGCAGACAGTAAGGAGAATTACTAATATGATCTGGGAATGAAAGGGTTAAGACTTGTGACTCCTATTTCCTGTATTTTTTAGGCAGTTTGATGATTTTTATTTTGAATTCATTCTGTTGCTGGATAATTGCTTCTTTATATGTAGGTTTTGTTTTTTTTGACAGTCTATCAACAAGTGTTCCAAAGCTTTGTATGGAAATTGAATCGCACATGTTTTTGTACCTTTTAGCAAGCTTGAATGACTTGATGGCCAGAAAGCGCTGTACCGCTGTCTGACTGACTGTCCAAACTGGCATGGCGGTAAATGCCCCACCAATTGTCAGTGTCCAAAAAGTGTTGCGAACCTTGGGATCTGGGTTGAAGCTGATGGATAGAACCACACATCATATGAACATCAGGTACAATTCTTATTTATCAACTTGAAGTAAAATTTTTCATGTTGGTATAGCCCTCCTCTCAATACAACATGATGTAAGTTTCCAAATTTTAGAGGACCAGAGATATTGTTTACAATTTGCTATATAATGATGGTCAAGTATTGTTAATGGGTACTGGTGGATAAAAATAATGTTGACAGGGAGATATATGATATCCTGGCATATGTCCACAGTCAAGAATAGATTGTTGTTAATGTTACTATGATACACATTGACCACTATTACAACTTAAAAAAAAAAGGCAAATATCTAGCCATTCTGACTGAAAAAGATTAGTTAGTTGAGGATTTGTTATATAGCTTTAAGATTTTGCTTTGACACGAATCAAGAATGATATGTTTAATTTTAAGCACTGGGAAATATTGTCAACTGTGAAGGTGCACGTCTGCTGTCTTTTGTGACGACATTGCCAAAAGTTACAATCTTTGTAAGCCTGCTCCACGCAATAGTTCCCTCAGTGGGGTTAAAGTGGAGTTTTTTCAGAAGGCATAGAACACAGGATGAGCTTCATCTGGCCCAAAGGCCCTGTTAGCGATATAATAGATATGATTGTCTTACTTACTCAAAGAAGTTAAGACGGTCAAAATCTTTGTTGATTTTCCATACTTGATTAAAACCTCCAACCTCATTGCTTCCCACTATCACCACAGTGATAAGACCTCCAACCATAATCATGGACTGAAAGACATCAGTCCAAATCACAGCCTTGAGGCCTCCCTGAAACCAGAATATTTAAGAACTCAACAATGGTGAATAGTTGGTTCAGGTATGTGTCAAGGTGTGTTTATGGAGATATAAAGAAAAGTTAAAGTTAAGAGGGAGCAATTCAGGCTTCTTGAATGCGTTTGAAAATTCCAAAGTATTTCATGTTTTAATGAGCACAAAGCTGCTGCATGAATCATGAACTGTTGGAAGACATTTTTAATACAGCAATTTAATTGATTTATTAATAGAAATTCTGTCTGCTATGCTTCAATTGATGCACATCAGGATGCGCAAAAGAATTGTGAAGCACTCTCATGCAACTGAATTTGATCACACAAATTAACTAGCTATCAACAGCTGTTGTCATGTGTTTGTATTGGTGAGGGGAGTGTACTCTTGGACCCGTAAGAGTAACCAGCATCTAATTTCTCTTTACAATGTTTCCCTGAATTACACATTAAGGTCATAAGAATAAAGGAAATGATCATCAACCTAAAAGCTCTAGATTCTTAAACAAATTCTCCTTAGGAAATGTATAGAGAACAGTATGGAGAATATGCATACTGATGGTAAGCTGTAAAGAGTTGAAAAGTACAGTTTTTGGTTTTGATAACCTTATATAAATCATCTTCACGTGATTTGGGTTACTTACCAGGCTGGTATAGAATGTGCACACAATTCCAGTCGTGAGAATGGATGCAGAGAGTGGAATTCCAGCAACTGAGAATAAAAAATCAAATTTAAATTTCTTAAGTCATTAGTGATAAAAAAAAAAAAATAGAATGGTGGCTTTCGTGGTGAAAGGTTCTGTTCAATTGTGGTCCCTAAAACAAATGATTCAGTTTGAGCCTTCAGCACATTCCAAGATCCGATAGGTGATTCTCCAATGAAAGTAAGTGAGATGAATACATAGTTATTAGATTTCGGTGTGATATCCAGGTCACACCCAGTGGCTGATGCGTGTATGAATTCTCATCACCTGTTTTGCTGGATATTACAATAATATTAATATGATATGTTACATGTTATTCAGCTCTGAGAGTTTACAGTTGTCTTATATCTTACCAGCCTCCAATGCAAGGGAAGGTGCATACAGAACAACAAACAAATATAGGGTCTGCAAAATAAAACAGTTGGCACATTGTATGAAGAATTGTGTGATAGGATAACCTTATGCTTGCTTTTTGATAAATATATTTTCCAAGTTCACATTCTTTATTATAAACTATGGGGGTGTCACAGATGATTGAGCCTAAAATTCATACGTGATGCGTGAATTTCACAAAAACGCAAGTTAAGTTGAGATTTGAAGTTTTCCCTTTTGAATTCGTGGTTCGTGAAATACTGTTTAAAGAACACGTTTATTTTTCTAAGATTCATGCATGAAACGGAATAAGCCCCTCCCCCTGCCCCAATGATACAGTTCATTTCAGGATCTATCAGTAAAAACGAAATAATTAAGTATTACATCATGCTGTCAACCTTCAGATGTATTTGTTTAAGCAACTTTCGAATAACAAAATGACCTGGAGATAAAAGTTTTTTTTAAATTTAATTTTTATGTCTTGTAAGATATAAATATATTTCTATATTTTCCAATCATAGCGTCCAATATTGTTTCTCAGAGAAATTATTCCATAGAAATCGTCATTTTTTTGCTAAAACTAAGAGGAAGCAGTCGTTATTAAATTTTTATTCGTATGCAGTAGTTTTGTTTTCATGTACAGGAAATAATATCCTCTGTAAAATTCGAATGATAAGATTTTAATCCAAATTGTTTACTTTTGGCCTACAAAAACATACAATATTTTTCTCGTTATCTATATCAAAGTTATTTATGAGGAAGTGATATATTGTCACTTACGTATTCCAGAATGAAAAACAAGCAACCAACCATTCGAACTCCTACAGAGAAGCGCCGTTCCAAATACTAAAAGAAAAAGGTACTTGTTAGAACAGACCGAAAGAAGGCCTTTTAGTCACCAAAGCTGAAGCAGACAACAGAAAACATTACGTTTGTTTTCGCTTGAACGCCTCTTTCGCCCTCCTTTAAGCTCGGTGGATGAGAAAAAAAAGGGAACGAGATAAACACGTGACAATATGCGCCCAGAAATCACAAACACACAGACCCGGTTTTCGAAAGTGAAGTTCCAGACGGATGGCTGGAGAGGGGGGGGGGGTTTGAAGCTGAGTGTGCTAGGTCTAAATTTACCGCTTCAAGTCCTGCAGAGTCACGCTCGACTGAACACTTGTCCTTCTTCGTGATTTGCTTGTATTTCAACATCCCTGAACAGCTTTGATTTTTCTTGGTACATCATTGCATTTTGATTAAGTTTTGTTGTTTTGTTTATTTGTATTTTTTAAACCTGAATAATTTCTTGTTATATGCCTTCAACTCATCGAATAACAAATGCCTTTGAGGTTTTTCGTATTTAGGGAAGTTGTGCAATCTTTGGTCCTAAAAGTAACCTCCATTAATTATTGTATATGTAATTACTGACATTTGCCCTCTCCCTGGTGCTTTCCAAATCGAAGGCGGGAAAACAAAGAAACAAAGTTTTCGCGTGACGAGCTCAACAAGAGTTATCGGGTTCTGCCACCTGTGGCCGATTCTAATTTATTGATTGAACGGAAAAACTACAATTGTAACCCGTTCCAAGATGTAATTGGATGGATTTTCCACGAGATTTGTACTTAAATTTAGTAATGGCGGAGAGAGATAAGACAATTTATCTGAAGTAAGTACAGTTAGGTCGTGTATCGGCACATTCGATCTGCCTCCCGTTGTCGTGGACATCCTGGTTTCGGGCTCCCCCCGGCTTAGCCGGCCGCCCTCGAGGATAAACAAAAGAACATCGCAAGTTTTAAGCTCAATTGTAAGCAAAAGAGGTCGTTAATAAATACACAAAGGCGAATAATGGGCGCAAATTTTGGACCAAAGGCTTCTCTGGATTATGGAATGAAAATAATATTTGGGTTATGCAACTGAATCGGTGGAAAGCGAAATCCTACCTCATTAGCGCATGTTATCTTCACACGTCTGAACATGGGTACAAATATGATGGCCATGGTAGCACAGATGATGGGGTAGGATAGAATCAGCACATAATACTGAGCTCCGTAGGTGTAAATCTCCGATGGAACTCCAAGCAAAGTGATAGCTGAGAGGTAGGAAACTAGAAGAGAAATTGCCACAGGTAAAGCACCCATTTTACGGTTCGCTAGAAGATATTCAGCTGTTGTTTTTTGCCTTCCGCCCGGTCCGCAGCCATACCAAATCCCGATCAGCGCCGAGATAAGCAACATGATAGAGAAAACAACATAGTCGACAACGCTAAACTTATCGTTTCCTTCAGCCATGGCTCTGATTCTAGCTGCAAATGGTTAGCGGTGTAAGCTTGCTGCAATTATAGTACAGTACCGAGCGATTGTTCAGAGGAACCAACGGTCGACCGTATTTCTACCCAACCAGGATCAATATGCTAATATGGGTCACAAACACAATGAAAATCACTTCAGTGCAGTGCGTTGAATTTGCATGAAATACTAATGCCAAGAGGCGATATGCGAATGAAACGCGGCCGGCGACCGGAAACTACTACCGTATTCATTGGCGTTAAGTATGTAATCCTGCTTAAATCATTGGTTGTTTTGAAAAAGATAAGATATCGGTTGATATTTGAGCTCGCTAAAATCTCGTCAAATCACGCGATGTCACGTGAACTTGAATTAAAAACTATAGCTGGACATGTGATCACTTATGTTTGTCTAGACCATGTTAAGTTTCATTTGTAACATTGGACGAGATTATGAAACATTTACATACTTCATCGCGTTGATAAAGCGCTTATGAATCATCAATTGCCTGCGGGCTGGGTTTGGTGTGTATTTGTTGTTATCAGTTGACCGCACGACAGTGAAGGGTGGGAAAGTCACTGCTAAGACAGCTTACTCCGTCCACGTTATGGCCTCAAAATAAAGGAGGTTATTCAAAATAGACAGTTATGACAAAGTGATTATCCATGTGATCTCTTGACACCTTTTGAAATAAACTCATTTTCGTTGTTGTTTTAAATGTAGTCCAACTGCTTTCGGTAGGCTATTTCAAAGAACCCCCGTGTTTCATATTCACGAAGTTGATCCTCGTGACTTCTGGCCAACTGCTAAAAATAACTGCGTGGTGCTCTTTGGAAACCAAAAAAAAAAACACGGAAAAACAATCAATCAGCACTTGAAATAGAAACTTGAGTTTGATAATTTGTGGTCACACACTCCTTGCTTTTATTTTTCATTAGAAAGCATTCGAGTGCGACACATGCTTTTCGTACAAATTACAGAGAACGTGCTAAGGAAGGGTTGTAAAAACTGCTCGAGATTGACAAGTCAACCTCACATCATAAACTTGTGGGTGGTTGCTATTTACGAAAAGGAGTAGGCATAAGCCTAATTTCGTTCATGCACGTCAGTCTGGATTGCTGGTTTCGGGTTCAATCATGAGGGTGCCTTACTTTATGCAAGAATTAACCCCAGATATGCAAAAAGGAAGGAAAGATTGTTCGAGTATGACGCGAATACGTGTGGAAAATCACACTGCATCTTTAAACTCACGAACATCAATTCTGATGTGCTTCACTCTCCACACGAAGTGGTGGGGGAGCTTGGAAGAGGCCACAATTATTGGAATGTGTTTCAAGCGGTTTTCGAATGAAAGTCCACAGGCGGAGATAACCGTAAAGATGAGGTTTTTCGATTGGAATTTGGAAGCTCTAAAATATGTAACAAGAGCGAGCTTTGGCGATTTCAAATGTCTTAGTTAATTGGCCAATCTGAGAGTTTACGTCATTGGCTGGGAAAAGGGCGAATAGGCTGTTCTATGCCCGTTAGGAAAGGTCTACGAAAACCCGGCTGACGTCAAATGATCACCTGATCAGTTTTCCTACACCTTTTTTGCCTGGAGATTTTTTTCTTGGTAATGTCGATGGAAAGTGTGACCAAGCTTTCCTTGAAAAGGTCTCTCTCCGAAACATTTCATGAAGCCGGTGTGATTCTATACATGTCAAAAAGCATTTTTCCAAGGTAAGTTAACGGGCAATGAAAACAAACTATTGTCTCCGCGGCTTAAATGTTTCTTTTGCGATTGTTGCCTTATTTACTGGCACCACAATAAGATATACCAATAGTATCACAGAATTGTGTCAATCAAACTTCACCTGTTTTTTATTCGTTTAGACGTTTACCTGTTTACAGTTTAATTAGCTAAGTCCTTTCTAGTCTTAATCATTTGGATGTGGTGCTTGCATGCAAACGTGAAGGGATGACAAAGTTAAATTAAGGTAGCTTCCAACCTCTTTGCCATGGAGCAGCGGTATTTACCGGCGAATTCTCATTTTCTCATCCCAGGGACGGCAGAAAATAGCAAGTCACCGAGAAATGGTGGATTAGTGGCTCAGTTAGAGAACGATTGGGATGTGTGGCTGCCTATGCTACCTCAATTGGACGAATTTCCATGGACACTACAAGACATTTCAAAAGTTCTTCGCCTCGGTAGAACACGGGAACATTTTCGCGCCATTTCTCCACAAGCCGTGGAACGCGTGTCGTTTCTATTACAGCGACCTCTGCTGCGAATCGTGCGGGAAGCGAAACGACTTTCCGTGCGGTATTCGAAATGTTCTAAGCACGAGATCCAAACTAGTATTCGCTTGGTTCTTTCACTGTCCATGGCTAGGACGTGTGTGACACTTGCGTCCAAAGCATTTTCTCTGTATTCTATGTCCAGCGATAGATTTCGCCGGTCTAAAAGAACCCGCTGCGGTTTGATTCTTCCAGTGGGTAAGATGTTTCGCTGGCTGGTCAACATGAAAGTAGCCGCTCGTATCTATGACGCGGCAGCAATTTACCTGAGCGCTACGTTAGAATACATCGCTGAAGAGCTTGTCTATAGAGCTGTCAACAATCTGGGTAATCTTTGTTATCTGCTCATTAATCATGCTAATACACAGTAGAAATGATAATTATGTTTACCCATGCTGCTTTTGATGGTAAACTTTGACCACGTCCGCCTTGACCGTTTGTGTTTGTAAATTTAAATTTTAATGCCATCACGGCCACTGTACAGTCGTGAACAAAACGAACAGAACAGAACTACTCCCAGGGAGCACGGGTTTGAAAACCAATAACTACAATATCAGTCAGAATCTCCAAAGTAGCATTTTTTTATCGTTAAAAATGCGAAAATTATCTCGAGAAGCGCTTCACCTACTCCATCTCTTGGAGATAATTCTGCCTGGCTCCCAGTGGGGTCTATTTCTGATAATGTAATGCTTTACTAGGGAAAAAAATCCATTTTAGGTGCGATGTGTGTTAAAAAGCGAAAAGCTCGATTTTGTCGCAAATCTCACCCGAGATTATTTCTTCATCTATGAGTCATGTATATTCTCGTGTGGACAGCACACACGATCAGATTTCTAACCACATGCGTTACAAAATCCTCAACCTCTTTTTAAGACTGCTTTTTCTTCGTAGTGCAGTTGTTCAATGGAGCGTAGCTGATATACAGCTTGTCGTGCATGGAAACATGTTTTATGCGTCTACTAAAAAAGGGGAGAAGGTTTAGTCGAAAGAGAAATAAAACGTCATTGATATATTTTTCAAATGATAGAATCTTTTATAGATCTAAAGGTTTTGTTTAAGAATACTGGGTTATTTACACTTAATTAAGGTACAAAACAGAAAAGATACCATGGCAGTTTATTCCAAAGCGGCTATGTATAAATTTTGTGGTCAACCCCCAAGCTAGCTCTTATTAACTTAGACCTGTTCCATTGATTTCGGTTTCTTTTAGGGAAACAGTTAATCTGATTAGCAAGAGAGCTTAGATATTTCTCTCTTTTGTTACCCTTGAGCAAAAAGGAATGTGATGTATGATTTACTGAGGTTGGACTGAAAATTTGTATTGACTTTCTGCCGGTAATAATGAAGCGTTCAAATCATGAATAATCTTTATCTACCTTGACGGACTGCAAAGATTACGGGCTTACAAAGATTATTCAGTGAAAGTCTGGCTTCAATATTATTTGTGCAGACTGCTCAACGAATTTTACACAAGGGGTGTGCATAGATTTACGTATAAATGATCCTTTAATATTCTTTCAAAGAACCTGTTATTGTAGGATGAAATGGAAGCACAAAGACTGCACTTGAAAAAACGTTCATATTATAGGCCATGAATTAAGAATTAGGGATTGTAACTTATTCTAATAATTGATCACTATTGTTTCAGAGGGTATTGACCAAGTGACTCCCGAAGTACTCGAGGAGTGGGTCAATACTGATGGTGATTTATGGGGAATGTTCCAGCCATATTATCATCTGCTCTCCGGTAGAACAGCATTTGGTATCACCGACTCTATCGAGATGTACGCTGCGCCAAAGAAAGGTACTTGCTTATGCTTACTGTATTTATTGCAGGAGCTAGCATTATCAGTTTAATTTTTTCCTGCCGTAAGCACAAACCCTTGTGACTTTTTCAGATTTCCGTCAGAGGAGTTTGCTACCGTTAAACTTTCATGGGTGTTAATTTTTTTGTCTCAGCTCTAAGCAGCCCGAAAACAGGTTCACCAAGGCGGAGGGGATTGGACAAATGCATGACGACTGCCTGTGTCACATCAGTGGCTGAATTGACTGAGCTGGTACACCAGGCTCGACAGCGTTTCTCAGATGCGTACCAAAGCAAAGATAACAAATTTATGTCACAAGTGGACTGGGCAACCAATGCACTGCACACTTTGTCTTATTTCATGAAGTGCTCCCATCAAATTGATGAGGACATTTCGGACATTTTGGCAGCTACGAGACGGTAGGTCTATCCCAGAGTTTAACTGACTGAATGACTGATATCTGGCAATGAGTTACGTGCTGATCGACCAGCGAATGAATGGTCGATTGACTGTCTGATGGAACGCCAAATCGACTGATTGACGTATTCGCCAGCTGACTGACGGACAGACTGCATGATTGACCTGTTGACGTCCTAACTGGCTAACGGACTGACTGGCTGACCACCTGCAGACTTAGTGATTGATTGAGTGACTTGCTGACTGATTGCTGACTGACTGACTGACTGACGAGCTGAGTTACCAGCTGACTTATAGACTGATTAACGGAATGACTGACAGACTCACTGACTTCCACATGTACGAGTACTTGGTCGATCAGACAGGCAAACAGACAGAGAGCATAATTAAAGACTGGCTTACTGACCTCTAAATTACCAACTGCTAAACAGGTGTATCTTCTGTTTGCAGTGCACATTCCCATCTTCCTCCGCTGGTAGAGTGGCTGAGAGTAGCGAGCCTGCACGTCGAACACCGTGGGAGCAGTATCGTCGATGACGATGACGTCAGACAGGCAGCCAGATTGCTACTGCCCTTTAACGACTGTGAGCCTCGAGCTTTGTGGTACATTCCCTCTTCTTAATTTTTTTCCTTCTTTTACCAATTTCAAAGAAATTTTAGCATCAAGAAAATGATCGCGATTTACACGATTTTGGTCAAAGGAATTAAGTAAAGGGGAAAGTTAAAAGCTAGGAACGACTCCATTTTAGGTGACTCCAAATTTTGTTCATGTCTTGACTTTACAATGAATAAATTTTAAGGCAAACATAGAAAAATATGATAAAAACGCTGAATATATGATGAAACTAAGATGTAATTAAGTTAATAATTAATTTTTTAACTCAAAAATTGGTCATCTTCTAATTTAATGATAGATGTATCATGTATTTTGCTTTGTACTGCTACTTTTGGGCCAAACGATACACGCTTAGTACTATTTCTCTAATTGAGGACAACGTCCAGGCTTGTAATATTTGTAAAGCATTTTAAAACATTCCCATCTCACCGGCTATTTAATTTTATTTCATGCTCCACCTCTTCACTTATATTCACAATTAAGTAACCATTTGGCTGTCTAATAGGAAGTTTTATCTGATCATATTTGATTGTTAAGCCCCACAGATTCGTTGACCGTCTCTAGTTCCCTGTCCCCCACAACCGCAGCTGTTAGCTTTCAGCAAGACCTGGGCTTGCGCCTGCTCTTAAGCGGAAAAGTCGACGTAATACCGCAGGCTCTTGTAATGTTAGGACCTGAGAAAGCCAACACTATCAATTTACAGGTACGTCCCACGGGCGAATAATTATTCTTTCTTATTTCTTCAACTATAAGCTCGCATATGACATGCGTCTTTAAAATCGCAAGGGTCAGCTGTGTTTATATTCCGTGTTAGGCGAAAGCAAAAGAGGAATGTCACATCACATCCTTAATCTTTGAATAGCGTAACGTTCCTGACAAATTCGAAAGCAATCCGGAATTTCTCTAGTTTTGCTTTCCTACGCCCCATGATTGGTCGAAACCTGCAACACCAGCTCAGCCAATCAGAGGCAAAGCTTAAACCGATTGCGACCTGATTGCTAACAGTTTCACGCGTGGTTTCACTTCGAGTTTTTATGGGTTTCTTTTTTAAGACATCATCCCTTGCGCTTGCCTCTATAGTTGGTTGTGAGCACTTTGGGTCTGGCTTCACAACACTCAACTTATTACTGAACGATTCAATGGAACCACGATGCTTTGTAACTGTGCAATTTTGATCTCACTAGGGAATGACGCCGCTGATGTACGCATGCGCTTACGGTAACGAGGCTCTTGTCAAGAGGCTGATAGAGTGCCACGCGTTACTAGACACCCAGGTGGGACTTGCTGAATATTTGCTTAAGATCTGTTTCTTCTTTTCGATGGCTTATGAAACAAGACGCTTTTTTCATGGTGTTGAAATTGAATAGAAGACAGTCTTCGAGGGATTGGACCATTGAAATTCAAAGTGTCCTGTGCCAGACATGTCCCAGTTAAGTTACGGTTTTGTGTGAAGTAGTCATTAAAATAATATTTTTAAGAATAACTGTGGCAACTCTCAAGCGCTATTGGTCGATAAACATGATCATGAGCCCTCTGCACCCTTAAATCATTATGCATATTCTCCATATTTTTCTCTAGACATCTTCTAAGATACTGTTACGGAGAACTGGTTTAACAATCAAGAACTTCTTTAGTTTATCATTTCCTTTATTCTCATGACCTTAATGTGTTATTTTAGGGGTGATATTGTAAGGAGAAATTATTCAGGGGTTGAAGGGTTAAGGGTCAAGGTTACAGACAACGTAAATGAAGTGATATCACGCCACAAGAGGACGGGCTAAAAATTTCGGCGTTTTGTAAGCAACATGTATGAATCTAAAATCTATATTTTTCCCCTTTCTAAGGTTCCAAACAACAAACAAATCTATCCACTCGTAAACTTGGAGCTCATCTCCTGGACCGCACTGTCTTTTGCGGCCATGAAAGGTCACGTGAACGTGTGTCAGGTGAGATGTACATGTCATGGAAGGAGAAATATCACTAATGTCGTAAAAATGCGAGGAGGTGAAGGGAGTTAGGGAGGAAGGGCTTTGGGCTTTGGGCTTTAACCCCTCCCCTCCCTTTTCCCCCCTCCCTCTCCCCCCCTCTCCCATCAGGAGCCTTGCAAGTTTTACCGCAGCCAAGGAATAATGAGGGTTTACATGTACAATTAAATGTTATTCAAAGAAAATAAAGCCCCTTGGAAGCTAAGCCTATGGCTGGGCGAAATCTCTTAAAACTTATATCACTGAAATCTTGATACACTTTCCCGAAATATCTTTGACAGCCGAACTAAATGTCGCATTATTAAAACATAGTTTTGCCTCTTATCATTTCTGCAACTTACCTAAATGTATCAAATCTGTCCACAATGTTGGTCCCAGAAAGAAAGATGAGGTTACATTCGAATTCCTCTCCCTCTTTTACCTCGCATTGTTTTTTTTTTTTTAGTTTTCTCGCTCCCAGATCAGTTTTGGCAGTTGATAAAGTCTGTTGGTCCTTTTTGTGTGCCCATGCGCATACGGCCTTAGCCAGAAAGTGCCATTGATTTCTGTCGGTTGCCGGTCGGTCAAGCTGCCCCCATGTCTAGCCTCTGTCATTTTTTTCCCTTTCTACGGTTCTCCTCCAAGGCCGGGTTGTTCGAAAGAGGGTTAACATTAATCGAGGATTAACAGTGAACCTTGGCTCTAATTTTTAGAAGTTAGCGCGTTTAAGAGCTACGGGTTTGTTGGGTTTTATCTCAATATGACTTGATATTAACAGGAAAAAATAAAAAATAAAAATCTCCTATTTGCAAAGCTATTAAACCCAATTGAAAATTTACACTAATCCCGTGTTAGGTCAATCGTGTTTTTGAGCAACCCGGCCCAAGTTTTCTTTGGGCTGGACTCTCAAGTCTGTCACCCACTTTTGTATTCCACCTCTTAAATCAAGACAAAACATTATCCCTTAATCATCAACAGCTATTGTTAGACGCTGGAGCAAATCCAAACGGAGCTATGAATCATGGGAAAGAAAACCAAGTGGAGACTCCATTACAGTTGGCTGCCGCAACAGGTAACGTATCTGACGTCATGTCACGTGCGTATTGATCTCTGACGTATTCCAAATAGTTCTTGTATGATAATCCGCGGGTGAGTGTGTCTGCGTCTGATTGATGTAACTGCCTGAAATCCTGCCAATACTTGTTCCTCTCCGATCTATTTTTTTTTCGTTCGTAACACTTTACACGTAACATCAGTATGCATATCCTCCACATTGTTTTCATACATACTTTAAGGTGCTGACAAGGAGAATTTCTTGAACAGTCAAGAGCTTCTTTAGTCGGTGATCAGTTCCTTTATTCTTGTGACGTTAATGTGTGATTTTGGATGATATTATAAGGAGAAATTAGATGCTAATCACTCTTAGAGGTCAATGAGTTAATTTTCTAAGGCATAGAAAATTGTTATTTTAATTCCTGATTGAATCTATGGCTTTGATTAACTTATCAATTTTTAGAGACGACCCTTCACTAGAGAATGGTGGTTGATAATTGAACTACACAGAAAATATAAGCCAGAAAGCAATAAAGCCCTCTTAGAAGTAAAGTAAAGACCGTCGCAAGTGGACTGCGAGCTACCTAAGAAATTGCAGAAAAGAAGCTTGAAAATATGCAGGTTTCAAATTGTTGTTTTCGAGTTTTGAATTTTTTCAGGCTTCTTTTTTGAAATTGTTGAAAATTACAGTCTCCCTGCGAGAATCATTTCTTAGCTTGACTTTCACCCGCAGGTTAAATGAAATTTATTTCATTTTTAAAATAATGGGATTAGCTCTCTTTATTTGGTAATCTTACAAAGTTTGATATAACCACTTCATCCCTAAGCAGGATAAATATAATTTCCAGCTGGAAGAATTTCAGACGCTTGCAAGCTTAGGGTAGAGCAATATTGTAAGTTGTGAGGATATTGACGTAAAACTTTCAGTATATACGAATAATACCAATTTCAGGTGCAATTATGGAGGTTTATTCATTTGTTCGTGTTGTTGTTTGGAGCATTGCTTTGGTTTTCTTTAATCACCCGAGTTTAATAGTAGCTTCATCCGCCCCAGGTAATTACGAAGTCGTCTCCATGCTCCTGAGGAAAGCTGCAGATCCCTATGTCAGCGTTAACACGTGTTCTTTTAGCCCAGGATTGCGGGGGTTTGGAAACGCGTATGCTGCTGCGGCTGCGCATGGGCTCAAAAACATCTTGCGGAAACTACTGGCGGAGCCTGGTCCACGACGGGAAAACGACATGTTGTCACTTACAGAAATTCTTACCGAGGGTTAGTTTATAAACGATTTTATTTGAAGCTTAAAGCGCCGAAGTAGGAATAATTTCTTTTGTGGACGCAATATATAAAAAGAGGCTAAACTACTACCTCGAGTTCGAGCCAAACTGGTAAGGCTCTTGGGAAAATTGCGCGAAAATATTAATCTTTGTCTTTTACATTGTGTTACTATGATGATGTTCTGAACTCTGTTTATCTCTTTCTTTTTTTTTTTTTTTGCCTCGACCCAGGTTCTCTCTTGGATGAAGAAAACGAATTAAAATTAACAAAGAAAAAAAGCATGGCTCTTGAGGTATATGTCCTCTCGAAATGTTGACTTAACAAGCTGGGTTTTTACCTTTTTGTATGAGTGAAGCCTATTGAATTAAAATAAAAACTGATTCAAGGTAATGAGGACAATGATTGATGAACTTTGAAAAAAACAAGAAAGGTAGATGACGTTCAGAGTAAGATGGTACCACAGGATTCCAGTGAGATGTCATAATTTGAACTCCTCAACCCGTAAAACTCTAACATCAATATTCATATTCTCTTCACTGTTCTCTTTACGTTTCCTGTGGTGCTGGATAAGGATCATTTTACTGATAACCAGGAGCTTCTTGCATTGGTGATCAATTCTTTAATCCTCATGACCTTTATGTTTGATTGAAGGATGATACTGGTGCTGGATAAGGATCATTTTACTGATAACCAAGAGCTTCTTGCATTGGTGATCAATTCTTTAATCCTCATGACCTTTATGTTTGATTGAAGGATGATACTGGTGCTGGATAAGGATCATTTTACTGATAACCAAGAGCTTCTTGCATTGGTGATCAATTCTTTAATCCTCATGACCTTTATGTTTGATTGAAGGATGATACTGGTGCTGGATAAGGATCATTTTACTGATAACCAAGAGCTTCTTGCATTGGTGATCAATTCTTTAATCCTCATGACCTTTATGTTTGATTGAAGGATGATACTGGTGCTGGATAAGGATCATTTTACTGATAACCAAGAGCTTCTTGCATTGGTGATCAATTCTTTAATCCTCATGACCTTTATGTTTGATTGAAGGGTGATATTGTAAGAAGAAATTAGAAGCTAGTCACTCTTAGGGGATTAAAAGGGTTAAATTCTTAACTCTTCTTTACATATCTCATTGTTCAACTTCGCATGTTTCGCTCTTTTAAGGAGGCTCTGTACCACAGCTGTGAGCATGGATTCCTTGAAATCGCAATGGAGTTAAGAAGTTTGGGTAAGAATGAATGATGCATTACCTCTAAGAGTGTATTTCGTCTGAGCATCATAAAAGCAAAGAAAACAAGCAAAAAAATTTATCTCAAAGGCCAAGGAGGTCGTGTAATACAAAGTTAAGATAATGAAAATATGAATTTAGGAGTGGACATTCCACGAGGTGGCTCTTCTTGTCCACTGTTTCCAGGTCAAGTTGATTTTGGGAATGTTAAAATTTTTTGGAGGGTGGGAAACCGGAGGACCTGGAGAAAAAATCCACAGGGTGAGGACGAGAACCGACAACAAACTCAACTCACATGTGACGCTAGTTCCAGGCCACAGCCTTGGGAGGTGAGCTCTCTCACCACTGAACCATTCCCGCTCCCCTATCTCAAACGCACAAAATGCGATTGGCTAAGTCTAAACCGATTTTAGATTGTATCTGATTGGTTATAAGGAAGGCGCGAGTTTACAGACCAATCACAGAGCGTAGAATTGCAAAATCTGTGCAATGCTTAATCACTTTGGAGAGCCAATAGACAACCGCGCACCTGTTGCATACAGACTACAAAGTCACTACACACACATATATATATATATATCTATATATCGCAAAATCCACCTACTTTCTCCATTTGTCTTGCTCAGGTGTGCCATGGAACATCCATTGTTGGAGTCAAACTGTAGGTCACGCGTACAAACGAGGACAAAAGGCATTCCTCAAATGTTTGTTGCGTGACTTTCAATCAATGCCGACTAGTGAGTACACAAGTGACTTCTGTGAGGACGGACTTGTCATCCTGTTCAATATTTTCAAGGAATGTGAGGTAACATAAACATTCAATCAGTGATCGGGAGAACTTAGTGCCTTGTGGAAAAAAAAATAGGTATATTGTTATGCGTCTTGAAGAAAATAGACAGTCCTTACGTTCTGGTAGTGTTTGTTATGGTTACGACTTCAAAGGTAGACGTAACACGCGGTTTTAATTGGTTTTACTGTGATAAATTTAGGACCTTGCTCTGTCGAAGGAGCTTGCATCGGTGCTGTCGTGTTGTTTTGGCCGTCAACCTCTAAAGAAGATCGAGATACTTCCCATAACACAGACGTCAATCAGAATCGGTGAGCAACACATTCACTTAGATGGTCTTTAGAGCACGTTTTTGCTGGCGACCAGGCCCTCGTTATTTGTTCTTTGGCCTGAGTGTTTCTTCGACCGCGGGAAATTATGAAGCCTTGAGTAACACGAGTCAGTGAGGGGTCTGGCACTGTTAGTGGAAGACTCCCCGCAAACTCTCCCCGACTCTTCTCAAATCTACCCGTGGACGGAGAAACGCGTGTCCCGTAGCCCCAATAATGAGGGTCTGTCGCATGCTAAGCGCGTTTAGATTCAGTCTCCTTGAAACAAAACCGTGTCCGATCAGATCAGAGGGAATTGTGAAAAGACTCAGTGAGAACTCAAGACAATGCAATCCTGGATTTATTTCATCACTCATGGGAGACTTGCTCTGTAAGCACCTCAGCTTTATAATTCGTTTAGTTACGGAAGAATTCTGATATACTGGAAAAAAAACGATGTCATTCAATGATTGACACCGGCAGACTGGGAAAAAAAATTCCGAGTGCCTCTAATAGTGCTTCCAAGGGCTTCTGAGGGCTTCCAATAAGAAGCTACGGCCGTTCGGTCTTTGGACGCTCTACCATTATAGGAGTCATATGAGACTCGTGGTAGGCAAGGCCGTTTAACTAAGTTTGAATTGATACAGGTTTGTTTACTTGATATGTTTTACATTTCTCTGACAGGCCCAGATTACATTAACAGCCCTGAGATGTCTGACATCACGTTTGTTGTTGAAGGGCGACCGTTTTACGCTCATAAAATCATCCTGGCCACCGCCTCAAAGAAGTTTAAGGTCTGTTATACGAGTGCGCTTTTGTCACAGTTTTAGTGTATTATCCAACTGAGAGAAGACAAGAATATTAAAATTAACTAGCTAGAGGGTTTTGACTTGAAATAGCGTCAAATTCTCCTGGGAGTGGGGGGTGCGGCAAGGCAAGCAGTCTCCACCTACCCCTCCCTCTCTCCTACCCCAACCCCTTTTCGCTCTCTTTCTTTTCGCTTTCCTCTTCGCCCCCTCCTCAACCAGAGAACCTGTTCAAAAACTGCGCTTACCTCATTTACCAGGAAATTCAAAGCAGTTATAGGAGGTAAAATTATGAATCCGATCCTGGGAGTTGAAGGGTTAAGATATAATTGAGATATATCTACAAGATAGTTAAGATATATCGGCATTTACGTGTCTTTTGTTTCTCTAACTGGATTGTCTTCCACTTTAAAGGCGATGCTGTCAAACAAGGCTATCGAGCCGAACGATGGGAGCACCCCCTGTATTGAAATAACTGACATAAAATATGAAATATTTATGGTAAGGATTATGATTGAAGTAACATTTGCGTTTATGGACGCTGCTTGCTCTACACGATAGTCATCACAGATTTTATGTCGCCGTCGTTTTAAGGGTAGAAAGCGCTATCCGCTGGACGAGTGTTTATCCATTGGATATAGCACAGTGCGTCTTGTTAACACTTATTCTACGGGTAAAGACTCATCCAGTGAGTGGATAGCGTTATCCGCCCTGTAAACATTCAGGCCCACATCAGTGTACTATTGTATGGATCGGGGTGGTTATTCTTTCGTGTGCTGTGGGAAGACACTAAGCTCTCCATCCTCTCACGACCAGCCAAAGTGAACGGCGATCCTTCGAAGGGAAACTTGACGACATTATTTTTGGTTGGTTTAGGTTTCTTGTCGTTGTTTCCCTTTTTATTCTGCCCGGGGGAAGAGGAGATAGTATGGCCTACCACATGGAGGAGGCAGCTTTACACCTATTTAATATATATTAATGAGGGGGTGATAATGATAACATCTTTACTTTCTTAGCTTGTGATTCAGTTTTTATACAGCGGAACGGTGGACGATCCTGTGCATCAAAATAAAATTCTGGAGGTTTGTGATTGATTTTTTTTTCGTGCATTTGGGAGATCTGTAGTTTGTTCACTTCTTAACTTGCTTTTCCGTCTTGGTTTCCCACATAGTTGTTACAGGCTTCGCAGTACTTCATGTTGGACTCATTAAAACGTCATTGTGAGCGTCTTGCTGCGAAACACCTTGACTGTGAAAACGTTGTCGACACATACGTTTTCGCAAATGTGAGTAAATCGTTGATCTTCCTTTTATTTTAAGTTTGATTTTTCGTTCATCCATTCATTTCTGCTTACAGTTGCGTCAACCACAACCCGGGAGTCCAAAGGGCGCCATTTCTCAAATTCAGATTTCAACCCACCCCACCAGTATTTGACACTTGAAACGTAGGGCAATTTTTAATTGAGTCTCTAAAGAAATCACACCCCCCTCTCAGTCAATCAGATGCAAATCCAAAATCCGACGCGACTTGGTCATCCGGTTATCCCCGCGCTTCATGAAGTTTGCTTTTGTTTTATACTTTTAGTTCTCATAAATTAATCATATTTTCTTTGCTCTGATTACCCTTTGTTATGACCTTGGCTTTAATTTTGCGACGCCGAATAGAAAAGCACTCGAAGGCAAAATTAAGATTGTGAGGAAACGGGAAGGATTCAAACACCCTATATTGAAGGAAAAATAAAATTTCAAAAGAATTACCGTAAACGTGTGGTAAATATGACCTCTGTGCCTCCCTGACGGAAGGGTCGCGACTTAAAAATTTTAATTTTAATTAGAACTCTCAGGAATTATCATAAATAGGGAACGCTCTATTAATGATATATTGCCGATGGTTTGATGGGACTTCTTGCTGTAACTTTTCAGTTGTGTGAGGCAAAAGAGCTGCTCAGCTATTGCGCAGGTTTCATTTTGAAAAACCTGGCAGCCATGATGGAAGTCAAGAATTTTAGGGACACTTTGTTTAACAACAATAGCAATGAGGTAACTGCGATGTGAAATGAAGGAAGGCTGGAGACTGGTCACTAGCCTGCTTACTGTGTGTTATCGTGTGTGTTACAATCACATATTGTTTTATTCTAGTATTAGGACGGATGAGCGTGTAGACTGTTTTCTTTTTAGCCGAGAGGGGATATAGATAATGATTCTCGTTTTGTAACCTTCTTAACATCAATTTGATCTTAACTATGTTGGTCCTTCTTGTGGCTTGGTTTTAAATCTTGCTTTTTCTTCATAGCTTTTACAAGCCCTGAAGTCTTGTTTGATTGAAAGAATCAAAGCTAACAGTACAGCGAAACCACCCGGAAGGTCACCCGTCCAGTTTTGAATTGCTTTTGAAGGTGGGCTGATTGAGTTTGTATACCTGCACACACAGGCTGACCAACACCCGTGTTTTGAAGACGCGCCATTGAAAGAGAACACAGAGGGACCTGGAGACACTCTTATGATAGTGAACATTTTTGCAACGTCATGCTTATTCATGTGCGCGCTAACGAGCGTCATTTGTCCATAGAGGGGGGGTGGAGAGTGAAAAGTTTCAGTGAAAAGAATAATCCGTCATGAAACGAATCTCAAACCACCCAGTGGATCAATACCTAGGAAGAGTGAATGTGCATACACGTATGTATACTGACAATAGAACCCAACTAATACGAACCTGAGAAGGACATTATACTTTATTTAATTTTTTTTTTCAAAAAAAAACTGGCAAAACTATGTGGTGTTGCTTTCTGCCGATTTGGCTGTTGTCAAAACTTTCAGCCTTAAAGAAGTTAAATGATACCAAGTTATGTGTTTCTTTAACATACTTTTTGATACTGGGTTATTGTGGTTACTAGTTTATTGTTGCTACTGCTGAAAATGGCAATCGAATGTCCGCTTTTTTCAGCTACCATGGGCTGAATGCAACATTGAAAGAGCTATGTAGATATATTGCTGGATCATCTTTTGATACAATGATCATATGAACACGTCTGACTACAATTTGGTATCCTCGTTTTTCAGGAGATCGTTCTCTTGTTTCTGAAAATAACAAAGTTAGAGACAGGGTCATAACGGAGGAAAATGATATCAAATATGAAAATCAAGGATTACTTTAACGATTGGTATACTCCGATATAGCCCGATAGCCCGAAGTAGGCCTTCTGAGTTAAGTGACGTGAAGATTGTCAATCTAGGGAAGGCCGACCTCTAGGAGCAAAATATGTTTTCGTAACCAAAACCTCGAATTCTTCTTTGAAGTATTGGCCACTGGTATCCTTTACGACCATCTTCTAGCATGTTTTGATCAGAGTAACTCGGTGTATCATTCAAATTTCAAAATAACTTTTCTTGGATAGAGCAATTATCAAAAAATACAAAAAGCATCCCTCCCCCTTTCATTGTTTTGGCTGCCTTAGCTGAGGCTATAGGCGTTCATCCAAAAAGCTTTGAAAGTGTTACTTGCGTGAGCCTCTGTGATGCAGTTTTTGAAATTTAAACGGCAATGACGCAGACATGCTCTTCATTTTGGAAGGGAAGACAATTTTACTAGCCTCCATTCCATTTCTTCCTGGTGGTGGGTGGGTGGGGGGGGGTAAGGCTACACGGTAGGCTACACGTTTACCTTATTTTGGACCTCATTTCCCTGGCTTAGATACGCCACTTCTTCTTCTTCCCATGTGAATTTGTGACCAGGCAGAAAGCCGCGTAACCAAGCTTTTGTTGGGAATAGCAACTTGGAATCCACTTTCTTACGCCTGTCTGCCTCAGTTTCTTAAGTGAAACAAAGAGAAAACTCTGAGTAAAAAGCAAACTGATGTAGGTTATCCCCTGCAATAGTAAACTAGCGACCAAATCATGAACGTTAGCTCAAAGCTACAATGATTTTATTGTTATTACCGAAGGCAAAACTTGCAATCAATCCAACAATGAATGCTGCACCAAATGACACTCCAGAAATCCAAAAATAAGACAAGCTGTATAGGTCAGCTAACGGAGTGCTGGAAATGGAAAAAAAAGCACAATGGTATTAGTTATTTGAACAGTTTCAGCCACACAAAACCACTTCGGAGAGTCATTTAAAACGAAGTTTCCCATTACAGCGTTTTAAAATCTTCATTATCTTAAAGAAACAGTAAGTTTGAAATAACTGAGCGAAAAGCAAGTGAAGATCATAAATTAACTAAAGAAATCAGGCGCGATCTGGTCTTACCCCGTATGTGGTTTGAAACGGTTTCTAATGGTTCCATTGTCATATTTGGATAGAATCCCCTGTGTGTCGTTTATCAGTGCTTGTTGGTAAAATGAACACCCCTCTACCGAACGTAGGCCTGGGTTGGTATCAGGCGGGTAGAAAACAGAACCAACGAACACCCATGCTGATAACGCAACACCTGTCAGAACTCCGAAGTAGACACCCTGCAAATGGGGGCCAAATCACTGTAAGATTTAGTAGTTAAGTCCCATCACCTACGACCCAAGAATTCCAATATCGCTTGCGTTCTCCTCAAAAGATGTTGTCTCTCGAAGAACAGTTTACTTCAGGAAAATATGCACCCTCGAAAACGCAAGCTACCTCGTCTCTTGAAAAAAATTATGTTGCTACCAACAACGAGTTGCATTTAAAAAAAGTTTGCTCTTAAAGGGAGTTTTTTTTAACCCTTTAAACCCTAAGAGTGACCAGCATTGAATTTTTATTTATATGGATACTGCCGAATCATTCATTAACATCATGAGGATGAGGGAAATGATCCCCAAACTAGGAAGCCCCCGGCTTTCATACTTGAGCGAATTCTCCATGTCAGTACCAATGGAAATGTATAGAAAGGAGTCTAGAGAATGTGGATACTGATTTTAGGATGTAGAGGGTTAAAGGCGCGTTCCCTTCTGAAAATGCCCTCTCCTGAATTAAAACCGAAAGCTCTCAAAGTTTGCTCCAAACAGTTTTCAGAAGTGGTATTTGAATTTCAACTGGGAACAACCGATTCAAGTTTCGGATCATATACACGTTGCCAAGGCTTGGTAACAGTCACCTTTGAGTTCATCCTTGGAACAAACATTCCAAGTGTGACAACTGCAAGCAGTGCTCCACCAAAGATACCAGTGATACTATAAGCAAGCTGAGGAAAATATGAAACAAATGTTTTAACATGATCACTGCTTACTTTACTTGCTAGCTGAGATTGAGAGCTTTTTCGTACCAGGTGAGTGCCGCAAAACTAAAGCAAAGAAGGCAGTCAACGAACATCAAAGTTTATATCATTTGTGGCCGATGAAAATTCGAAGTATGGGCTTCAAGCTAATGAGAGCTAGAATTACACGGTTAAGATCGTTTGGATATGACAATACTTAATTGATTTTGTTACCGAATCAAAAAATAGGCCACCAAAGCGGACATGTGGGCAGTGCTTTAACCATGAAAACGAAATTCATGCATGCATCGCGGGCCTACATTCTTACACTCACTCACTCATTCAGCCGAAGGCGATATGAGTATTGTACTGACAGTGCAATACCCACAGAAATGATTCGGTTCTGAAAGTTAACTTGGATATGGTGTTTCGAGACAGTCTGCACCACAGGCTGAAAAATGTCGTAACTCAGGTAAGAAATGACGTCTTACCTGGAGAACCATTGCACCAGTATATTTCACTGCAAAAGCTCCACCCATCACAATTCCGCCATAGAAGACCGCTAAGAGGGGAAAATACGTGAAAATAAACAACACTTCAAAAGCAACACGCCGGTCGCCCCACCGGGTTTCCTGAGAAGTGTGTGCAAGAAGTATTGAAGCATTGAAGTTTGTGCTCCTGAGTTAAATAAATGTGTATAGACTGATATTTGAGTAAAAAGTTATCTTACCCATTACTTTACTGATTTTTGTGGCTTCAGAGTCGGTTAAATTTATTCTTCGCTTGATGAGATCTTCAACTGTCACAAGGGACATGGCATTTAAAGCCGAGGATATTGTGCTGGTAGGAAAATAAATACAGAAATAGATAAGCACTAAATAGATCCTTTGTGGCCAAATGGAAGTTGGTCTTCGTTAGTATTTTTCTCACGTTGATATTGGAACCTGAAAAGTTGAAAAATCGTAATGATGTGTGAAAAGCTGACACTGAATAAGGATTTATCAGAGGTATCAAGCGAATGATCTTGAATAGAAAGGCGTCTCTCGGAGGATAATCGATGATGATGCAAGAAGTGTTGCGTCTAATAAAGATGTAGAATTATATGTCAAGCTAGGTACCTGAGAGCAGCGCCGTACAGACAAGCAGTAAACATTCCAGGCAGGCCCTTGAGATGTCCAAGCTTGTTAATGACGAAATACGGAAGAACCTGAAAAATATTTGAAGAATAATCCCTAAAATAATATATTAAAAGAACGCTAAGTTTAAGAATTGCCATTGCAGTATTACGGAATATAAATAGCCCCAGCAATAACGGAGAAACCGTCTGACTATTTACACAAAATTAATTTAGTATTTTGAGCAAGATAAGAGTCCCGCCTCGCAACATGCAGATGATACTACATCAAAATGAAGAGGGTGGGGAGAGAATTAGGGGTAGCCTCTTCTCATGTAGGATTTGTCCGAAAATATTCGATCGATCTCATCGATCGTTCTCGATTTCTACCGTTCTCGGGTCCGGTCTCCTTGTTAAGGATGCGGGCTCGTTTTTCTTAACAGCGGCTGGCGATCGAATCTCCCACGTACAAAGCTTTTGGGGATCCCAAACATACAACCCTTCCTTCCTCCAAACAAAGAAAAGTATTAATTCATAGAATTTAAAATCCACACATGTTTATACATTGCGATGTAAAGGCGCTGGAATAGAACCCCATATCCTTTCCCTGAATCTGATCTTTACCTGGTCGCCTCTCGAGATCTTCTTAGTTTCTCTCAGATCACAATCAGCGTATGTTGCAAATATCACCATTCCGTCCAATGTACAAATAGTTACCACAATGATCAGCCCAGGTATATTCAGCCATAACGCTCTGTAAGGCATGAAGAAATACAAGTGCATCAAATAACACAAAATGCTGAGAACCTGAATGCTTGCGGTGAATGACCACATTTGCACTATTCGTTGGGGTTAGGAATAATATCAAAAATGATACTAATAATAGTAATAATGTGTTTAATGTCACCAGTCTTGCATAGACATGAATTACAATGTTGTTACATTAAATTCTAAAACTAAAAATAATTTTAAAAAAAACTTTTATCAACAATGATTATTAAAATTAAATGGCGACGTAATCTTTCAGTTACATGCTTTGGTATGGTAAAGTTCTTTGAGTTTCATATTTGGTGATGGTGCGCAGACGCCCTTGTCGTAGGGCAATGTTTGTGGAGTGGACTCCCTCTTGATATCTTACGGAGTGTATCCAAACAAAGTTAACTTCGACTTTATCCAATCTCGGTACCTTTAGATATAGGAGGACTTCTCGTAATGAAAGTGAAGGTACGATGATCCTAAAGGAATGGGTTATTTTATTATTTTTTATCCTTCCCTGAGCTGTTGTTGTGTACTCTTGCGCGCTCTGAAGATCCTTAGTTAGATCTCTGATTCAGAAGTAATTTCTTTCTATTACATTGCGCAACCTTACTGCGCATAACTTATACACGCGAGAGGCTCACGCACTATACAAGTGAGAAGCGCATGCACTATACCAAAGTGGCGGCTTCCACTGACTAGAAGCCTAACCAAGGATGTGACGCGGGATTCTCTCGTAATGAAGCTGGTGGACCCAATCTGCAAAAATCTATTGCCAGTTTTTAGGCAATTTAATTAGATTTAATGGAGGAGATGCAAGTTTTGACGGCTCATGTCAGGATTAAGCTTATCTCTTTTCTCCTGCCTACAGCAAAGAAATGAGTACGAGTTCAGAGTAATGTGAACCATAAATTATGCGATTTTGATTTGCGGATAGCTTCGTGTCGTTTCGGAAGGTCTTCACCTTATCCTGTTCTTCATGGACGTAAACTAGCTCTGTAAAGTCGTACCTGTTGGTCACATGAGCGCGAAAAAAATTACTATGATAACTATCCAAACTGACCTTTTAGCCTCTTTGAGTGTCCTTACTGCGAGATACCGCTGTACAAAGTATTGAGTGGTTGCCCAGACTGGGAGCAGGGCGATAGTGCCTCCCATGGTAAGCGTCCAGAACGTGTTACGAATCCGGGGGTCTGGGTTGAAACTAAGGAAGGAGTATGTCAACAAAACTAAGTGTGAGCAAAAATGCAGTATTCACTCGCCAATTTGTTCATTGTATTTTAATTGAAAAGAGGTTCTCAAACATTACTCATTCTTTTTCTGCATCTACTCAGTGTTACGCAAGAGCATTTTCTTTCCAACATGCAGGATTTTTGCCTGATAAATCCATCTCGATGGTATAACTTTCACGAGTGTCCCCTGTCCCAGTAGTAATACTAGTGTACATCTGATGCACAAATCGGAAAGTCATGATAGTAATTTCGACTTCTGTCGGGACTACTCGGAATGTCTCGTAATAAGTCGGCCTGTATTTTGACTAGTATGGCAAGGCTATAGGGATTTCGGGGAATATTAGTTACGAATTAAGTCATTAATTAAATGTCCTGGTAAATATTCATTCTGTCACGGAATTGTAAATGATTGCATTAGAGAGTGTGACATATGTCATAATATTGTAAACAAAGTCCGCAGTTGATTTACTGTAAGAGAGATATTGTAATTGCACGCGTTTAGTCCGCCTAATAAGGTAGAGGAAGCGTGCTTTTGGGTAATAAGAATTGAATATAGACACATTACAATAGGTTGGCTTGGGAATTTGGATTTGGGAGAACGTTTGAACTGTTACAACGAGAGAATTGATTGAATGAATTGTTAAGATGTCGGCGGATTCGTCGAGAATAAAACTTGGAAAAGAAGTCGGTATACAGTCCTCTTCGATTGATATCGAGTTAACCAGCGATTGCGGAGTCCGTATAGATTCCTCGACAATGGAAGCAGGTATGCTTTTGACTGTAAATCAATAACTGTACAAATATTTGCATTTCATACATACTCAGATAAGTTGATTCGTCCGTGTTTTTTATTGATCTCCCAGACTTTGCTCAGCCCGCCTACTTCTAAACTTCCACTGACAGCAACTGTAATAAGACCTGCTAGTATAATGATCGATTGAAATACGTCTGTCCAAACCACTGCCTTGAGACCACCCTACAAATACATGAACCTCCTGGTTGTAATCAGTGCTGCATGTTGGACTCGTTTTAAAACAAAATGAAGCAAGTTATGGAATATCGACCGAAATAGTTCTCACCAGAGAAGTGTAAAAAGTACACACAACCCCTGTAGCGACGATGGAAACTGAGAGCGGAATACCTGCAACTGGAATTAAGAAAAGATAATTTCTTTCTTCTGCACGGGACGTCAATTCAAATCAGGTGGATTAAGATTATCAATGGAAATTTACTCGGACTCATGCGGAAAAGGTGTAATAAAGAAAGGCTTAAGAGAGACGAATGTGTTTTATTTCAAAGGGATTTAGTGCATGTTTGGTGAAAAGGCTAACGTGGCTGTTACATTTGATCAATACTCAAACTTGGCGTTGTGGTTGACTTTGTAGTGGGCATCAGTTCCTCCTCTCTGGGGCATTCTCAGATTTCTCCGATTTACCCTAGTCAACAAAAGGCAACACTCCATATTGACTAACACAACAATTTTAAAACCGTTGCGCTAAGTAACTAGAACACAAGAATACCCCACATCCTTCCCTCCAACACTAAGTGGATCATGATGACCAACACTAAGTGGATCATGGTGATTATTGTAACTCACTTACCCGCTTCCAATGCCAGTGAAGGAGCAAACAACGCCACGAACAGATACAGAGTCTGCAAGAGATCAAGGAAAAGTTGATAATGGTATCATACTGCACGTTAGAAGAGCTCTTCCGAATGAAAAGTAAAATTGAGCATATAGTATTGTTTGACTTCTCTGAGAGTTTTTTGGGCTGAAGAAAATTAAATTACACTTGCTCAGGGAAGGGACGGAACGGTTGCTCTACGGGAAGGGCGGGGGAATGGATCGTTCGAGTAATCTTTTATACGTTTAAGGGTTACTTTTTTCGAACAAGTTGCTACCTAACGCCATGGTTGTCTTCCATTTCAAAGAAAGGAAAGGAAGGATAATTTCGATGAAAATGTACTTACCACCGATAGCAAGAAGAATGCACAGCCAAGCATTCTTGCACCAAAAGAAAAGCGCATGTCAAGGTACTAAGGAAAACAGATGAATAAAAAAAATGATATGAATAGATAAACAGATTAATAGGAAGGAATAAAAAGTGATTGAATGAGTGAATGAATGAAAGAACAACGCTTTGAGGCTTTGAACAACGCAGCCGGTGACAGGTCTGTAAGCGGTTTAGTAAGACCGTGACCTAGTGATGATAATGAGGGTCAGAACCCAGACAAGCTCAACTTGACTCGTCTTAAATCTTCCCATGCGCAGGGCGGAAATGAGTGCGTCATGCAGCGATGAAAAGAAAATGGGTCGTAAAGGTGATACTTGATTCATGACACTTGCCGCATCATTAATCTTACAGAAGGGTTAAAGTTTAACCACAAACTGCGTGAGTGTTGCAATGAAAAGATGCGTGCCATTCCAATCAAAGATATTATAATTCATCATCATACTATCTAACTTACAGAGCTGGCTTTTTTCGCTCTAAGAAAACAAAGGCGGAAACCGTGAAAATGGTATGGAGAAAGCGAACTTCACGTGGCTAAGTTTGTGAACTTTTCAAAACATACACAAAAGAACCTGTTAGGCTGGCTGATAATTAATAATAACTATCCAACTAAACCCCTAAAAGCTTCTTTAATAAGCAAAAATTATCAAACGCTGAAGATAAGTTGACTCGATCAGAAAAATTAGTCATAAAAATTGGCCCTAACACTTTCTCTACTTGACAGGTGTTGAGTAACGGTTGCGATTTCTTTCTAACTTCGTTGGCCTACCTCGTTCACCGAAGTGATCTTGATTCGTCTAAACATTGGAATGTAGACGGCGCTCACAGGTATACAAATCAATACGTAGCTTATGATGATCAAGTAGAACTGTGTTCCATAGATGTAGATCTCTGCTGGTAATCCAAGGAGAGTGATCGCTGAGAGGAACGACACTAGAATCGATATGGCGACAGGCCAGTTCTTCATTTGGCGGTCGCCCAGAAGATACTCGGCCGTTGTCCTTTGTTTGTTTCCACCCGGTCCGCAGCCATACCAAATCCCGATCAGTGCCGAGATAAGTAACATGATGGAGAAGACAACATAGTCGACAATACTGAAGTGGTCTTCAGCCATAACTGCGTCAATTAGAGCCGATTTCCGAGGACTGCGCTATCTATAATAAAAAAGCGAACAGAGAAGAACTTACTCCTGAGCAAATAAGGAAAGCATAATTTGCATGTTAGCCTTGCGGTCCTTCTGAAACAGACAGCAATTGTCACATAATAAAACATCAACACAAGGAAAAGAATCAGTTTACAATCGCTACCTCTCTTCAAGCCTCCAGTAATTTAACTTTCCCGAATTAGCATAGATAAAAGGAAACAATAAACACTTGGGCCATAGTCGGAACGGATTATCTGTGTCAATCAATTTACCGCGGCTTTTTAGAAATTGTGTTATTACTCTTCGTTATGCGTCACGTACTCCATCTGCAACATTGTATTTATTGCGCCACTTCCCAAGGAAGGGAATTAAAGCGCTGTGTCTGTAAATGAAAAATACACAATGATATCAAAACTACAAAGTCATAAACTGTGTCCTTCCAATTTATTTCAAGAGATCGTCAAGTTCTCCCGCGCTTCAACAGTGAGTAACTAAAACGAGGTATCAATTCAGTAAATCTATCTGACAGTGATGGGTGTTGATCTGTTTATCATAACACAATTGATTTGGCCATAATTAAATGAGTCATGTTGAGACAATTAAGAAAATCAGGAATCAGGTAAACAGGAACCTTGGAACTGTAGAACACAACGACCAAGAGAAGATTAAAGAGAGCGGAGGGTACGACCAACAGAACAGTACACCTGTAATTTGTTTTCCTACGGAAAATGATATTTGTATTCTTTCACATTTCGATACCCTCGGTGCCTAACTACAGCATCAATCAAAGTCGAAAGTATTGTTCACAAAATGGAACTTTATTTAATCTGCCTTACAAATGTAAACATCACCAAGAATATGAGAAACTCGAAGGTAACTAGCACCTCATACAAATCATTTCGAATGTCTCCAATATACAAAATCATTAGATCACTTTTTATCATATAAACTATGGTGTTATACAAGGATTTCCAGCCCTGAGGAAAGCTTGTGCCTAAATCCTACTGGCTGGAGGTACGCCCAAGGAGCACTAGTAACGAGTTTTCGAGTCGGATGATTATCGGAAATTGTCGGCTAATACAATATTGTTTTATTTCAATACAAATATAACCAGTTCTAAATGAATTTGACTTGAAATTCATTTTAGACTTGAACATGTCAACCAGATTTACCGAAGTTTGTCATGTAATACTCTGCCTAAATATGAGTGGAATTTCTTAGAAAGGAACAGTCTCTATTTTCATGATATTTGTGTTTGATTAGAAGTATTGTTGACAAGGCTAACCATTGTCTGAAATACTAAAATCAATTTATCTTTAGGTATTCATAGGATAACATGATTTTAGTTCACCAAATTGACATTTCCGCTTTATATTTCAATGATATTTATCAGCAGGTATCACTGTATGAAAACCTTAAGGCGAGTTATTCTTGAAAATATAGAATGGTCATCTATTATATATACAGAATTTATTCAATTATATGAATGAGATTAACCTGTGCTTGTGTTATTTACAGAATTTTTTAATAAAAATTGCTACTATTAAAAATAAATCAAACGTTTCTTATTTGAACACCAACTAGAAACCCTTTGCTTATCGCCAAATAATGCCTAATTTAGTTTCAGCCGATTCCCCATAAAGAGTAATTTGATGCTCATAGCTTTTGTGCTGTGCTATCAAGTAAGCAGTGGCAGGTACACTACTAAGGAACAAGAAGATATTCTTGAAAAAAATGATTCCAATATAGTATAGGACTAAAATGGATACCAAAAAGTGAAATGTAACTTGCAGTCTGCTTGAAGCAGACCGTAATAAAAATTGGGCAAAGTTAATTAAATATGCAAGCTGTACTTCAAGTATTTTCTAAGCCTCCAGTAAGATCCTACTAGCTAGAGGTTATCAGTAGACTAAATAAGAGAGAACAAAGTGTCAATGTATTCATGAAAAATGTGATTCCAAGGAGTGAAAGACTAATTTGGAGTGCAGAGAAGTAAAATGGGCAAACCGCAGTAAAAATTGGGCAAAGTTGACTAAATATGCTAGCTGTGCTTCTAGCTGGTAGTTATTGATTTTGTAACGTGATGTTAACTCAGTTATTGTCGCAGGAACTTACTATACCGTATATATTATCAAGTAATTGTCACTTTCAAACGAAGCCTTACTTACTTATTTAATCTGCCGTGGTTGACCAGCCCTCAGCTGCTATTTCCGTTAGGAAATAGCCATTACCGCTAAGCTTGGCTTGCGTGTTCTTTGTTTATATATATTTACGAGGTTTTACCCAGTTAGTTTAGTTCAAGTGTAGATTCTACTGCGTCAACTTCTACTCGGCATTGGGCCATAGTTTTTCTCTACACTGTGACTCATCTGTTCTATTAAGTCAAATTCAGTGCGTGTGCAAACCAAGTAAGTAATCGATCCCTTGTTTCAGGCTTATTTCTCAGGCTTTTTTGTATGCTCGGAATCGCGCTTGATTAAGTCCTTATCTATCGTCCGAGTTAAACACCGTGTAGCTTAATAATCATTTTCCAGCCTTCCTTATGATCAAAATAAGTGCCGATTATATTTGACACTTCCATGTTACGGTCGTTATTGCAATGTTAGCGATAGTTCCTTCATTTGTGTTATTTTAACTTAAATATGTTACTTACGTTAGCTTCTATTTTCGTTTTGTATTTCAGTTCGAACCGGCATACAGTTGACATCATACACTTCTACGCTTACAGCACGCGATTCACTTTAACTGATTTTGTATGGAACATTGGTCTCTTTCAATTAATCGCTGTTTACATCGTAGTCAGAATTTCTTGTCGAGTTCGTTTAACACTACGCACTATTCTACAAATGTGATTACTTAGAGTTTGTCTGCTACATTCTATTCTTTTGATTTAAGGTAATCTTTTCTAAGCCTCCTGAGATCCTACCGGCTAGAGGTACAAGACCAAAAAAAAGAAAAAAATCAAATGTATTATTTACAAAAAAAATGATTCCTAAGAGTGCAAGACTACAACTTTGAGTGCAGAAAAGCAAAATGTGCGTGGAGCAAACCATAATTAAAATTGGACAAAGTTCACTGAGTATGCAAGCTGTACCTCTAGTCGGTAGTATATTCTAAGCCCCGTAACATCCTACCGGCTAGAGCGGGTACAAGACCAAATAAAAATAACTAATTGTATACGTATTCCTAAAAAAAGTGATTCAAAGCAGTGTAAGACTAATTTGGAGTGCAGAAAAAGTAACTTGTGAAGCAAACTGTTTTAAAAATTGAGCAAAGTCGACTAAATATGCAAGCTGTACCTCTAGCCGGTAGTATCTTCTAAGCCTCTTAAAATTCTACCAGCTAGAGATACAAGACCAAATAAAAAAAATACATGTAAAAGTACTCTTGTAAAAAGTGATTCCAAGGAGTGTAAGACTAAAACTTGGAGTGCAGAAAAGTCAAATGTGGAGCAAACCATAATAAAAATTGGGTAAAGTTTACTAAGTATGCAAGCTGTACCTCTAGCTGGTAGTATTTAAAAGCCCCTTCAGATCCTACCAGCTACAGGTACAAGACAAATAAAAATAAATAAATGTCTACGTATTCCTGAAAAAAGTGATTCAAAGGAGTGTAAGTCTAACTTGGAGTGCAGAAAAAGTAAAATGCGAAGCAAACTTTGGTAACAATTGAGCAAAGGTGACTAAATATGCAAACTGTACCTCTAGCCGGTGGTATTTTCTAAGCCTCCTGAGATCCTACCGTCTAGAGTTACAAGACAATAGTAATTTCATCCTGGTGATCTTTGCAACAAGTAGCACTATGAAAAGGGCATTATAGTGGCGATACTATCCATAAGTTTTGTTTACCTTTGCAAGCGCAGGTCTGAGCGGCTACACAATGTTAAGCTAAAACTCTGCTGAACAAGAAACTTAAGATTGACGAGAGTGAAGGAAACAGCCACACAAAATTTAGCGAAATTTCCTTGATTTAAACTAAACAATGTATTCTTCACATGTAAAGTATGTTATAATGTTCATGTCTGGTTCAATCACGTCGCTTGTCTGTTGGTGAATCGCAAATGGTGTTACTGTAATAGTCCGCCATATTACAATAGCCGACAATTTCCGATAATCACCCGACTCGGAAATTCACGTGATTGATATCGCCAATCAGCTGCTAACACATCACTTGCCTTTCGCGCCACTTGGTCAGGTTGATGAATGAACTGCAAAGTATTCATCATGCTCAATCTAACATAGTTGTTTATCAATGTCCTCGGATTGTGGCTGTTACAACATTTGGAAATCCGATTTGCTCAGAGACAAGGACGTGAAACTTTCCTAGAAAGGGAAGAAAACCATGATACGAAAAGAAAAACCGAAAGTTTCGTATTCAGTGGCTTTGATAATGGTATTCCTCGCGGCTAAGAACGAAAATCGACTGCTGGAAGATTTGACACAGGCTGATTTTGTACAATTTTGGCCGTACGTGTACCTAAAAGACTTCATATATCGGTAAGGACAAAGTCGATAAATGAGAATTTTGTGTATCGGAAATTACACCCATTGTTGTTTTCACTGTGATTTAACGCATTTTTCCGTCTTGAGCTTCAGCACCAACGCACTTTATGATTTTTATTCGGGGATTGTCAATCCTTTTATTTTCATTCATTAATAAAGTCGACTTTTCTTGTTAGTAAAGGGCTATTGTGTTTATATAATAAACAAAGTATTACTGGCTGATGGTAAATATGGAATTTCTCTTCTCGTGTTCAACTCGACATCTCACTCGTTTGCTGCGCTCAAATGTGAGCTATCGAGTTGAACACTCGAAGAGAAATTGTGCATCTACGCGCACCCATGCATTATCTTCTATATATCTGGCTATTTTTGGTGAAATAGGCACGAATTACACTCAACTCCAAGTCAATCTGATACATACAGAAACTTCATTCTAATCAAAGTCATAACCCGAGTCACGGACTTGTTAAAGTTTCCAGAACGATCAGCCTTTCAGCGAACATTATTTCCTTTTATTTGTTTACGCCAACTGCTTTCCATAAAAGTAAAAAACATTCTATTCTATGCTTCTTAGAACTGTGTTTCGTTATCTTCAGTGACTTCATCATCCAGAATACTGTGTCCACGGTAACGTTTTTTATACATTCCGCTGTATCCGTCTTTCGCAGTTTCATCCAATGGTCGATCATCAAACTCACCTTTAACGATTTCCTAAAGATTGAAAAATCATAAAAGCTGTTTAAATTCAACTGAAGCATTAAGAGTCTTTTGTCTCCCGTGGATGCCTCAACACCTCCCCCTCCTTTGCTGCACATAACACAACATAACATCAGTAACATTCCGTACTGCACTGTGCCGTGGCGTAAGTAAACTTAAAGTAACATAACGCAAAGCAATAAAAGACGAACAAGTCCCATGACCCTTTATTACAGTAGTCCCGTTAACTAGAAACTCTTAGCCTAGTAGTCAGCAGGAATCATTCTACCAACATTCCGAGATATCCAGGGCAAAAATGTCTGAGATACTTTATTTTGAACTACTTCACACGACCAAGTAAGCCGTAAGTGAGAGCTTCAAGATAACTTGAGCCTGTCGCATGCTCCTACCACAAGTGTTATGTTTGACTCATTATCTTTATTTCAGGAGATTACATGACATGCTAGTTTTTTGAAGCGTGCGCTGACTTGCGACACCTGCCTCGAGCTGTCTTTTTAACGACAGCAAACAGAAGAAAGTTGGTAGGGGAAAAGGGGATTATGCGATTAGTTATAAAGTACCCTCTGAGCATAATCTTTCACCACAGACTCATCTTCGTCCAGGCCCCAGCTAAACGAGTGATCTGGTAAGAACCCGTAGAACCATTCCTTCAGTGGAAACATCAGCTTGGGGTCGATTTCTCTCTCGCGGTCCTCTTTAGTTTCTGAAGAGTAAGACAAGCGAAGTTGTCTCAAATATGGCCTCAGATATCGCAACACTGCAGAGAACAAGCCTAGCCAAAAACTGCATCGATGGTCTGTTTGTTTATTAGTACCTACCAAAAGCGAGGCTTACGAGCACACCCACGACAAATGACGTTAGTACAGAAAGTCCACTGAACCACAAGTAAGAAATGTGATAGAAATCATCCGCAATGCCAATGCTGATGAAAGAAAATATAAGCAAACAATCAGTGTGAGGTGTAAAGGGGATAAGTTTCTGAAAAAACTGTGGTACTGCGTTGTTTGTGGGCCTTACAAGATAATCTAGTTTTACCAACTGAGTTGATAATGTCTATTGGCCACCGTTAAGAGTTTCTAAAGCTGACATTTAGATCGACAGCTCTTCGTCAGTAAATTTGTTCCGACGAATGGATAATTCTGTAAACGTCATCTTTAGAGAAACCTTACGGTGGCCAATTTACATTATCAACTCAGTTGATAAAACCAAGTTCTAATGTGAGGTGTATCCTGATAAAAGTAACTCCCAAAGGAGACTGAGAACGATATCTCGTGTACAGTACAACTCACCCATGAGGTTTATGAGGGTTGTGAATATACCCGTCGCCATATTGGTCCAAAATTGCCTGCGATTTGTTCAGTATTTCTGCAGTCAGGTTGAGACTCATGGTTGCGTTGTGATCCAAGCTGGTGTAGTACACAGCGTCTTTATAGAACTGGCATTCCCTCACTGAAGTTGTGCCGGGGTATTTGTTCGGAGGATAGAAAACCGAACCCAAGAAAACCCAGGCAGTTAATGCACACCCAGAGAAAACACCGGCGTAGGCTCCCTGTAGGAAAATATTCGAAGAGTTAGTAACTTATGTCACGTATCTATGAAAGGAACTTTACACGCCACTATATAATGAAAACTTTGAGTCATTTACTTGTCGTAAAAATATGCCTTGAACATACTAAATGGAGCTAATGGAGTGAGTATGGTAAACCAAGGTTGAAAATGGAAAACTTAAAATTTTCGACAGGCGGACAAACTGTGGCGTGACGGCGAAAATATATTTGTATTTTCATAACTTAATTATTGATTTTAGGACAGTGTCAGTGCGAACTCCCCCCCCCCTTTCTCATCACCTTTTAGTGTGTTTTCTCACCTTTGAATTTGCACGGCGTACAAACATTCCCAGCAGAAAAATACCAAGTAATGGACCACCGCAAATTCCAAAGATGCTGTAGGCGAGCTGATAAAACGAGTCAATATAAAACACATTTCAGATCACCCATTTCTATTAAGCGCGTACAATCTCGTTCATTTTTTTTCACTTACTCATAGATACTAGTAATTCATACCAATAGCTCACAGTTTACTTATCTAACCAGAGCTTTAGCTCATACAGCGAGGAGAACCGGCAATACAGTGTCTAGCGCTGGAAAAGATTTTGGCTAAGTGGATCCCTCGAATTCGTGAGTTGTGGCAAACATCAATACAGTCGAGCGTAGATTGACAATCCTTCCCCCATTCCCCCACGTCAGCATCAATTGAGTGTACTAAGCGAAGAACATCTTGTACTTACCTGTAGAACCATAGTGCCCACGTACTTGACAATGAATGCTCCAGCGATAACAATAACACCAAAGACAACCGCTTGAGAAATAAATAGAATTCAAAATTAGGAAACTACCTAGATTGCCAATAAAATAACAAAACATACAATCAAAGGCAACTTTTCCATGAAAATAGGGATTTTGCCTAGTTAAAAGGTAATTATCTCCATTTAAATCTAGCTTTGTTCAGGTTGTCACCTAGTGAATCGAAAGTAGTCCTGCGAATTACATCTTTTTCGTTTCGTTTTTTTTTACTCTGTGACTGGTGAAGAAGACTCACGCCTCTTTCACATCAAATAATCAAATGTAACTTGGTTACTCGCATTTTTCCGCTTATGTCCTTTACAGGTTATCACTTTGAGTTCTGATTGGCCCCTCACCATACATCGCATTCGCCTTCGTTCTGATTGGCCGTTAGTGATTACTTTTATTTACATGGTACTCGAGGTTGGTGCTGATTGCCGGTGCAGATATATACAAAGTCTATACGAGTCTCAGTTTTGCCGAGATTGGTAGGTTATATTCCCCCTGTCGCACCCCAGGATGACCAAGGAAGAATTTCTCCTCACAATCACAATGTCCATATAATCTTTTGGTGATGAGAAGAAAGAAATACATCAAATGGAGAATTACCAGCACTGGATATTCAACAAATTCTACTAAAGGTAGAAGAGGGTCTCGATAAAGTGATGGCTTTTAAAACCAAACGGTTAAATTTGGCCATTTTACGGCCAACGCTCGACCTAAAAATGACACATTATAGAAAGAAAACATTTTTAACGGTTAACTTTTTAAACGACTGACGGGTAAAATTTGTCGATTTTTACGCCTAACGGCTACGTGTTTTGGCCGTTTTACGGCTAACGTTTACCCCGTTGGGACCCTCCTAGGCGTATGAGAGATGTTTGGCAGACAGTGTAAAGAATTCATGTTTAGATCTTGGAAGTAAAAGGGGTGAGGTTACTTACCGATAATCTTGCAGAGTCTGGCGGCATCTGAGTCAGTTAAATCCTTCACCCTTTTCTTGATGATGTCTTCTAAAATCACTAATGACATGGCGTTCAGCGCAGAAGATCCGGTACTAAAGAAAAAGAAAGAAAATTATGGATACCTTATCGTGCTTTAAATCTTTTTATACAAACAGAACTTGCGTTCGCTTCTTTAAAGTACAACATGGTTTTCATTATCATCCAGTTCCCACCTCAGAGCTCCTGCATAGAGACAGGCAGTAAACATTCCCGGCAACCCCTTCAAGTTGTGCAGTTTGTTGATCACAAAGTAGGGCAGCGTCTGTGATGAAAGAAAATTGTAACGGAAATTAAGGCGGAGAGGTTAAGGTTGCTGCAGGCTTAAGTGTATTCGGCGAAGATGCCTGTGAAATTGGCGCTTAAAGTTATCGGGTGCGTGTAATTTAGACCTGCATGCACGATCAAGAAGTCACGCGAGGACGAGGAAAGGTGCTCCCTTGAGCGTGTCTTTCCTCGTGCACACGTCTTTGTTACGCTCTTGGTGAGAGACTGCCTCGCAGGTTAAAGGAAAGTAAAGGGACATTCCTTCTAGGCGTGCGAGTTATTCTCTCTCACGCGTTTTCAATGTCAGAGGTCTGCAATGATTGCCCACTTTAATACAAAACTGGAAAGTGAATGGCCCCTATACAAGGAAAGGGCCAGGTCGGCCAGAACGAGATATGTCACTTGGCAGAATTGAACTGGTGCTAAGATAGGACAGCCTCCAGCCTTCCTGTCTATTCACCTTGCCTTCTGCCTGTTTTTCTGTCTGTTTGTCTGTCGATCTCTCTGTCTCTGCTGCCGGTTTACCTGTTTACCCATCTGTCATTCAGTCAACTTATCAGCTCCATTCAGATTGTAACAAGACTAAAACTCAATGGCCGCTAGACCGCACCTTACTGAGAAGAGCACAAAACTACTTTGGGTACAGAGGTGAAACTTTTCCAAAAATTCAGGGAATGTTAGGATGGTAATAAACCAAAGCTTTTACCTGGTCATTGCTGGTAATCTTCTTGTCTTTTATGAGGTCACATCCTGAGTACACAGCAAATATAACGAGTCCATCCAAGCAACACAGAGTGACGATCACAATGAGACCAGGAACGTTCATCCACACAGCCCTGAAACACGATAAATCAACAATAAACAGAGTTGATATCACAGTCTGGCACTTGGCTAAGAAGGAAGCCACAGATTACCAGAGTTAATCCCTTTTTAGAAAATAGTCTGAGGACTCGTGCGTCTTGTTTGTCATAATTAGGAAAAACAACAAATAATTTCAGTAAAAGATAGCTTGGTTACCTCTTAGCGTCTTTCAATGTTCTTATGGCAAGAAACCGTTGAACAGCAGTTTGGCTGACTGTCCACACGGGCATGGCTGTGAAAGCACCGCCGATGGTTAAAGTCCAAAATGTGTTTCGTACCTTGGGGTCTGGATTGAAACTGAAAATAGCGATGACCACATAAAAAAAAGAGATAGAAAGTATAAGTATCGATCACAGCTTTTAATCTCTTCCCCCTTTCTTCGAGAGATCTAAATTGGAATTTCTCGTTCCAATGTTTAGATATTTATTTGGAGAAAGGTGATAAGAAGTACAAAAAATATCACCCAGAGGATAAAACTTGATTTGACACCATGATGTTATAAACAAATAAAAAGTTATCTGATGATTAAAAAATTGAAAACTTATGAAGACAGTTTTTATCTTGAAATGCTAAAACGCTTTGGTCGTTTAATGGTACTCACTTCAAGTTCTCATTGGTCCCTTCTAATATTGGTTTATAATGACGCTTTTTTCGCAACACTTAGTAAAGAGGTGCTCTGAAATGAGACTTCCTCAAATGCCAGTAACACATCAGTCTACGCCTGGAAAATCCCTGGCCCCTGAAATAACTTATATCAGCAGAAATATGTGTCGATGGATCGGAAAGGCCAAACGATTCAGCACTAAAATGAAAGGTTTTTTTTAAAAGTCTAATCAGCCAGTTTCTTACTCGAAAAATGTGGTTCTGTTAAAATGTTCGTTAATCTCCCAAACTTTTGCCAATCCACCGACTTCGACGCTTCCAATGACCGCAACTGTGATGAGCCCTCCTACCATAACCGCTGACTGAAATACATCGGTCCACACCACGGCTTTCAATCCGCCCTAATAAAAAAAAACCAAACAAACAGACAACACTAACCAAAAGAAAACAAACGTGCGTGTAATAAGGCGTTTTATTCACATGCACCTATCAGATTCTTGGTTTTATGATGGATATGATGATGATGATGTGTCCCTATTATTTACTTACCAGACTGGTGTAGAATGTACAAACCACCCCGGTGGTCAGGATAGAGGCCGTCAGTGGAATCCCAGCCACTGATTATAAAAATTACACCATGGATTAGAAAAATGAACAAGAATATGAAAACTATTTTAAATACCCAGTATTCACCACGTCGCAAACTTAATATACTCTCTCGTAAAATCTATCACCCCAATCAGAACGTCTCCTATTTGAATGTTAACCCAGCCGTGAGTGCGTAAAGTGTCATGTCACGCAACTTCCGTTCACCTCTCACTAATTGATGTCGAGGTCCGTACTGTTGGTTCGTTCTGTTCCATAACTTACGGATTTGCAATGCGGATCGAGAAAACAAGTTTAATTAGTTATTTATTATATCTCTGGGTTCAAATAGAGAGGAAAGATTCGTATTCAACTTGAATAAACTTTTGAATTTAGCGGGCCGTACAATGAAATACAGCCCGCTAAATAACTGAGAGATTAGTTGTGGTGAGCTCTTACATAACTTGCGCAGATGTTTTTGAGGTAGGTGTTTTTAAGGACGGAAAGGGAAATTTTATAGTTCAGTGTAAAAACGCCACTTAAGTAAACGTGTTGTTACCTACCAGCCTCTAAAGCGAGTGAAGGTGCGTACAGGACAACAAACAAGTAAAGAGTCTGGAAAAAACAACATACGAAAAAGTTTAACTAGATCGCCATATTTACATCATTGAAACTGCAAACAAGTACTTACGTATTCTAAAATGAAGAACACGCATCCCACCATTCGAACTCCAACACTAAAGCGTAGTTCAAGATACTGTTAGAAGGTAAAAAAAAAAAAGTTTAGTCAGTTGTCGGTTTGAACACAAACCTTATTTGGATATACTTGGCTGCATTTGGAGTTACCCTGGCGCTAACAGAGGTAGGGGGGGGGGGGTGGTGTTTGTGTGGAAAAGAAAAAAATCAGAAAGAAGATTTAAGAAGCCAGTAAATCCAAAAATATTTTGCAGATCCGAAAAAATATTCCGAATCTCACGGTATCTTTTAGAAAAATCGCTTTTGAAAAGTTTGTCAAATCAAGAAAACAATTTCAAATCCTGTTTAAATTCATAGATTCACAAACAAATTTCATGAAAATAGAAAATAGTTTACAATCCGAGAATCTTTCCAAAATCCAGAAAATTTTCGCAAATCGAGAAAAATATTTTTTCACGTGACACTTGCGCCAGTAGTCTGCACTTTGTCACGATACAGCACATCGTGTTAGCGACATTTTTTGAGATTGATTTATTGAAACACTATAAAACAAAACTTCAAGAAAATATTAAGAACGTTCTCAGGCTCAAATCGCAATAAAAACTAAGAACTTATATATAAACAAAGAGTGCTTGTGGAGCAATCAGGAGATTCTCTGTTTTGTGACCATTTCCTTAGTTCTCGTGACCTTCATATTTGATTCGGCATTGATAGATATTGTAAAGAGAAATTGGGAGCTAGTCACCCGTAAGCGTTTACGCGTTTTTGAAAGAATCGATTGCCTTCGTTCACGGGATGGGCTCAAAACTACGATCAGCACTGACAGCTGCGTGACAACCTCACAGATCCACCTAAATAAATAACGTAACGTGATCATCCGGAACTGTAGACCATCTAACTGAAGTTTAATTTAAAACTTCATTTGTACACGTTCATTTTGTGGCCCAAAAATCTTTTAGCATCACAACAACAACACATTCATTGACCTTTGGCCTCTTACTTTCCCAAAAATAATTGTGTTACCTAGATCACACCATGCCAATTGTTGTTTTCGCCAACGCGCTTTGGTGTTCGGCACAATCTCAATACCATTACTGATAACCTACCCTCAATCAAAAAGGCAGTCTATTTATAAAATTAGAAAGAAAGATTTCATAAATGCCATTAATTTGAAACAATAACTATTCCTTGAATTTTACTCTTCGCTTTCTTTAGATAAACGTTCCTGGGCAATGCATCGGCGAGAGAGGAATTTTTACACTCAGCTGTCAACGCAATGATAGGTGCCGCCGAAGAGTAAACATTGACAAAGAAAAAGAATAGGAACTTGCAATCTTCAAAACATCCACTTTTTATTTTAAAAAAATGCAATATGAAAAAGGTAGTACATCGTTGCAGAGCTGTGTAAAAAATATTACGAACCCACACACGACAATTTGCACCAATGCGCAGTGCCCAACTTAGTTGGAAAAATTTAATTAAGCGTATTGTATTTTGAACAGGTTATAATTTACACCCACCTCATTCGCACAAGTGATGTTCACTCTCCTAAACATGGGCACAAAAATGACAGCCACCGTGAAACAGATGATGAAGTAAGAGATTATAAGGACATAGTACTGTGCTCCGTAAGTGTAAATCTCGGATGGTACCCCTAACAGGGTGATCGCCGATAGATAGGACACCAGGAGAGATATCGCCACCGGCCAGTTCTTCATTTGGCGGTCTCCCAAAAGGTACTCAGCCGTTGTCTTCTGCTTTCCACCAGGGCCGCAGCCGTACCAAATCCCGATCAAGGCGGAGATTAGCATCATCACGGAGAAAACTACGTAGTCAACGATGCCAAACCGTTCGTCCGCCATCGTTGTTGATGTTTAAGCTTGTACTAAAACAAACAGTGAACCGTGCGATGTAGTTTCCGATTTCTAAGAGAGATATGAGATCTGTAACGCAGCTGTAATTTTACTCTTTGCTCAGTGGTACGTGGAATGGATGGCTGTAATTTTAGGATATATTAATCTTAAATACAAAAATACGCCATAAAGTGACTCAGTGTGCAAAGTGACCTAGATATGCTGCAGGGATCTCGCACCGCCTACTAATATGGCACATTTAACAATGCTGTCACATTTTGTGAGGTCATGTCACCTCTCTATTCATAGTTCACCTGCATGGTAAGCGCACAAAGTACAAGCCAGCGGGGAGGGGTTAAAAATTTGAACCCGAACTTGTTCCTTTTCCCTCAGCACCTCCCCCCTCCTCTCTTGTCTCTGTAAGTTAGGCCGTTTCACGGCGTTTCTGCGCAGAAGTTGTCAGAGGATGGGAAACAAACGGGATTTAAATTGTGACGGTGTCACACTTTTTCGGGTATCCCCTTGTTTTGAATCCCCGTATATATGCGCAAACCATGCCAAGTCTAATTAATTATAGAACAATTTCTCCACAAACCGCGCGTCTTCCCGATAGCAGTGTGTGTATCTCAGATACACACACTGCTACTGGAACAAGTGGGAGAGCGTCGGTTTCCTTCCAAGGACTCCCCCCGTGAGTCCACCGATGAAATGAAAAGTTGTGAATAAAGAATTTCCCTCAGGATGAGAATCCCGCGTACGCGTACCTTCGTGTCACGCAATCCCCATTCGTGCATACGTGCCCCCACTGCACATGCAAGAACAGTTGTTTTGCATATCATTGTAAACGGAAGTAAGTTTTTTGGGAAAAATTACGTACCTAAAGCAAAACTTGCGGCAACATGTTCCCCAAATAAATTCGAAACAAAGTTCAGAGGTATTAAACGTTTCATTCACTGGCATGCTTCACGACGCTAGTAAGATTTTGGAATTTTCCAGGGCAACCAAAATATAAAGACAGACTTGACGTCATAAATTGTTAAATTTTAATCTCTAACAATTTTTTTCCTTTTTTTACAACAAGCATCTTAAATGTTTTTAAAAATAGTTCACTACTTTACTTATACTCTTTAAATTTAAACAAACATTTCCCTTTGCACAAGCATGCAACTGTGAACCATATTCACAATAATTACTAATTACAACATCTTTCTATGTACAACATCTTACAAGTTACAGTTACTTGTTAAAAATACACCATGCTTACTGCTTACTCAGTCATAGATGTGAGTTGTTCATCTTGACAGCAACCGAAATACAAACACAGTCGACCGTTGGTCGATTCACAATCAACCAATCATAGGTCATTCACCAAGTTGAGGTGTAGACCGATTATCCGTCGAGAATGGTACGACCATTGGTCGACTTCAAGTTCAGTCGACAATCGGTTAACTATCGATCTCATTCCGGTGACTGCCAATCGTTAGTCTGTGGATATTATATTTCGACCGGGGCTAGTTAAAGTACAAATGAACCTACTTTTCCGCTATGTACAGTTTTGTTGATGTCATGGTTCCATACTAATTTGAGGAAAGAAATTCCCTACTGTTAGTATTTCAGTCTAAGGTTTACAGCCACAACTATACGTAATTTCTCTCCCGAGTTCGAGGATATACATTTTTATCTCAACACACAACGGAGTGGTATATTTAAGCATAGTAGCCAAACACCCAGTGTTAATACTATTATAGCACGTAGCGACTGCGAACCTCTTTCTACCAACAGTGGTCACCCTCTTGGACTTAACACACGGGTGATCGCTTCTTTTGAATCTTTGCAGATGCCTTAAGAACTGTCCGTGGCCTAATTTGGTAGCTACTACATCGCGTGACATCCTTCCAAAGTTGTTCGTAGTCACGTGCGTGTTCTGGTCACGCAATGACCTACTCTCAGCGGAGTTCTCGGTAAGGAGAGATCCTCCAATAACAAAAGTCAATCCCAAATGATTGACAATAAAAACGGCGAACAATATCTATAAAGAATTAATATAAGAACGATTAATCTGAGAACACTGGAATTAATCCTGAATTTCTGTTATGAGTATTCATATTGTTTAGGGCCGGGTCGTTCGAAAGGGAGTTAACGTTACTTTAAGATTAAAAGTTAAACTTTGCTTCATTTTCTCGTGTAGAAGAGCGTTTATAACGGCCAAGGTTTTTCTTCGGTTTCACTTCATTCTGACTTGAAACTAACAAGAAAAAAAGAATAAAGAAAAATCTAAACTATTATAATAATCTAAACTAATCAAGCGTTACGTCAATCGTATTTTGAACTACCCGGCCCTTATGAAGCTGTCCTATTCCCAGCGTGGTACTCTGACCCTCAAAGTTTTACTTGTTTTTCCTTCCTGTACTTTAAACAGTTCCTATTAGGTTTAAAGCACAACAGATCATTACGTTTACTTTTGTTGAAGCCAGCAGGGTTTGCTTAAAAGGAAGTTAAAAGTTTGAAATTAAGAATGAAGGAATTGAAGAGTTAGGACGAGTTCAAGCAATTCATTTTTCATGCGAGGTTTCCGAAATGCTGACAAGAAAATTAAACCATGAACTTTATCAGTCCGTCAATTTGGTAGCAGCACATACTTCCTATGCATAATTCCCGTTACATTTGGCTTATAACATACCTGAATTAATTTAACCATGATAGTTTCCGAGTCAAAGGCTGGTTCACGATTGTTGCTGGCAAAAGTAGGGGAGAAAACTCTGTACTTAGCTGCACTGTTTCCTTGTTGACTGAAGATCAGAGGGCCTCTCTAATGACTGCAAACTATGGTCGACTGTCAAGCTTTCTCTATTCAGCAGGAGTTGAACTTTTCAGATGCTTAGATCCTCTGAGACCCTGGTTTAAGGTTACCTCCCACCTTATTCACAAGGCATCAATCAACTAACGATTATCAGGCTTTTTCGATATTCTGATTGGTTGTCTAGATATCGACATCTAAAGTTGGAGTAGCTAAAAATATGCAAGGTGTGTTGGGTAAATGGACGCCACGGGAAAAATATTTCAAATATCAAAATTTCCCGGATTCGGGAATTTTTTTTTGGAAACATTGGGTTGAATATTTAAATTCAGTTGAATCAAATAAAAGAAAAATCGATTTTTTCGGCCTCTGAAGGTGGGAAGTAACCTTAAATAGGACTGCAACAGCTGAAAGATTACTTAACGCTTACGAGTTCAGCATTGAAGGAAATCGTGATATACTGCACACCTTGTGCACAAACTTTTCACAACATACTCAGCTTTGCACAACAAACATTACTTTGCTTGTCACCGTTGCTGAGATTTCATTTTAAGGTATTTAGGATTAACAGTTTAGGCAGGAGCAAACACGAATTCTCCCTTAAAAAGTTTCAATCTCTCTCACGGAAATAGTGGTTGCAAGAGATATTTTGAACTCACGGCACAGAACGTGAGGTTGGAATAGTCTGATTTCCTTAATTCATTCCCGTGTTGCTTGCCACTTTTGATGTAGCACCCAAAGGTTTGTTTGCTTCATGAAACCTTTGCCCTGCGCTGAAACGATATTAACCTTGAAGTATAAATATTTTGCTGACAGGGGATGCTGGTTTAATCGAGCTCCCTAAACCACTTTAAACTTTTATTCATGCTGTGCTTAAATTTTGATAAAACCTTTGCTCCTGTGTATGTCTGAAATAAAGTGGCATTCGAATTTTTACATTTGACTTTCCAAATATAGGATGAAAAGAGCGAACGTGAAAAGTGCACAAATTAAACACCTAATATTATACTTTTTCGTTTAAAGTTTTTTTGTAACATTTGTTATTGACAGATGCCGGTACATGTGCATTTCACGTATGTTCTCGTAAAGATACAATTAACTGATAGTTTCATTTCAAAACAACCTCGCAGAAAAAAAGCTTCCTATTATTCTATGAATCTACAAAAGTGTTTTCTGTCGTGGAGAAATTCCCGCTTCAAAAGTTTTGTCTTTTGGCCGACGTAATGTGATATATCGGGACCGAGATTAGTTTTGCAGTTTCTCCTGTTTTTTATTATAAACGCTAATTCTAATAGAGCCATTTGTTTGTGTTTATCTGGAATGAAAAGAATTTCGAATGATTCCATTCGACTGTTTAAAAGAAGAGTAAATATAGCGAACTGGGAAAGCACGTCAAATCAAACGGCTGAAAAGATACTCTCTGAATTAATGTGTTTTGTAACGATTTGTATCGACAAGATAAGGGTACATCTGTATTACACGTATCTCTGTAAAGTAATTTCTGTGTTTTGCAGATATAACCAAGTAGCAGAGGTCATGCACACTCATGATTACACTCTCAAGACATAGAGATTGGTAATATCAAGGCATATAACAACAGGAGGATGTCCCAAGGTCATCGCTTTGTTGGCCGCCTACCTTCAGTCAGGCGTCCGGTGTGTTTAAATGTTAAAAGTAGTATATATGTAAAGCATTCTTAAATAGTGTTAAGGTTTAGAGGTTTTTTTCCTTTTACTTCAGCTTTTTACTGCAATAGTAGTTAATAAATAGATTTTTATTTTTGATTTGTTTTACTCAGTTTATATACCGGGACCAAGGTTAATTCCGCAGTTTTGAAACACGACTTCCGTTTTAACTTTACCCGTGAATGAAAATTTCACAATTAAAGGTTGTGTTTCCATTTTCTATTCCTTTGAAGTTTCTCGGTCAAAAGAGCTTAAATCTACTCCTGTGTATGGAAAAGCTAGAGAGAAATCAAGATTTTCAATTGCCTTTCCATCTTAAAAACAAAACAAACAAAAAACTAACAGTTTAGTGACCCTGTTACAGCGAAGACTGAATCATCCAACAAAGAGTTGCAACGGTTGATTTTATAAATAATATTCCTGTTATATCTTGACTCATAACTGAACGTGTTTCATCGTTTGTGAAAGTTTTGTCTTTCTGTACTTAGAACAAGAAGTTACTCAGAGGTTAAACGTCTTAAACGAGGCTACAAGTTTCTACGAATCGTATTTACAGGAATGTCCTTCCTGTCTGCTCCATTTCCGGTAGCGTACTCTATTGAAATGTAGTTATACATTATTTAAATCGCGACTCGAGAGACAATTATCCGGAAGAATCAGTGATCACGTAAACCGTAAATCATGGGGTGGGCCACTTGACTTTTCATGGAGAGATTACTAGGCGAAAACCTTAACAT